CCCCCACACCCTGTACACACGGCGTGCAATGACTTGCCTCATTGAGTAGCTGATGGAAAGACAACAAATGCATAACATGCCGAGGCAATCCAGTAAATATAAAAGCGCAAGCAGTATTCTGGACAAGTACTATACAGTAGTTCTAAATCAAAATTGTATTCCATGGTATCATAGGTATGTGCGTAGGCAACAACCCGAAGTCTAGGACGTGAACGGGTCGCAGTTGCATATGATAGCCCTTACTCCAAAGCTCGCAAATCCGCCAACTGCTAATCCCACTATCAGACAGAAAGCTGCGACGGTGCTAGCAACATCGACATCTTCCTGCCTGCCCTTCAATCTCGAGTTGTGTTCCAACGAGGGCGCGCCTAACATGCACAAAGTAGACACATAACCGTTCGACACGCCCAGAGCGCACAAGAGTAGCATATAGACCAAGTCAGAGCTGATAAACGGCGTAACATGGAGCGAAAGTTCCACATTGCATAGAAGGAACGCAGGGATAAACAGGATCCGAAGGAGAGTTAGAGCCAAAACACGTCGAGCGGACCAGATTATGAGTCGTGGGAAGGAACACATGTATCGTCCCAAAAGTCACCGAAACTGAACACCAAAAAGTGTACAGCACTAAACAATAAAGGATGAGTCTTCGGATTCGTCGGCTTGATGGTGACAGTGATGGCTGGGTAAACAGCCTATAGACGCTGGTGAGGAAATGATGCTAGCAGACGATCTCAGAAAACATACCAAAGTTACAGTGAAAACAAATCCCACAGCAAAATTATAAATAAATTGGTCTTGAGAACACGGAAAATTTGGTTCCCTTCAACTGCGCTTGGCAGCGCCGCAGGCAGGAGAGGCTGTCGTTCGTCAGCCTCATCTGAGACAACTCGGGCTTTGACGCTGTCCTCGAGAGCTCCCATAGTGGTTGTATATATTGTAATGATGCTAGCCACTTATATGCGAGAAGCGTAGCAATCATAAACAACGCGGAAATTCCAAAGAATATACGCGCAGATTTCTCCTCGGCTTGACCATCAGGGTCGGTATCACCAATGGCCAGAGCCACTGGAGTGGTTCCCCAAATTGAGATGGCGGAAACTGATGACTTGCACACTGCTGACAGCAACGGCTACTGCAGCCTGGCCAGACATCATTGATTGCATGTAAGGTGCGCCAAAGAGTGCCGCGCCGGCGAATACTGAGTTCGATAGATAAGACGCGCAGCCCGACAAGCAGAACGCGCTTATCATGATGAAGTAGAAGAATGGAGCTGGGCTAAGGGGGAGGAATGTTGTCAAAAACAGTATAGTGACGATGGCTGAGGTGGACGCAGTGGACCAGAAGGCGCGCCTGGAAGGGGAAGACTAAACAGCACGCCATGGTCAGAGGCAAATCACCCTCATGCATACAGCACCCACCTGTTTCGAGGTCATAATCGCATATCCCAATGTGACCACGTTGCTGGCGGTAAACACGCTGGACAAGTATGAACTAAATGACGTTCTCAGTGGTGAACCCGACAGTCGCGACATGAAGAATGGATTCGCATTGATCATTGCTGGCGGAAAATATCAGCCATTGGCTGGTCCATATCTTCCCAAGGACATACCGTTCCATGATAGCAGAGTAGCGGCTCCTAGCATAAAGTATACCCAGCGTATACGAGAGTCTCCACGCATATCTTGCGGGCGTGAAATATCCATGATTATCTGGTCATTACCCGAGTCGTCGTGTTCGGCTTCTGTGGTTATACGGGACACGCCACCTCGAGCTCCCACATCTGAACCAGACGCACGAATATTCATTTCAGAGAGGTTTCGTGGCTTGCGCCTATGAATGCAGCAACGTCGCGAGTGATGAAGGTATGGTGGAAGCGAAAGAAGTGTGGTGCAACATCATGCTGCGTTCTGTTCAGGAGAGTGCCTGCCGCCACCCCGGCCCTGAGGTCCTCACTGGGCTAATCTATTATCTGTTAGCCCGGCCCTCTAAAGGTAGGTCTCTCACGTGAAAAAGGATATGTTTGAAGTAATCGGCTTGAGAAGCAATTAACCAACCAATAGTTGATAATCATCAATCGTATACTATAGCTAGAAACATCCCCCAACACATCATCATGCCTCTTGTCTCCTCGCAGACTTGCCAGGAATAAACTGGTTTGGCGCATCTCGCAAGACCAACTGGCTGAGCTTCTCCTTCTGTTTCTCTGCCTTCCTTGCCTTGCGCTTAGACTTTCTATCCATCTTCGCAAGACGGTCCTTGGTCAACCACCTCCGTTTCTTCTCCGACTTTCTCTCCTCTTCCAGCTTCTGCCGGTATTTGAAAGCAGCTTCTGCACGCGCATCCCGAATACTCCGGCCATTAATATTCTTGAGTTCCTGAGCAATGAACTTTTTGAAGAGCGTGCTCTTCCGCTTCACAGCAGCCTGCCAGCGCGCTTGCTTCTTCGCTCTGCTATGAGGGTTACTCAGTTCCTTTGTAAGATGTACCTCCATCGGCGCTGACGTGTCGAAAGGAACGGCGGAAGGATTGAATAGCGTCCTAAGGTACGCCTTCTCAGCTGCGTCGCTCTGGAGAGAAATTAATTTGGACAGAGAGAACACGGGTGGTTTGTATGTTATTTCCCGAACCGCCTCTGGTGTCGTGTCCAACAATGGATTAGCTACATCACCCTGAGGTCAGAAAATGAAACAAAGGAAAAATGAGATCGCCTGACGTTCTTTGTGTTCTCTCTCTTCCGGTTGAGGCCATTCTAGTTCGATTTTTGTCTTCGGGGTGTATGGATCAGTAGCGAGCACCAGACGCTTCCAGTTCCAGCGGTAGAGAATGGGATCCCAATGAGGATCTCGCGCACCAACACGTCTCGCAAACACACTGTAGACAACATACAGTCAAAGGCAAGGACACGGGCACGTGTAAACACTTACGAGATCGCCTTGGACTGCTCACCAGGTGAGGTGGTCTGTAGCACTTGTTCACCGATGTACAGCATACATCTTGAGTAGTGCACGCTACGGTTGACCGGGGTCTTGTATGGCTTCCCCTCGTGCTACAAAATTACTCAGTCAGCACCGAAGTATGCCAGTCAGTATAATAAACCACGCACGAGGTTGGCACCCTTCAAATAGACACGGTTCGTGAATTTATTTATGCTCAGAACCTCATGTATGGTTTTGCGTGTGTCCCCGCGTATGCAAATTTGATCACCTGGAACGACGTTCCAGTATTTTATGCGGTCTTTGACGCGTACGGCCTTTGTGATGGGGTCGAACCATGTCTGTCTATTCTGGAAGTGTTTTGGGACAGGGAGAAGGTGTCGGAAATCTCTCGTCCATGGAGAGACAGTAGTAGCTCGCTGGACCTGGATACGGGTAAGTGACATCGAGTCCGAGACTGTCCACTGCGTTCAAGCCAACTTGAGGAAAAGTAAGTAATAGCTGACTAAGCAACTTCATCAAACGCTGAAGGGACTCGGACTCGGATCTACGTCAAAAGAAGCCTAGTAACTCTAGCTAAGTACTACATCGTAACGGCGTCGACACAGTGCACCCCCGACTCGCAAGCTTGTCCCTGGCATTGTTCCTCGAATTAAAAATGCAAACTAGTTTTTTATTCATGATTGTATCAGCAAATGACTGCGAGGTAGTCACTGCTCTGGTGACTGGTCTGATTGTCCCACCGAGATCACAGAGCAACGAAAGCAAACATTAATGTTACTGTAGTCTCCGCACGATTCTTCGCCTGCAGGGAAAGTCTCCCATGTTTCAGTGGAAAGGCGGCAGTCCACGATTGATGTGCGATTTTTGTATTGAAGTCGAGATCCAGCAATAAAGGGCTCGGTATGATTACAAGAGAGAAATGTCATAAATTACCAGTGCCTCAACAAACCTAGCCATCAGCTCATCGGTCCAGCTTTGGACCCGCTCCATGCTGTCGACGACGCGCTAGGTTCCTCCGATTCCAGCGTCTACAGCAGAAAAGGTGAGACATACAGCCAATACTCGAAGAAATGTAATCACCTCGAGTAACATCCCAATTACGTTGTCCACTTCCGATGGTTGCATTCCACCGCACCCTGCCCCAATCAGTTTTCTATAGTCTGCCATTCGTCCCCCAGTCCCCGCCTCTGCTTGGAATGACGCCAGCTCGTCAAACATATCTTTCCTTCGTTTCCTGTGCAGTCCAATCTCTTCTCGTAAGGCATCGCAGGCGGCTCGAATTGCTTCCGGATCCGTAGGAACGTCAGCATATAACGCCAACAGGTCCGAGATATCTTCCTCTTGGGGTAACGCCTTTCGCTTCCCTTTTCCCTTGTCCTTTCCAGGCTCTACGACTTCCTCGATGACGTCGTCCGTCCGATAAGGAACTGTCGCTGCTGTGATCCTTAACTCTCCATCAGCAGCCTTCCGTATCGACATTTCACGCATCTCCTCATCATTTAGCCATTTTTCCCAGCCAAGACGATACCGCCTCCCCATCTTCTCAAGTAGCCGTCCTTCCAAATCTACAAGCACACTCTTAGCCAGCTGCAGCCCCTCCGCTTTCGTTTTGAGCTGGTTCACAGCCCGGTGACTCTCTAGAATTTCTTGTTGAATGTTCTGCAGGAGTGCATGTGCTTGTGTCATGTCACGTTCTTTTTCTTGCAGTTCGCGGTCAAATGATGAGGCGAGACTGTCGAGCATGCTCGTGATGTCGTTGACACAGCGCGTGCTGGCCTTCTGCGCTGCAACCGAGTGATGGAGCGGCGGCTTGTCACCATTCATAGGGTAGGCCAACGTCATGGCATTGGAGGTTGTGGGGCCGAGAGTTGCTTGGGCATTGCGGAAGGACATCGATGACAGGCGTGAGGTTGGGCCTGGAGATGAACGGAAACGTTCGTCCTCGAGGATGTAGTCTTCAGTGCTCTTGCCATCATTGTTGATGATCTTTGGATTAGCCCCGTGGTCGATAAGAAGTTTCACGAGACGCTTGCTCCGACACCGGGCAGCCATTGTCAGTGCAGTTTCACCGTCTTCGTCTTGAAAGTTGATGACATCCGCGAGTTCTTTTGGATAGTCAGCTAGGCGATTGAGCACTGTTTCCATGTAGTACCGAGCGGCATGTGTCTTCCCCTTCGACATTGCAACATCGACAATGTGGTGAAACACGGTCCGGTTATAATTGTCGATGTTGAGTGTGGAACGGTGAAGAAGTTCGTACAGCTCGGGGAATTTCCGCACATCATAGTTATTTGCAAACATGACACTTCGCATGAGCGCAGTCTGGCCTGCTTTATTCACTTTGAATATTTCTGCGCCTGCTGTGATCAACAACTTGACAATACGTAGGCGGCCCATTGCTGAGGCCCAGTGCAATGCCGTATGACCATCGTCATCAATGGCGGTGTTCGGGTCAAAATCAGGCGGTGGGGAAATGAGAACCTGGGGGACTTGATTTGAGTCAGAAATGAAGTACTCGAGGATTTGGTCTGCGTATGCGCGTGGGTCGGTGGCGCCGTTGGGTTGCGTAGATTCCTCCTCTGAACCCTCGTCATCATAGCGTTCATCTATGTGGCGCGGTGGCGGTTTTCGACGATTGCCACTGCGACGGTCTCTAGTAGCGTCCAATGTATTTCCGATGGGTGAGGGAGTGCGTGAACTTGACGAACCGCGGGAAGGCGAGGATGTCATGGATCCATCCTCTGATGCATGAACGGATAGAATTTCGTGATCGGATTCAACTGGGGGTTCTACATTACGACGCGAGCGCGCAGTAGCAGCAAGGGCGGCCGCTGCTTCTGCAGCTGCAGCTGTGCGACGCGCGGGACGAGCCGTTGTACTTGTAGAGACGAGATGTTTAGGAGCCAGAGGCGGGCTCTTGGCTGCCGGCTGAAAATCAATGATGGGGCGCAGAGCAGCTTCACAGTTGTACTGTTTCGCCAGAGCGAGACCTCGTTCAAGAGGTATCCACGTTCCTGTAGTGGGGCGTGTTCTTTAAGTGATCACAAAAAAAGGAGTCGCGGAAATTGCATACCTTGGTACTTTCCATACCCACCCTGAACTTTTTCGTGCTCGCCCTTCTGGACTTCTCTCTCGAGCACGCGGGTCCGCTGAGGTTTGTCGAATCCTGCGACTTTCAGGATCTGAGTCGCGTTGAGCCACGAGTCAGCGCGCCGGCGCATAACAGCAACGCCCTTGCACATCCTGGGCGCGTAGCCATGAAAGAGGCTGAGACTTGAATGTGGAATGAATGACTCACATCTCGAACACGGGAATTCCACTGTAAGTTGCCTAAGGTTATGGGCCACAGGGATGGGGTCAGTGTAGGGCGGTTAGCGGGTAGCAAGTAGTAGCACCTTGAAAATCTGTCCCTCAGGCATGATGAAGACAGTGAAACGCGTTTATGCGTGTGATTCCTGCTATCAGAACGATTTTGATGGTGGACCCTCAGGCGAGCTGGTGCTGACGGCGTCGCGGTTTCCGATACATACACGTGCTTCAACAAGAACAAACAACGCGATGTCATTCTCTCAGCTCTGCGACATCAAAGGACTTCATAGTTGCATTCAACTCTGTAGAGAGCATGCCTATCACTGAATATCATGTACCATCGCTGCCGCAGCTACCAACTGGCAACAACCACAGTAACTTTGTCCAGGCTCTCCAAGCTCCCAAGGCTGACCTGCAAGTTTTTTCTTACAACAGTCTGAAATGCTACAGGACTGCACCGTGATCAGCTGTAGGCGGGTTCACAATGTCTCAAGAGTGCGTTTCGACCGCCTTTGAAACCATTCGCGCCAAGATCCCTGACAATCCATCACTTAGTAATAAGATCCGACTCGGATACTCGTGTTCTTCGCAAGTCTATCTCGATTCAGTTACGCCCGTGACCCCTTGGTATTGCATTTAGGCTTCCTAGTCTGTTCGCCTAGAATTAGATACTGCCGCACATTAATGTACACACACGTTGTTTAGCGGATTGCCTCGTTGCAGACGCACTGTTTTTACCAAGGAGCTAGGATTATCCTTGCTCGACTTTTGGTGGTGATGAGTCTTTATGATTCTGGAAGCTGCCTGTGGCAAGTGAGAGCAGTTAATTACTTTGACTGTCAAAGAAGTAGAACAAAAGGATATGAAGAAAGCAAAGACCTGACGCGACGGTCACGGGACCCGTTTCCTTTTGTAAGGTGGTTCTTTCCTCGAGGCTTGATAGCGGCAATTGTTCCTGCCTCACAAACCGCGTCTTTCTCTCTGACCACCACGAGGCTTTCTACTACTCTAGTCACCGTTCACAACAGCGAACTCCTTTCATGGCACCAGCTTGCGCACCGCTCTGTTATTTTGGAGACAGGAAAGTCCGCTCACGACCGGTCATGTCCAATTTTCTGAATTAAATCCTATCTCTAGACTTTACTTTACTACCTTCCCCTACCCCGCACCATCTCCCCAATCTCTCAATAGCACAGCCTCGAACTCAGGAAATGCACCAAGGATTCGCCCCCAACCTCACATGGGTGCACCACTTGGTCCTTCAGCCCCCTCCCCGGACGATGACGCAATTTACTACTACTTTACGATTGATGACCAATTGCTCTACACCTCATTTTATCAGGATTGGGGCCCGCTAAACCTCGCAATGGTCTACAAAGCGTGCCTCTTAATTCACGGCCTTTTGAAGGTACGCGTCCAATTCTCCTCGATCGTTTGCACGCGATCATGATCGCCACAGGATGAAGATCTCAGCGCACACCGTCTCGTTCTCTATTCCTCGGATGATCCACGTCGTAAAGCTAATGCTGCTTTGTTGATGGCCCTGTACATGGTATGACCGTCATCTTACAAAATCCTACCGTATTCACCTCCTTTCAGTTGATCGTCCATAATTACACTCCATGGCGCTGCTTCCAACCCATAAGCGAACTAGAGTTCATGTCCTTCAGAGACGCAGGACGTGGCCCTTCAACCTTCAACCTTAGCATTCACGACTGTTTGTGGGGTTTCTGGAAAGGAATACAAAACCGCCTTATCGACCTGGATACTTTCGACCTCCAAGACTACGAGTTCTATGAAAAGGTCGAGAATGGTGACTGGAACTGGATAACACCCAACTTCATCGCATTTGCTTCACCTAGAGATTATGCGTGGACAAAACAGAGGAATGAAATCGAGACTGCCACTGCTATTGCAGTTCCTGCATCCCCTGTGCGACCCGGTGTGGCTTCACCACCAAAGTCGCCTCGCAAACTTGCTCTACAACGTAAACTTAATTCCGCTTTCTGCAATTGCCTCGATTATTTTGAGAAGCATAAAGTCGACCTGGTCGTTCGTCTCAATGCAGAGCTCTACGATAAACAGCTATTTTTGGATCGTGGAATCAAACATCTCGATCTTTGTTTCGAAGATGGGTCAAACCCGTCAGACGAAATCGTTCGCACTTTCATTGATGTGGCAGACGCCGTCATCGAGGGCGGTGGGGTCGTTGCTGTACATGTGGGTTATTTCATATGTATTTTTGCTTCTGTTCTAACATGTATATATGATACTCAGTGCAAAGCGGGGCTCGGTCGCACCGGATGCCTCATTGGAGCATATCTTATCTGGAAGTATGGCTTCACAGCATCGGAGGCGATTGCGTTTATGCGCATTGTCAGGCCAGGTTGTGTTGTTGGTCCACAGCAACATTACATGCACCAGATGCAGCTTCAATGGGCCAAGTGGGCCGCTGCAGATGAGATACGACGTGTACAGGCAGCTGCAGTCGCAGCCACCGCACATGTTGTGACTCCTGCTACACCTCCTGCGGAACAAGACGAAGTCATGCACGAAACCAGGTCGTTGACGCCACCCGCAGCACCTCTACCCCTACCACCTGTCACTCCCGGTCGTGCTGTCATAGCTGCAAGGGCGCGTGAGACGCCTCCTCCCGGACAGCCACGCAAGACGCCTATGGCAAAACGAGTCGCTATTGAATCGGACGAAGAAGATGTGGAGATGGATGATACCCTTCCTGCTCTTGGAGCAGCACCACCCGTTGCCCGGCCTCGCGCTAGGACAACGACTCGAGTCTCGGGCGCAAGAGGTACAGCGTCCGAACAACGCCCGACGCGGGTGTTACGGTCATCCGCGACAAGCGTACATCAGAAGACTACTGCCGCCAGGAGCAGTCGAGCGGCGGCTCCACCTCCTAACAAGATACCCCGATTGGCTGGAGGTTCAGCGGCCCGGAGTACCGCCGCCGCAAGAGGGCCTGGTGCCCCATCAGCGCGCCGTGTACCCCAACCCCCTTCACCTACCCCTTCACGATTACCGACGCTCACCAAGAAACATAACCCTGTACCTGCGCTGGCAGAACTACCAACCACGCGGTCAGGCAAACCTGAATCCTGGATGAAGGCAGGAGCATCTGCCATCGTCATGCCTCCTTCCAAGTCTTCACAACGCCCTGGTCCACGGCCCGTTAGACGGAGAAGAAGCAGTTTTAGCGCTGCAGATGTCGTTGCATAGACACCATACCATTGAACCTGTCGCAAGCTATATCCTTGCTTTGTTGCGTTCATATTCAATCAGTTCTCGCACTTTTTATTATTGACAATGATCATTTCCATTTTTCTTCTGTATTTAATGGTGAAATTTTCTCTGGCGTTGTATAGGCTCAGTACTCAGTATCTGCACTGTCCACACTACCCCCAAATCATCCATCCATCGAGCATTCATATCGTGTAGCTTTGATCTCATTTACCTTTCCGTGCCACTTGTCTTACAAGAAGGCACTATGGAATGATATGCGAGAGCAGGCGATCTCGTTTAAGACATCCTGCCTGTTAACAGCGTGAATGAAGATTCTATTGGTACAATTATAACTTCTTTTGCCTCTCTCCCGCGTCATGAAGACGGTAGTGCCGAGTACTTGTGAACACACTCCAGGAAGAACTTCATGTCTTCTGGATCAACCCCTGGTGTGATGCCATGACCCAAATTCGCAATCCAAGCTTTGCATGCACCGCCCCTGGCATCATGGAACGCACTGCACATCCTCTTTACCTCGCGCTCGATGGCCTCTCTGCCGCCATAGAGCACCACGGGATCGAGGTTGCCTTGCAGAGTGATGGTTCTACCATCAATGATACCATCGGTGACCTTGGCAACATCCCGAGGGTCGAGCGTCCAGTCGAGACCGATGGTGTCGTATCCTGCGCTTGCAGCGAGGGATGGGGATGCGCCTTTTGCAAACAAGGTGAGAGGGACGACAGGAAGTTGCCGGACCTTGAGACCCTCACGGACTTCGTCCGCGATACGCTTCAAATATGGCAGAGAAAACGTAGAAAAGTCGTACGGCGACAAATCTCCAGCATTCGAATCGAATACCTGCAGGAGCTGTTGGTAGTCATTGTTCAGCTTCTGTGATCCGATACGCGATGAGACAGACGTAGACGAACCTGTGCGCCAGCGTTAACCTGCCCGATGAGATACTGCACACAGATGTCTGTGATGCGCTCAAGGAGCTGTTTTGAAGCCTCAGGGTACTTAAAGAGCCATGTCTTTGATTTTTGACGCGTCTGGCTCCCACCGCCCTCGATCATGTACATCATAAGTGTCCACGGCGCCCCGCTGAAGCCGATGAGGGGAACCTGGCCTGCAAGGGTCTTCCGCGTGAGGGTGAGTGCCTCGAATACATATCCGAGCTCTTTCTCTACATCTACCTCCCGGGGCAGCTTCTCGACGTCCGCAGGCGTGTTCAAGGGATCAGTGAAGTGCGGGCCCGGGTTCATAATCACTTCCATACCCATGGCCTGCGGTACTACGAGGATATCGGAGAAGATGATGGCTGCATCGAGAAGGCCGGCGTACCGCCGGATAGGCTGCATGGTGATCTCTGTTGCGAGAGTAGGCGAGCGGCATATCTCGAAGAACTCATGGGTTTCACGAGTTTTTCGGAACTCTGGTGTAGGTTATGGTGGATCGGATGGAGAGGTTATCTAGACGACGTACCTGGGAGATATCTCCCTGCTTGGCGCATGACCCATACAGGTGCCCGCTCTGTCTGCTCGCCGCGAGCTGCGCGGAGGAGCAGGTCGTTTGTTAGAGTCGGAAATTCTTGTGTCATTTTGATGATCAGGTGAAAAAATGACTTTTGTACGCGCCAGATGCCAGCGAATGTGGTTTGTGATGAAAATAAGGAGGCCCAGTTAATTCGTTTAGGTTTGGGTGCGGTACTATCCTTGATCATGAACTTCTAGATTCTGCTTATGTCCGAATCGGGGTCTTTATTTCTGGGAGTCCTTCTCACCTTCACCGTCATCTCGTTATCTCTCAGCGCCTAGTATGCGCCCTTTGTATTATGACCATCACCAATCCGACCCAATTAATAGACGAGTAAGTCACTTTGTATACTACCGGGATAATCCTTAAGAGCCACACCACAGATTCAAAAAATCGGGCGAATTTGACCGTCTGAGACGTGATCTCCTATCACATTTTCAGCGCAGTGTGAGTTATCATCCAATACATACGTGGCACAACCGCTTACCCTACCTACAGGAACGCACCGAGGCCTTTAAGTCTCGTGTCGATGATATAGCCCGACAAAGGCTATCTTCTGACCCAAAATTGATATCCATGCCCAATGATGCTATCCAGCGTGAGCTGTTAGGGGAAATCGACCGGTTCGTCCGCTCATCTCCACTTGGTCAGTACTGATGGCCAGGCCTACTTTTCTCAGCTATCCTATTGTCGAGCGAGCGGTAGTCGATGCTCCTTTATTATCTGATCCATCATTCATCGCCGGCATACGTGCTTCACTGGAACGTACCATGTCGGCAGGCAGAAGCGAAGAAAAGAACAATGCTACTCCAAGTGAGCATTTACATGTGTGCTTTGATGGTTGCTTTCAATTCTTGACTGGGATGCTAGGCCAATCGACGCCAAACCTGCAACCATGTGATTCGGGCAATCCCAATTTCAATGCAGCCATTCCCCAACTAAATGACGCTCTGACACCTTCGGCGGTCCAGAAAGAGTGAATTTGACCATTGCAGTCCTGGCATCTCTATATATAGTCTGACTGGACACTCTACAAGGTTTGACTACGCCCTCTGCGCAAGGTAATGTGCTCATACCGCCAACTGCAAGCTATTTATTTATCCCTTCTTGACTTATTTATTCATTACAAGGAAATATTTGCAGTTGGGAGACTAACAATTCAAGAAAAGTCAATGATAGAATTAGCTAAGCTTCAAGACGATGATAGGCGAGTATTTCTTATATCGTTGTTGTGAGGAAGCGCGCATACTGTGGTCCGGTAGGATATCAAAAGACAAACAGGATTGAGCTCAGCATGTTAACGCCGCAGTTAGTCCACTTCCACGGAAAGAATTGAGAAAATCGTTGGGACCAAGCAGGCTAATCTGTAATGGTTCTACCTTTGCTTGGAGATCGGTACGTCGACAACACATTGATGAGATGTAAGTTGTCTTGAATGGTGCTCGCCATGATGAAGTGTGCGCATGAAGTTCCTATGAGACACGAGGCTTGAAAATAAGGGAGATGCCCGCACCTCTGAACGCGACGTACCATGAGCTCGGAATAGCAAATGACTTAATTACTGAGTACGGAATTGGTACTGAATATGTTGAGCAAACACGCAGTGAATGTTAATCAACATGCATAAAAAGACTTGATGTAAACAGTATGTAAACAGATGTAATAAATGCGAGGTGTTAGAATTTGGAGAGATCTTCATTGCAGAAAGTCGTGCGATGCCTCTTATGTGGTCGTTCAACAATATTAATGATATACCATGCCAGCAGCCAGGATAGAACCTGATGCATGGGCATATGGACCTATCGAATTTGTGTCGATTTGCATGCCTTGCATTATAAAATATCAAGCGTATAATGGAGGTTTTCATGGTTTCGCCGAGCAGTGTGATAGCACCGTTATCGCACGCTGTATTTTATGATGATGGAATGAAGTCAGCATTGACAACAAGATATGACAGCAAGGCCTACAATCGCGAAGTAGGTCGTGTCACATCACTAGGACCCTGGAGTTCCATGTTCGGTCGCTGGCGACACTTACGATATAGATTTACAACGCGTTCGCACTGAATCAGATGAAAAGTTTCCAAGCCTCAACACTTCGAAAAACCGGATTGGATTGGAAGATGAAGGGGAAGGGATGTGGGCCGCGGTAGAGTCCAGAAGCATCAGACTAATATTTCCGTCCTACACGCTCAAACGAGCAACGAGGAAGATGAAAAAAATCGATGGCACTCGAAAGTTCTGACATTCACGAAGCTCGCGGCTCCGCAGTTGAAAGTTTGAGAGATGAACATTCGCGATGCTAGTAAGATGGGTCTCTCAGCACGACAAGTCTGTCGCGAGCTGTTGGTGATGTAGCCAGAAGTAGCCGCCATGAAGGTGCCAATCAATGAATAGATAGCCAAAATATCTGGGTGTGCTCTTGACTATGGGCGAGAGGTACCATACAGGCTTATTGTCAGGAAGCGTCTTTCATGCCAGAGTGTGCACTGTCAACATGGAACAAGAAAACGTGTGCGATTGTATCGCGATGTGATATCGCCCACAGCAAGTATTTTCATCAGCTTTGTAATTCATCTTCACATACTTAATAATTAACGTCCTGCTCAATGAGCGCGGTGGCTCTTGAAGAGCGAGGCTTAATGGAACACTTGAATGGTTTGGGGTGGCTAGAAGGGCATACATCCGGATCAGCGCCGGACAGGATCAGATATATAACATACCTGATTGTGCCTGACAATGGATCAACCTCAGGGATGATCTCAATACCGTTCTCGACGGCCTTCGAGATATCGAACACGGCTAGTGACATCGCAGCGGATATCCAGACAGAGGCTTCAGCGAGGTGAATACCTGTAAACAAAAATCAACTGAACGTCAGAATACAGTTTGGGAATCGGGCATACCTGGACAAATACTGCAGAGCAGAAAGTTAGCATGGCGCAAAAACCTGCTGCATGCTTACCGTCTTCCAAAGCCGAAGCAGATCGTGCGTGGATCTGTCTCAGGCTCCTTGCCTAAAAAGCGTTCAGGATTGAATTGCGAAGGGTTAGCATAGTTCTTCGGGTCATTCAGCATGAACCTGCCATTATATTTTGTTCAAACATCGAATATGGGAAAAAGAATGTACTGACCAGATGTTAGTCATGACCATGGAACCTTTTGGGATGTAGTACCCGTCATGGATGTCGTCCTCAGAGACGCAGTGGGGAAAACCTGACATTGAAATACCGCTCGGCAACTAAATAATGCGTTAAATGAAAAACACACACCGGTAGGAATAACAGAATGCCATCGTAGGGTCTCTTTAACAAGCGCTTCGATGTAGGGGAGAGTGTCTTGGTCGGCGAAGGAGGGAAGACGATCAGGACCGATGACAGCATCTATTTCAGCCTGAGCCTTCTTCTGCACGTCAGGGAACAGCGTCATAGCTAGGAAGAACGCATTGATAGTAGCAACAGTCTGGGGGGAAAGTGTGGCGCTCTCAGAAGATGATTGTCAGAAATATAGAGCGAGGGACCAACTGTGTCAAAAGCGCCAGCGTATAGGGTTGCAGAAGACCATTTCACACTGTGCTCGTCTTCCGCTGACAAACTACCGCCTCTCAACAGATTCGAGGTGAAAGACTCCGGGGCAGTGCCAGCAGCCTGTGAAAGTCAAACTTCAACGCACACTCGTAGAATTGTAAATGATTGTCACCATCTGATCCACGACGAACTTGTGCGGTGCAGAAATCAATTCTTCAAGGTCGTCGTGCCACTCGCGGGCCAGACGCTTGAAGTCAGCACCAGGGAACCATTCGGGGACCTTGACCACTAAAATGGTGAGACCACTTGAAGCAGATATATGAATGCTATGGCTTACAGAATGGCACGACATCAGCCATGAAAGCGCCAGGAGCGGTGGCACGCGACCACTCGTCCATAACGCGGTCTGCAAGGTCAACGAAGGGATCGTCGTTCTCTTTCACCTCATACCCATGAGAGATGCGCAGAATCACAGCGCCAGCGGTGCTATGAAAATCAAGATCATGTCGATGCAATGATAAATGATACGTACTGTCGAACATGCGCCTGCAGTTGATCGGGTTTCGCGAACAGACGCTTGAGGAATCGGTGAGTCTCGACCTCCTCGACCTGGCTGTATACGCCCACAGCGACGCGGGTGCCAATGACGCTGTGGAAGTTTTTGCGGTACCGGCGTAAACGGTCGCCGTAAGGGAGGAGAGGCATAACGTTTTTGTAACCAATGAGTTCACCACCAACAGGCAACACAGGACGGTCAGAGTAAACAGTGCCCTTGTTGTCCAGCATGTCCATCGCGATCTTGACAGAGTTCACTACTACGATGTGTTGACCCAGGACCTTGATATGCGAAATGACACCTGTCGACAAGACGTTGAAATGTAAGATTGTGTGAAATAAGAGACACTCACCATACTTTTCGCCCCACTCTGTGAAGGTGAGCCAGGGCTTTATGTGGGGCATGTCCAGGACGTTCCCAATGATAGGCCACCCTGGAGGACCAGGGGGATATGGAGGGTTCTTCTTGTTGAAGACTTGCTTAAGCAGATATACTCCGACACAAGCAAGGCATAGGTCGAGCGCAGTGACGTTGGTGAGAGCCAACATGATCTAGTACTAGGAGAGGAAGATCAACTCGAAAGTGGGGTTGTAGTAGAGCTTGCAGGATGAAATCAAAGAAGTCCTATACTGACCACCTTATTTATAGCTCTTGGGCCCGTCACGAGGCTGCCCTATCTGAACAAAGAGGCCACCCCGGAGGACCAGGGGGATACGGAGGGTTCTGCTTGTTGAACACCTGCTTAAGCAGATATACTCCGAGACAGGCAAGACATAGGTCGAGCGCAGTGATGTTGGTGAGGGCCAACATGATATGTGACTAGGTGAGGACGATCAACTCGAGAGCGGGGTTGTAGTGAAACTTGAAGGATCAGATGAGAGGAGAGTCATGTTCATTATCTGAACAACACTGGTAGGGCATTGCTCGCCGCCATTAGGCCCACTTCGGAAGGCTAACTTGAATAGTCCGGTGATGAGTGACTTGTTATCAGTCCGAGATTGTTCGCCTCCGTACAGCAAGGTACCTGCTCGGAATGTTACATAATAAGTTCTCCAATATGCGTCTGATGCGTTCTATCAAGTGTATCGTGGCTAATACAAGCAGGGGCCCATGTTTTGGTATACCCACTTTCGGGCGTGGCCTGCAAGTCTCAGCCAATTAAAATTATCGATCATCTGAGTTGAGGGTTTCCGAGGTCTACATATACAGCCAAATAGTAGTCAGGGGGCTCTATTTATATATTGTGTCACCTGAAGTCTGATGGAACCTATGGAACATTCATCTTAAACTGGAGTGCATCCGAACCGTGGAGCTCTTGCAACCTGCGATGCAGACTGTTCCACAACACCTTCGATCTCGTATGTCCCCTTCAACCATGATCCATGATCCATGATGTGCCGTTTTCGTTATTTGACGTTGTCCTCTTCTTTATCACGCTCCCCTTGAACCGTCTATCCTGCCGAACGGTTGTCAACAACACGTGCAGCGCAAGTGCAGCATAACCCGACTCGCGTGGGCCTGCCTCAAAGGCTACGTTGGAAAGGATCCCCGAGACATCGACTTTATCTCTTTCGCGAAGCCCTTCCATTACGTCTGCAAGGCCAGTCTGATTAACCATCATCTATCTATCCCTTCTCTGAAGCGCTGACATGACGCTACTGCAAGGAGCGCACCACCATCTATATATGCTTGAGCTCTGTCTTCCGGGCAACAAATTCTATCCCAGAGCCCTCCACGAGCTTGCACAAGCAGTGGGGACGATGCTTCAAACAATGCAGTACCATTGATGACCTAAACGAGTGCATACAACATCATTGTGAATTTGTTTCTCTGTGCTCCGAGGGACATCCTTCACGTGAAACCTGCCTGAATAACATGCCTGCTCTGATCACTGAACCAACTCTCATAACCTCAATGAAGCCATCTCTTTGTACGAAGAAGCACTGCACCTGCACCCTGTTCCTGTTGGGCACATATGTCATGATTTTCCATTGAACAACCTAAAACTCGTCCTCCTCAATCGTTTCAACCAACGCGGTGATGTTAACGACATCATCATCAGAACCTCAGCCTCCAGCTCGAGGCAGTGACATTACACCCGCCTGGGAATGTGTATCGTGATTTCATGTTCAACAACTTTCCTCTCGCGCTCAAAACTAGATAAACCAAATCGGAAGTGAGCGATGATCTCAACGAGGCCATCGACTTGTGCCATTCACTTCAATTAGAACAGCATGGCCATCTCAAAGTTCTCGCCATTTGAGCTCGGTGTTCTGTTCTCGTTTCACGCAAACTCAGAGCAATGGAAATATTAAGGAGGCCATTAGAGTCACTAGAGAATTTGTAGTCACTGCACTTGGACAGATATGTCAGTTATATGCGGCTGAAGAATGCACATGTCTTATTACCAGATCAGCATTCGTTATCTCTCACGTGACACGACACGCATCCGTTTCGCAGTTGGTCGATGTTTCAAACTTTCAATCACCCTTAGTGTCGATTCTGACCGATCACAAAATTTGTTCATGTTCTTGCCTTGTTCCTCGAAGTTGCAAATCCTTATTTTTACAAATTTGAACTTCATTCTGAATCCCTGACGCAAATTGAAAGTCCTAATGCATGCAGCATTTATGTTTGGCTCCAAGGCAAGTTGAACAGACCTGGAAATGCAACAGGTTACGTGTAACCACAGCCGAATGCTACATGCGAAGTGGTTAGATTGTCTCAAGAACATCCAGGTTGGTTTGAATATGGCACCAACTGTGAAGGATCTAGTGTGGTACGTTTCGCATCGGGTTTCACTGAGCGGCAGAAGAGAGCGAGCAAGTGTGCATCACTTGGTGACTGATCCCTGGACAGAGGACTTGCGACATAGGAGGAAGGTGAAGCGTCGAGGTATGTACGTTAATAAAAACGTCAACTGCAGCATGCAATGCGGATCTCTAGGAGCGTGGTGCGTCAAGTTTTCATCAGTCACCTTGGGCCCTTACTATATTTTCGTATTTGCTCGTCAAGTCCCCAGGGGAAGGCAGCGAGGCAGAGATGCTGCTGAAGTTTATTTCAAAACAATGTGGGCATCAATTTGCCATCGACTACATAATCGTCAGAAGGAAAGTCGGGCTTCCTGCGATGCGTCCGACTTTGGTTTCTTCCAGTGCTCTATTTGCATGATGCATCAATTTATTTTCGTGGTACACCCGCTGAAAAGGGATGACCACCATCTACCCCACAGCTGAACTGCATTCATCACTTGTCTGTGCACACCCTGTGCATTCTCTACGTTCTCTGATCTTGGTCATCAGTCGGAGTTCTGGGGCGTCGATGTAGTCTCGAGCGTCATTATAGTAGCTGGTTCATGCGAAATATAGACGACGCCCCAATCCACAGGCTACCGTATGAAAGCGTGAATCAATGGAAGAACTTCCAATTGGCATCAACTACATGATGAATCCAGTGGTATGGTGTTGATGGTGTGCCTTGGTAGCTGTATGGCGTGGGTGAGTTTTTTCCTCAGACTTTGACCCTGATGGTGTGCCAACAGAACTTTACCACCGTCAATTACTGTGTATCTAAGTATCATTTTCTCCAATGTCCTCTCTCGACGCTCTCTTGATATAGGGGTGAGTTTGTTTGCTTCGTGTCGATCTCCCCTATGTTGAAGGCCAGCTTTTCTGGCCTAGCATCATGCCGATGCAATGTGAATTTGTTGAGTGACCTTGGTTGAACTATTATGCTCCCTGGGCCTGTGCCGGCGAGCCGAAAAGAGGGGAGATGACAGGCTTTTTGATGGTCGCACCTTGCTCAGTACGTGTCAAACATATGAAGTTGCACTGATGGACTGATGCATGTGTAGCAAAAATGGCATTTGAAACAAGGCGACGAGATCACGAAACAGTTCTTGATGTTGTTCAATCTTTTGGAGTGTTCAAGTGTTTCGCCCGTGCAAATGTTTCATTGCTAATATATGATGAGCCCCTGGATTAATTTACCTTTCTTCATGCAAAAAATATCTACTTCAACCAATCAATACAAGAACGGCCATCCTCCCTTGATTTTGTTTCAGTGATCCAAGCACTGGATGGTGGTATAACTAGCACGAATGCCATCATCATACGACCACCAAGTTTACCTCTCAACCACACCCATTCTCTGCCGATATGACCATAGTTTCGAATGATCCCACTTGGTGGCCGACCATCAATGAATTTCGTTTTTTCAGCTATTTTTCAGGTTCGTAGAGAGCAGTCAAATGTTGAAGCTGATGTCTCGATCTAACCTTGGTTATGGTTTCGCAGTTGCCGCCTTTGTTGGAGTGACGTATGATTGGGGTGAGCATGATCATATTTGAGGACCGCTGATATCTTACAAGTATTTTCAGCACTTACATTCGGGCAAGAGGTATGTCGATGCTATGACCGGAGCACCCATCTCGCTAAGAATAGTGTCATAGGTTGAACTGGTCTGGGTGAGTAGAGTCTCATGTCAGAGGAACACTCATGAAAGCACACTCAATTACAGAGGCAACGTTGGTCCTTGATGACAGTTCTGTATCTCGGTGTATGTAGCTTGTTTGTCGCTGTTTTCATGTTGTGCTGACTTGAAAGTACCCTACTAGGTGCGCTACCCTGGATTCTTATTTGCTGCGTATGTTCGGAAGGCTTAACAGTCAGTGTTGTGCTAACTATATATCTCTCATAATCAGCCTGGTCGTAGTGGGTATGTATCCTTAGTACATATTCTCTGTCTTTGCCTCTTCTGACCAACAACATACAGGCAATATTCCGACCATCTCGCTGACAGATACAGTAAGTCTTCTGCACAGATGCCTATTAGCCCCCTCCAATGAACTGTGGTGCCCTATAGGAGTGGGTGCCGTTCTTTACTAGCTTCTTGGTTTACTCATGACTGCCACCCTATACTGTCATAGATGTGAGTCCGTTTAGAGTGTGGTACCCGAGGCAGGTCACTGACTGAATCCATCAGGCTTCATTATGTTTGTCACACGGGATGTGACGAATGCCTTTGTACTACCAATGCTGTGGGGTGAGCTTGGCACTTGCGACACCTCGGTGATATTGACTTGACTGGAACATGCTGCAAGTCATCATCATCACTCGGTTATATGCCATGTATCAAGGATCCAGAAAGATCCTGATATTTCTCATTGTCACCTTCCTGGCTGTTGCCATTTTAAACGGAGGGACAATCGTAATAACAACGATGCGTAGTTCAGGAGGTACGCATAATTGTGGATGAAAACAAACGTGCATGGGGCTCATTGATGGATACTAGTGGAACTCATTTTCTCTGGCACTCATCAGTGCGCGATTGCCTATCCGGAAGTTACTCAACTTCTAAATTCCATTTCTTGGATATTCGGTACCGTGTGGGAGGTCCTCGCACTATGTCTCGCAATCTGGATTGCTGTAAAACACTTCCGTGAACTACAACGACATTCGACGGGAGGGTTTATCGAGGACTGTTTCACAGTGTTGATGAAAACTCACTTAGTTTACTCTGCGAGGCAAGCTCATATTGTGATTGTGATTCCTTTTTTTTACTGAAGGGTCCGATATGGTAGCTTTGTTGCTGTTTCTTGCTCCCATATCATTTTTGATTTCTCTCCCACACTGATCTCAACGGTATGTTAATCTTTCACTTCTGTATGCGACCACGATCCATCATTCCTATAGGGCCAACAATCCATAGGCGCTCAGACTTTGTACGGCTTTCTTCAAATTTTAGAGGTCGTGCACACGTCTGTGCTAGGACCACGCCTGATCCTTGGCATTCGAGAATATAACGCCAAGCTCGTGGCCGACTCTGACGCAGCAACAGGCATGACCTCGATCGCTTTTCAAGAACGCGTGCATATATCAACTAGCAGTAGTGTGTGATGCTCGGTGAAGTTAACGGTTGTCTAGTGCTCTGCAAGGAGCAGGGGAACTTGCTTTTATTTATTCCCACTTTCGTGATAGTATTGATTAAGCTTATTTAGTGCTCTGAAGTAGATTTCGAGACATAGGTCTGGGCAAAGTTTTCGTCGTATATTTAGTTAAGATTCAAATCAGTTATTTAACTACCTGCCATTTCATATCCGAGATTTGCTATACGTGCTGACATTGTTTGCATAAATCGATATCCTAGATATCTCTACTGGCACGAGCTGTCCACCCACGCTTGCACCAACTACTGATCCGATCCTGCATTATGATACAAGTTCAAACTATGACGAACCTAATGTGAAAATCGCCGCTTGCCTCATCTTCACGCGCTTAATAGTTAACGTCCTGCTCAATCAGCGCGACGGCTCTTGAAGAGCGAGGCTTAATGGAACACTTGAATGGTTTGGGGTGGCTAGAAGGACATGCATCCAGATCAGCGCCGGACGTGATCAGATGTATGACATACCTGATTGTGCCTGACAATGGATCAACCTCAGGGGTAATCTCAATACCGTTCTCGACGGCCTTCGAGATATCGAACACGGCCAGTGACATCGCAGCGGACAACCAGACCGAGGCTTCAGCGAGGTAAATACCTGTAAACGAAAATGAATACAACGTCAGAATATAATCTGAGAGTCGGATATACCTGGACAAATACTGCAGAGCAGAAAGTTAGCATGGCACAAAACCTTACCGCATGCTTACCGTCTTCCAAAACCGAAGCAGATCGTGCGTGGATCTGTCTCAGGCTCCTTGCCTAAAAAGCGTTCAGGATTGAATTGCGAAGGGTTAGCATATCTCTTCGGGTCATTCAGCATGAACCTGCCATTATATTTTGTTCAAACATCGAATATGAGAATAAAGAATATACTAACCAGATGTTAGTCATGACCATGGAACCTTTTGGGATGTAGTACCCGTCATGGATGTCGTCCTTAGAGACGCAGTGGGCAAAACCTGACATTGAAACACGCTCGGCAACTCAATAATGCGTCAAATGAAACACACAAACCGGTAGGGATAACAGAATGCCATCGTAAGGCCTCTTTAACAAGCGCTCCGATGTAGGGGAGTGTGTCTTGGTCGTCGAAGGAGGGAAGACGATCAGGACCGATGACAGCATCTATTTCAGCCTGAGCCTTCTTCTGCACGTCAGGGAACAGCGTCATAGCTAGGAAGAACGCATTGATAGTAGAGACAGTCTGGGAAAAAGTGTACCGCTCTCAGAAGATGATTGTCAGAAATATGGGGGAGGGACCAACAGTGTCGGAACCGCCGGAGTATAGGGTTGCAGCAGACCATTTCACGATGTGCTCGTCTTCCGCTGACAAACTACCACCTCTCAACAGATTCGATGTGAAAGACTCCGGGGCAGTGCCAGCAGCCTGTGTAAGTTAAACTTCAACGCATACTCACAGAGTTATAAATGATTGTTACCATCTGATCCACGACGAAATTGTATGGTGCACAAACCAATTCTTCAAGGTTGTCGTGCCATTTGCGGGCCAGACGTTTGAAGCCAGCACCAGGGAACCATTCGGGGACCTTGATCACTAAAAGTGGTGAGGCCATTGGAAGCAAACGTCTGAATGCTGTGGCTTACAGAATGGCACAACATCAGCCATGAAAGCCCCAGGAGCGGTGGCACGCGACCACTGATCCAGAACGCGTTCCGCAAGGTCAACGAAGGGATCGTCGTTCTCTTTCACCTCGTACCCATGAGAGATGCGCAGAATCACAGCGCCAGCGGTGCTATAAAGATCAAGATCGTGTCAATGCAATGATAAATGATACGTACTGTCGAACATGCGCCTGCAGTTGATCGGGTTTCGCGAGCACACGCTTGAGGAACCGGTGAGTCTCGACCTCCTCGACCTGGTTGTATATGGCCACAGCGGCGCGGGTGCCAATGACGCTGTGGAAATTTTTGCGGTGCCGGCGCAGATGGTCGCCATAAGGGAGGAGGGTCATGACGTTCTTCCAGCCAATAAGTTCGCCGCCAACAGGAAGAATAGGACGGTCAGAGTAAATAGCGCTCTTGTTGTCCAGCATGTCTATCGCGATCTTGACAGAGTTCACCACTACGATGTGTTGACCGAGAACATTAATATGCGAAATGTCACCTGTTGACAAGACGTTGAAATGCAAGATTGTGTGAAACAAGAGACACTCACCATACTTTTCGCCCCATTCCGTGAAGGTGAGCCAGGGCCTGATGTAGGGCATGTCCAGGACGTTCCCAATGATAGGCCACCCTGGAGGACCAGGGGGATATGGAGGGTTCTTCTTATTGAAGACTTGCTTAAGCAAATATACTCCGACACAAGCAAGGCATAGGTCGAGCGCAGTGACGTTGGTGAGAGCCAACATGATCTAGTACTAGGAGAGGACGATCAACTCGAGAGTGGGGTTATAGTGAAGATTTGCAGGACGATATGAAAAGATTCCTATACTGACCATCTTATTTATAACTGAACTTAAGCTTGGGCCCGTCACGAGGCTTGATTATTTTGAAAAAGTCAGGATGGAAAAGATCATCAATCTCAGTGGAAACCTACATCAAGCATCATGATAAGACTCGGAGCTGAGCGCTGAGCGCTCAGCGCTCATTACCGAGTACTGTTTCGTACATTGCACTGTCACCTGTCGCTAACGACCGCCCGCCTGGTGGCGAATTTCTCGCTACCACCAGGGAGTGGGTGTTACAGTGGGACACGTCCGGAAAATGGCCACTCTAGGGCTAATCTACATATTCAAGTTAGTAGACTCATGGGCCAAAGCCTGTATTGGAGGCTAATCAGTTGACAATCGTACGTCTTCATTTAGACATTGGCAGCATATGTCAGTTGCGTCATATTTCTTGTTATCATCTTGCACCATGTGCTATGTACTTCACCTTCGACACTCAGCCACAGATCTGCCATGCTCGTATATTGGCAGTAGCGCCGTTTCGCGTCGTGACACCTCAGCGTCGTCCTAAACACACGCTGAGACTCATCTTGTTCTAGTTCTCACCAGTCTGGGACTACTAAACCAGTCTGTCTATGAGGCGAGCCGTCGCTGGAGTCTACGCATAGGGCTAGGGGGCTTTGGTGCTTCGGGCTGAGTTGAAGCGGCAGTATCGGATCTCTGTCGTGCATGGTGTGTAGTAGTAGCTTATTGAAGTTACCGTACCAGGCTATGCCAGTGACAAGGCCCACAAAGGGTTTTTCGATCTTAGACTCTTGGGTTCTGCTTTCGCAGATGTTATGGGTATGTGTGTCAAAGAGTGCGAGTGCTTCTTGAAGAATCCAGTGACGTTCTGATGTTTGAGTTTTATTTTTCCCTGTGGTGTCACATGCATATTGTGCTCACGTGATCAACATGTTTTGGCACACGTGCCAACTGTTTATCAAGTCATCACCTCTCTCCTGTGACAGCCTGAGTGTTCCCCACTAGTTTCATCTGCAAATCGATCATCTTCACCCATTGCAGAGTATGCACGGTCAACAGCATGGAACAGGAAAATATGTACAGTTGTATCGCGATGTGATAGCCGATCCTGCGTTATGATACAATGTTGAAACTATGACGGACCTAGATGTCAGGTGTGAAAATCGCCGCTTGCCTCAGCTCTGTGATTCATATTCTCGTGCTCAATATTCAACGTCCTGTTCAATGAGCGCGACGGCTCTTGAAGAGCGAGGTTCAATAGAACACTTGAAAGGTTTAAGGTGGCTAGAAGGATATACATCCGGATCAGCGCCGGACGCGATCAGATATCCAACATACCTGATTGTGCCTGATAACGGATCGACCTCAGGGGTGATCTCAATACCGTTCTCGACGACCTTCGAGATATCGAACATGGCCAGTGACATCACAGCGGACAACCAGACCGAGGCTTCAGCGAGATGAATACCTGTAAACGAAAATCAACTGAACGTCAGAATACAGTTTGGGAGCCGGGCATACCTGGACAAATACTGCAGAGCAGAAAGTTAGCATGGCACAAAAACCTGCTGCATGCTTACCGTCTTCCAAAACCAAAGCAGATCGTGCGTGGGTCTGCCTCAAGCTCCTTGCCTAAAAAGCGTTCAGGATTGAATTGCGAAGGGTTAGCATAGTTCTTCGGGTCGTTCATCATGAACCTGCCATCATATTCTGTTCAAACGTTGGGTACGGAAAAAAGAGGTACCGACCAGATGTTAGTCATTATCAAGGAACCTTTTGGGATGCAGTACCCGTCATAGATGTCGTCCTTAGAGACGCAGTGGGCAAAACCTGACATTGAAATATCGCTCGGCAACTCAATAATGCGTTAAATGAAATACACAAACCGGTAGGAATAACAGCATCCCATCGTAGGGTCTCTCTCCGATGTAGGGGAGATAATCTTGGTCGGCGAAGGAGGGAAGACGATCAGGACCGACGACAGCATCTATTTCAGCCTGAGCCTTCTTCTGCACGTCAGGGAATAGCGTCATAGCTAGGAAGAACGCATTGATAGTAGAGACAGTCTGGGAAAAGTGTGCCGCTCTCAGAAGATGATTGTTAGAAATATAGAGCGAGGGACCAACTGTGTCAGAAGCACCGGCGTCTAGGGCTGCAGCAGACCATTTCACGATGTGCTTGTCTTCAGCTGACAAACTACCGCTTCTCAACAGATTCGATGTGAAAGACTCCGGGGCAGTGCCAGCAGCCTGTGGAAGTCAAACCTTAACGCACACTCACAGAATTATAAATGATTGTCACCATCTGATCCACGACGAACTTGTGTGGTGCACAAACCAATTCTTCAAGGTCATCGTGCCATTCGTGGGCCAGACGCTTGAAGCCAGCACCAGGGAACCATTCGGGGACCTTGATCACTGAAAGTGGTGAGGCCATTGGAAGCAAACGTCTGAATGATATGGCTTACAGAATGGCACAACATCAGCCAGGAAAGCCCCAGGAGCGGTGACATGCGACCACTGGGCCATAACGCGGTCTGCAAGGTCGACGAAGGGATCGTCGTTCTCTTTCCCCTCGTACCCATGAGAGATGCGCAGAATCATAGCGCCAGCGGTGCTATAAAAATCAAGATCGTGTTGGTGCAAAGATACATGATACGTACTGTCGAACATGCGCCTGCAGTTGATCGGGTTTCGCGAGCACATGCTTGAGGAACCGGTGAGTCTCGACCTCCACGACCTGGTTGTATATGGACACAGCGGCGCGGGTGCCAATGACGCCGTGGAAATTTTTGCGGTGCCGGCGCAGCTGGTCGCCATAAGGGAGGAGAACCATAACGTTCTTCCAGCCAATAAGTTCGCCGCCAACAGGAAGAGTAGGACGGTCAGAGTAAATGGTGCTCTTGTTGTCCAGCATGTCCATCGCAGTCTTGACAGAGTTCACCACTACGATGTGTTGACCGAGAACATTAATATGCGAAATGTCACCTGTCGACAAAACGTTGAAATGCAAGGTTGTGTGAAACAAGAGACACTCACCATACTTATTACCCCAATCTGTGAAGGTGAGCCAGGGCCTGATGTAGGGCATGTCCAGGACGTTCCCAATGATAGGCCACCCTGGAGGACCAGGGGGATATGGAGGGTTCTTCTTATTGAAGACTTGCTTAAGCAAATATACTCCGACACAAGCAAGGCATAGGTCGAGCGCAGTGACGTTGGTGAGAGCCAACATGATCTAGTACTAGGAGAGGAAGATCAACTCGAAAGTGGGGTTGTAGTAGAGCTTGCAGGATGAAATCAAAGAAGTCCTATACTGACCACCTTATTTATAGCTCTCGGGCCCGTCACGAGGCTGCCCTACCTGAAAAAAGTACGGATAGGAAATCAATACCTCCATCAAGCATTAGTGATAAGACTCGGAGGTCATACCAAGTACCGTTTCGTACATTGCACTGTCACTAGTACTGTTGAAGTTAATACCGTCCGGGGGCGAATTTTTCGCTACCGTCAGATAGTGGGTGTTACAGTGGGACTCGTCCGGTAGATGGCCGCTGAGGCCAACCTACGTATTAGCAGACTCTTGGACCAAAGTCTAAGACTGATAACTAGACTGTGTATGAGGCGAGCCGTCGTTGCAGTCTGTAGATGTGGCTAGGGAGCTTTGGTGCTGAGTTTAAACGGTGGTGATCGCCGTCGTGTCACGGTGTAGTAGCTTATTACCATACTTACTATGATGGCAGTGACGAGCTCGCCCGCAAAGGGTGAATCTTGAAGATCTTGAAGCTTGATTTTCAACGGCTGACGTTCTGCAAGCCGACGAGTCGGAAAAGAATACAGACAGCATGTGGTCCAGAGATAGAGATCTTCAAATATCTGACCTGCCAGAACGGCCTCGGGAAGCACGCTGCACAGCAGAGCCGGCATGTGTTCTTTTCTCCTTGAGAGAACGTGTCCCCTTCGTATCAGGACCTCTAAATCCTGCATGTCGTCTCCACGTTCCATAAGATACTTCGCACAGCTGTCCCTTGCATAATCTTTCGCAATCGCAGTGATATTTTTTGGTGTCGTCTGCAGAGGAGTGTGGAATCTTGGGTGCTTTGGGCATGGTGTGGACAAAGGTATGTCTTGCTGACACGAGACGCTGACAGAACGCAAGTCACAGATAAGTTTTGTGACCTGCGCTTTACCTGCGTTTCGTGTGTTAGAGTAAACAGAGCAAATCGTGATAAAAATGATAAATGACTTTGACAAAATAGCGAAACAGAAACAAGTCACGTGACAAGAAGGTGAAATCAACGAAGTTGGTTTTCTATTTTTCGGAATGAGCATATTTCACGTTCTATCACGATCGATCTCGTCTGACCAGGTTCCGCAAATTATCCTCACGTCTGGCCACTGTCAGTCACGCTCCATCACTTGTAGGTTTTCACTGGGAAAGTTAAAATGCTATCAAAACAATGAATAAACGCTAGCATTCCAGTGTGCCGCACTGTGAACTGTGTGGTGCGAAGATGCACGTGACTATGCTGTGCGTCAACACGCTGAAAAACTGGACCTTCGTAAGTTCGTATCGCCCATGTCATACATGATTATCTTCGTTTTCCCTTCTCCTTCAACTCTGGTCTCCTCTCATTGACTATTGCACTTTTCGGTTTCAGCTTCCCTAGTATTTCACGGTTGAATACCTCGGCTGCCGTGACGGGTCTCCAGTGTGACCTGAACCACCCCATCAATGCCTTTCGTACCATGGCACGGATCACACTCACAGACTGGTCATGCATGCCAGATGGTTGTCGCTACCCCTTAGCGAGATCGTCTCATCACCAGTCCTTTGTTCATGCCCACGAATGCCTCCCCTGGGCGTGGATCTTGGCACGAGAAACCCTATTTAATGTCGATTGCACAATTGTGCCCACTGATCAGTTTCACCTGCTTGAGGGACATATCAGCATGCTTCATATTCTGAACAGTTCTCCACGGCTTGCTTCGTCCTTCCCGAGCGTTGCCTTGCCATCACTGACACGAAATGGTTTCACGCAGCTCTCTCACTTCGGATCTTGGTCTGCACAAAATACCGCCTCGCCTTTCCGTTTTGAGCCTGCGCATGACCTGACGACTGAACTGTCCGCCGCCGCACCATCGCTACGGCGTCATCTCCCTTCGTTGATATCTTGGCTGAGACATCTCTGCCTCAGCACGCTACTGAATGGATCATGCGGTGAAACACTGGCCATCGCTCGTCCTCTGCGACGCTTGCATGCTGAAGAGAAGAAAATCATAGCATTGTCATCCTTACATACCGCTCCCACGAACTCCTTCTCTCAACAACATCCCTTTGCTGCCTCGGACGCATCAATGCTCCCATCACCAGCATCACTTTTCCAGAGCCGGTCAGTTACGTCTGCAGCAGCGACACCCAATAGTCAGGTGGTAGTCTCACTGGCGAGTTATGGAACGTCAGCAGGGATCCTGCATAGCGAGTTACTGGGCATCATAGCCGCTATTTTACTGTCTATTCACGCTAACCCACAAGAACCCTACTCCGTTTTGACAGATCACATAAATGCAGTCCACATGCTACAAGACGTTCTTCCCGGTGCTCTACCCCACATCTGGAACAATCAGCCAGCGCGTTCCTTATACCGCTGGTTGTTTTCACTTCTACACTCTCCAACACCCGCGCCCTCACTCGTCTGGAATGCTGCTCATACCAACGGCCTGACGCCAGAATGTCTCGCCAACGATTATATTGATCGGATGGCCTCATTTGCGCAAGAACGACGTGGTGTTATTCCCCTCTGCGCCCCTGACAACTTTCTCGATGGATGATTACACTATGTTTGCATCGGGTTATGGTTTTGTTGAAAACAACTTGTCCTCTTTCCTCATTTCTAGGCTGGAAGATTTTTATGCGTCGAGGAACTTCTTTCGTCCAGCGCGAGCGCTGACTGTTGCACTATATGACAGTCATCGCCTGCCGGACTTCCCATACACCCGAGCATCTAGCTCCTTCTCTGCCGTTGTACAATTGTATGCCCGATCATCACAACTTGATACCGCAGAAGTGTGACATCGGCGTTTTCGTGATACGCCGCCCTGGTGTCATTTCGGTTGTGATGCTTTTGAGAGCGTGCACCATATTGTTGCTCGCTGCCCGGCCTTCCTGGCTATCCGTCGTGCGCATAGCATGCAACTCTGTGATGAGACCTCTTCGTTACTCGACGGCAAGGTTGCCGATCGTGTGCGAGAGGCTTTGGAAAGAGCGGCTCAGCGCGTATTTTTTGACGACGCGGGGCTTTGGCCACAATATTAGACGCGTTTTTACGTGGGTGTGCTACCCCCACTTGCGCGTATTGTGGGCAACATAAGTGAGACAGAAGTGAGTGTCTTACCCCCACAGTCTCATGATATGGGCAATATTGCGTCTAGTTGAGCCCAGCTTCGAAGATTTCGGCTGTCCAGTTGACTAGCTTAAGTACCTACATGAAATGTCTTGACATAGTACTAGTATGGTATCGCGTACTTGATGTTGTGTATCGCGCAGTTTATTAAAGTGGCATTTGGAGCGTCATACGCTTGCACCAACTACTGATCCGACCCTGCATTATGATACAAGTTCTAAACTATGACGAACCTAGACGTCAGGTGTGAAAATTGCCGCTTGCCTCAGCTCTGTGATTCATCTTCACGCGCTTAATAGTTAACGTCCTGCTCAATCAGCGCGACGGCTCTTGAAGAGCGAGGCTTAATGGAACACTTGAAGGGTTTGGGGTGGCTAGAAGGATATATATCCAGATCAGCGCCGGACGTGATCAGATGTATAATATACCTGATTGTGCCTGACAATGGATCAACCTCAGGGATGATCTCAATACCGTTCTCGACGGCCTTCGAGATATCGAACACGGCCAGTGAGATTACGGCGGACAACCAGACCGAAGCTTCAGCGAGGTAAATACCTGTAAACGAAAATGAATTCAACATCAGAATATAATTTGGGAGTCGGGTATACCTGGACAAATACTGCAGAGCAGAAAGTTAGCCTGGCACAAAGCCCTATTGCATGCTTACCGTCGTCCAAAACCGAAGCAGATCGTGCGTGGGTCTGTCTCAGGCTCCTTGCCTAAAAAGCGTTCAGGATTGAATTGCGAAGGGTTAGCATATCTCTTCGGGTCGTTCATCATGAACCTGCCATCATATTCTGTTCAAACGTTGGGTACGGAAAAAAGAGGTACCGACCAGATGTTAGTCATTATCAAGGAACCTTTTGGGATGTAGTACCCGTCATGGATGTCGTCCTGAGAGACGCAGTGGGCAAAACCTGACATTGAAATACCGCTCGGCAACTCAACAATGCGTTCAATGAAACACACAAACCGGTAGGAATAACAGAATGCCATCGTAGGGTCTCTTTAACAAGCGCTCCGATGTAGGGGAGATAGTCTTGGTCGGCGAAGGAGGGAAGACGATCAGGACCGATAATAGCATCTATTTCAGCCTGAGCCTTCTTCTGCACGTCAGGGAATAGCGTCATAGCTAGGAAGAATGCATCGATAGTAGCAACAGTCTGGGAAAAAGTGTACCGCTCTCAGAAAATGATTGTCAGAAATATAGAGCGAGGGACCAACCGTGTCAAAAGCACCGGCGTATAGGGCTGCAGCAGACCATTTCACGATGTGCTCGTCTTCCGCTGACAAACTACCGCCTCTCAACAGATTCGAGGTGAAAGACTCCGGGGCAATGCCAGCAGCCTGTGAAAGTCAAACTTTACCGCATACTTGAAGAATTATAGAAGATTGTCACCATCTGATCCACGACGAACTTATGCGGTGCACAAACCAATTCTTCGAGGTTGTCGCGCCATTCGCGGGCCAGACGCTTGAAGCCAGCACCAGGGAACCATTCGGGGACCTTGATCACTAAAAGTGGTGAGGCCATTGGAAGCAAACGTCTGAATGATATGGCTTACAGAATGGCACAACATCAGCCAGGAAAGCCCCAGGAGCGGTGGCAAGCGACCACTGGGCCATAACGCGGTCTGCAAGGTCGACGAAGGGATCGTCGTTCTCTTTCACCTCGTACCCATGAGAGATGCGCAGAATCACAGCGCCAGCGGTGCTATAAAAATCAAGAACATGTCGATGCAATGATAAATGATACGTACTGTCGAACATGCGCCTGCAGTTGATCGGGTCTCGCGAGCACACGCTTGAGGAATCGGTGAGTCTCGACCTCCCCGACCTGGTTGTATATGGCCACAGCAGCGCGGGTGCCAATGACGCCGTGGAAATTTTTGCGGTGCAGGCGCAGCTGGTCGCCATAAGGGAGGAGAACCATAACATTCTTCCAGCCAATAAGTTCGCCGCCAACAGGAAGAATAGGACGGTCGGAGTAAATGGTGCTCTTGTTGTCCAGCATGTCCATCGCAGTCTTGACAGAGTTCACCACTACGATGTGTCGACCGAGAACATTAATATGCGAAATGTCACCTGTCGACAAGACGTTGAAATGCAAGGTTGTGTGAAACAAGAGACACTCACCATACTTATTACCCCAATCTGTGAAGGTGAGCCAGGGCCTGATGTATGGCATGTCCAGGACGTTCCCAATGATAGGCCACCCCGGAGGACCAGGGGGATATGGAGGATTCTTCTTATTGAAGACCTGCTTAAGCAAATATACTCCGACACAAGCAAGGCATAGGTCGAGCGCAGTGACGTTGGTGAGAGCCAACATGATCTAGTACTAGGAGAGTAAGATCCACTCGAAAATGGGGTTGTAGTGGAGCTTGCAGGATGAAATCAAAGAAGTCTTATACTGACCATCTTATTTATAACTCTTGGACCCGTCACGAGGCTGCCCTATTTGAAAAAAGTACGGATAGGAAATCAATACCTACGTCAAGCATGAGTGATAAGGCTCGGAGGTCAATATACCTGTCAATACCAAGTACCGTTTCGTACATTGCACTGTCACCTGTTGAAGTTAATACCGCCCGCGTGGTGGCGAATTTTTCGCTACCGTTAGATAGTGGGTGTTACAGTAGGACTCATCCGGTAGATGGCCACTGAGACCAACCTACGTAGTAGTAGACTCTTGGACCAAAGTCTTAGACTGATAACCAGTCTGTCTATGAGGCGAGCCGTCGTTGCAGTCTGTAGATGGGGCTAGGGAGCTTCGGTGCTGAGTTTGAACGGTGGTGATCTCCGTCGTGCACGGTGTAGCTTATTACCATACTTACTGTGATGGCAGTGACGAGCTCGCCCGCAAAGGGCTTTTCGATCTCAGACTCTCACTTTCTGCTTATGCCGATGCATAGGTTTGTATGTGTCCCAGCACAGACTGCATTTTGAATCTCGAAGATCTTGAAGCTTGAAGCTTGATTTTCGACTGACGTTCTGCAAGCCGACGAGTCGGAAAATAATACTGATAGCATGAGGTTCGGAACCGTTCGGAACGGTCCAAGAACTGATGGAGAACCAAGCCAGAAAAAACAGTTTAACCGAGAACCCGGATTATGACTTCGGTTCGGTTACGTTCAATGGTGTTGCTCAACTTGCTGTTTGCAATGATGTTGATATCGTGCTCACGTGATCAGTATGCAAACACGAAATGCCAACTATCTATATTCATCAACTCTTTTCTGTGGCAGTATCATTCCCCAGTACCGTACACTCCTCTAGCTATATATACTTTCATTTCTCCGCCAACTAAAATCACAAAAAAACTGTCGCTGGTGTTATTCGCAAAGAAGATCATCGAAACATTTTTGATTACACGGATGTCTCACTGCCCACATCCGATACTATCCCCAGTCCCTCGACCCCATGTTCTTGAATGGCTTTTGACTGATATCAATGGCCTCTCTCTCATGGAGATATACTGGGAGGGGTGCGCATAAGAGTCCTCACATCATTTTCCAGGTAAATTCCAAAGAGGATATGAAGACCGTGCACCACCTATCATTGCGCGAATGGTTCCGTATTCGCAATCTCGGTGGACGGCTTCCCATTGCGTCCAGAGGTCACCAGCGCAAAAGTCTCTCGCAGTTTTTAAAAAAATAAAAATCAACCGGATATCCCTTCGCAACCGTAGACTAAAGTGAGCATACTTATTTCACGTCTACCTACACGCCAAGTAGAGCGCCGTTTCACATCGTGAAAAACGCAGGTCACTTTGCAAAAACTTCCTGTTGTGTCTTCGGGCGCCGGTTCCCAGCACTTCTGTTAGAACCGGTCATCTCGGTGACGCAATACATTCAGCAACGCCAAAACTGGAGTGAGAAGTCAGCAGCTTACTCCATGAAGTTGTTTGGGCGCAGTCATCGCAAAATAACGGAATTCAATAGGACTACTCCTTGAAGAAAAACGGTACCAGGACGATAAAGAGACGAGTGGCTTCCAATCCCTCGGAGGACCCTACTATTTCTGTGGGCATGAAAAATACGCGGTACCTGGTGGCCCACCTCTCCCATAGACACACCAATAGAAGGACGCAATAGCCATTCCTTATGTCAAGCCCATATGTCCTCACCTGAACAAATTGCGGCACAAGTTATGTTGACGGCACTAGTACTGAAGGAACATTCCCAATTTCCCATACCATACCTGCCTCTACTGTTACTCCGGCGCCGCCAAATTTGACTCTAGAAAAAGCAACACGCACGTCGCACATAGGCACAAGGTTAGGGTTACCCGGGAAGCTGGCGATCTCAAGATCGCATCCGTAGCCCTGCCACTTACATCAGCTACTCAACTGCGCATAACTCAAATCGAGCAGGCGGGCGTTTTCGTGAAGCACGGCGGATGAGTTTTCTAAAACTTATCAGGGTCGGTCGTGATTGAGGCCGAGATCATCCCACTAGTAGGCGCTCGGACGAATACAACTGGCAATGGCAAAACATCAGAGACCGATCCAAAAGCCTCTTCTGCTTCTTCACAAGGGTTGCGACTACACGGGTGAACTTTCGGAGGTGACATCGGGGTTGATCGGTTCACTGATGACGGTGTGAGATGGTGCATTCGGACTGGGAGAAGTTCGATGAGTGTGAGATGGTGCGTTCGGACTCGGAGAAGTTCGACGGGTGTGAGATGGTACACTCAGAAGAAGTTCGGCGGTCTGCCACGAGCTGTTAGAGTTTAAGTCGGAAGAACACTTGCTTGAGGCACGTGAACTTAAGGTGTCAGACAGGCTCGTTGTTAATCACTCGTACTCACTACCATGTGCATTTGTCGGTAAGTCAAGTGTCGTCATTATTAACATCGCATTGGCAGGTAGCAGTCAAGCAAGTTGTCAGACAGACCGTGTACGCTGTTGGTAGGCAATGGATGTTGAAGTCCTTATTTCTAGCACGCATCCATTGTCAGAACATTGCAGCGAAGGCACTGGGCAGCGACCGGTTAACCACGTGGATACCTAAACTACGGCAAATTCACAGAAATATCATTCGCACATTGTAGATTATTCCAACAAGATGAAGTAAGATGTCATAAATATACGATATCGAAATACACGACCAATCATCTTGCACATCCTCTGAGTGCAAGATACAAAATATGACGCACTGTCAGATGAAGTTGCAACCCAAGGCAACGGATGTATCCCTGCGTTGTTCTCCGGGTATCTCTCCGAGGTACTAAGCATCTTCCTGGATGAGCGCAAGGGACTGAGCAGAACGGGGCTTGATAGAGCACTTGAAAGGCTTGGGGTGGCTAGGAGTGTGTTTGTCTAAACCAGCATGGCAAACCACAGCGAGCGTGACATACCTGATTGTACCTGATGAGGGGTCAATCTCAGGGGTGATCTCGACACCATTCTCAACAACCTTGGAGATATCAAATACGGCAAGCGACATAGCGGCAGACATCCAGACAGATGCATCGGCGAGGTGGAGCCCTACGTAAGCGACGTCAGAAATGTCCTGAGGATCGGCACCCTCTTTCAGCCAACTAACCTGGGCAGATACTGCGGAGCAGAACGTCAGCGGTTTGTTTCCGAATAACAACTCAAGGCCTACCGTCTACCAAACCCGAAGCAGATTGTGCGAGGATCGGTCTCAGGCTCCTTTCCTTCCTTGGCCAAGAAGCGTTCAGGGTTGAACTCCGAGGGGTTGGCATATGTCCGAGGATCATTAAGCATAAACCTGCCGCAAATTCAATCTTGTCAATATGACGAATACAGGAGGATAGTACTAACCAAACGTTGGGTATGATCAAGGAGCCCTTGGGAATGTAGTACCCATCATGGATGTCGTCTTCAATAACACGGTGAGCAACGGCTGTCATTAAGATATCCCCTTGTCAACGATAGAACGCTATCAACAAAATACACAAACCGGTAGGGACGACGGCGTTCCAACGTAGAACTTCCTTTGCGAGTGCCTCAGTGTAGGGGAGGGAGTCGCGGTCCCTGAAGGAGGGAAGACGATCAGGACCAACGACGGCATCGATTTCAGCTTGAGCCTTCTTCTGCGCGTCGGGGAAGAGTGTCATCGCCAGGAAAAACGAATATATTGCCGAAACCGTCTGAAGAAGGCATGAGTCTCAAAACGTCATATTTGAAAATATGATGGTCGTTTCTAACCGTGTCGGCACCACCAGAGTACAAGGATGCAGCGGACCACTTCACGATGTGTTCCTCTTCGGCAGACAAAATACGGTCTTCTAACAGATTCGAGGTAAAGGATTTCGGAGCAATACCAGCAGCCTGTAGAATTGAAACTTCAACTCCTAATCAGAAAACTACGAATGTTAGTCACCATCTGATCCTTGACAAATTTGTAGGGTGCAGCGACCATCTCTTCGAGGGTCTCGTGCCATTCGCGTGCTACGTGCTTGAAACCAGCACCAGGGACCCACTCGGGTACCTTAGCCACTACAGACAGTCAGGATTTGGAAGCAATAGTCAGAATGCTATAGCCTCACGGGATGGGATGATGTCAACCATCCAGGCACCAGTAGCGGTGGATTTGGAGAATTGATCTACAGCAAGGTCCGCAAGGTCGACGAAAGGGTCGTTGTGCTCCTTGACTTCATAGCCATGAGAGATACGCAGAATGATGGCGCCAGCGGTACTATTCAAATTCAGAAATCAAACATCAAGTATGAATAAGGATAGACAGCACATACTGCCGCACGTGTGCCTGGAGTTGGTCCGGTTTCGCAAGTACACGCTGCAGGAATCGATGAGTCTCTATTTCCTCGATTGGTTGGTATATGTCCATGGCGGCGCGACTACCAATGACGTGATGGAAGTTTCTCCGGTACTCGCGTAGCCTGTCACCATAAGGGAGAAGAACGAGAGTGTTCTTCCAGCCAACGAGTTCACCGCCCATAGGTAGAACAGGACGATCAGAGTAGACGGAGCTCTTCTTTTCCAGCATTTCCACCGCAGCCTTGACAGAGTTCAGAACTATGACGTGCTGACCCAGAACCTCGACATGTGAGATGTCGCCTGAACAGAGTGGTTAAAATGCATGTTTTTTTGTGGTAGAACAGGAGACACCCACCATATTTCTTGCCCCACTCAGTGAAGGTGAGCCAAGGCTTGACCTGAGGCATGTCTGGAATATTCCCGATGAGAGGACGGCCGGGGGGACCAGGGGGGTATGGTGCGGGATTCTTCTGGGTGAATACCTGCTTTACGAGATACACGCCGACGCCAGCAAGACCAATGTCTAGCCAGGTAATGTCAGTGAGTGTCAACATGGCAGTGAAGGAGATAAGATATTTTCAATGACGAGTTGAAAAAGGGAGGGTACTTGAGCAAGTATGGAAGTTTGGACCTGACGGTGCAGGATGATATAGTATTTGCGTATAGGACCTTCCTCATTTTGTCGCAATCTTCTGGAAGCGCGAGAGCAGCTGATAATGGATGGTCGTAACAGTAGTCGTAACATACGCGTAAGGTGCTTGTCAACCGGATAATAAATTGGGACAACCTTCAGGCACCCGCGGGACATATTTGACGCTGGACATCTCTCACGGACAATGCCTGCCTATTCCTACTTAGTCTCCTCCTCGTGGTCTTCTTAGTGCATACAAAGGGCGCCATCCAACTGACTCTTCAGGGTCGTACAACAATTTATCATACCACATGTTTCATACTTAGATCTTGGAGAAATATAATAGATCTTGCCGCAAAATAACATTACGATGCAAATCCGTGTATTAATATTCCTCAAAATGCAATGCTCTAGACGGTGATCCCATGCGCCGCAGGGATAGAGTAGCTATAGTTCTTCCAATGACCAGATTGGTGCAGATCATACGTTACAATGCAAAAAGAACGATTGACACCAAAGTATGGGGTGGTACATTCTGTGCTTCTCATCGCCCTCGTGGCACTCATGTCCGAACCGACTAAACTGCCTGAGCACTTTTAAGTTCCGTTGCAGATGAGTACTGCCGTTCATGCGGATCAGCGATAGATCGCGGCCCCGGTAAGAAAAAGAGAACTAACCTCATCCCGAACGTACTCCTGCGTGGTATCAATTTTAATTGAGATGTTATTCGGAATGCGCTGATATGATTCGATCATAGGTGAGCCAAGCCCTTGTGCAAAAAAAAAAAAAATTCTCACAACTTACCTTTTGCGCGGTACCAGTGCTAGAGCTTTTCTGGATGCCCTGAAGTGAGAGCGACATATTTTCATCTCGGGTATCACCACGAAGACTCTTGCGTGCGTTAAGGGTTGCCAGTAGGGAGTTGCAGTAAACTGAAAAAAAAAACAATGTTGTCAATCTCGTGAATTTCATATTGCGGTTGAACGGTACTTACGACGGCCCAAGCAGAAATAAAATGCAATGTAAATGAAAGTACCATCCCACACCGTAATCTGCGCCACATTTCGGTCAGAAGCGCAACACCAAGCCATTTACGATCTGCTACGTACAGAAATGAGTGACATGACAGCGCAAATGCTGGTGAGGAGACCGGTGTTGATGCTGAACAGAATCAGCTTATTGATCATGGTATCGGACCTCCGGAATCCAGTGCGAGATTGTTGAAGGAGTGTGCAGAGTAATACAGCGATAAGGACATCTCCAGCAGCCGCCAAAGCGTTCACAGACATGGACAATGGTTTGAGCGCAGTTAGTTCCGCGAACGTCGTCATATTGATACTAGAGGTGGTTTCCATTAGCCAGAATGCTTGATGTATTCTTACACGACTCACGCCTTTGCAACGTATACTTTAGATATCATATTAGTGGACTAATTCCTGAAAGAAAGAAGCGCACACTCACTGACAACGAGGAGGAATTCACCAATAACAAGGGTCATCACAGCCATGGTTGCAACCAAACTCTTGTTGCTTACTGGCTGAAAGTAAGCAAACGCTCGCTGGTGGATAAATGTGACACATACGTCTGTATACACGCATGGTAAGGAAGCTGGCAGGACGAGAGTCAGCGCGATACGTTCTTTTCGGAAAGGCCTCACACCGACCTTTGAACCAAAAGTGCTGTGAAGCCATTGAATAAGACTTCGATCTGTCAGGTTTGTTCAAATAAGAACCACAGACTGATGATACGCAACTTACAATCAGACTCCAGACCAATTTCCCGAGGTCAGCAGCGACGCCAAAGTCCGTTACAAGATAAGTATACACTATCAAAACGTGATGTTTAGCGCCAAGATGAACGTGGTTCGTATCTCACACTAACCTGTATGGGTAATCAGAGCTTGATGTACCGAGTCTGATAGAAGCACAGCGCCGACCTATATTAAAAAATCCCGTTTAATGGTGGAACATATTTAGGTCATGCTACGCGAACGTACCATGAGCTTGATGTACCACGGATCCGAGGGGTACCGGCTGTAGTAGTACCATGTCTGTACGCAGGTGACTTTGTGGAATCATAAACATTAGACGAAAGAGCGAACAGCGCATGAACATACCACCGTAGAGCCTGTAATATTCCAGTTCCCATTTAAACACATCGCTTGACTGAACAAATTTGAGCACCTACGTGGCAGAGACCACAACCCCAATTAAGAATGCTCCAAACCTGGACGGTGTTGTCAAGTCATTTGTATGTGGGGGATTTGAAGTATACGCACGTATTGTCAAGAACACCCATGGTGGAGATGTATATGTTTGAACGAATGCGGATAAGGGTGATGAAATACCTGGTGTAGAGGGGAGTGTCGGGTGGTAGCAACAGCTGGAACAACCTTTTGTATGATTAGATTCGGTGGCCAGCTGTTTTTGGAAGATGCCGTGAGGGCTGAAAAAATGGTGCGAAGTGACAGGCTTCCGTATAAAGCTGATGCTGACTTGATGGGCCGAACCGAATCACATGAGGCTCCCAACTTCGAAATCGCAAGTTGCCAGAATTTCCGCATTAGACGCAACTACTCTCTTCCTCCACAGACCTCGCCAGGACACTTCTCAGGGCTGCCAACTTCATTACATACTAATTCTTATGAGCATAAGCCCGACGAGAAGGTTTTTCATAATTGAACTTTGAAGTTCACACTCAGTAAGTAGTGCTAGTAGAATGAGCACGCACCATAACGACACCCTGAATAATCTATTCATTACCGATCAGTGCTCGATCAGCGCGCGCTCTCAAGTTAATTTTTTTTCAATTTCTGGGGTCTCTTCAACAGAAGGCTTCCGTTATGGTTGTGCGAAGGCATAAAAACTCATAGGAATCGCCGGTTTTCGTTCGGTCGTTCCATCGTTCTTCACTGAACTAGGAAGCGCGGTCATCCGATCCGGCCAGCTACAAATAGACAGTTTGCACACGAACACAACAAGACCTGTCTGCAGAAATCACCATGAGACAACTAAAAGGCACAAAGGGCAACTTACGACGTTGCCATCTTCCCAGTCTTATCAGTTTCATATTGCGTCGCGGAGCTCCAATGAAACGAACCAAGCTATAAGAAAATCCACAGCTCATGACGTTAGTCTTGGACATGAGAGCACATCAATCGATTGGTAGCAACAAAGAGCGAAGATTCGCACGTGCTCGCGTCAGGTACTGCTGGAGCCTACAGCAGCAGTTACATCAAAGTCGGCACGATAAGCTTGCCCAGCTCCCCTAGAACGGCCGAAGCTAACCCTGACAAGTTAACTTAATCGGCGCTTAATGCAGGTAATTTCAACGCGTACATGTTCTTGGAGATTTGGTGTTTTCTCCCATCAGACTAGTATGATGGATCATGAGAACATGGCACCAAGCTTCGTGGGTCGCAGTGAAATATTACTGTCAGCCAATCAAGTTCAATCCGATAGGCCCGTGACATGTTCACGGGGATGATACGTTTTGAACGGTATGTTCATGGAACAAAATTAGCTAGTCTACGAGTGTGCAAGTAGTCGGACGTAACGTTCTGATGTTCTGATAGTGAAAGTTGTCCGCGGTGGAACGGACTCGTATGAATCTATCTTCTAATTAGATCCCGACTCGTCGGGCGCTAGCAGTTGTACTTGAATCTTGATTATTCACAACGCTAGCACTAGTCTTGACTGGTAGCACTAGCTTCGATGACCAAGCTAAGGTTCAGAACAAAGTACTGAACAAAGAGCGACCCTCAATGTGCGGTGGCGTCGTCTTAATAACTTGAACAACTTGAAAATTTTGTCCGACGTGAATGGGATGGTACCCTGATACGCGCCAGCTGGGGGGCTTTAGCTCAGGGATCACCCCATAGAACAAAGGGGCACAATGTCTAATGGTAGCGGTAGCCATCAGGCAATCCGATGAGCTCATTCAGGGTAGTTAACTAGGAGGTGGTCCTGGATGAGGAACCTTACTAAGTGAAAATTTTGCAATTTGCAATTTGAAGGTTAGAGGCCGCTGCATAACACGACCAAATAACGCCTCCGGATCTGTACGTGTCAGAAATTTAGTCCAAATATACTAGGACTGAACACCATGGCAGTAAGCCTCCGACCCCATTTTTCAAACAGAAATTATACTCACCGAATTCTCAGAGCCGCTGCTACACTCTTCTATGCTCAACATCAAGATTGGCTAGCGCGCGGTAAAGTTTAAGCATGTTTGAAATTCTCGTTTGAATGCTGAACTTTACTTTTGCAGCATTGCCCTTGCTCCGTTAGCTAGCCGGTCGAGATGGCTTGCCACAGAAACTGTATCGTCGTCGTCTGCAGCACCCCCTCCTCCGCCAAGTGACCCCAAAATTGGCCGCATAGTGGACGACATCTCTGGACTGACACTGCTGCAAGCAGCCGACCTCGTCACGCTCTTGAAGGTTCGTCCCTTCTAAACACATTTCAAATATGATTCATGATCACGCCCAAAGTCACGGCTAAATATTCAAGAAATTGCAATGCCTGCTGCTTCAGCCGCCGCACCCGCCGCCGCCCAGGTCGAAGAAGCAGCAGTGGAGGTGGGAAACATTTCATGAAGAAGGTGTATTCATTAACAAAACTGAACCGAGCAGGAGAAACCGAAGGAGAAGACTATCTTCAATTTGAAACTTCAGTCCTTCGATGCCGCAGCGAAGCCCAAGATCATTCGTGAGGTCAAGGCCCTGATCCCGAACCTTACGCTCATCGATGTGAGTCTCGGCACATGCTCATTAAAGGGACATATACACTAACTCGGGGTCAGGCGAAGAAGTTCGTAGAGTCTGTACCTCAAGTCCTCAAGGAAAATATGCCCAAAGAAGATGCGGACAAACTAAAAGAGGTTCTCGAAAAACTGGGAGCAGTAGTGGTACTTGAGTAGATCATTAAGTCCTATGTATAGAGCACGTTCAGGTTATAATTCATTCGTTATAATTAAGGAGATTGCAAATTAGCTCAAATATGTCGCAGCGAAGTTCGAGATCATCCATGAGAGGTTCAGAACCCGGATCTAACTCGCATCAACCGGGAGTCTCGGCACATGCTCAGTTAAAGGATATTCAGGTCTCAGGCGTCTGTACAACAAGTCCCCAAAGAAAACGTGCCCAAAGACGATGCGGACAAACTGAAAGCGGTCCAAGTCTTGTGTATACAATGAGCATGTTCAAACCATAATTCATTCACTATAATTAAGAAATAGGGTTGCAAGTTAGTATGAATGTGATTGGCAAGACTGTCCAATAGTGGCACGTATGGCGATACATATGGTCACGGCGGGAGCAATGACAAAAAGAAGAGGATAACAAGGACTGAAAGAGCGAAAAAAAACCTTCAATCCTCCGAAAGATAACGATATTCAAACCGGAAATCGCTTTTCTTGCGCTGGCACCATGATCCCTCCCAATCAAAGTAAACGTACACGCCTTGTTCGTATTCTTCTGTTATGGCTTGCGGCTCCGAGTGTCGCTGGAACCATGTCATATATTTCACATGGAATCGCCACGATTGGCGCTTCAATTCTTTAGCAGCCATATATCTAGAAGTTACGTGAGCAATTTCCATTGAACGTAAGATTGCTCTCGTACTGCTGGTATGTTCCCGGTAGGTAATAGAAGACGTAGAAGAGAGTCTCCACGTCTATCTGGGAAAAGATGCCTGGGGTGCTCAGAATAGGATGAGGAACCTGAGGATAGAATGCTGGAGTCGCAAAGGGATTCCGTGGCACATAGTACTTTGGTCTAGGTAAACAACACATTAACCCCTATCAAACATAGTTGAATCGTAATGTGGTACTTCTCGGTGTCCTGTGGCTGTGGCACATTTGAGTAACCGCCTTCAAGGAGTTTGTGCACCTCTCCTAGGTTTGTCATACGATGAGGAGCTGGTTATCCGTCAGGATTTTTTGCCCAAACAGAGTCCAAATGTGACAAACCTTTCTGCTTGACCGTTTCAAACGATGCCACAAGGTCTGATAGAGAGCCAGGGAATGCGCCTGAACCAGCTGGACGCGAAGGAGGATGCGGCGGCTGTTGAGCTGGTGCTGTTGAAGGAGGCCTCTGCGAACCTCCAATTGGCTGCTGGATAGGGGCCGGTTGCTGTTCCACGCTCTGTGGTACCTTTATACCCGGGGGATACTGTTGCGCCTGTTGTGTTACAGATGTCGAACTTGCGGGTGGAGTTGGAAGTACTGATGAAGCTATTGTTGCCTGATGTATCTGTTGAGGTAGTGGCGATGACGCTGACGCAGGCAACTGCGTGGGGGGTTGAGTAATCAGCGAGGCTCCATTAGTGACCAGTTGGAATTGTGGCACTGCCGATGCGGATGCTGGTGGCTGTTCACGTTTCATGAGGCTTCATCGTGGGCATAATACCGGTAAACACTCACTGGTGCAGCAGGTGAAGGTGCCCTGGCGAGGTGAGGTGATGCTGCAGGTTCTAAGCAAAAATTACGTCTATCCTCGTGCCCCTGGAACAAAAAACATACCTTTCTGTTGACGTTGCGGCGATGATGTGGCCGCAGGACCGCTTATAGAGCTTGGAACAGCCTCCGATATTGCTGGTGAATCCTGTCCAGAATAGAATGACCCCTCTTGTTGATGTGACGCAGCAGATGATAGCATCGGACTCGTGACCGATGGATGTGTCAAGCTTGGCGAGGATGTGAATTGCGAATCTTGCAAGCCACTTTGCGAAGCCGACGGCGTTATTGAGAGTGTGGATGTCGTTGCTTCAGGGAAATTCGTTGACGGCGTGGGTGGAATAGGTTGTGATGTCGAGGGCGTTGGGGGTAATGCTCCATTCTGTTGAGACGATAGCGGAGCGACGGCAGCGGCTGCTGCTGCGGCATAGCGGATTGGTGTATGCACTGGTGGCCGTGGGGTTGCCGGTTGCAAGTTAGCTCGTAGAATGCTTGCCATCGGCTGCTGTGCAAAGTTTGGATTTGGCGGTGGTTTGACTTTTCGGACGAACTTTGAGTATCACCACCCAAGAATCAGATAAAAATACAAACAGACCTTCAGTTGCAATTGATGGTTCTGGTAATGTCTTGTAAGTCACTGTTGCAATGTATGAACCAACACGTACTCCGCAATTGAAGTGTCACTCCAGCCTTCTTTTGCACAGGACTTTCAGCACGTTTACTGCTCGCAACACTTTCCTCGTCCTTCTCATGTCGTTTGTTCGGCGTTCGTGGAGGAAGGTCTGCCAAAGTCAATTCCACAGTAGTGGTATGAGTAGCAAATACATACCATCACTTGCGATATCTGACTCGTCGCTATCTTCCTCGTCGTCACCAGCCAGACCGAACTGTTCCTCCTCTTCTTCAAGATTAAGTTCGTCGTATATGCCCTCATATTCATTGAAGTCCTCGTCCTGCACCCAGAAAACGCCTTAAAAGGTCTCAAAGTAGAACATACTGCTGCGCAACGAACCGTGTTGCTTTCCACGAAATATTGTACATCTTCTTTGAGAGCTTGTACACGATCCGTGGTCAAAGAACCATTGTCCAGGAGACGAAGGATGAGTTCGAGTCGGTTGACGTGCCATTTTCGACGATCATTGAGGTGTTCTAGATCTTCCAAACGACCAGCAGATGATGAACTCTTTCCGCGTTTCTTGCCGCCGCCGCCCTGGAGTGTCTCAATTTCCGCTTCTGCCTGTTCTACTTGCAACAAAAGATCTTCGACCTGCGACTGAAGCCACGTCGTGACCTCGAGCTTCTCTTGGGCTTTAGGATCCAGTTTGGCCGACTGTATTAGACCTTCTTTGGAGAATGCCTTTGTCTTCATTTCCTTCTCGCAGGCCTTGAACTTCTCCATTTGCTATACACATAAATATGAGTAACAAGTCGTCGGAAGGGTTGCGGAATGGGAAGACGCGTATGGGGATGACATGGAGCGACGGAGACGCACAGTTTCTATTAGTCTCCGGTTTTCCAGGAGTGCGGACTTGTCTTTGATGTCATTGCTTGCTACCCAGGCTTTGATCTGGTCGCGTAACCGCTGGAGCTTCTTTATTTGCGTTTTCAAGTCAGTCTCCAGTTTCTCCTTCTGCGTCTGGTTTGTAGAGGCTTGCATCTTCTCATATATGCTTTCAAAGACCTCGACGCCTTCGCCAACCTTCTTTAGTGTACGGTCGATTTCGGCTATGAAAGATATATTGAATTGAGTAAATGAAACTGTAAAGGTGAATAGAAACATACTTTGCAGCTTTCTGGCCGCCATTGTGAAGAAAACACAAGTTGAATGGAAATACAATTGTCGAATATCAGCTAGTCGCTCTGAATCGTAAAATTGACAATTATTTGGCTCATATAAGGATTACATAAACACGGGATGGAACTTGTTAGAAAAATTTCGGAATCGGAGTCCGTCGAACGGCACATTGAGCTGGATGATCTCGATGACTTGCTATGACTTTTAAAGTCTACCTATGACCTGAATGTAGTCTACTGTGGACTTGAGCTCCGGATAGTCACTTGGCATTATATCATCGTGAGAAAATTCCCCTAAAGAGGTCATTAACAAAAGCATGTACTTTGAATTTCAATTGGTCTCTCTGCTCTTAACCCTCGTCTGCTTCGTCGTCTCTTGTCAGTTTCTTATGCTCCTTCATGATGAAATCCCTACGTAAATCTCTCAACGGACACCGCGATATCCACCGTCTTGAAATCTCTACCCCTCTACCGTTACCTTCTGTATCTAGACCTCAGAATTCTTCTCTACCACCTCAAAAAGTAATCCGTGCAATCGCATCATACAGGCCACAAGGCCCTCAACAGCTCCCTTTTCAAAAGGGTGACTTTTTTTATGTTACAGGAAGTACAGAAACTCAGGGGGATTGGTACGATGCACATAATCCTGTAACCGGAGCTAGAGGTTTGGTCCCAAAATCTATGTTTGAAGAGTTTTGCAAGAGTCCAGCGTCAGTAAAATTCTACATTCGTTCATCTGCGCGTTAACAACCTGTACAGTGTACGCACTTCTAGTGTCAACGTCGCAGTAAATAGTCCCACCCTCCCTAGTCCAACATCTCCTCCTAAGTCCCCAAAAGCACCTGCATATTTTGCAATAGTTCTTCACGATTTCATAGCGGAGCGCGCGGACGAGCTCGATGCCAAATCTGGCGATTGCATAACTGTAGTTGCCCAGTCAAACCGCGAATGGTTTGTCGCAAAACCTATTGGTCGACTTGGTCGGCCAGGTTTAATCCCCGCTTCTTTTGTGGAAGTTCGCAATCCTACAACAAATCGCCCGGTAGAGGATGTCAACGCTTTGATTGACAGCGGAGATCTACCAGGTGTCGAAGAGTGGAAGAAGGCCGTATTCAATTACAAAGCAAATAGCATATCACTCGGCGTCATAGAGGAACCATCTGCCCAGCGTTCCAGCACACAACCTGAATCTACACCACCTCCCCGCGCTTTCTCCCCCGTCCTCTTATCCGAGGGCATCCTATTATCAGCCGACGTCGTCTCCTTTCACAATGAAATGAACGAGTACTGGTTCCGCACAGACGCCATTTACCAACCTTATGATCCTCACGACCCTCAAACTCTTCCAAAAGCCAAACAGCTCGTCCTATTCCGAGTATATAATGACTTCTACGATTTCCAAGTAAACCTCTTGCAGGCGTTCCCTCGTGAAGCAGGACGAGAACCGGACTCCGTCCGGATACTCCCCTTCATGCCTGGTCCTGCCGAAAATGTCGACGACGAGGTCACTGCCGCCCGACGGGAAGAACTTGACGAGTATCTCCACAAGTTGTGTGGCTTAAACACCGTTGGTGCCAGCTATATCCTCGAACACCAGCTCGTGCGCGAATTTTTATCGCTCAAACCTGGAGATGTGGAACATGATATCGAGCCTCGATATGATGAGGTCAGGGCACTCTTTACCGAAGAAGCCCCAGGAGAACAGACCGTTGCGGAGGAATTTGAGGAGGAAGTTCGCGATACGCTTGGGGATATGAAATTATCAGATAGAGATGATCGAAGCGAAGGCTCAGACTATGGGGAGGACCACACGCCCCCTACTCATATTATGTCTCGTGACTCACAAACTAGCGCAACCCCACAACCTCATCGACCAAACACAGCGACATCACATCACCGCACAGGGTCCCAGTCTAAACACAACGGACGCTCGTCTCCATCATATCCACGTCTTGACACTTCCCGTGCAAGTGCTTCCTCTCGATCATCCTTTGCTTCGAACTCTGCTTGGCAAGAACACGCCACCCCATCTCCATCATCTCCCAGTTCGTCACAGCCATCTATCGCCATGTCCTCCCGATCTCGTTCCCTATCAAACGCCACTAATATGAACGCCCCTCCAATGTCCGCTGGTAATTCCCAGACAGCCTTCGTTAAGATCAAAATATTCGATCGCGTCACCGATGACCTGATCGCCATTCGCGTACATCCTCGCGTGACGCACGCTGAGCTCCTGGAGAAGGTGCAAGCGCGATTAGGCGGCAACGTTCTCAATCTTCGATACCGCCATAGTCTCGGCAACGAATTCGTCGGCATCGACGACGACAGAGATTTGCGAGAGTGGTTGGATAGCACGAAGAAGCACGTCTTGTACGCTGAATAACAATGACAACGGACGGACCGTCATGCAATTTTTTTTCGTGTTGTTTGTTGTGAAAGTATCAAATTACTTATATTTTAGACTTTTTATTGTATTCGTCTTCCTTTTTCCTCTTTTTATATCTCTATCTCTGATTTCTTTTTTATCTGTGTTGGCAAATGTATTCTGTAGTTTGTTGTTAGAAGTAAGCTGTTTATTTTATGTATACCGGTGTACACCCTATGATTCTAGTAATAACACTCGCAGCTGGTACCACGTATACATGTAATTGAATTGCGTCATTAATGTCCGAGTCATCGCCGAAACACTTCTTATTACGTAATCTGCATTAGAAACACTTGGAACCAAGCACGACCAAATAGACCTTCTGCATCAGTTCACCAACATGTCCTTCATTCGTTATGTGCGAAACATCCGCAGAACAGGGATCAAACAATGGTGGCATCAATTGCAGTACATTGGAGATGCAAAAGCTGGGGCGCTTGTCGGAACCGACCAGTAGGTGCTCGCCCCACATTCCTCGCAGAGTTTGACTGCTCGGATAGGTTCGGCAACAAATACTTTGAAAACCTGAACCCGGACGATGAAGTTCCAGGTGCGTAATACGTTCCTGTGCTTCTATATGATATTTGATTTGCGGTTTTTTATAGGACGTCATAGATGGGTCGACTTTACTCAGGTATTCGTTCGTCTTCAATTGGAAGAGAAACGGGTATAACCGTGTACTGTCTCTAGCATTACAACAACGCTACTCAAGTTCCCCCCGAGTGGCGTTCGTGGCTATCGCACATACGGTTACAACCACCTACGGAGGATGCTGTCGTGCAGAGCCTGACTCCGTCATGGAAAGCGGTATGTAGCTATCATGCATACCCCATTTCTTTCAAGTCTAATTTCAGAACAGCCCTGGGTAGAGAACCTGACAGGCACGAGAGGTGCCTATCGGTCATATAACACAGTGAAGCCTAAGATTAATGCTTGGGAGCCGAAGGTCATAACACGGGGCGAGGCGCGTCCGTAGGTCAATTGTACGGAGCCAAGACATTCTATATATACCACACCCTACTGTGAGATATGGATATGTTCTAGCTCAATGACATCATCTACAACGTGTTCAGCGATAGCAAGGCTTGACGTCAGGCCAGGGCTCTCAATACCCATCAGGCTGACCATCAGTCCTCTCCTGCTTCCATCAGCATAGTCCTTCCGAATAGTAAAGTCTTGGAATCCGGACAACACCAACTTGGGACGGATTCCGACATAGTCAGGTCTGAACCCTTCAAATGATACCCCTGGTAGATATTCGGTCACCGCTCTGTGCATCTCTTCTAGCCTGGAATCGCTAGGTGTCAGATGCTTCCGCCAAAAATCTGCGTTATCCTCATTAAAATCATATTCTGATGCATCAGCCGCTGCCTGAGAGGGCGATGGTATCCACTCCAGGTCTGGCCCAAAGCGCACTTTGCCTTGTAGATCAAGGGTCAGATGCGTTCCGAGCGATTGGAAGGCGTGCTTGTTGGGCCCAGTTTCAGGGCATGGGTATATGAGCCGACTAACTTGAGATATGCCTGGACCACTGTAAGCCGCGTATGAGCCCCGACCGAAGAACATAGGTATGCGTGATGCCTCGGGCAGCAGAGAATTTGGAATGAGATTGGCGGAAAGGCCAGACGCGTTGATTAAGGTTCGAGCGAGCAGGGAATCTCCTTGCTCGGCATTCTCGGTGACAGTCTGAACTACCCAGCCCTCTTCTGAGCTAAGCCTGGAGGTCTCTTTGCTCTTGTACGGGTCTACACGAACGACCCGAGTAGAAAATACCAATTCACCTCCTTCCGATTCTGATATATCCTTCTCTAGACTCTCCATGAAAGAGTGGGAGTCGACAATACCAGTCTCTGGACTCCATAACGCAGCAGTAATGTCCGATGAGAGGTCTGGCTCAAGCTCGCGTGCTTGCGCACCGCTTATAAGCGAGACAGGGAGCACTTGGTCTTCAGCTCCACGAGGCGGCGAGTGCTTGGGCCATGATAGTTGTCTGGCCTTTGCAAAGAGGTTCTCGACGTACGCACGCTGGTGCTCGTGTGCTACCACGAGTTTTCCAGTCTTTCGGTACGGGATGTTGTATTTGTCGCACCGTTCGTACATGAGGTGCCTGCCTCGTAAACATAGCTGCGTCTTGAGTGATTGTGGAGGATAGTAAAGTCCTGAAAAGCCACTACATCAGGAGACACGAACACAGTTGACGTTGCAAGGTGGGCTCACCAGCGTGTACAACCTCTGAGTTGCGAGAGCTATCCACTCGTAGTCAGCGTGAAGCGAACAAGATAACACCTATGTCGCTCGCCTCGTTTCTTCGCCAGCGTGTGAATGTCTCTCAACCAGGTATGTTGATTTCGTCGGGAAGCGCTCGGATAATCGCTGGGCGACAGCCAAGCCTACAACACCTAGCCGTAGATGAGCGTCAGCGCGCTACGAAGTTAATATTGCGCGGGACGGACCTCCGCCCACAACCAGGAAATCTACTGCTGCATCTGGACTCTGGACGAAGATGGTGTGAGAGCCTCCACAGAGCTTGAGTTTGGTAGTTTACCTTGTACTTGAAGCATCCCGTTGCGTTTAGCGCAGCCACCAGCCCCCGTACGTTGGTCGCTGCCATGAAGGCCCTCCAGTAGTCCGGCGCCTGAGACTGATTTTTGGTCAGGTGGCACTCGGTTAGATATCCTCCTCGGCCTAATTTAAAGTGATCTTATCAGGATCTAGTATATATCATCTCTTTGTTTGTCACTCAACGTACCCAACACCTTTGCTCAGCACCAAGTCTTGCACTACGCTAATACACACTAGTACCGACGCCAACTTGGTCGCTCGTCGCTGACCGGAAAGAAAATCAAAATGGCTGCCGTATTTCCACAACCAGCGGAGTCCTCTTTCGAGGAGAAGATGGCTGCCCTGGAGAGCACCCCACTCTTTATGAAATCTCTGCCTTCAGAAGAATCTAACGACCCTGTAATTCAAGCCTTACAAAGCCTCGCCTTCGATGGAACACCAGATGGTGAGTGAGAACCTTCTCTTTTCTACTGTAACACCTCGTGAACATGCGGCTTCTTCAAGAGATCGCTCAAAATTTCAAAGAGCAAGGAAACGACTACTTCAAAGGAAAACGCTATCGAGAAGCAATTAGCTTCTACACGCAGGGAATTGATGCCAAGCCATCTGATATTGCATTGCACGAAGCTCTGTTATGCAATCGTGCCGCATGCAACCTCGAACTAAGTGAGTAATTGGGCTACTGGTCGATAACGAGGATCTGACCAATTCGAAGAGAACTATGGTTCTGTGCTCAGAGACTGCTCGAAGGTGCTTACCCTGAATACGAAGTCTTCGAAAGCCTATTACCGCTCGGCTACGGCATTATTCGCGCTGGAGCGTTATGAAGAGTCCCTCGATTGTTGCGAGAGATGCCTGGAGTATGACCCAGAAAACAAAGGTGTTAGGTCAGTCCGCGATCGTTCCGCAAAGGCGAAGGCAGAGAAGCTTCGCAAAGAGAGTGAAAAACAGGAACGAATACATAACAAACAAAGAGAGAAGAAACTCCTGCAGGTGGCGTTCAAGGTACATTCTATCTCGGTCTCGTCATCGGACGTCTGACCATGCTTCAGGAACGAAATTTGTTTGCCGTATACAACCCAAAAGGGTCATCAGAGAACCCATACGAGCCTCACTTTGACCCAGAGGACCCTGAAGGAACAACGTTGATAATCCCCGTGTTCTTCTTGTATCCACAACATGCGACATCGGACGTCATAGCACATTTTGTTGAAGATACCACCTTTTCGACTCATATTTTTCAAATGTTTCCACCGCAGGCGCCTTCACCCAGCTGGGATAAAGCCGGGCAGTACATTTCGAACAACCTCGTGGTATACGCAATAACAAGAAGGAAGCGGCTACTCAAAGTTGGCAAGAAGATGTCATTGAGGGACGTGTGCAATGCTGCGAAAGCGAAAGAAGGGGACCCTGACGATGGATTAGAATTGAAAGACGGGTGTTTGACGTTTGTTGTTGTTCCAAAGGGAGAGGTAGAGCAGAATTGGGTAGATGAATTCAAGCGGACACGAGTCGGCTAGACACGAGGTGTAATTGAACCAGGGGTGTTTCCAATTTGAGAAGCACGTGCACAATGAATGTGTTGGTCACTGTTTGGCAGACACCATACGGTAAGACTCCTCGCAAAAAAGACATCGACGAAGGCGTCAAGCTCGGTGAGTACGAATTGCTGTTTATTATGGTGTTCAACTGTGCAGGATGGATGTGCATATCGAGCTGCGGAGCAAAAATCGGGGTCGAATCACTTCGATTGGGTGGATGCAAGTTATGAGGAGTGGATGCTGACCATAGGATCATCTACTACAGGGCCTCTATTCTAGCCATGTCTGTCAACCACAAGATCCTCCGTACTGCAAATGCACCCACTACCTCCCCTGATGAAACCGAGGTTTCCGTCGCTCAGGCCCTAATCGACCTCGAGAACAATGTCCCTGAACTGAAGACTGAGCTTCGTGCTCTACAAATTTCTGCCGCACGTGAAGTTGATGTACGAGGTGGAAAGAAGGCTATCGTTGTGTTCGTTCCCATTCCCCAACTCAAGGCATTCCACAAGGTGCAGCAGAGGTGAGGATAGTTATCTCAGTGGGAAGGTGTCATTGTAATCGATCTTCCGGATCTCGCAGACTTACTCGTGAGTTGGAGAAGAAATTCTCTGACCGCCACGTCGTTTTCGTTGCTCAGCGCCGGATGTTGAGCAAGCCTACCCGTAACTCACGGGTGAAGCAAAAGAGACCCCGTTCTCGTACACTCACCGACGTACACGAGAAGATCCTTGAGGACCTTGTCTTCCCGACTGAGATTGTTGGCAAGAGGACCCGGGTATCTGCTGACGGATCAAAACTTTTGAAAGTGTGAGTGGCGTGGTCTCCGATGGATCAACGTGCGTGATACTGAATAATATTGCAGCATCCTTGACCCTAAAGATGCAACATCGCTCGAGTATAAACTTGATTCGTTCTCTTCAGTATACCGCCGTTTGACGGGCAAGGACGTGACATTCGAGTTCCCCCCTGCAAACCAAGAGTAGATTACGCGATATGATGACACATGTTCCGGTTCTTTGCATTCTCCGACAAAAATAAGGACATACTGCTTATGTCCTGTTCGCGTTATGTGCTGTGATATACATACGTCAAAGCGCTGCCACAGACAGAATGGAGCGCTGAGCACTAGTGAACGTGCCTGCTTAGGAGAACAGGCAGTGTTAGTTCGCTTGCAAATTTCTTTCAAAGTTATAAGTAACCGGGTTATTATATGAAAGAGCTCTTGTGAGCGCTCGTAGCTACAGCAATTCGGCCTGATTTCGGCACGTGGTTTTTGTGTCGCGTCTACTAGTGTTTTTGAGTTGATTCATTTCATTGTCTTCCTTGCTTCTGTTGCTAGTCATTTTCCCGCTTCCTTCTCTCTTCCTCCCGCCCTCCGTGGCACTCCTCCCTCACCTTCGACGTCGTTCTGCATGGCGGAGTATCCACGCATGGACCCGTACTCGAAGTCCAGGTACGAACACGGGATAGATGCCAAAATTGTGGTCATGGGCAATACAGGTTCGTTGTTCGGATACCAATCGACTCGATTCACTGACATGTTCTCAATTAATAAAGGTGTGGGCAAGACCAGCCTACTCCATCGCTACACTCAGAACAAGTTCGATCCCAGGAACATGACGTCCACGACCGGGGCTTTCTTCGTAACCAAGAAAGTTCATATCGATGGTTTGAAGGTTCGACTTCAACTATGGGATACTGCAGGACAGGAACGATTTCGAAGTATGGTATGAACTCACTTTTACTTATGACACTTCAGGTGGTTTATCAGCGTAATTAGGCCCCCATGTATTATCGCGGAGCGAATGCCGCACTTCTCTTGTATGATATCACGAATGCTGCTACATTTGAGGACATTCGGGGATGGTTAGCTGGTTCGTAGCACTACATTTTACTTTGGCGATTCTTTTCTGACATCATTACCATCCGTTTCAGAGTTGAAGAAAAATTGTCCGCCAGAGCTCATCATTTATATCGTTGGTTCCAAAGCCGACCTACATCATCACAGACAGGTCACATCTGATCTAGCCCGCCTATCGCTGCATACTTGGTTTCCCCCGCCGCGCGCCCCAACGCCTCCTCCCCCTCCTCCCCCACCATTGTCAACACTATCTTACATTCGCCCCAGATTCACATCTTTCACTAGCATCAAATCAGTCCCTCTAAACAACTCCCCAATGAAATCTTCTCCGCCACATAGCGCGTCCTACTTGGATCCTGCTGTTAGCCATTCATCGCATTCATCTGTGCTCAATCGATGCAATACTGGTTCTGGCCTTCCGAGAGTAAAGACAACAACAGCCCTGGCCTTGAACAGGTCAAAAACAGAGGCTTCCCATTCATTACAATCGCGATTTGGTTCACACTTTGGGCGACGTGCAGGAGGGTATGACGCTGCGGATAGCAGCAGCAACAGTATAAATGAAGATGAGGAAGACTTTGATGTCGATGACCAAGAATGGGGACTTCATAAGGGCATGGAACTTTTTGAGGTCTCAGCTAAAGATGACTTTGGTACGTGTGCTCGATCCCCATCTTGATCTTCTCATTCAGCTATTTGCCTACAGGCATCGGAAATCTCTTCGAATCATTGATTAATGCAATCATCGAGCGGAAGGATATCATTGAGCGCGAAAATGAGCTCAGGAAACGTGATAGTGTCTTCCTATCAACTATCAGCGCGCCTACGTGGGCCGCTCAGGCCGAAGAAGAGGAGGCACGAGAGAAGGCTCGATCCACTTCAGGCGGTTGGAACTGTTGTTCTTCATGATCCTGTCCCTGCCAGGTGTCAATACTTCTCAGCTATCTGCTGTCTTTCTACTCGTCTGCATCTTACCGGTCCGGCATACATTCTCACGACTCATTGTCCAACGTGTTCTCCGTCACATCGATCTCCTACACCCGATATTCAAGTTCTCTTGTTCTCTTTCGTCTTTACAGGATGCTATGTTCTTTATGCCACTTTCTATGATTCCTATAGGTTCACCCATACCACCGAGCCTCAGGACCACTGTTTGCAATACTATTATTCACTTCCTTATCTCCTCATACCATATACTACCTTAAGTAGATACAATTTGTGCATGTGTCTATAGTCACCTCATTCAGCAATCTTGGAAGCTTCCAATCCCTTGCCAGGCTGTAATTTGGTGTTTGTGTCCGCAGACTGAGAAGGGAGAACACCAAAAAAGGCAGGCACGGTCCTTGATGCTGGAAGAACTGAGCTACTAGTACATATCCGTTTCGTTCCTCGACCACCATATCTCTCCTTTCTTCCAAGCTAATGGAAGGAGATAAAGCAGACAAGGTCGACAATGTGTGCACCCCAGAACACTGTTTTCATGCTTTCGACGCATTGTACTGCGCACTAACATCTAGCGAGCATATCTCGCCTAATTTTGCCGACGAGAAATAGTAAGTGACCGTATCATGTTCTGATCTGAATGTGTGCTATAGTTATGATTCCCTAGTCCATTATTTGTGACATGGAATACCAGATCATCTCGCGCAGGCAGACCGCCCAGGCTGAGGGGTTGCATCGGCAACTTCGATGCCATGCCTCTCAGGCAAGGCCTTGCAGAATACGCATTGATCAGTGCATTCAAAGACTCTCGTTTTCGGAAAATAGAACGTCGAGAACTTCCGTCTCTCGAATGTGGGTTAGTACATCTCGTCTTTAATATATACATTGATGTATTCAGTCGTGACGCCCCAGAATATCCCTTCTGACGGATTTCGAAGACGCATCGTCATATCTAGATTGGACTGTTGGTACTCACGGGATTTACATTAGCTTCCCAAATCCATCATTATACCCACCATCTTCGAGCACGCCTTCTCCTTTATCTTCGTCAGCATATCTACCGCGATTCAGCTCCAGAGACACTCTGACTGCGACATATCTCCCAGATGTCATACCTGATCAAGGTTGGGATAAGGTTGAGGCTGTGGAAAGCGCGATGCGTAAGGCAGGATGGAACGGCGCCATCACGGAAGAGACGTTCAGGACCGTGAAACTTCGACGATACCAGAGCAGGCACTGTGTTGTTGGCTGGGAGGAATTCGTCCAGTGGAGAAGGGAGAACGATGATGACGACATTTCATGATTGACCCAAATCAGTTAGAACATTGCAATGTATCACCATCGAATTGTCGCAGCTTGTACAGATATTAGGGTCGGATGTGGTGTATGTACCTATATGCGAATAGATTGACAACTAGTGCCCACCACTCCCGTTGTTGCCAAATAAGTCTTTCCGAAGCCTGTCCAACCGACCACCCCATCCGCCACCAAAGCGCTGTTCAAGTTGTAAAAACACCTTTCGCAGCTTTCCCGCGTCATTACCGCTGGCTTTGCCGAAGGATATCAAGATCCAGTAGATCAGCCTCTCACTCGGCACGACATCTGCGGGCAAATTCATGAAAGCCTTGAACACTTGATGGAGATTCTCGAGGTTCCAATCATTTTTCTGGATAGGGCGGAGACGCTCAGATAACGATCCGGGAGGGGTCCGCAGGAGAAGCGGTTTCTGCGCATGCCGCGCGAAGCCGAGGAATATTCCCCGGAACGCAGCAAGGGTCGGCTGATAGAGGGAATGTTCACCTGTCTGCTGACTGATAGCAGCCTTCGGTTCCCTATTGGGTGTAGAAAGCATATCCACGAAGACGTGAAGGGCCTTCATAATTTGTCCATGATAGGCAAAGGCTTGGATCAAGGAGGTATATGTGATCTCGTCGGGTATTATATCGCCCCGAATAGCGATGCTCTCCACATCTAGCAGGTACTTGATGGCTGCCTCGATGTCATAATCGCCTACATCGAGTTCCGGTTGCAGATTGTGGCGCAGCACGCGGTAAATCGTTGAAGCGACGTCCATATGCCCATTCCGGCCATAGGCCCAAACACATGCGTTGATACCATCCAGACCAGGCTCAAAGCCTTGCTCTCTCATCTTCTGCAGAGTTGATCGAACACCGGACAATTGCTTTGTTCGCGTATAATAGTGTAACAATGATAGATGGGTGATGCGGTTTGGTGGTAGCCCTGAGACTCTGAGCAGATTAGATGCGTGGCGGATGGCACTAGGGTCAAGCGAGCGGCCAGCAATGTAAATGAGGGTTGTGTATGTAATGATGTCGGGTTGCACATGCCCCATACCGGGCTCTGCGGCCAGATTCTCGTCGTCGCTCGGGTTCTCGGAGGGCTGTGGTGTGGTCATTTTACTGAAAACTTCCACAGCCGCTTTGTAGTCTTCGAGACTGCATTTCCGCCATCGCTTTCCTGCACAGTCTAGTAAGGCATTCCACTCCCATAGGTATATGCGATACCCGGACCGATGTAGCATCGTTAAAACAGCAGAAAGTCGTAAGAAAAGGGATCGTGTTCGAGGTTTTGCGGAGGCAAGAAGGCGAGCAAGATGATGGAGGTGACGCTGAGGTATCTGGGGAACTCCAGAGAGGTTGTGGATATGATAGGGAAACATGACTGTCAAGGTGTGGTATGCCTCCCACCCATCTGTCATTGAGGTAGCTTTCAATAAGCTGTCCAATAATTCTTGCCGTATCTTCAGTCGGTCTGGTGGTGTCTCTTCGAGCGATTCTATGGGATTCTGATGGCCAGTGTAGTGAGGATTGGGGTAATGATGATGTGGGTTTTGTTGACCGTAAGTTGAACGGATGCCAGCGTGAATGTGGATGGCTCCGACGTTTAGAGACTCGTCTGCGGGTAACGGAGCGCGAGACATCAAGCCATCCTGCCCAGATGATTTTAAAACGCGTGTCTGCTGTACAGTCGTGTCCGAATGATCTGCCAATCCTACATTCCTGACCAGAGCGTCGTTTGCCTTGCGCTCGCTCACAGCGCAGTTCACCTCTTCTTGAGCTCTTTCTTTCATCATATGAACAGCATGGATACGACGATGGACCTGGAAAGTACGAGACGTTGCCTGTCGCCGAGCGAAAAGTTGTTGAACTTGACGAAGCCAACATGATACTTGTGATGATGCAGGCGACAATCTGATGCTCGACGTGGAGCCTGCAATCATGAATATCCAGTGCAGTCATCCTGTGGTAATGATGAGCATTACTCCGTGATGGATGTCGTGTACATACCGCGACTGGCACTGAAAGAAGATGCTGGCAGAACCAGGTGGAAACCTGGTAAATACTAACTCAGTAACTGACGCGCTCGATGGAAGTTGCCAAGTGCCAAAAACAGTACATAACTCAAAAATTTCGGGTCTTGACTTTGGGCGCTAAAATTGAAACTACTACTACACATGCACACAAGGAATTTCATTCCATCTACTATTTTATCATGTCGAGATTTAGTTTTTGAGAATGCTCCTCAGTCTTGAGGGCATACTTGAGAACCTGAACTGAGATTTTACGGCGCCTCATTTTTGTTATTCTCTGTCATGCCATAACTTCTCTGTGTTGATGCAGGCTCAACGCACAGCGGTGCCCGCGCGTCGGTGGTTCAACGTTTGAGATATCTGGAAAGAAATGGTTCGTTGGGTATATTTATTTTGCATTGCAAGGCTGCTTATACAGTCACCACTGGTCAGGACTCTGCGCTGGGGAAAACATCACTTGTTGCTCTGAGCAGGTCAAGAAGCAGACGGCTCCATACAGGCCAAGACACCGAGTTCACTCGGCAGTAGGGATGAAACGGTTCGTTTAGAGAAGGTAGGTTGTACCATAACTCTCGGGTACGGTAGCTCATTACTTACTGTCTCCTCAACTCATGAAGAAACAAAAGTCAGACCGGCTAGACAATATGGCTTTCAGAAAGATAGAGGAGATATGTGCTGTAAGTCTTCTATAATCAAGTGCGAATGCAAACACTGAAAGAGGGCGATTGAAGGTGGAGACAGAAAAGTCAGAGCACATGGATCTCTATGTCGACCCTTCACGCGTACGTTTCAACCTCCCCGTGATAAAATCTGTCAGTGCCACTTTCTGTAATACACGCTGCCTTGACATTTAACTCCCTGTAGGAGGCCAGAATCAGGCGACGATACAATTCGCACCTGTGCTTTTTTCCAGTTATTTTGCTGCATATCTACACCTCTGAGTTATCCTTGACCCTGAGAGTGCATGCGAAAATGCTGTAGGAAACAAGTGTCACCGGGTACGGTAGTGCAGAGTCAGCGAAGTGGTCCATACGACAGAGAGCTCAAACTTGATGCCAAGATCAGAGATGAATCTAATGTGTGCAAAGCCTGACCGTTATGCACTAATACTTTCTTCACATGCTGTTTGTAGGAAATACTCAATTATGCACCCCCTCCTAACCTCCAAACTCCGAGGAGAAATACTCATCTAGAATTTTTGTTGTTACCTAGCACTGGACAAGTGTAGGCTTACCAAGTTCCTCAAGTCAGTCAGTTGGCGCAAACGAACTCTCTCAGATCACTCCATAACTCATCGTCATGCATGCAGACACGTTGATTTGGCTGTACTAGAGCATAGCATGGATAGTCGTGAAAAGATGTAAAAAAACATAATGCCTAAGTAGTACGTCAAAAATGCAATCAATCCCTGGCCTTGAGCGTTCCCAGGAACGCGGCCTTTTCCTCGAAGGTTTGGAACGAGCCATGCTGGATTCAAGATATGAGATAATTCCTTGAATAGAGAGCACGCTGTACTTACGCCGAACTTCGATGATGTATCGATGAACTTGAGCTGCACTTTCTCGAGGTCCCGACGCGAAGTGTGGACCATGAGCGACTTACGGAGGGTGATGACACGCTTCTTGGTACCAGGGACTGAGCCCTTGAGCATCAAGAAGTCGTTCTTCACAATACCGTAATGGGGGAAACCACCCATAGGCGTGATTTTCTTGTTCGTGATGTCAGACTCCGTAGAAGCATTAGCCTCATCACCGCCAGAGCCGATACGGTAAATCTTCTTGTTGAGCTCCGTACGGTGGTGGTAACCGTCTGCATGACTGCTCAATACTGCGACACCAGAAAAATAAAGCAATGCGACTTACTTTGACCAGCACGTGCAACGGAGAACATGACTTTCGAAGGATGCCATGCACCGATACAAGCGACCTTGCGGAGACCTTTGTGAGTCTTGCGAGGAAGTTTCTTGGTACCCCAACGGTGAGTAACACCCTCGAAACCATGACCCTTCGTGACGGCAATAACATCGATCACTTCATCCTGCTCGAAGAGACTGGTAACCTCCACAGGCTTCTCAAACAGGCCTTGTGCGAACTCGACCTTATTTGCAATAGAGCCACCGTTGACCTGGATCTCCATGAGGTGTGCCTTCTTCTGGCTGAGGCCGGTCTTGCGAATCTGGGTGTGGGCGAGGACACGGACGACAGTGCAGTATTTCCGGATGCGCTCAAGCTCACGAGCAGTGGACTTGCCGCCGTCCTCTGCATGCTTCTTGGCGTAGCGGGTGAAAGCCTTCTTCTTCGAGCGGTACCAGTTCTTGTAGAAGCGACGTTTGATCTCGTCTGATAGATGGGATGCCCAGACAGTGGTGAGAGTGCGGAGGCCACGGGGAGTTTCGACATAGCCAACGACACCAACAACGATCATAGGAGGAGTTTCTATGATCGTAACCGCCTCCACAACCTCACGTTTGTGCATCTCTGTACTCTCTTCAGATCCAAGATCTCTGTTAATTGAGTAGGATACGCACTGGAACCAGGACGGTCGAGGTCACGGACAACATGAGTCATACCAGCCTTGTAACCCATCATGGCGGTCAAATGAACGGGTTTCTTGGGGTCATCCTAAAATAAATGGGCTGTTAAAGGAATCCTGGACAAAAATTATTCCACTTGCGCACCTTGGGGAAGGACTTGACTTTGCCACGGTGGCGTGCAGCACGTTTACGGGGGAGGAAACCGAGTGAGCCATGGCGGGGGGCTTCATACTGAACAGATCAGAAAGTATGAGTCTCTCGAGCCTGCCCGTTTTTCGATGGCAGAAGACCAACCTTACGGTGACTATGGGTGCAATTCTGGTTAGTTCGATACTTTTATAATGTTGTTTTAGCAGCCTGCTCACCTCATTTTGAAGGATCTTGAGGAGGGTATCGGATGCGAGCTTGGCGTTGTGAACGGTACGCAAGTTTGCCGGCAGTTGCCGGATCTGTGGCTGATGAACTGTACAGCTGACAACTTGAGTTTGCCGGTCTCCCATTTTGAAATTCCCCTAATGGCCACATACCGTGAGCAACTGCCAACAAACCCGACTCCCATACTCCGTGTGATGTGTTTTGGGATATCATAATGGGGATGCGAAAAATGAATTGGCACCGTCTATCCCCTTCATCTACACTGAACATCGTCTGGTGGACAACCCAGAGAGTGCCTCAAGATTCAGAGTCGCAGTCCATCCTTAGGTGCTAAGTGCCGACCAAATGAATCACTTCAGATGTCACTTAGTACTCCGTACGTTGATGGACGATAAATCTGGTCCCTCATATGCCAGATGCACCTGTGATACCATGAAGCTGCTAGCAGTACGTGTAACGAACTCAAGACCCGAATGATCATGAAATCCAAAAAAGTTGGCAAGTTCGGAGCTGTAACGTGGGTAATATTTACAGCATGAATTCCAGTATAGCAGCACAAATGAGAGACGAGTCTTGTCCATCAGAAGTACCACACCAAGATATTGTACATGTTTTGTGGTATGTATAGTGTCCGACAGTGTTAGTCAACTGGAGATATATCGTGTTACACATCACTGTCAGTTGGGTCTGATATGTATTCCCGGAAAGCCATTGAATGTATGGTAGGTCCTCCCTCGGAATTAGGCATGAACTTGGCATGATATCTTCGAACGCTAAGGATCAGGCGTGGTCCTGCCACAAACATCTGCAAGAGCGTGGAAAATTCAAGAATACCACGATAAGTCTGAGCTCCCACAGAGGTTGAGGCCTATAGTGATGATGAGTCCTCGAATGTAGATGTTAGCTATAGATTATCATACAGAGAAACATGGAGACATTAAGCCAATATTGAGGCTGGAACTGATAGTAAAGCTAGCATGCGTAGAAATTCAGCCGAAAAGACAACCACATTCAAATCAAAGGCTCACAATATAAAGTAGAGGGCATGAGTTTTGAGTAACACCGTGAATAGATCACCCATGACAGTTTGTCCTCTCGATTGTGTTCGCAGTTCACGCAGGTGTTTTACAACAATCCAGACTGCAAAACCAAGTGTGAGGGCCTCCCATGCAGTAGCGACTGCATAAGTCTCGAGCATCCGAAGTTGTTGGTTTGCGTCGGTTTCGTAAACGCATTGCGAGCCGTAGAGAAACACCTCTGATATTCGTTTTATGAGCTTGATGTGCTAGTGTCTGAGATCAACTTACTTATCGAAAGAAGGCTGGTTCCTGATACAGCAATTGCTATGCAGAAAATCATGACAGAGACGAAGGTCGCAATAAGAAATATGAGTATCTTTCTGGATCGCCGATACATGGCATGTAACCGGAAAATCATGATGACTTGCATGTTATGTCAGGCGATCTGATGTAACTGAGGTACCATAGCTGAGTAGCTCACCATTCAACGTGCAATTTACGGGCAAAGTCGCCCACAAGAGTGCGAGGTCCATAACATAGCCTAAAAAAGCCAAATTAATAGTGAGCCTCGCAGGATTGAATACTTCAAGAAACTTACAGCTGTTTCGGTCAGCATTTGGAATCAACAGGCTGGTCGATCTCACCTCTACGTAGAAACGTGATTAGTTGGTAGGTATCAATGCAGAACACTCACTGTGTCTGTCGTCAAGGCTCCCGGGAGATTTACTGCATGCCATCAGTCAGAAGAAACGAATGCCGTGCATCATGAGACATACCCAACATGTTGCTGCTGATTGCGAGAGATGGTTGATCAGCTCAGTGTCGACTTGGTAGCCTTGCGAACCCACACAGAATATATTATCCCAAAATAGCGCACCTAGAATATTTCGAAATCAGTATAAATTGCCCACTGCACTGACGACAGGAGCTACGTACGACAATATATAGAGCAGTCATGAAAGAACGGCGTTGTTTCTAACCCGAATTATTCACGATACCGCCCTTTTCTTATATGAAATTGCTCACCCAAATCAATTCATACTCCAAAAACCATTTCAGTGAATTTATGGTGGCTGCTCGGCAATGAGATCAACCTACCTCTTGACCGAATGTCAACACTAGAGAATATCACGATGACATCAATAACTCCTTCCATAACAGATCATGCTCACCCCAGTCGTACACCACAGCAGCAGACGATGAGACTACGAAACTATAGTCAGAAATAGAGCGAGAAACAACATCAACGTTCTTCACGAACCTACAAAATAGTTGAAAACATGGTACATGTCGAGTGACCACGAACTGGGATTAGTTGGAATCAAAGGCATACTTCGTCTGTGAGTGACGAACTGCGGCGAGTCAGTGGTGGGTATATAGCGCACTAGTCATGCCACCAGAGAAAATTATATACGCGGTACCGGTGAGGTCCAGGCCGTAATATTATTGTTTTAAGCTAGTTTAAAATTCGTGTTAAGTTCTTGCGCTCAACTGGCGGCAATACTCAAGCCCGCGGCTGCTCAAGTTTCAAGTTCAAGAGTAGCGTTCGCACGGCACATCGGACTGGGGTCAACCCAACTATCTCACGGACTTGAATAATCCATGCCAACCTCATGTGCATGAACTCTAACCGACTTTCGTTTACATAACCTAATTTCGGATCCCCATGCATAAAGTGCGACTCGTCGGAACAAACCCAAGTTCAAGTCTTTAGCCTTATAAATTTTAGACTTCGCGAGATTCAATGCCTTGAGCTCGGGTCCGTTGTGTTATCCAGCAATCGCAGCCTTCGTCCTAGTAATTATAGTTACAGTACTATGACAAATAAAATTTACATAGCATTGAGTACAGGGCATCCGACAGGTGTAAATCATTCCTACACATTAGTGCTAATTGGGACTTGTAAGGGGTCCTGGGAAGCGATTGCAGGCAATTCAAATATTCCTTCCTCAGACTGGACCAGGAACTCGGCGTGGCATTCTCGAACGCTAAGGATGAGGCGCGGTCCTACCACAAACATCTGGAAGAGCGTGACGAGTTCAAGAATGCCTCGATAAATCTGAGCTTCCAAGCGAGATACATCCTACAGCAACGATGATGAGAGCTCAGATGTAAATGTGATCTATGGATCAACATACCAAGACCGCTGGAGATAACAAGCCAATGTTGAGGCCACATGCAGCAGTAAAGCTGGCACGTATGGAAATTTAGAAAAAAAATAAACCACATTCAAATCAAAAGGCTCACAATGCAAAATAGAGTAAATGGGTTTTCATTAACACTATGGAACAATCCCCGATGAATGTCCGTCCCGTTGATAGTGGTTGTAGTTCACGAAAGTGTTCTGCAAAATTCCAGATTGCAAGACCTAGTGTGAGTAGGTGCCATACAGTTGCGAGCACGTAAACCTCGAGCAACCAAAGTTGTTCGCCTTTGTCGACTTCGATAATGCACTGTATGCCGTCGAGGAGGGTCACCCCTGGGATTTGTTGCATGAGCCTGATGCGCTTAGGTCTTTCAGGAATGAAACTTACTCGTTGGAGCATGAATGCTTCCTATTATACCAATCACTGCGCAGGGAATCGTGATGGAGGCGTGAGCTACAACTAGAAAGATGAGCATCTTTCTGGACCGCTGATACATAGCATGTAACCGAGCGATCATGATGACTTGTATGATATGTCAGTCAAACTGATATCAATGAGATACCGCAGCTAAGTAGCTCACCACTCAGCATGGGATTTACGATAAAAATTGTCCAGAATAATGCGAAGTCCATAATATTGCCTGAAAAAACCCAATTGATGATGAACCTCGCACGACTGAATACATCTAGAAACTCACAACTGTTTCAGTCAATATATTGAATGAACAAGCTGGCTAAGAATCTCACTCACCCCTACATAGAAGTGTGATTAGTTGGTAAATATCGGTGCGAAGAATGCTCACCATGTCTGTCTTCAAGACTCCCGGGAGATTTACTGAATGCTAGCGGTCAAAAGAAAGGAGTGCAGTGCATTGCGGGACATACACAGCACGTTGCCGCTAAATGTGGATAGCTTATTAATTTAGTGTTGACTTGATAGTCTTGCGAACCTACACAGAGTATAGTAATCCGATGCAGCGCACCTAGAGTATTTTGAAATCAGCATGAGTTGTCCGCGAACCCATATAAGCCACGTACGATGATATATAGAACAGTCATGAGAGAACGGCGTTGCCTCTGACCCAAATTGCTATTGAACTGTATGATCTTGTTCTTCTATGAAACTACTCACCCAGATCAGTTCATACTGCGAAAATCATGCTCGTGAAATTACGATGGCTGCTCAGCGAAGGGTCAACCTACCTCTCGCTCGAATGTCAATACTGGAGAATACCATAATGAGATCAGTAAGTTCTTCCATAAGAGAGATCTTGCTCACCCCAGTCATAGACCACAACAGCGGATGATGCGACTGCGAAACCGTAGTGAACAATAGAGCGAGAAAGATGATCAACATTATCATCCACGAACCTATAAAATAGTTGGAAACACGATAGGTATTAGTATCGAATGACCACGAAGTTGGGTCACTTGGGATTAAGGGCATACTCTGGAATGTCTGCGAGTGGGGAACTCTGAGTTAGTGGTATACTAACGCACTGGATATTTCAACGTCCAGCGATTGAGTCATGCGGTGACAGAACATCCATATTTTAAGTTGTCTGCAGCACACATAGTAAGTATGATGGAACATCGCTCTTGCAAGGATACTCAGGGTTTCAGGAGTTCGAAGGTTTAATGTTCAGGAGCTACTAGCGTTCACGCGACCGTCCGCGAGGTAGCCAAAATTGGACATCATCATAGTACTGTACGACCAGATCTTTCAACGCAATCCAATTGAATAGGTTGGACTGAACCTTGACTGCACGTGCTCAAAATCAAATTTTCAAACCCAATTATTGAAGAATCTATTACATAATAACATGGCATATGACCATAAATGACAAGTCCTCCAACGGCATGCACTCTGTCACATCAATGTCAACCTACAGGGTACCTTCCAGTATAAACTCATTCGATTTATCAGATCGAGCTCTAGTACGTGTTTACCTCCATGTACATAGATCGCTAACCTGACCAGTGAATTTATCCATTCTCAAAACTCCGAGAAGTGCGGAGTCATATGTCAGCACAAACCAGTACTTATAGTCTGTGACACGTGAAGGGACCACCGCTGCACTGGCTCCCGTAGACAGGCCAATCAGAAGGATTATATAGTCGTTACTTCTTACTTCTCAACGACGTGATACATGTACAGAGCCTCGGTAAGCAAACCAATTCATCAAATCATGCAAGAGTATGACAACAACTTTTCATTCCTGGTTCAAGGTTCAACTACTGTAGCAAATCCAGCGTGCACATGTAGCCGCATCTGTGTGTCACTCTGACTGGTGCTGTAAGGATACGGCATGTATCCCTGCCATATATTGGCTGATTCGTGCGCTTCAGCGCCTGGAAACGGTACATCGCCTTCGTGATTTATGACATGTTTGATTCCTTTTGAACATGATCCCTGGCGTATCTCTCACAGTGCTACTGCGGTTGAGATAAGCCAGGCTATGGGGTTAATCTGCACTGACTGACTTAGTTCATTCCCGCTTGGTACCTGAGTTCAAGTTACTGTGTCCTGCCTTAGGTTATATTCCCTGTGTCCGGCCGTGTCTCGCTCTCTGCTTCGGCCATATAACTTATAATGTTATAATGGCCCAAAGAAATCACTGGCGCTCCGAGTGAGTGTCTAGTCGATACAAACACAACTTGCAGAATTTTCGGGATATTTGACGTCCAAATTTTACAGAGGTACGGATCAATTGTAGCCGCAGCCCCACACGGACCCTATTCATCACGGCTTCGGTCGCGAATGGTCACGCCGCGACTCGACCATCTGGTCTAAAACCATACTTCGCAAGTCTGCCTCTTTCCTGACTCAAACTGTGTCCATTTTTACCAATGCTATTTCTCCACCCGTGTCATCCGAGTTGTCCAGATGATGCTTCGATGACGCGTTGATGATGTAGAGGACGTAAGCCATGCTCCTCTCTTCTCTTTTGCCCGCATAGCTTACCTCTTCTGTCACCCCGTTTGCTAGTGTGATCTAAGCGCATCGGGTCTGTCTATCTCGCATTTGGTTCTTGTGATGCTAGCGTGACGACCAGCTCTTGACACCATGCGGTTGCTGCTCTATGACTTGTTAAATGTCTGGTGTATTTGAAAGTGTTCAAATTTTTTTACAATCACTCCTCCCAGCTCTACAGTGTACTCTGCTACCCTCGACAGCATCCACACAAATTATGCAACCCATAATTTTCCTGTACGAGATATCGGATGTGATAACTGGGGCCCGTCTGGCATTAGGTCACATCCGCGCGCTCTGCCCGTCACAGGAGAAGTTGATAAGCTGTTCAACGAGGACAATGATTCCAGCAGCTGCGGGTAGGATCATGGCATGCTCTGGGACGTATATCAGGTGTATAGCCAGAAGCATGTAAACATATTCTAAACAGAGGGAATTTCACCATTTTAGACGTTCCAACCAACCCCATGATTAGTGAACAGCTTTGGACCAGCTGGTAAGTTCCGAGTTTCCGCGTGATGCATTGACAACTTCCGGAAGAATGTGTACTGGACCTGTGTTTGTTACTTTGGCATAGTTGCCATGTTGAATGCTGCCATGTCTCGCTTCCTTCAAGCTTTTCAGACCTTGGACGGCTTGCCAAGCAAAGACTGTCCTCAGCCTGGCAAGTCCAGTAGAGCCAATAGTGTAGATGGCCAAATAGGACTATTGCAAATTGCGCTATATACACCGAGTGCGAAACAAACTGTCACATCCTAACATTCAGGTCAAGCGGCATTTCTCGAGTGTGACCGTCACTGTTCGGCTTCCAGAGTCCTCCCCAGCCTACTTTTTACATAAATAGATCCTTGAAAGCTTGAGACTTCAGATCCTCAGGCCTCTGACTGCCCGTGTGTCCCTTATCAACTGTTATAACAATGTCACCTCCTGCACAAGGTCGTGTTTTGCTAGCATACTCTGGCGGTCTTGGTAAGTTGATCTGCACGGGGGAGATCATCGTTAACTATCAAGATCTGCAGACACTTCATGCATCTTGGCATGGCTGATCGAGCAGGGTTATGAGGTTTACGCCTTCATGGCTGACGTCGGTCAGGAGGAGGTGCTAATATCTTCTGTAATCCGCTGCTGGTGACTGACTATTTGTACAGGATTTCGAAGCAGCTAGTTGAAAGAAGGCACTCAGTGTTGGTGCAAATAAATTCTTCGTGGAGGTTTGAGATTCTTCTAGTGTTGACCTTGCTGCGTTTGTCGCTCATAAACTTGCAGGACCTGAAGCGTGAATTTGTAACGCAGTTAATCTACCCTGCTGTACAAGCAAACTGCATCTACGAAGTAAGTGCCATCCTCTGACAGTTATCATGAGCTGATCGCCATCGCAGAATGTATATCTACTTGGAACTTCTCTCGCCCGTCCTGTTATCGCTCGTGGTATGATATCCGTTGCAGACAAAGAAGGTTGCGAGTAAGCCTCGCCTTCATCTTCCACTTACCTGAGCTCATCGGACTTCTGACAGCTATGTATCACATGGCTGCACGGGCAAAGGGAATGACCAGGTTCGCTTTGAACTTGCTCTCTATGGCCTCAAGCCAGATATCAAGGTCATCCCTCCTCGGACGCTTCCTGGTGATTCAATTTTCCGCAACTTACAAAACTTTTCCCTAATCCCCAACATCCAGAATTTTACAACCGTTTCCCTGGCCGACAAGCACTACTTGCATACGCGGTGGAGAAGGGAATTCCTGTGCAACAGACTGCCGCAAAACCATGGTCGACCGACGAGAACCTCTTCCATATCTCCTAAGAGGCAGGCATCCTCGAGGATCCAAACATCACACCCCCCATGACATGTGGAAACTCACCGCATCCCTCAAAGATGCACCAGCGGAGCCTGAACAGCTGTCGATCGAGTTCAAGGCCGGTCTTCCCGTAAAGGTTGTAATTGCTAACCAGGCCCCTATCACTGATCCCGTCGACATTTTCCTCGCACTCAATGCTGTCGCGAGGAAGCATGGTGTCGGCCGTATCGACATCGTCGAAAACCGATTCATCGGCGTCAAGTCTCGTGGCTGTTATGAGTCGCCTGCAGCGACTATTTTACGTGTCGCACATATGGACATTGAAGGTCTTACGCTCGACCGCAATGTTCGTGCTCTTCGCGATCAGTTCATCACATCGAACTCGCCCGTATTTTTCACAATGGTCACTTCTTCACCCCTGAGCGCGAGTTCGTGACTAGCGCCATTCCCGCGAGTCAACGCATCGTCAGTTGGAACAGTTCGCTTGAAGCTTTACAAGGGTAACGTCGTCGTTATCGGCCGCTACTCCGACGAGGTAACGAATGACTCATAACTTTCATGTTTTCTTACCTGCTTTTCAGGGTCTTTATGATGAGCACCAATCTTCCATGGACGAGCTCGGTGGGTTTGAGCCAACAGACACCACAGGTTTCATCCAGATTGAAAGTATCCGCATTAAAAAGTATATCTTCAGCTGATCTCATCAGTGACAACCTACTCACTCATTTTTTCAAGGTGGGGTCAGGCCAATGCTCGTAAGGGCCAAGGTGGTGTTGAGCCACAGGATGTTTATGGCTCTCGCATCTAGTTGACTACAATATCCTAGTTCTCAAGGACGGAAATGAATTATCTCACCAATCGTAAATCGTACCCTGCTATTACTCTTCAGTTGCGTCCAGCCGAACACCTGAGTTCATCACCGCGCATGAAATCGTCCAAGGTTTTCAACTCGTCAGGGATGCGATAAATTAATATCACAGCCTCAGATGCACCTGGATCGAGTGTTCTGTAGTGGTCTTGCTGCGCCAAACGTAGTAGGCGTACGGTATCTTCACGCGTCACACGCCTGAAAGGATCGAGTTATTTGAGCACTATTGGAATATATACCATCTTCTCAAGCGACTAGTCATGCGGTTCTGTTCATTTGACCACTGAATGTCACGTACCGTGGATATAAGTCAGAGTACACCTAGGAGGGACTGTAATCCATAACAAGGGCGACTCATCGGGACAGTGAAGTGCAACATCAGCAGAGAGGGCACATGAAAGTCTTGAAGATTATTATTTTGCATTCGAGTCTAGACGCCATAGACTCGTGAGCCCGATTAACACATTGCTCTTAACTGCCATATCAGGCTTCAAGTTTTAGGCCTCGTATATATCAGAAGTCTGTAATTGCTCATTTATGAGCTGTACGATCACAGTGACGTATAAATATCACATGGCAAACCTCCAATGACATTTTGACACCCTACTTTAAGGAAGGGATGATTCGTCTACGTTGAGAACCAAAGTGGTGTAGAATCCGATCATTCCAACGAAGCTATTGATGGAGATCGCTGGAGAACAGTTAGCCATTCCATTGCTGAGAAACCAATCCAAAATGTGTACCTTCGTTGACTGTGTGCACGCCAGAGGGAAGAGACCCTCCGCCGGCTGCCTCAAGATGACCATACCGGAAAATATGGTCAGTCAACTTCCAATAGAACCGTGTATCTGTATTTCAATCGTTACCAAAGCTAGTGCGATGCGTGCTCAAAAACCTACCTGTGTTACCGGACATGATGCCTGGGCTCACCATGATTGCATCTGAACCAGAAATATTTCTATGGGAGTTGTAGGCTGCTTTGATAGTCCCAGATAAAAGCCGAAACGGTGCAGCGTCTTCGCCAGACGGAGTGACTGGTGCTGGCTCCAAGCCGTCACCGAACGCAGTGGAAAGGGTCAAGGTGCCATATAAAGGCGCATCCTCATTGGAAACATAGCTACCAAAAGCCGTGTAAGACAGATTGAAGTCGTTTGCGAGAGATTTCAACAATTCGATGTCGCGCACTTTTGTGGCGGGGATAGAACTATAGATCAGATTAGATGTGTTAACGACAATATTCATTTGCATCAAAAGCCCTACCTTTCTGTAGAAATCCGGTGATTCACAATGGCCCACGCCTGTTCTGGGAGAGCGTTTACCTTCACTCCACCGTCCACGAGATCGATAGCTTGAGTAGTGCCGACAAGACTCATGAAAGTACGGTCCTTAAAGAGTTCCTCCTCAGCGGCACGAAGCGCTTCATCGCAGTGCTCTGCATGCAACATGTGTTCCTTCAACGAGGAACTGATGCCTGGTGCGTATCGAGCCATGCATTGAGCGTTCCTGTAAGTCGGCGATCCTCTTGTCTGCCGGAAAAGTATCAGTGCATCGTTACAGCCAGTCTCTCGAAACTCACCAAGTGGGTCTCGAAGGGATTTTTCTCATACTGTACAAGGAGCTCTGCAAGCATACCGATGCTCTTGGAAAATCAGAGACGATTGGTCAAGAATTGAGTATGAGAAAGCTCACTGTATGAGGTGGAAGAAGGCTAGAATGGCCACCAGGAGATGTAACTTTGATTTGGACGTTCACGTTACCTTTCTCGGCAATTGCAGGTACTGCAATGACACGACCATATACCTCACCGTACCCGGCTGTCAACCAGAACCTCATTACTCATCGTGTTAGTCAGTCCAACAATAACTCACAGCCTTCGTCGAGAAGCATGGCAAAGGCGTTTTCTCCAAATCTCTGTATCATTTCGGTAGCCAGGGACGACGCACCCTTGAACCGGTATTCAATGTTAACATGCTAATAGAGTTTTAGCAACTTACCCGTGTTCCACTTACTTCCTCGTCAAATCCTGATGCGATCACAACCGTGCGAGTCGGCTTGAAGCCGTTCTCTAGCATAGATTCAATCGCAGACCTACGGCAATCAGTATACTTTTCTTGAACATTACAAGGACACAAACATGATCCCTAGACGCAATCAATAAGTTCAGGAATAGAACTAGATGTTGGAACACTACCGATTAGACCGCTCTTATCATCGCACGGCCCACGACCCCAAAGGCTCTCCCCTGCCAAGGTATCGGTTAAAAACATGCGGCCTATCATGAAACTACTGTACAGACCATCGAAGTAACCGGAGAATGGAGGATGTTGCCATTCATCGATTGTTGTTTCTAACACAGGGACCACGTCTAGCCGCCGATAAGTCAGTATGTAGATTTGTATGATGCACAAACGAACTTACCCTGGTGAGCAGCGAGGAGGAGTGGCTTCAAAGCACTGTTTGAGCCTTTCCATACGTATAACAGTCCGTATGTATTGACTTTCGTAAGTTCCAAGTTTGAGTGACTGGTACACAATGTGAACTGGACAACTGGCACAGTGCGGAAGAGTACGCACAGTAATGGAAATGACTCTTTCAGATAATAATGTAGCGGGAGGAACTTCTCCCAAATGGTCTCTATCACATCTCCCATGTCATCGAACGTTTCTGTGCTGAGGGCTGTATTTAGCGCAGATACTCAGTATATCGCAGGCGAAACAAACACACGGAATTCGCACAGCTCCCCCAAGCCAGTCTATAGCTCTCGTTTCGAACTCTTCAGTACTGTACACGTGTTGAAGACTTTCCCAGATCACTCCATTCTTCTCGGGAACAAGTTCATCCACCTGGGGGCACAAATCTACGCCATTCTCGAGGGTGCCGACAGTGGAACCGTTCAAGGGTCTTTTGACAAAGCATGTTGAAGCAGAGATCGCGAGTGCAGTGACGAGTGTGATCTTGAATGCGATAGCCTTGGCCTTCGAAAGCTTCGTAGTGGATGTGCGGGCATTAACACCTGGAAGCTTTCTTTTCGACTAGATTGACTTGGGACATGTTATGCGACAGAAGCCTGCAAAGACTAGAAGTAACATTCTTCTTTCAAGCTGGAAATTGATATATATGGATATCCCACTGGCTGATAACTACCGTTTTAACAAGTGCATGCACGTGAGTCACATTCCATGCACTTGTAAACAGTAGTAGACTTTGAATACCCCATCGTTTATCACATTAGTAAGCTTTCTTCTCCTGTACTCATCATTAGTATGTCCGTCTGACTCTAACAGCACTTCATTTTAACTCTAATGGATGTACGTACGATTTTCGATTTGAACTACTAATTGAACAGGTTTTAATCGCAACAGGGTTCAAATGCTTTGAACAAGTCCATGCAAAGCTTATGGTCCACCCACAGAAAAGCGAAGCTCAATCTAAATGCTCCTGCTCCGCTTCCGTCAAACACGCCTCTCGAGACCCCTCCTCTAGAAGATGCAGACCAACCACCCGCGTTAGAAAACCCAGGAACATCGATTCCTCCTACATCTTCCACAACACCTGCTACAAATGAAGTAACCTCGCCTGACATTCGTCCCCCTTCCTCGAAGCGAAAATTGCGAACAGCCCGCTCGACAGCAGAAGACAGCGGAAAACGACCGAAAATATCTGCCCTTCCCATGGCGAAGGTTCATACACCCCCTGCTACTCGACTATCCGACCTAGGCGGTGTGGAAGGATGCGTGGAAAAGATGTTGGAACTTGTTGCCATGCCCCTCGGTCATCCGGAAATCTATCTGCACACCGGTGTACAGCCTCCACGCGGTGTTTTGCTGCATGGGCCTCCGGGGTGTGGCAAGACCCTCCTAGCGAATGCAATAGCCGGGGTGAGTGTTACCACTGTTTCGTTTGTAATTCGACTGATCGTGTGCAGGAGCTGGGTGTTCCCTTCATCAGCATATCCGCTCCCTCCATCGTATCTGGCATGTCTGGAGAGTCGGAAAAGACGTTACGGGATACATTTGACGAGGCCAAGGTATGTATCGTAATATTCCGTATAATTCTTTAATACTGATCGTTACCTCCAGCGTGTTGCTCCTTGTCTGTTGTTCATCGACGAGATCGATGCTATCACTCCAAAACGAGAGAGTGCCCAGAGGGAGATGGAAAGACGCATAGTCGCGCAGTTCCTGACGTGCATGGATGGTAAGTTTAGTTTTTCTCTACCACGCCCTCTAACCTGACTGTACAGATATGTCTTGGGAGAAGACTGAAAATAAGCCGGTAATTGTCATTGGCGCCACAAACCGACCAGACTCGTTAGATGCTGCTCTTCGTCGCGCAGGCCGTTTCGACCACGAGATAAGCATGGGTGTTCCAGACGAAGAGGCACGAACCAAGTGAGTCCGTAGTGTCATGCTATCGTTTGTTAGATTCAAGCTTTTGTAGAATTCTGCAAGTACTATGCGCAAAACTCCGGCTAGACGGCGACTTCAACTTTGCTGCCTTTGCAAAAGTGACGCCTGGCTACGTAGGCGCAGACCTATCAGCCTTAACAGGTGCAGCGGGCGTCATTGCTGTCAAACGCATCTTCAAACAACTCACAGACGGCACGCTCGTCCTACCGGAGGCATCAGAAAATGTCGGCCAAGATACTCCTATGGCAGTGGATGCGCCACCAACGCCCCCAGCCGATATCACGCCAAGTATAATACCATTTTTCTCTCTAGCATGCCAACTCTCTACTTCTTCCATCGCACACTTTCTCAGTGCACATCCCTCTCCCCTCACAGCCGCTCAGCTCGCCCCTCTCTGCATTACTTCGGACGATTTTTACGCCGCGCTACGTGAAGTTCAGCCTTCCTCCAAGCGAGAGGGTTTTGCAACTGTGCCAGACGTGACGTGGGCTGATATCGGCGCACTACATGGCACGCGTGAAGAGTTACACATGGCAATTGTGCAGCCCATCAGACGCCCTGAGCTGTTCAGTGCTGTGGGCATCGAAGCAGCGTGTGGCGTGCTGCTGTGGGGTCCGCCGGGATGCGGAAAGACCTTACTGGCGAAGGCTGTCGCAAATGAGTCCAGGGCGAATTTCATTAGCGTCAAGGGCCCTGAGCTTCTAAACAAGGTCAGTCACGTTGTATCTCGAGTGAAAACATGCTAATGGGAGCATAGTATGTCGGCGAGAGCGAGAGAGCTGTGAGACAGGTATTCTCTCGTGCCCGTGCTTCATCTCCCTGCGTGATCTTCTTCGACGAGCTAGACGCTCTCGTCCCTCGGAGAGATGAAAGCATGGTACACACCCCTTACTTTTCACTCCAATATCTATCTCACATTCCTATTTTCACAGTCAGAATCTTCCGCGCGCGTCGTGAACACGCTACTCACAGAGTTAGACGGACTTGACTCCCGCAAAGCTGTCTACGTCATCGCCGCAACGAACCGTCCCGATATGATCGACCCGGCTATGGTTCGCCCAGGGCGTCTTGACAAGCTCCTCTACGTTGACCTACCAAGCGCCGACGAACGCGTCGAGATCATACGGACGCTAGCGCGTAAAGTCCCATTCGCCCCTACAGAACCAGATGGCGAGACAATTCTGCAACGCGCGGAGCACATCGTGCGGGAGAAATGTGATGGGTACAGCGGTGCGGACCTCGCGGCTGTCGTTCGGGAGGCAGGCGTTGCGGCGCTGAGACGTGTTCTCGGTGCGCTTGACCAGATGGATGACAGCGATGGAGGTTTGGTAGAGAATCAGCCGCGAGTAGTTGTCGTGTTGGAGGATTTCATTCGCGCTCAGGATAAGGTTGGTCCCAGCGTGTCTGCTGTGCAGCGGAGGAAGTATGAAGCGCTGCGAGCCAAGTTTGCTGGCCTTCCTGTGCGAACGGGGAAGGATGTCGATTAGAAGTGAGCTATTAACAGTATCACCATTATAATGGGACGTTGCGATTTGCCTCATAGAGGGGCTGGTCACCAGTCTACTTTGTATCCGCGAAGGACCTCAAAAGGGCGCAGTCAGTTTAATTGCCATACGGATGAGAATCGCAGAATGCGCCTATCTCATCGATTTCTACTCTTAGAAGAGTAAGCACGCTGTGCCTCTGACATTCATTCGGTGGTATACTCTTCACTTAGATTTAGTATGTATTTCATCAAAACACACTCGGCAGTCTTCACTTTTGCATATTCAATACTAGTCACTCACACCATTATGTAGTAGCCCACTCGTCCTCGTCCGACTCCTCATCGTCGAGCAAGCTCGACGGCGTATCAGTGCGTCATTTACTGTACCTTAGGGAATCTGTCGCTCCTGAATTTTCAATTGTACCTGTTGCTGCAAGAACGAGTGCGGACAAGCACATAGAAGTGTGAACATGAGCAAGAGCTAATAAAGCTACATTAGTGAAACACGCGAGTGAACTTACAGAAAAGACATACGGTGATCCCTTGAAGGAAGATCGACATGGTGAACAACGACTTCAATCAGCATGGCTCGAGCTCAAAGGAGGGTCGATGCACTCACTTCCTGCGAATGGCGGGAAACGACTCCGATCAGCATGGCTCGAGCTCGAAGGAGGGTCAATGCACTCACTTCCTGCGAACGGCGGGAAACGACTTCGATCAGCATGGCTTGAGCTCAAAAGAGGACCGACACACTCACAAGCTGGGACAAAAAGGCGCTTGAATAGGTTCAGGCTAAGACAATTCGTCAGTACACATGATCGGGTCGTCGATGCCTTCAACTTCCATAGATCAATCGGACACCACAGCCTCGGTGCCTGTGTGAATGGAGCCCTAGGCTCCGGCGATAACTCAAGTACTCAAGCTCCGAGTCATCACATTGTAAAAGTCCTTGGCCCGCCTGAGGCTCATCAAAGTTGGAGTTCATCAATTATTGAGATGACCTGCGAAGCAAGGAATTGAAGGCTGGCACCAATAAATCACTACCACTTACCTTAGTTTTCCCTTTGCCTTGGTTCTCCTCCGCTCATACTCCAACGAATCATCAATTTCATCTCCAAAGGTACCAGTAAGGACATTGTCAGGCACGTGTTTGGTCCGAGCCGCAGGAATCGGAGTCGGGGGCTGAGTGGCCAAAGTTGCTGCAGAAGAAACAGTGTTGTGTGAATAGATGATCGAGAGGCTCTCGAGTCGAAATACTGGATGCACGGGATGATGGTTCCGACTTTCCAGGCTTGACTAGTTGACTCCTGAAACTCAGTTGGTCACTCGGCCACCTAATGCGAGTTTCTGGAAGCAAGATTAAGGTACAACAAAGTTGATTCGGTGAGGAGCAACATTGTGTAGTAGCTGAGCGCTGACCGTGTGCATTCATATATCAGGCTGAATATGGAACTTGATTGAAGCTTAAACAACTTCGGCCTAGTACACATGCCAACGCGTTGACGACGGTCCCGTACCCTCAATTTTACCGTTACTTCCACGACTCCACGAATGTGGAAGAGAGGGCTCTGTTGGACGCAAATAATCAATCCTCTGCAAACGCACCCGTGGGAATATTTGAATTAGCTTAGTCAGTGGGAAAAAGTTGTACTAGCCAGTGGCCACCGCTGTGGACGTTCTTTCGTTCCATTAACCTGCGGTAGTCATTGATTGAGCATGAACAGGCGTATGTAAGTTTATTTTCCGTCTCGACTCACTGTTTCATTTAGCTCATGCATGTTTAGGGTTTCTCTTACAAAATCACCCTGCCGTTTGGCTCACGTTCTCGATGAAGGACACTGTCCTCCTTTCAATGAACCCCATGATGTGAAGCACTATCCTCGTTATCGTATGGATCTATTGTGGTGGACCAGCTTGGTCAAAAAATCCTTTCTAAGCTCGACCAACATAAATTGATGCAACGCGAACATAAAAGTGAGTTGGCGATTGAAGCTCAGAACCTTGATGCTATGCGCTGGCGTTTTCGAAAGAGGTTATCTTAGACTGTTTATATCGTTATCATGAAGGCTCGAAGTGGACTGATCCTCCTGTTTGTACGGTCTGTTCTCGAAGACATCGCGAGTCCATGGAAGTTGTTGTTTCTTCGATGCCTGAAGCACCTTCGCTAATAAATTTAGATGCTCGGCGCATTACAGATGCCTTTGTAATATGAAAATGTATTGTGCAGTGCGTCTCGCAGCTTTCACTTTCGAAAACAGCGGAAAATCTTGATAGCTTGGTGCTTGATAAGACAGGTATCGTTAAGGATTCTCCTGACTCGACTACGATGAATGTCTGTTCTGATTTTTTTGCTGCTCCATCAAAGGATGACCGTGCTCCCCGTTTTGCGCTCGCGAACAGCTTGTGGCATATTTCGACGACCTTACTTGGGTTGAAGAGAAAATCCGCACAATCATGATATACAGTACCACTGCTCATGTCACGCACTTATCCAAGTCGTCGGATCTGTTGCAGCCAAAAGTCTTTCACGGTAATATTTGCGCTTATGATATGGAATGTCGTGTCGACTGCTTCTGTGTTGCCTCGGACTCCTAGAGATGTTAATGGGTTTTCCAGCATCGTCTTCGTTTGTCCTGGTAAATTCAAGCCTGAACAAATGGGACCCATGTTTCGAGTGCGGAAGAATAAAATTTGGTCATTTCTTCTGGTTGAAGCATCACAATCGTCTGTATTCTGATATCCTAATCGAACCAAACAATCTAATGCTTTATCTCAGTTATCTGATCGTGTAGTCGAAAACAACGAGCTTGATGTCAAGAGAGTTTTTAAAGAGGAAACAGCTGGATTTCAGGAGCATCCAGCAGAGCTTTGTTAGATGTCGAGTCCCAATATTCTGGTGTGACAATGCTTGAGAAAGCGGACGTTTCCGATCCAGAGTGTGATAACATCAATTCATGGCTGCTGCGCTCAGGAAGTTCCTGGTTTCTGCACATTCGACGCTGCCGAATCATATCTTGTCTTGATGTCTTTATGCGGAGTCGGGGTTCTGCCGCGACCTAGCGCCGCTCTGCGCCGCTATGGGATGTGATTAATTTCTTGAATCCCTCCTCCGAGTCGGCCTTGAAGCTTGAGGCCATCCTAGTCCACGGAGTCAGTCTCGATCGCTGCCTCCGGGCCGATCATCGTGGTGCAACGTTGCAACTAAGGCTTCTTTTTAGATATAGTAACGTTGGCGCAACTGTAATGAAAAACGCACTGAATCTGTTGCATAGTCAGGTGATTCACCTGCAGGATTGATGATCCGTGCTCAGCGGCAAGGGTCACTGCATCACGCCAGAGAAGAATTCTCTCAGTTGCAGAGAAAAATCCAAGTTGAGTCACCAGGTTCACTTTCTGTGAATGAACGTTTTGATATTGAATCCAAGCATGGGCTCACCGCTAGATATGTCTTCCCCCATCGATCTTTTTTAGGATGTGGCTGACCAGGTACCGTTGAGAACGGGTGTGGGATTAAGGTGTCAGATGCATACATTTAATTACTCCAATGATCCGACCTTCGCTTCACGATCACTGGCAATGGTACCTGTTATTTAAGCCCTTTGAAATCTTCATTCATTCACACCGATACAACTCCCCATGGGTACTGCGGATAATACGTGCGTATCTCTCAACTTCACATGCATGTCCTAGTATTTGAACTGGCGCAGTTTTGGAGCGTTCTTGATCGGGGTTGTAGTCTCCGCCGCGTAAGTGCTCTTTTTGGATCAACAACGAGCGTAGATTGAAACTCGGATGTTCCAGGCTTTACGGAGGTGTGTTTTCGTATTATTTTTTTGCGCTGGTAGGAGCTCACAATCGCACAAAGTGACTTGTTTGCAGACATGGTACTACTTTAGCCGGTATTTCTCGGATCCTTGGTACACCAAGCTTTTAGTAGGTTCACGAACGATTGATATGCGTCATTATCTCTAACATTATCTAGGTCGGCGCCGTATTTGTATCAGACACAACCCACCAAGCTTTGATTACACACACCGGTGAGTACCGGATGGAAGATGTGTTTGTCTGTGAACTGAATATTGGATGGCAGTGTACACGTACCTTGTCACTGACTTTGGCAACGCCAGTGATCTCGAGAAACTTGTGTGGAGTTTATCTGTGGGTTGCGTGTGATAAGTGCCCAATTCTCATCTGACATTTTCATTTTCATCATAGGTTGAAGTTTTGTTCAATGGCTTCACGGGGTTTATGGTTCAAAGGTTGGCGTGATACCCTTCAAATAGAATGATTCTCATTTATCGTCCTTCCAGCTTCCTCGCCAAGCGTGTCTACCATCGTATGTATGATCTCCCTGCCAGTAGATGGTTGCTTACTTTCAGCCAGTGAGCAACAAGAACATGATTATAACCGCGTCCGTGATGTCACTTGTCATCGCTGAATTTGTCATTGTTATCAGTGAGTATGCGTTTTTGCTTCTCGTAAATTTGTCTACTAATGTGACATCCAAAGTATATGTTGCAAAAGCGTAATTTGTGTCAGAAATTATCTGGTAGTCCGCTGATGCACCCCTCTTTAGTGTCGGGTTGACGACCTTCGCTCAAGTTCCCCAGATCAGGTCATTGTCAATGTCTATAAATGCTATAGCAGCTGCGGGAGATATCCTTATCGCTGTGTTGCTCTGCACATTCCTCCAACGATCTCGCACTGGGTTCCGTCGGTCCGATACTATGATCAAGAAGCTCATGCTGTTCACTATCAACACCGGTCTACTTACCAGTGTTTGCGCAATGATGTCCTTTATTTCTGTAAGTAAAACATCACAAACGGCTCGTTATTTCATTCCTGACCCAGATGTGGCACAGATTGCAGTGTGGCCTGATACCTACATTTACATCGCATTCTATTTCTGCGTGGGACGTCGTAAGTGCACCGTAGTCAAATCATGCTATTCACGAGGTTAATGAGATCGTTCTCAGTTTACTGCAATTCCCTGCTGGCAACCCTCAATGCACGCAAGGGTGTCCGCCGCGATTCTTGTGACGAGCACCTGTCGATCTCGCTACATAAAGCTCGGAGACCTATCGACAGTCCCATCGGTTCATCGCAAATGGTGAGCTCCACAGATTTGCACAGTACATTTCTCATGTGCAAGCAGGAGATGCCGAACGACCTTTCAATTAAGATAGATACCACGCAAGAATACACTGAAGACGAGGTCAGTTATATTCCGTACCAGCGCTGTGATCCAATGCTGATTTGTATGTACACCGGTTTCTATCTGCAAAGGACCTCAAAAGGCCTCAGTCAGTTTAATTCCTATGCGGATGAGATCACAAAATGCGCCTATCTCATCAGCTATTACTCCTAGAAGAGCAAGCATGCTGTGCCTTTGACAATGTGCAAATTCATTTGGTTGTATATTCTTCGCATAGACTTAGTCTATATTTCATTCCAATTCATTGAGACTATCTCAACACACTCGGCAGTCTTCACTTATCCATTCAATACTAGTCACTCACACCGATGCGTGTAGCTACACAAATAATGCTTTCACAGAATGTATTTGGTTCCAACAGGCTCGGCCCTGGAAAATGTAGCAGCGAGGGTACAGAGAAGGAGCAATCACATGGATCTCAATAGTACCATTGGCGCTTATGCAGAATCGATTTGGCACAATACGATGAAACGCGACCTGACGCGTTTAATTAGTTGATCAATTACCAAAAACGCGCTTGTCACAGAGTGACACGTCACGCATGCCACGGTGTTGAAGCCGTTCTCAGATTACAGCAACAAATAGGCTTAAGCCGGCATCGGCCAACACGCTCGTTGACTGCAAACGCCAACATGTCCGCCATGGACGTGGACCAAATTTCTCCAAATCCATCTCCCGTCAACCCTATAAAACGCGCACCAGTCACGTACGGAAGGCGTAGGGACCCCCAACCTGAAATACGCGACTCTTCTGTGACACTCACCGACCGCAGCTCTCCTCGTGTAGAATCGGAGCCCTTGGGCGGTAAGGAAAGCGAGTCCACCCATGAATTGGCGCTCGATGCGCTGCAAGGCTCACAATCCTCTTCAACGACTTGTACAAACGATAATGACATGGTCGATGCCACTTCTAAACATCAATTTGGATGGAGAGCCCAACTAAAAGCGCTAGATGAAGCCTTCGATGATGATGAGGAGCCACTTGCACAGCCTCGAGTTGTTGAACGGTCGTCATTGTCGCCACCCTTTCAACCTCAATCCTTTGCAGACAAACAAATCATTCATGCAGATGCCACGCCTCTTTCTCCATTACCACAAAATTCCGATGGGTTTTCTGATGGTACACTGTTGCCCCCTACAAGCGACCCATCTGCCTCCCCAATTGATGAGCCTCTTGAAGATTCACCGATTATTTCTCGCAAGGTCAGACGTTCGAGGAATTGTATCGACTCTGATTCTGAGCGCGAAGAGTCCAAAAATTCCTCCTCGGTATCGCCTGTTCACCATCCAATTAACACTCCTTTGCTGCGATCTCCTCCCACACCTTCGACATCAGAATTGGAAATGCCTTTAACGAGGCCCAAGGCTAATAAAGGCAAGGGAAAGGCACCTGCTCGGGATGTCCCTCCGCTTCGTTTTGAGGATGAATCCGTTTCTACGAGTACCACATCAAAGAAGGGTAGCAAATCCAGGCGGAAGGACGAATCGGCATGCCTCAAAATCAAGGTAGTCTGACCTCTCTCTCGCACCTATTCCATTTCTCACTCATACGACGCATAGGCTCCGACTAAAAAGGACCTGCGCGAAACTGTTTTGGAGAGTTCGCGGATTACTGCGAGCAAGAATGTCCAGGTGGTGCGTACTGAGCAATCAAAGTACACCAAACATCGACTTTTTGAGCTGGTCAAGTGGGTGACACCAGGTTTTTGTCCAAGAGAATGCTGCTGACTTTGGCCAAGGGATGAAGCCTTGCGTAAGGAGCAAAAGCAGCCTGAGCTCCCCTCAGATCCAATATCTATCTTTTCCTCGCCTTCCGCACTACCCCCCGCTGCTGGAGCACGAAAAAAATTGGCGCAAGGCGAATCTTCATTCGGCGTACCTTCACGTTTACTTGGATCTTCTACTATTGTTCATCCCCGTGCACAAACTCCTCCCAGAAATCTGTCACGGCGTGCAACTTCCCAGCCACCGTCAATGGCTTCTGATAGCACTGACGAAGAGATGCCGAATCTTACCGACCTACTGAGGCAAGAGCAAGCCAAACGCAAGGAAGCTGACGACAAACGTGCTCTCGCGGAGTTGAAGCAACGAGCCCTTCAAGACGCAGCTAGGCGGTCATCTAGGGCCGGAGATAGCGACGATGATTTAGAGATTGTTGATAACAGCATGCATGCGACAGCCCAAGAAGAGGCGGCGAAACGCAAAGCCGACAAGTTGCAACATATCACTCCCTCGAAGGGGAAGGCGAGGCAGCTTGCGTTGAGCCGGAAATCCATACCAGGATCGTCAGGCTCTCGCGCAAAACCTTTTGCACAAGCCAACATGTCCGAGTACCTCAGGGACTCCGCGATGTCGTCATTCGATCGGAAGGGAAGGGGCAGGGACAAAAAGGTCCCACTCACCGCACAGCAATTAAACAAAGCGCTCATACAGAAAGCTGAGGCCAGCAAGCTTGCGACAATTCAGCAGCGAGAAGAGGACTGGAAACAAAGAGGAGGCAGGATATTAGAAGAGCCTGTAGAAGCTGGGGAGAATGCATCATTCAGAGACAGGCTTGATGTATATGTGCAGAAAGGGCTTCAAGTGGCAGAGCGCGATGACTCTACTCCTGGCGACATGGAAGTAGACGACACAGACGAGGACGATGCGGATTATGCTCCTGAAGAGCGGGGTTCTGCTACTCCAGAGCCCATGGATACTGATGGCGAGGGCGACAACGACCGGGAGAACCAACCAGGTCTCGATGTCGACGATGATGCAAACCAACAGACGGACGTTGAAGATGAGGAGCGCCAAGTGCACAGGCGCGGTATTCGTCGTCCTTTAATGGTGACTTCCGACGACGAGGATGATGCTCCTAGAATTCTTGTGCCAGATTCCTCGATGCAAGACTTGACCTCCGACGCCATAGTGATACGTAACTCGGAATCAGACCAAACAGAGGACGAGAATGACAAAGAGAACAGTCAAACGTTGATGTACGACAGAAGCGAGGATAAAGAAAACAAGGCTGTCGTTCGACACTCGCCTTCATTCGCGAGACCTACCTTAGGTAGTATACCGGGGTCCCTTGTTGACGTCAATGATGCTGTTCACCTGAGATCATCGTCCTCGACATCGTTGGGAGGTTTCGGTGGTCCCTCTGATTCACCCGAACAAGATTTACAGCGTTCGCCATTGAAGGAGATTGCTCAAGATGACTCGTTATCGGGTTCCCCAAGCTCAAAGTCCCCGTTTACCACCAGACTCCTCCAATCTACGTCAAAACATCCGACATCCCTACCAGGAGAATCGTTTTCCGACATTGAAGACGAGGAGAACATGGTTAAGAGTTTCGAACCCCGCACACTACTACCTTCCTTTTCTGAAACCCTCGGCAAGAGCAGTCCTGCATCCTTTGTACCTCGGGATCCTCTCGCAAACGCAGGAGGTTTTTCGCAATTTTTCTCAGATGAAAAGGTTTGCAATCTTCTTCGTTGTAAGTCAGTCCAGAAAATGATGCGTGGTGGTTATTACAGGATGAGGGGCCCAGCTTCAAGGAAGGGAACTGCAATGAGCTCGCTTTGTCACTTGATGTTGGACTGGAACCCGCACTAGAAGTCAGCAGTACCCTGCGCAGGAAGGCTGACAATATTTTTGAAAAAGAACAGGAGTATGTTATAGAAATCGCAAACGGCGATCAGAAGCAGGATAATAACCCTGAATGGTACATCCGAGAGAACGGGTGAGTCTATCAGAGTGGCATCTAATTCATTCCTAGAAAATTTGTTTGCCCTTAGGTTCTTGACTCAGACATCGGGGCCTAATGCTGAACAATATCGTGTCAAGTCCTTGCAGATGTCACCACTTCTGGCGTCTCAAACATTGATGGGTGAATTAATTCCGTCGTCGAGTGAGCGTGCTCCACTCCAAACATTGTCCTTCAAGGCAAGGCAAGAATCACCGGATGTACAACCTCTTTACCGACTGGGGCGGCGCAGTAGCTCGCCATTGGAGAGGAAAACCGCCATGCAAGACGACGGCTCCCTTCTACCCCCTCTACTAATCTCTAAGCTGCCCAAAAGAAATGCGTTTGATGTCTTGGGAGGGCATCCAAATTTCAATGCGCCCAAACGAAAGCTGGAGAAGTCTGAATTCGTTGCTGCGGAGGCCGAGGAATCAGACGAAGACGAACTGATTGGCTTCGGGCCTATCCATAAAGACGAGGAGGCAGAGGATGATGATGATGATGATGATGACGAGAAATTTGTGGAGGGTCTTGTCGATGATGCGGTCATGAATGCCGAGACAGAAGCGGCCGATTTGGTCCAGGAGAAGTTCAGGTGCGCATTCAAGGTAGACTATCGAGACAACCAGCTGAATCATACATAGAGAGCACGAGGACGAAGATGACAAGAAATTGGAGAAGCTTCACCAGGATGCTATTGATGGTAAATTTAGAATGAAGCGTCGCGACCGTGGTATCGGTTTCGAAGAGGATAGCGACGATGACGAGGAGGACGAGAATAACAGGCGAATACGACGGGGTATGAACAAGAAGCGCAAGATTGATGGTGATACTCTCGAAGATCTAGGCAAGTGATACAATCGTTAAAGCTGCGATCTTGAAGCCGACGTCTCCCTCCATAGGTCGAAATCAAGAAACAAAAGCATTCTATGATGCATATCAGCATGAGTTGATTGATGACGACCTTGAGTTCGTCCATTTGCAAGCAGATACGCGAATGGTTAGCGAAGATGAAGATGAGGAGACGGGGAAAGTGGTCACGACCGAAGATCTGAATGCTGAGCTAAGGGAAGCCGCAAGGAATAGAGAGGTAAGCCTCACAGCGCATTTTCTAGCTTTTGCTATCACTGATCTTGGGTAGACTTCTGAATCTATGGATCCGGAGGACACATCATGGATCGACGGGGCGGACGAGGAGATCGATCATCATGTTCCTGTCAAAGTGATGGTAGAGCGCTCCAACAATGCACTTGCAAAGCGACCTGCACTGTCCCACACAGACTTTGGTCTGGAGGTCTGTTATGCGCTCGATGAAATTGAAATTCATTGTAATCTGATAATCTCCTTTTCATAGCGCCCAAACCGGATATTGGAGAATGACCAAGAGAAAACAAAGTTACGTTCGTGGGCAAGAGGTCAAGGCGGCGGCAACCAGGGGACTGGTCGGTCTGTTGTCGGTGCAGCCATTACAGGACACGCCAAGGCCAAAGTCAAGACGGGCGGCGGTTCCTTGAGAACAACCCAAGCGGCCAGCGGAAGCAATTCTGTCTCAAGCGCACCTGTTCCTCGCAAACTGGAGAAGGGGCGAAGTATGCTCTCCAGTGTGTCCGATAGGAGTAATCGATTTGCATAGTATCTAGCTTTCGCATCTTGATTCATGTTCAATCCTATGCCTTCACTATTGTTGTTCCGCCAAAGGTCTATTCTGTACATTTATTTTCCACCTGTAATAACATCACTGCAAAGTAAAGATGCAAACCAAGAACACGTATGTTCACAAAGCAAAAGTGTGGATGGAAGGCGAAGGGAGGCATGTACACCCAGAAAAAGATGAACGAGGTAGATATCTAAGATGGGTATCGCGGAGATATAAATAACGGGCGATAAGGCTCTACAAGACTCGGCCCAGACATTAGAAGTGTCAAATGATTGAAGATGCTTGTAATTTAGTGATATTGATGTCCAAAATTTCTTCCAAAACGAACCCAGGACGCGCGCGGGCGAGTGGGTTGGATGAGTGCGATATTTCGTGATTGGCGTGAGAGCGTCGGGGATCTACGTTTGCGTGTACCCGTCTGAATCTTTTTTGCAAGGGTGAGTTGGCGAAAAGCGAAGGTAAACTGAATATATTCACTTTATGCCTCAACATGATAAGTTTGGCCATGCACGCTGGAGGTCCTGATTCCTTGAATGGATTGCCTGGAAACATTTGAAAAGGCAGCTGATATAACTCAAGAACAGAACTTACGGGACGCGACGAGAGCTAAACCCGACTCGTGGGCATCAAGGAGGTCGTCACCGGCCATGATAGACCTTCTGACTACAGGTGAAAATAGACATAGCAGGATAATAGCGGAGAGAAAGGTGACGAGAAACATGGAAGACATGGCCTTAATATTTAATAGAAGGCTGGAGAGCTGCGCTGAGCACCAGCAGGGGCTGCGCGAGCGTCACACGTCGTGAAAGAGAGCGGGAGGGAAATAATAGAAGACGGGTGAGGGATGACAACCAGAAACTTGTTAAAGGCTTCGATCGACTAAAGTTGCTCAGAGAACATAATGCTTAGTCATCAAAGGGTCGTACAAATCGCTATGATGCCGGCATATTTGGTCACCATGATAAATTTGGGATCAATAAGAAGTGCTTCAAGTTGTTCTCAGTGTGCGACATGGCCGAGCTGTTGTCAACGGCCACAATCACAGCGACGGGCCTTCTTTGCAAAGCATTTCTCAACTCAGGGCTTTGCTCCATCACCGTTAGCAACCTCCATATTCTTCTGGATGCTCTGCGGAACGACGAGAGGCGGCGACATGGACAGGGCGTAGTAACAGGTGTGTCCCGTAATTCGTCTCGGTCGACGCCCACTCATACATGTTTAGTTGCGAATCATATTTCCACGTCCGTTTTCGAGCTTCTCACGCGAACGTCCATACTGAGAGTTGAGCCTGGACTGCCACAGACTAGACGATCCACTTGCGTGGGGAACGCTCCCAATAGAACTCTACTTGAACTCCAATACAACACGGTGGTCGCTTGGCGCGTCGGAGATAATGTTCACCAACCCGTATGTTGTACGGAGATAGTCGGAATGTAGGCGACTGAATGTAAGCTTCGGCCAGGAAGTCTGTTCTCCGCTTTCTTTCGTAAGGGTCAGGTGTTAGAGACATTTCGCGGAAAAGGAATTTTCCAACCTTCCGTAGATATTGCCATCAAACGACTTAATGAAGGGCATTGGGTGGGTGCCAGGCAACCTGACTTCTTCTGTGCCCGCATTAACAGATCTCAGGTGCATCTTTTTGGAGAGGGAAAAATCAACCAACCACCCGACTATCCGCGGACAAACGGGGTCGCTCGCTTGCCGCGGTTCAAATGGGGAGTGTAAGTCACTCTTTTCACCCTTTGAACATCCAGTCATCACACTTGAAACGCTCAGTGGCCGAATCCTGATGGAAACTGCAGTTCCCCCTCTCATCATACCGATGTGGCTCACTGGTATGGCATCTGGAACCAGTAGTGCGCCGTCCTCTTAACGTGATGTTAGGTTTCGACAAATTGATGCCCGGACACCGCTCGTTCCCTTGCAAGTACTTTCCAAGATTAGGTGTCAGACTTGGCGTGGTGTTCGGTGATCCAATACCGGTTGAAGAAATAACAGCTGCATTGAGTGCGCGCTCGTACGTGCCGCTTATCGGGGAAGATGGTACGAATTCGAAACTTAGCAATGAGCTTTATCCGGGCGGCTGCGTTGGCCGCACACCACACAAACGACATATGGACGTGGCGCGGAGCGATGTAACTGCGATCATCCAACGAGCGGTGGAAGCTTTGGGTAGACGAGTTTCTGGCGACCTTCTGAACGACTTTCGTTCATAGTTCGAGGCTATTCATTTACGCAACAATCGTGTGTATCGTAAAGACAGTTGGCGCTCGGACACGAGCAACGAATATATACTGGTTTTACAATGACATGTAGGGCGTGATTTGCATAAGACAATGTATGAGCGAAGAATGTAGGTATAGGTTTGAAACATGGATTTCAAGAATCTGTGGCAGACAGTCCCGGACAGAGTAGCAAACTGCTTACATCAGATTCTCCCGTGTAGTACCAAGTACAAAGCACCTAAACACAGTTGACTAGATTGAACTTCTGCTACTTTGAGTGGAGAGAAACTCACCATCATGGCATAAAATGACAACAAAATGAATCCCTCTGCCCAGTTTGTTTTACTGTCGGCAGTCACGAAATTGACAAGGAAGCAGGCACCTAGGAGTAGTGCAACTTCAAAGAAATCTGACAGGCTCTTCAGCTTTGGTGGCAATAGCATCATACTCGTGAGTAACGCACCAAATAACAAGTTGAAAGGCTTTCCGGTGCACCAGCCGAGCAGGGTTAGGACCGGCATCCAGAGCAAGACGAACTGAATGCTCAAGTCAATGGCTTCAGCTTTAGCCAGAGTATTGGGCGGTTCAGGATCCTTGGTCTTATACCATACTCGGCGAGAAGCCTTTTGCAAAAAGTAGCCTGCCGCAACAGCACCATCCGCTGAGAAGGAAACGAATGGAATGAGGACCAAGCCGAACCACTCCTCCGTGATGTTGGAAACATGCCTCACGGGCTCGATGCTGTCCACCAACTGCTGAAAGTCAATAAATGTAGACCTAGTCGTTCGACGACACTTACCCACTCCGAGGTCACAGCCACAACCGCGATGTTAACAATCAGAGCGCCGATGCAGACCCATTGGTTAACATCAGGCTCCTCTTCTTGTAGTTTTGCTTCATAAGCCTTGAGCTGGGCGGGTGTCAAAGAATGGGTCAACGAGTTGTTCCCAGCACCAGGAGGGTTGTGATAGAAAATCCGCGAACAGATGTATCTGACAGCAGGCTTCGTCACAAGTCTGATGCAAGAGAAGGAAAGGAGCCTACATAAGAAGGAGTAACACTGCAAGCCCTCTGCTCATGGTCAAGAAGTCGGTTTGGGTGTTACTACCAAGGTCTGGGAGCTCGCCGTTGGCCGATATCCCACTAGAAGTACTACCACTTATAGCTGCGTAGAATGAAGCCGGCAACAACAGGGCCAACACCCTGTGCATGTAAAAAGTTGTCCTCATAACTCCAGATGATAAGAAAAACGTACCCAACAGTAAGCAAGGTATGGTTGAGTTGTGTGTGGGCAGGGTGCAGGTCTTGTTCCCATATTCGAGCACCGCCTGTCAAAAAAGCGGCTCCAGGAACAAGGAGGAGGTGCAATAGGACCACGCCTGCAAGATAATGTGGTTTGTCAATAGTGTGAAATAAAACTACTGTTTTCGGAGCTTACCGGTGATGGTCGATTGAAGTAGCTTGAGCCTTGTAAAGTTTGCATCACGCCGATGATTGCATGTTAGCTAACGGATTACTTACTCGCACTTGAGCAGGAGTATGATAGCCAGGGTCACCTCGACCGCACTGCTATTATTTAGGCTGTGAACATGAAATGGAAGAGTATTTGGCTTACTTGTTCAAAGTGATCGTGATCAAGTCGCCAAGATCCTTGCCGCAATACAAAGCCATCTGTTCACCGCAGTAGTCGAATAAGCATTCGTGTGGTATAATTGTCAAGAAACAAACTACACAAGAAAATGAGCGCTGGTGATGAATCAATCGGCAGACGACATACGTGAAAAGACAGCAGTATGATAATCGACCATATTTTCGTCGAAATGCGCCCACCATGCTACAGGCGTCAGGAGGAGTAGCAGATTGAGCCCTGTGAAAACCATGAGGTACTTGACCACATCGCACGGGCGGCGGAGACGCACATGAACATCCATATATTTTCTTAATGCTCTGTATCACGCCGACAGGCTTCTTGCCTCTGCGGAGGAAACGGTCGCAGGTGGTTTTGAATCTCGGTCTGAAAGGCTCGCCAGTCTCAAGATCCTGATGATTAACTGAATCGAGTTCTGTGGGCGAGAGCGGTTTGGGTGAGAGTTGCCCGTTACATTCCTGAGAGATGATTTGAATGCCTGAGACACCGTCAGTGTTTTGTCGAGTATGGGTAGCCCTACGCTCTGCCATGGACTAAAGGATAGGGAATTTGACTAGGGTGTGATCCAGGTAACTTATTATAATACAAGGCACGAGTTGTGACATGGTAAACGCTGGTTATGTGAAGCTCGGAGTCGAGAGACAACATGCCGGGGAACATGGGCTTGGCGCGATCAATCATTGGGTGGCACTGCAGGTAACGGTTACATGATATGCGGTGTCCACCTGTGTCCACTCGGTTCACGTCGCTCGGTACGGTCAAATTGAAAGCGGGTGATTCGGACCAGTCACGATTAACAGTGCATTAAAACCCTGTCGCCATATGAGTGAACTTGTTTCGCCAGACCGTAACCGGAGCCTACAGGCATGCGTGGGTAGCGGGAAGCTAAATAGTTGCGTTATCCAGATTCCAGGCCCAGGCTGTGGCCATCTATTACGGTAGTCAACAATAGATCCGACTTAGCATCATTCCAATTTTCTGTAAGTAACACTTATAATGTAGAGGCAACTGTAACGCATCCTGATTAACAGGGCCTTGGTTACGTTGGATCCTTTGGAGGTATGAAATCGCTACTAAAACCACTTTTCGCTGCTGTGCTACCTTCCTGCTAATGCCCATTGTCTACTGTTGCAACTAGTCCATGTCCTCCGCGAAAGCGGAGCTACGCCACTCCGACATATGACAGAACGCTTGTTGGGATGTCACTCGTCGCCGTTCAATCAGATGAGGTTGCAGCGGCTGTCACGCGCAATCCACGGTTGCTTCTATGCACAGGCACTTGTCACGGTTACCGTTCAATCAGACGAGGTTACTAACTTTCAGCGGCTGTGGCGATGTGAGGGTACAGGGTACCCATACTATACAGAGATCAGAAGACAGTCGTTCTTTCTGGTTCAAAGGAGGCGTAAACATGCATACTCCAGAAGTTTGCGAACTACTGAAATACCGACCTTCCACCTTCTCGAAATCACCGGCGGCCAGTTGCAACATATCTTCGGCGTTTATATTCCCATCCCTCCATTAATTATTACAATGAAAGACGGATCATTGACCTTTGGAGGAATCAATAACGGCAGCCATGTTCTTATCAACAGCGGGACCACGGATGCTAGGGGATTATTTCATGCACGATATACAGAAAACTTGTATTGTGGCACAGCGCCCTACTACTTAGCGACCGGAGCTATCCTCTTGCAAGGTTGTTTTCGACGCGGAAAGTTATTCACAAGATGTAGGAAGAAAGGCGTAGTCCTAGCCAACGATGATGTCCATGGCTTGACATCGGAACACGCCGTACCACGTGTTTAGGCTTCACGGGGCCTGGATTGCCGTACACCACGCATCGTAATGAAAAACACGCCTGATTGCTGCTGCGCTGCTCATCTTGTGCACCTAGAAGAACCGAATCCCAGTTTGGTCCTAGCTGCTACAAACATGAAGTAGTGACTTGTCCTGCAAAATGCTTTCAGAGCTGTAACACAGTCCGAGCACGAGAAGTCAGCTACCAGTCAAGGCCATATGCGAGACAGGACATCAGAGGCGGTCGACTGGTCGAATGTTGCCCATTCACAAATATTCTAGGCTTGACCACGCGTACCATGGGAACTTGAGGGGGCGTCAAACACGTTGGATAAGCTATACGACATCTTGACGAGTCTACCTTGCTGTTGAGCTTGTTTCACAGAGAATCCAAAGGAAGGGGGAAGTTTTCGTCTTCGAAGTAAGTGAACTCCATAGTTTCATTTGATGGAATGCATAGATTTTATCAGTCAAGCTTCCGTGTCAATGCACAGTCGAATTATCTGAGAGCACTGTAATTACGACTCAACTTCGGCTCTGTTCCCGCTGTTCCAAAAGCCACGCTGATAAGTGACCCCGATGATGGCGCCATCTTCATATTTGTTTCAGGCGCATTTCGCCCTTTCATGATATCGCCCGCCGCGGGAATAGGGCTCACAACCATGCTTTGCTGTGGTATTCAATTTCGTATAAGTACGGTCACAGAAGAAATGTAAGCTCGTGCTTGCCTCCAGACGACCCCGCATATGCTTGATATGTTCAGGTTCAGTAGTTACGGTATGATCTCTTTTTCGATGTAATCCACAAAACTGAACTAAATACGAGCATGAACAGGTCAAACAAACGTTGTGTAGATCCGAAGACCGACATTTTTGGGAGTTGCGGAATTCGTATGTCATGATGACGACGCAGATCGGGTTGTAGATTGATCGCAAGCCTGCGATACCGGGAAAGGTAGGTGCGTCATATCGCGGAAGGCGGGGGCGGCATATTGTACAAGATGGAGCACAGAGCTGTTTAGATCGACCTTTTTAGCATTCATTTGATCATGCAGTTTAAGTGTGCCCCAAGCCTGCGCCTGGCATGCGAGAAACACTCGAGACGGACGAAACAAAGTCCGAGCTCAAGATATGCGTTACTATGTAACCGGAAATGAAACGAGAAGATGGCATGCATAACTACGACATTCGCTTTAGATGACAATAGTACCAGTGAATTGGATTGTTTGATTCCCAAGGTGTTGACCAATAGACCACAACAACCTTCAACAATACTATTATGGCTCTTGTACAAGTCTGAAAGGAAGTCTTATACCGCGTTGTTCCTTCCATACTCAGTTCGATACGCTGGGCCATGGATGTTGTTACAAAGGTGGAAAACTGGATCGCTAATTGGAGCAAAGAGGGAGAGTCCGAACTGTGCGTAGCTGTTTGCTAATTTTTTTGTGGCGCTCAACCTGACGCCCTTGATTCGCAAGTCGAAATTTCCTCATTTCACCTCACTCGAATCCTTCCGACCCTATTTGCGCAGAGGCTCTCACGACCGCCTACCATGCCCTTCTTTTGTCTGTCCTCACAACCTGGCAGCCCAAGCAGAGTCCCTTAAATGCGCAGGCTCTCGTAGCCTTTATCCAGTCTGTCCTCCTTGCACTTCCATCCTCCTCCTCTGCGCGTGCGGGTCCACCCGTGCAGAGTATTGTAGTTCGGAGAGATTCTTGTGGATGTTTTGTGGTCTACAGATGCTCAACTGGACGAGTTCTTGTCAGACGCGAAGTCTACTTTAGTGAACTCTGAGCAAGCTTCTGGAGGCCAACAAGTGAAGGACCTCCCGAATAAAGACACTACAGATATTGCAGAAAATGCAGCTCAACTGCGGCATTCCGTCGAACAAGACAAGGAAACGTTAAGCGAGCTCGTCAAAAGACTTCTGGTAAGTACCAGTACACAATTCTACAGCATCCTGAATTTATCAACAAACAGTTCACTGGCATTGTTGATCTCGCCGTATGTCGAGAGCGCCTTGACTTGACTCTTCTTGCCAGTGCTGGTCTAGTTTCGGATAGAATGTCATTTGACAAGAAGGAAATACGCACTCGCACTGGACTTTTGTGAGTCACATGTAAATATTGGATCATAATGTCATCTAATTTTCGTGCACGTAGCTATAAGCAGAACAAGTTCAACCTTCTACGTGAACAATCTGAAGGCTACAGCAAGCTTTCGGTGGAGCTCACGAGTTCCTTGGGTCCTGCACACTCACATGCTGATGCTAGACCGGTAGAAAGCTATGCCTCTATCGAAGACCGTGCGCGCCAAGTTTGGGAAAAGGTTATAAGTCTTATTGGTTATTTCGACCTCGACCCAAATCGCGCCTTGGACATTATCTTGGATGTATTATCGGTCAACGTGGCAACTCACTACACGTTTTTCTTGGCGTTGCTCTCATTTTCTCCATGGACTGGACTGTATAGGCGTCCTACAATGTCCACTGCTAGCCACATGGCTGTCGATCCCGTTACCGGGGATAAGAGCCTGGATGAAGTGTTGCAAGTCACCGAAGCAAATGCCGGCGATCAGTCGACACCACCTCTAGAAAATGATGGCGGCACAGAGTCTCGAGTGCTAGCACAGGTGCTTGGTTTCAAATTCTCTCATTACCAGGTCAGTTTTTTTGAGATGAATTGGTGCTTGCAATTCACTCTTCGTACAGTCATCAGAGACCCATGAATCACCCCTGAGGAACCTCTATCTAACTGCTGCCATCTTGATCAGGGAGGGTTTTATTACCGTAGAAGATCTTTACCCCCATGTGAGGACATGTCTATGTCGAATGCCCTTTGACCTCCTGACAATGTAACAACAGCTTACTCCAAGGGATGTGGACGTTGAAACATATCATAAAGATTATCTTGCCCAGGTTCAACAGCGCATTTCTGAAGCCAAGATTAGCCAGCTCGCCATGGCAGCTCCTTTGGAGTCTTCTAGCTCAAGTTCGCAACCTCGTGTAGAACCTGCAGAAGTTAAGAAGAGCGCCATCGAGTCCAAACCTCCTAACCAAATTGCTGGGCTGGTCAACGGCCTTCTCTCTGTAGGAGCTTTGCGCCCGGCGATCGCTATTCTGACGAGGATTCCTTGGCTTGTTGACGCTCACCCCGAGTTGGCCGATCTCATTTTGAGGGCTCTGAAGTATTCTATCGCTCCTCTGTATGATGCAACATTCGTCCTCAAAGAACGCAATCCGAGTTTTACACAACCTCGCACACGGTTCAGCGCTACTGGAACACTGGCAGTTCCAGTTCGTAAATACCAGCTATCATTAATAGCTCCCACTCCTCCCAGCACAGCATCAGTCGATTTCGTATTTTTCTTCCCTGACTGGACCCAACGCATCCCACTTTGCACTTCCTTCGACGACATGGTGAATGTAATTGAGCCTTTGATGAGTTTCATTGGGCTGCACGTATCGCGCGATGCCTTGTTTGTCACGAAGATTACGAGGTTGGGGCGCTCACAGCTGTTATCCACTGTAAGTCATTTGTTTGCTCGTATAACTAGTCTTAACTCGATCAATCATAGATTCCCTTGGATCCAATTTCCAGAAAACCATCAGGCGACCCCGACGTGAACAATCCCGTTCGACAGTTTTGGTTCAAGCTTCTGCGGCTGTACTTTCTTCCTGCGCTCCCTCTCATTCGAGGCAATGCAGTCTGTACCGTTGACATTTGGAACGTCATTCGACAGTACGAGACGACTGCAAGATGGAGACTATACGGAGAATGGAAATCCGGCTACATATCTCATCCTGAACTTCGCATCCGACAAGTGCAAGCTGACCGTGAAAGCAAAGGCATCTTGCGACGTCTTTCACATAACACAATCGAGACGCTATCTGGAACAGTGGCGAAACTGGCTCATTCGAATCCTTGTATCTTCTTCATGAACGCCGTCAACCAGATCATGGCATACGACAATCTTGCCAATGTCGTTATACAAGCATTGCGATATGTCACCAATATGGGATTCGATGTGCTCGTGTATGTCATCCTTGAGGCTCTATCAAATCCCAATAAGAACCGTGTCAAGGATGATGGAGTCAACACTTCCGACTGGCTTCAAAGTTTGTTCTGTTTTGCTCCTTTGTTTTTACCGTCCTTAGCATTCGTTTTAGGTCTAGCGTCCTTTACTGGCATGCTTTTCCGGCGGTACAGTGCTGATCTGTCGCCTTTGTTGAAATACGTGGTTCACCAGTTGTACAATGGCCAGACGACAGAGATTGTCGTACTGCGGGAGCTGATTTGGAAGATGGCAGGCATTGAACCTCTTCCGAGCCTTTCGGATTCGCAAATCGCTGCGATGGCCGGAGGACCTGCTCTGAGAATTGAAGCCGTTGCCTCAACGACTCGTGGCGCTCGCCTTGATCCAGGTGACGCTGTCCTCAAAGGCCCACAACGGCTCGGGAAGACCATGTTAGAGACGAATCTAGCACTACCTCTCCTTATCCAAGTGGCACAGCAGAGACAGTCCTGTGTTTTCAAAGCTCCTGATGCCCACTTGAAGTCCCTTGCCAGTTTGTTTGATACTGTAAGTCGCATCGCATCATATGCTGTACGTGCTCTCATCATTGCTCTAGACTCACGGTGTCCTGCTGCAATATTTGGATCTGCTTACCTCGCCAGCCGTAATTTTGCCCAAGGACTATGCAACGCGGATCCTGCCCAGCCTTGCAGATCTTGGAGAATTGTATGGGATAGCCCCTCCTATCTGCATGCAAATCATACGACCTATGCTGAATGCTACGATACTGGTGAGACATACAATCACTTTTAGCATACGCAACAACTGAGTGATGTTGTAGAGTGCTGCCCAGGAGAAGGAACGACTTGCTAATGAGGAAGCGGAAAGGAGACTGAAAGCACGTCTTTCTGCGGCAAAGCGCGAGCCTTCCGCCACCACCCCTAGGGTGGATTCGCCTACGGGAGTCAATGGAACCAGCACTCCACGAGACACTGGTGATCAGAAGTCGTCAGTTGACAGTGTAGCAGAAGATGCAGTGATGGATGTCGAAGTGACTGCAGCAACTTCAGCTCCGTCTGAGGTAAGCCACACTTGAAATAAGCGAATAACGTTTACAAGCTTATCTTTGTAGAGCCCATGGATACCGGATCTAGAAGCTCTTTTCGACGATGTCAAGCAGATTGCCAAGAACAGTGCTCTTGATGTGATTGGGTAAGTTATGCTTCTAGCGAGGTACCTGCGGTATTCAAGACTTTACAGGCCCGGTTTTTACTTAACTTTCTGGCAACTTTCCATGTATGATCTGGCGCCTCCATCAACCCGATATGACGAGGAGTGCGCTGCTTTACGGACACTGAGCCGTCAAGAGGACTCCAAGTACATAGCAGCTGACCGTTCTGCTGACAGAACGAAAAGGCTGTCAGCGGGCTCCCATCGGGCTAAACGAGACAGATACAATGCTTTTGTTAACACGCTTGCTCAGGAGTTCAAAGAACAAGCTGCCTCGAGAGTGTTCACGATGAAACGACTTGCCCGAGAGAAGCATCATTGGTTCGCCCACAGTAAGACTCCTTCAGTCACATCTATCTTAATTTCTGACATCATTCTAGCCGAACATCGCTCTTCGGTCCTGGCTTCTGCAATCATCGAGCATTGCATTCAACCGCGATGCCTCCTATCGCCTATGGATTCAGACTTTTGTGCACAATTCATCAAAGTCATGCACACACAAGGGACTCCAGGGTTCCCTACTCTCGTGGTATATGACAAGGTATGTCCCTTTTGCTCTGTAATCTACCGCATATTTAGGAGTGTTGTTAGTTGCTCGGGGACCATGTGAAGGCGGTTGTCTTTTCCTGCAGCGAATACGAAGCCAAGAACTATGGTGAGTCGTCTACATCTTGCGATCATGGCTATCTGTAACTGTAGTCTCCAGGGCGCTTTTTACTGGGGATATTGACGGATCTCTGGAAGTGGGCTCAAGATGAGCAGCTCTTTTTGATCGAGAATCGCACGAAAGTTGGCGGAAAGACTATTCTGCTTCCGGGTTTCCAGCATAGATGGTCAAGTAAAGACCATGCGAGTATTGTTCCGGATGACCTTTTGTCGTGGACCGGATTCAAGCAGATTCTCCGTAAATGGCACCGAAAACTGGGACGAGTATGTCTTTAGCAGTCTTCTGGTAATCAAGCTAACATCCATGCTTTTAAACAGAGTCTTTTGAGCTGTATTGAGACAACGGAATTCATGCATGTCTACAACGCTATCATCGTGTTGAAAGAGATCCTTCCCGTTTTCCCTCTTGCTGCAGTGGGCGACGCTGGACCTGCCATTGACACCGTAATGGAGAAGTTCCTGGAGAAGGAAGAACGTGGTGATCTCAAGATTCTAGGTCGAGCGTAAGCCTGTTACTTCAGGTGTCTGGAACAATGCTCATGATTAACAGTTATTCCGCGAGTCTGAAAAAGCGAGAGCCGTTCTGGGCAGTGCCAAAGCCAATTGCAAGCAAGGTAGCATTCACCTGTTGCAGAGAAGGACCTTTTTAACAGTTCTATCTACATAGTCTAATGGAGATCCTATGTCGCCGAAGCCAACAAATTCATTAGGTATTCTTCCTGAGAGGCAAACTCGCACACCGGCTCCTCCTAACGGTGCTGCAACGCCTGTGGCAGATCGAGTCAGCACTCCGGTTCCTCTCCTTCGTGCCAATGGAATGACCCCACAAACAATCGTTGATCGACCCTCCACACCAGCAACGTCCACCAGGTTAGCCATTGACAGGCATGTACAGGCTTTCCATGTTATTGTACCAGTTACTCATCGCCTGTGTAGCATTCCACGGCCAGAGAAAGTGAGACGAGTACGACCTGAGAAGGGTAGCGAATCACCAGCTCCCGATGGTGATGCCAAGGGTGTTGCAAAGTTTGACGCGATGGATATCGACTGCACCTCCGAAGGAACTGAAAGCAACGCCAGCTCCAATCCTCGAACACATTCTTCGCCCTACCCCTCGTCTCCACCCAGGTTCCTCCCAAAATGTCCTTCCGTCTACTCCGACCGCTAATCCTAAAGATGCACCCAAAGCCCAGCGGCCATCGCCGTCGAGTTCTACCCCAAATGCGTGGGAACCTCCACACTCACCACGCCCTAGAACTGACGAGAAGCAGACACAACCGTCCCCAAGCGAGGCTATGCCACCACCATCTGCTCCAAGCCAGACGATCTCGGCGCAAGAACTGCGCGAGACTGCCAAACAGAGTATTGGCAATCGCCCACCAGATCGGGCCGATGATAAGCGATCTCAGCCTGGCTCTGGTGCTCCATCTCCAATTTCTCGTCGCCGCACTCCTTCTCCTCCACCTCGTCCTGGTACAAGAACTCACAGCATGGAGAGCCGCGCCAGTGGCCGACGTTCTGACCGTGGAAGTGGCGATGGTGATCGTCCTGATGACAGGCCATCTGACCGTGAGGCTCGGGTGGAGCCTCGTGCATCTACAGGGCGTAAAGACGCTGCCACGCACCCCCGAAGTGATAGAGGCACCCGAGAGCGAACATCTACGCGAGACAGTGATCGAGACAGAGAGAGTGATCGAGACAGAGACTCTCGGCGGGACAGACATGGTGAAAGGGAGCGCGACAGAGACAGAGAGAAGGAGCGGGATCGGGACAGGGAAAGAGACAGGGAGAGGGATAAAGACAAAGATCGTGATCGTCGTGACCGAGACAGAGAACGTGATAGGGATCGCGACCGTGATCGCGACCGTCACCGCCGGGATGAGAAGGATCGTGACAGGGATTCGAGGAAAGATCGCGAGGTTTCCGGTCGTGGTCCTCCTTCTACCGCAGCTTCTGCTACCCTGGACACTCGTAACTTGCCCACTCGTCCCGATCCCACAAGGCATAGTAGCAGGGCACAAGTTGGTGATGATGCACTCGGCAAGAGAAGACGTCCTATTGATGACGAGGTACTAATCTTACACTATTCACTGTCATGAGAGTGCTTAACATTTGACAGGCCGACCGTAATACCAAGAGGAGCTCCCGTAAGGAGGGACATCGTGAAGATCGCACTCGCAGGTCAGAGAAGGAGAGTCACGATCGACCTCGGGAATCCGATCGGCGTCGAGAACGGGAAGCACCTGAGGCTGAACCACGCCACCCTCTATCTGAACGAGTACGTCGCTTTCGTACTTTCCATCATCATGTGGCTCACGGTATGGCCTTAGCCTGGCGAGAAGCGATTGCCAGAGGGTCCTAGAAATTTACCTCCTAGTACACCTTCTGCACCACGGGCGATGGCATCTGGGGATGCGTCCAGAACCAAACCTGATATTACTCCTAGCCGAAGTGGTGGGGACTGGAAGGGTCCGCGTGACCATGGCTCACACACGTTCCCGGCCTCCACTAGTGGCGGGCTGAGCCAGGACGTGGCTCCAAGTTTACGTTCGCGCATTGGCGACAAAGAGCCTCCCCGCACGACTCCTCAAGCACCGTATCGCTCCGAAGCTCCGCATAAGGACGATGACCGCGATAACAGAAAACGGACTCTAGCAGGTATGCTATCATAGATTCAACGTATTCATGACTCACTCTAACGAAGATCGCGATAAAGATGTCGGTGAGGCCACCATCTCTGCTGCAGGAGAACTCTCGTTACAGCCTCAGAAGCGGCTACGGATCAATCGTAATCGGTACAATCCCCATGCCCTCCAGACTCATGGTTTAGCCAAAAGGACCTTGCCTATAGACCCACAGGCTGGGGACAAGTCTCGATCCACACGTTAGTTTGATTCCAGTTTGCCCTGCTATTTGAGTTCTGCAGTATATATCGTTACATTAGTACATTGTGCACAAATGAATCTGACTGATGAGGCTCCACTCTACACAAGTGATGAATTATTATATGGTATGTAGCTGTGGTGAATGAGTGACTACGAGTTGAATCGATAATATCCCGAGTTGAATCGCGGTAGGTGGCCAATAGCTATGGTCATCTTTTAATCAAGGTGAGGAATTCCTCCCGAGTCTTTTGTTGAGTTCGGAAACAGCCCAGCATGCAGGAAGTGACAGTGATGGAACCTGGTTTCTGTACACCGCGCATGGTCATGCACATATGGCTAGGTAGAACCGAACAGTAAGCATAGAAATGTCAAGCGTCGTAAACACTTACGTTGCTTCCATAACGACTGCGACTCCGCGGGGCTTAATTGCCTCCTGAACGGCGATAGCAATCTGTTTAGTTAATCGCTCTTGAACCTGCAGACGACGACTGAAAGTTTCGGCAATGCGCGCAAGCTTGGAAAGTCCAAGGACTAGCTGATTTGGGATGTACGCGATAGCGACCTATGGAAAATTCCGAGCATGATTTATGAATGTCAGTGGCACGCGTAATATCGGAGGGCCACATACTTTTCCTGTAAAAGGAACCAAGTGATGTTCACAAAGGCTGGAAATATCGATTTCACGGACTAGAACCATCTCATCGTGATCCTCTGCGAACACCGCATCGTTGATTACATCTAGTAAGGCGGAAATGAGATAATAAGTACGCCGGGATTAGATCAGAGATAAGCCGTGTTTCACCTGCTAGTCGCTCCTCGTATCCCCGAGTCATCCACATCATAGCCTGAGCGAACCTCTCCGGCGTCTTCAACAAGCCTTCCCGGTTGGGGTCTTCTCCAATACATTCAAGAATAGTCCGCACCGCAGAGACCATCATTTTCTCACGCGCAGCGCGGTCTGGCGTGGTTTCGTTCAAACGAGACACAGTGGATTTTGCTGTCATAAGAATGAGTATCATTGAGATGCCATTCAAGTATCATTGACGTACCAGGCCATCCAAGACCATTAGGATCAGGAAGTGCGCGGTTTCCTTCGATAGCACGGGTGGGCACGGTGAGAGGCGTCGAAGTACCTGAAACCCCTCGAAAGCCATAACCTTCTCGGACTTGAGGAGGACTGGGAGGTGAGGCATTGGCTGATGAAGATGCCAAAAGAGACTCGTTATCTGGAGCAGGGTCATTCTTAGATTGCGGGTCCCCGCCGTCATGGTTATTTGACCCGAGATTCGTTTCGGACTGCTGGAGTTCTAGTTGTCGTAAACCATTTGACAAGAGCTCAACGTGAGACGTCATTTGAAGCGAATTCAGGGATGTTTAGTCTAAGGCCTGCTCAACGCAAAGAAAAAGAAACTACGAGTGAATCCTTATCGCGTAGCGAAAAGGACTGAGCCGTAGTGTCAATACAGCTGCCAACTTGCCGGTTAATTGAGTTGTCGTGAGTCAGTGCGAACGTACCCGGTAAATTTGGCGAACGCTGTCACAGGACCCCGACTGCTGCCCGTGACACATGTCTGCACGTTTACTTCCGAGGCGCAAGCTCTCAGTGTCGGGTGACACAGCGCACTTAAGTCCGACGCAAGGCGGTCCGTGATCTAACTAAAAATTGATGTAGATAGATGCTGAATCCGGACGACAAGGGAAGGAAGGTCATATATTCTTCAGGCAAGTCACAAAACGGCCCTTGGGCCCAGTACTATAGTGTACCTCGACATTCAAAGATGCGTCTAGAGAAAATAAAACCCAATCTGGCACTTCAGTAAAACCACGCCGCGGATGTTTGATAGGCAACTTTTTGTTCTGTATGTAAGTCCGTAAAACGTCGATTTTATGTTGACATACAGGTGGGAAGCTCCTGGACGGTGGCAGTGCGAAAATTTGTCTTCGTAAATGCATCGTCCCGAAAGAAGTGGGGTGGCAGGCCTGCATAGACACGTCAGTGAGAGTGATAAGCGAACGTAGAAATAAAGAAAATCACCTGGATAAGCATTCGTATGCTCAGGCTAGTGAAGCAACAAACGCGCTGTCATGTCGGGTACCTTTGATCAGAAACATCAGACCGCTGCCAATAAGTCTTCTTTTGTGTGGGCGCTTGACCAAGATAGCAGCCCTGAGAGCACCGCATGATAAGTTGATAACATCGTCATAGCTAGAGGGTAGTTTTGCGATGGGCATGAATTATGAGTCGCTGAGACACGTACAGTGATATCAAAACGTGGCATAACTGATGCTTGTGGTTCCCCAAGAGATGGACTGCATCGGAAGCGGGAGTTGTAGCACCTGCGGGCTCGGCGGGTTCAAGTGGATTGAATTGGCCACGTCGCCTGTGGATGAGAAATTGAAGCGAGAATCAAAGACGTTTTCGATTTCATATGAGTGGATACTTGTTATAGTTACCATTGACTACATTCTTTAATTTTGAGTGACATCCCAGCGGCCTTAGATCTCGCAGTAATCATCTATGAACGTACCTCCTGATGGTGACCGTCATTGGGAGAGCCACTAATACATAACATGCCCGTGCCACGGGTTTTCGCCGAGCGGCGTGGAGTCGGGGTCCTCAGTCAGTGGTTGTCACCCAAAAACGGCTATTTGAAAGGATTCATGGCTTGGTTTAGCCGCAGCAGCAAGGCTCACTGAGCAACCCGGAGGCGTCCCATATTCCGAGTCCTCCAAGTTGCCGTTACTAGTAAGTTTAGGTCGGGGATGAGGCCTGCCTAGGCACTCACTCGCGTTCTGTCACGTCCCTTTATTGCCGTGTAAGTTTTCTTATTCGCTCCTCCTGAATGCTCACGGAATGATTTCTGCCACCCTAAATCGCTCTTATAAAGTTTCATAAACCTTACTTATGTCTTCTGTTTTGTTCTCACTAGTTTCATGTCCCGGGACAGGTCTGCCAAACTCGTCCTGCCACACCGCTGGTCAAATATCACCTCGGATCTCATCAAAGTTGTATGACCACATACTACTTGTAGCGGAACAAAAAAGCTTTGACGTGAACCACCAAAAAGCTGTGACCCGGGACTCTTCTTAAACCGGGCCCTCTTTCCGGAATGGTTTCCTGATTCACCGTTCGTATTCACTGAGAATGTGTCAAGGGTTGAAGCCTCGCAACCCATGCTCACCTTCACAAACCAACAGTACCAATCGTGTAAGCCTCAACCCGAAGCAATTCCCCTTAACATCATGTCGCTGTGTCCAAAAGGCATGGCTATCCTCTCGGGTTATTCCTCGCCGCAGAGGATCTTACCTCATGCCCGGCGCACATCGCCCCATCAACGAGGAAAACATTAAATCAGCTGTCACAATCACTCGTGGCTGCGTGTTTGAGTTGTTTAGAGTCCTTTGGAGTCTGCATCCAGTTCGCACTACACTCATGATGGTCATAAACGTGGTTCGGGGCATGTTTCCTGCCTTCAGGGGCTATTCACAAGCAATGATCGTCGATGAGGTCGGTGAACTCCACTTGTTTCTTTCATCTCTCTCACTTGCTCCAAAAGTTGCAAAATCTGATCTCGTCTGGTTGCTTCACTTGGTCACGCCTACTGAAGCTGCTGATCGCGGAAATATGCCGAAGAGCGCTCGAAACGGCACTCGACTCCTTTGCGTACGTTCGCATGTTCAGACTACGGAATTATTTTCATGCTTAAAATAGTTCCGCAAATGAGACCGTTGTTCATGATTCGGTGCGCTTTTTCGTGGAATATCAGCAGATCGCACAACGTCTGAGGCTCGACATCCCGACACTCGCGGATCCCGTCGTAAGGGACTGTCTTCAAGAGTCCGATCTCTTCGTCAGGTCATTCAATGGCATGGGCGGGTTTGGGCTACTTTCACCGTTCGACTTCGTTCAAATTCTAGCCCAGATATCGGAGCTTGCGTCGTATATCTGGGTGCTGTTGACCTTAACCGGTGGCTCTACACACATGGGTGCTTTGTTGCTATCCATTCTTTCCGCCCTATTCCCTCTTTTCTTAAACCGTTGTGGAATCACTTCTTCATATCCTGAATCGGCTTATACGAGCAAGGAGGCTCGTACCGCGGAACGTCAGGAGAAGCTACGGAATCTAGCCTATAATGACACCCATCGACCGGAAGTTCTACTCTTTGGGCTTGGACCATGGATACTCCATTCCTGGGCAAATGCTCGCAAGGCAATGATGTATGACGAGCATTTGTCGCCACTAAATCAGCCTTCATTGTCACAAATACTGCACCAGATAAATGTATCCGACCTGCTGTTCGCGCTTCAGAATGTGAGTTGCCACTCTTTCCATAGTCAACAAGAAGAATCAACGTTCCGTAGATTCCAATGTTCCTGATGTTTCAGTCCTCATCTGCGTCACTGGGATCACTGGCACTGTATCGGAGTTCAATTCAGTCGGTGGTTTATACAGTCGGAAATCTGGTCAATACAGCTCGCATGGCATTCCAAGGAATATTCTTCATGGGTGCCTTTTGCGCTGCCATGAACATTGAACCTCGACTGACACCTCTGAGCGAAGACGCGGAACTGTATCCTAGCATACCTAATGGCATGAAGATTGAAGCGAGGTATTTGAAACTATCTATCGTTTCACGTGTATTTACCTTCCATTTCCGCAACAGGAATCTATCATATACATATCCAGGAAGCAAGGAGCCATCGCTACAAGACGTCAGCTTCAGCCTAGAAGCCGGCGAAAGTCTTGCAATAGTCGGGTACAATGGCTCAGGCAAGTTCCGCCAGAAATTTCATTTATGTCCATCTACTTATCAGAAGATGTCCAGGGAAGTCTACTCTTGCCAAGGTGCTCCTACGGATTATAGATTTCGACCAAGGTGATCTCCTTATCAACGGTGTGGACATCCGTCGGTTAACTCCGAGCGATTATCACCGGCATGTCACGACCGTCTTCCAGGGGTTCTCGAAATACAGTTCGACCGTCAGAGAAAACGTCGGATTGGGTTTGTTCAAAACATGCAGTCGCCCGCGGCCATTGAGCACGCCATGCGTCTCGGTGGTTCAGATGCATTCGTAGGCGCATTGCCAAACGGAATGAAAACTAAGCTAGACGCCTCCGGGTTTGAGTTCATGCCGTACTCACCAGCGTCAAGTTCATGTCATGGTATGTCCTCGCGGTTGCAGCATGGCTTGTCTGGTGGTGAGGTAAGTTTGCCTATTGCCAAACAGGCATTCTTGAACTGAGCGTGTTCTCAGTGGCAGAGAATAGCCATCTCTCGGGCATTCATGCGCGCAGATCGACCAGAAGTTGATCTATTACTGTTCGATGAACCCGTGAGTGTGTTTCATACCTGCCACACTACTTACATCTCATTTCCGAGGGTAGACGTCATCATTGGATGGTTGTGCTCAGAACAAAATCTTTGACACTATCGATAAAGTCTCTCGCTCTCCCCAAGGCGAAAGAATCAAAACAGTGATTTTCATCACTCATCGTTTGTCAACCGCCCGCCGGGCGGACAAAATCGCAATGATGGAAAATGGGGTGAGTCAATCACCGTGTGGCGAGTCTCACGGCCTAACGCCCCTTCGTCGTATGCAGTCAATAACTGAGTTCGGGAGTCATGATGACCTATTGAAGAAAGGTGGTTCATATGCCACTCTATATAAAGCATCCGTTTAAAGCGTTCCCTTCGCTCTTACCCGTACATTCTTCCAGATGAACTATTTTGCATACTTCATAGACTTCAATTTTTTGAACAATACTAATGAGTTTACTTACGCATGTGGCGCCGTTAATGTACCTCTAGAACTTACATATAGCTGTGCATCAAAACTGATCGCTCGTAGAATGGTCCATGTATGCTACGATGCCATCATGAACGTATGCGTCCACATTTTTGCCTTCCAGCGGCTCAGCAACTGGCCAGCGGACTGTCGCAGAAGCCAACTACAAGGCCAGCGTCCCTGATTCCTTGAATCAGCGAAGGGACCTGCAACTTGAATTACATCGCAAGAGTGAGAAAATTTCTAGTGCCACGTAGTTGGGAGGTATCTCACCAATAATTTCGGATCGAAGAAAACACCCAAAAGGTTATTTCGTTTTGCAAAGTCGACGCCAGCAGCTACGCTGGATGACCAATAACGACACCCGGGACTTGTATCATCAGTACGGTATCTGGTCGACGCTCGTTGCCCCTCGTCATTTTGGCCGCATCGAGATGAAAAGAACACCGGATCTGGTTATACAGTAAGATTCTGGCTCCACGATGTGAGTCGGGGAAGCACTGACAATTTGGTTGTTTCCAATTTAGTGCTACACAGACTTGTGGCGAAAATGAAGTGAGGGCAATTCGGCGACGAGCGAACGCTCCACCTAAAGCCGAAGAAGTCTGCCGGATTGTGCGCAGCACGCTATCAACAGCTTCATTCAGGTCCACTTGGCATCTTATGGAACCACGGTCTCGACGCTCGGCAGGCAGTGCCAACTCTAACGTAAGGCCGAGCTGCGTAGGAAGAACCTGCAAAGCAAATTACTTCAAAGAAACGATCGGACACCACAAGATTGAGCCCAAACCTGCATTGCATCCGCAAGGGTAATCATATTGTGTGACAGCATTCTGGACCATTCTTGCGCAGATACTGCTTTTCTAAGCGACTTATCATCGCGCTTCAATCGACGTGCCAGAGCCTGGAACTGTTCTATATTGACATCGGAAACACCAAGGTCAAAAGAGGCCTCCGGTAGAAGATAGTCACCGAATATCACAGGATGCAGGTCGCGCGTGACTTGCACGGTGATATGCACGTGACTCCCGATCAATGATGATAAGGTTAATGTATGCAACGGGGAGGTGGCGTTGGAATGTATCGAGGGTGACGTATATGTCGAATCCAGTGAGCCGGGAGATTGCTGCCACGGCAATGATGTTTGCGAATTGGAAGGCGTGCCTCTGGGTATTGCCATCGATTTCCAGTAGGTTTCCACCGCTCCGCCCACCTCCAACGTAACACCTTGAAATGGTGTTATGACATTGATTGAGACAGTAACCTGAAATGAATAGTCAACTGAGCATCTGGTAAGATAAATGGCTAAGTTAAGCCTACTTCTCCGATACTATGAAGACGAGTGTCAAGGATGGGAAGCGTGACATCTGATACGCCATCGCAGCCTTGCAAAACCGATGGATGAGCGATTGCACGCCCAATCGTTTTAGTGCCGAAATTGGGGTATATCGAAAATTCCAGGCTCAACCCTTTCAGCGACGGGGATTGGAAGACAAAGACATCGCACTCTTCCATTTGAGGCAATAAAATGCTATACGGAGCAGCATTGACGCCAGGACCAGCGGTGATTACCATTTTCAGGGGTTTTGAAGATGGAAGTGACAAATTGGGCGCAATAATAGAGCTGGTCAGGCGGGGATGGAGTGCTACACCCGCGCCTCGGAAAAGGTTATTGTTGACGGTAACTTCGACGAGATAGTTCTTGTCCAAATAATTATGCCCGTATACGCGATGCGGCATGATCGGAGGGGGAAGTGACAACGAAGGGATCTGATCAAACTCGGAATCCACTTGCATTTCTGTGTTATTCAGTGGAGACTTGGGGCCAAGACTAGCGATTTCTGTGGCGTGGGGTACCTTCGCTGCAGCTTCGATAAGGATTTCTACAGACTCTCGATGCCCATACCAGGCCGCATAATGAACCGCCTGATGTCCTACTTCATCAGTCAAGTCCATCCGAACACCAGCCTCCAAGAGAGTTCGAAGGCAAGATGCGCGACCTTGGCGCGCGGCGTGAAAGAGAGGCGTCCACTCGTGGTACTTGTCTGGAGTATCCCAACCTCCATGGCCCAGAAGAAGCCTGACAACCTCGGCATGACCGTCCCGTGCGGCAAGATGTATAGGGTACTCGCCATTGCTATTTGGCATGCAACGTGCCCCTCTTTTCAGAAGAAGAGATACAATTTCTAAATGACCATGCTGACTAGCCAAAGCAAGAGGATTTAGATTGTCGTTCGGCGCAGTGAATGATGGGGAGATGCACTGGTCGCACAACAGCACTTGTACACATTCCGGACTTCCCTGCAAAGTGGCATAGACCAGAGGGCTGCAATTGTCCACATCGAGAACGTGTGGAGGTAAGGAAGCTTCCAAAAGCCGCTTGCAGACATGCGCGTACCCATGCATCGCCGCATAATGCATGGCAGACCGACCATAAACGTCAAGCTTCTTTGGCTGTGATGACTTCTCCAAACACATATTGACGAGGCGAAGAGCTCCCGCGGCAGCTGCTTCGTGGATGCATGTTCGCCCATTGATATCGTCAACGAAGTCGAAGTCGAACGGGACTGTGATGCTGGCGAGTACTAAATCCGCTAACTCAGGTGGCGCATCGACGATAACCCTCCACAGCATGCGGGTGACATTGATTCTGCATCCATTCTGTGTACCAAGAAGATCCGAGTGGTGAACAAGATCCTTGATAGAGGCTTTATCCGAGTTCTCCACGGCTTTTCGCAAATCATGCTCAAAATCGCGGAACGGTCCTGCGTACATATTTTTCTCGATGAAGCTCACGAAATCATAGGCAGCCGGACCTTCAACCTTCAAGCTAGCAGATAGGTCCGTGATATCCAGGAGGCAGGACGCTACAGTATCAGACAGCTCTGATATGAGCTATCAAAATGTATCAGAACAATTCAAACTAAGCGATGTCATCGCTTACCTGCCGATTAAAGACTGGTTGGACCTCAACCTGCCTGGCGAGGTAGAGCTCCTTCGTTGTTGACCGCGACCTCTTATCCCATTTCTTCAAAATCTTCCTGAATCCTGTTGCGTTCATTTCTATAAATTGCTGAAAGGAGTTGGTTCAGGTTACACATAACAGTCATATAGGCATTGAAGTACCTGAAGTTTTCCAAGATCCCTTTCGAGGAGGCGGAAGCCCTCCTCAACAGCACTCCACTCGACATGGTTGACAGTGATTTCCTCGGACGTATCAGGAAGCCCGCGTATTGCCGCGGCGCGCCTCTTGGAGAGTAGGGTCTCCAACCGGAGCTTCAGCTCTGCTTCTTTCTGCAGGTAAAATGTATTGATCTTGGATTACCCAATGACATTAAGCCTCGTGTAGGTAGACACTTTGGTGACAAAACACACCTTCTCCAGTTCACGCTCTAGCTTGAAGAAGAAGGCGGCTTTGTGCGCCTGGAAGTCAGAACCACGATCGTCGTCCTGTTGGAGAGCAGACAATATAGGTGGTTCATCTGGCTCATCTTGCGTTATCGGCTCGACGGGATTTGAGGTGTCTAGTTGGGCTGATACTGGAACTCGGATTGCTGTGGTAGTATTCTGTGAAATAGGTCTCAAGATATCAGCTGGGCGGACACCAAGGGCCAATGCAGCGGCTTCGGACGCAGGTCGATTAGCAGCAAGGGACGAAATGATCTTCTTGAGAAATTTGTAGTCCAGATAGTATGCAGACCATCCAGGGACCTGTTCTGCCTGAATTTGTTTGCCAAACTGTAGATCGCAGCGTCGGTAAAAGCTCTGATTGGCAAAAAGGTTGTATGGTGAGCCTGACCTTCATGATAGTCGTTTAATGTTCAAGCTCGAGAAAGGGGGCTGCAAAAAAGTGGTAGTTGGTCAGACCATGATGGTTGTCCCAAGAAGGGTTTCGGAAAGCTAACCTCGAGTCCCTAAATTTCATGCACGTGCGTCAAAATAATGTTTGCCCAGATAAATATACGTCAGACTCACAGTGATGCCAAGGGTACCGGTAATCGATAATCTTGTGGCAGTTCTCCTTGAGTCGGCGTTCACGCGATTCACGCTCTTTGAAAGGTTGTAATAACGTACAGTATTACTTGTGTACTAGATCGCGGTTCAGAACATATGTATCTATTCATTGATCTACGGTCGTAACGCTCGCGCCAGTCCATCGGTGCCCTGTAAGGTTCGTGTCGCAGTCTTGCTAACACTATTCACTCTCAGTAAGTTGTTCCTCTGCTCAGGTGGAGCCTGCTCGTCGGTCTGAAGAATCTGGCAGCGAATAAGCCGCGTCGTCACAATGTACAACCTTTTCAAGTCCAGAGACATTCGCGACTCGTTGCTTAGTATTAGGCAAACACCCACAACTTATAAGCATGGCAGTTTGAGTTCGCACGTGCAGGTACTTCTCCAGATGCCGGTGAGTATTGAATTATTCTGAATCTCGAGAGTACATCCGTTGTGTTATAAGAATCAGATCCACCAAACATTTGCACTACTCGTGATAAGGACGAAATTCTGACTCGAGGGATACTTGAATAGGTTACAATGACTGACTGAAGACATGTTTGAGCTTCAACCAGGCAAGCACAGAAGTGGATCTGTTATGTACTCACTACGAGAAGAGGCCAAAATCGAGGAGTGTCGGGAACTGGTCAACGATCTTATTTGAGCCATCCACGAGAATGCTTTTCGTTGGACCACCTCTAAAAGAATAAAATAAGCCTTATCCCCATTACCTGGATGGGGCAAAATGACCTCGATAGGATCGTCAGGGCAACTTTGTGATGGGTAGCCGAATGTGCACCGATCTATAGAGCGAACATCAAGAACTGTAAAAGAGCTCCGAGGAACAGGTACGCCTCAGATTCGTTGTCTGGACTCTGGATTCCGCAACATAGCGTCTGCTCGATAGAAATATCTCTGAGGAAGAGTTGGCCAGCATTCGTTAGTATCAATCGGAGTCCGAGTATGAGGACATCTGAATATTCAATGAATACTGTGGTATCTCAAAGGTGAAACGATCGACTTACTGATATAGCGCGCGCGAACTGACGTTAGGCGATCGAGTCCGAGTCTCATTTTGTCGCGGAATGTCACAGTATATCTGTCACACGTGACAAGATGTCACAAAATGCAAGTTACATAGTCCTCTCTCCAGAGAATCTAAAGCGCCACATTTTCCAAAACCTGAACTGAAATCTTACTTTGTCATGCATCCAATATCCTCTTTCGCGCTCAAAACGTATTGGGAACGACTTGAACCATGCACTGATGGGGAGTTTCTCCGTGGTCCAGGAACAATACTTGCAGCATAGTCCAACCCATTTGTCACGACTCTATGCGACGGACATAATCAGTCATCTGCCCTATCATCACTCAGCCCTGAGAAAAGTAAGAACTACAAAAAGCGGTACTCACCACTCGGTCCTAGTATGTAGGGTCTCATCCTGGCTATATCTAACTTGTCTATCACATTCAGGCATTTCCTTTTTACTCATTACGTTGGATTCTTGTCCAGTTCGAAATTATTTAACTCATCCAGTCTATTCTTTTGGCAATTTTGTTTTTGTTGCTTTACTGCTAGAAACACTCCCTTACCAACCAAGTGAGTTCTTGTAATTCTTTCAAGGAACGATTATGATCATTCGTCGATGGTCTCTCTAGGGGAGATGTCTAAGCTTGATTAGAGAGGGCCAAACTTGTTGGCGTTCAATCATGAGTGCTCCCCGCATGGGATGATGCCATGAGCAACCCCTGCTGCCTCCATCCATCCATCCATCCATCCATCCATCCATCCATCCATCCATCCATCCATCCATCCATCCATCCATCAAGCAGCTCATTTCCAACATGACGCGGACTAGGACGATGTGCCGAATTCTGTCAGTGTTGAAATCCACTCCCTACCGAAGAAGTATGCCTCTGGCTATTATTTCTTCCGTCGGGAGTTTATTTCTACACGTAGCCCATACCGGCCTCGTATGCACAAATAGCGATGCATCTGTTCACGAGCCAAAGGATCTCGAAGATTGGCCGATCTTGTTTAGTATCAGGATGAGTATCGTATCCTACCGAACGATTGGTCAATCGCCGTCGACCTCAAGTTTCTACCACGTATTTTTTTTTGACTACATCTTTGAACTTGATCAACAATATCACAATTATATTTGCTGCCAGACCACGAAGTAGAGGTCTAGCTAAGTTACGTCGCTTAGCGCATGCATCCGTTCTACAATTCTGTGCACATTTGTTGAATATACCGTGATTTGATGTCCGTATCCAGCTTGGTGTAGCTGGGCTTAATCGAATACAGTGCATGATGTACTATTTCTTGCGTGAAGAGCTACATCAAGCACTATGTACAAATTTGTTACACACGACAAGTATCGTCATCGTGGGCATCCAGACATAGATTTCAACAACTCAAATGAGATGGGTAGGCAACGTCGCGACGCATAGGAAATGCAAGTTTTCAAGCGGAAGTCTGACGCGCCCCGGGGCCTAGCAACTAAGAATGTCATAGGAACACTTTTCATATGATTCTTGGTAGTTAACTACGAAAAAACACATAAGATTACCAGGTACGATGTACCAATGCAAATAGATGACTCAGGAAGTGAGCGTCAATTATACCAAGACTTTCCTGAGCTGCCACGCCTTCGCGGGGAGGAGTGTTATCGGGCAATTACCATGTTGCTCGATGTGGTCGTGTGCGCAGCGGTAGCAGAATACGTAACCAGAAGGCAATGCCGTGGCATTGTGGATAAGCTCTTTGCAAAGCGGGCAGTATCCGTATTTTGTGTTGTCGATGGTGATCCCTGCGGGGTGCGGTGGAAGGATCTGAGGTGGAGGGATAGCTGGACCAAGAGGGGATATGGATAATGATCGCGCAGGGGAGCCCGGGGAGTACCACCATTCTAAGAATTTGATAAAAAAGATGGCTGTAGGTAAGAGAAGCCTCAAGGAGTCGAGTAGTAGTTGGGGTGATCGCAGCAGGAGCCGTCGAACTACAGCTAAAAATCCGCTCTTTGTTGGGGAAATAGCATTTTGCTTCGCTTGTTGTGCGAGCTACCCAGGTGGTATGAGTGCAATGCGAATGACTGAAATGCTAAACTCACGAAATCATCCATATTGAGTCTTCTGAGATCGACTCCTATCCAAGCTAGCCATGGGCGGTAGAATGGCGTACGATCAAATAGATAGGCTACATTATGGGCGAGAAGCCAGGCTTCGAATCCGATGTTGAACCATGGGTATAGTGTTTTAAACTTTCGGCGTAAAACGCCTGCCATACTCTGGAGATACCTGTCGAGCATTGCGTCATCATGAAACGGTACTGCTCACCTCGTCTGTGAGTTCTCGTATATGTCTTTCGCTACTTCCATCTTCCAGGATATCAGAATCAATGCCTCCACCGAGCGACTCATAGCAATCCTGCCCTTTCGCTCGTAAATAAGGTACAGCAATCTGAGTTCACAGAGGTGAGGGGCTGTCTGGTCATCGCCGAGAATTCTTACCAGGAGAAATAACGACCGCCAGATCTCACGACTTCTGAGCTTCTCACCGGCTGGTACTCCACCAACAGCAGCTGTTGCTCGTTCGGTCGCTATCCAAGGTCTTCTGCGTCTCTTCAAGCCGTAAAAATTCTCAGAAAATGATGCATCTAGTAATATTGATAGCGTACTTGAGTCCACTGCATCAACTTGCCAGACCTACTCACTATGTTTGCGGAGATAATGGCGTTCAACGAAAAACATGATGATAGCATAAAACTCTTCATGGCGGTTGACTATACGAATCAGATAGCGGGGGTAACGTTGAGCGAACACCTGGCAGGGGTAAGTAGTGTGGTGCTGTAGTAGAATCTGAGAACTTACTGCAAGTACATACTTTAGAGCAGGCTGAAGCAAGTCACGGAGCTGCTCTTGAGCAACTAATTCAAACAAGGAGGGCTTGAGCGGATCTCCGCCCACGTCGTTGAAGAACTCCATGCATATAGAGTGGTCGTCTTGTTCAAGTTGTTAATTCCGGCTATTCATAGGTTTCAAATTCACGTGGCGTGGCGTCCTCGACGATGACGGGAAAGGAACGATGGCAAACGCCCTTACCCAGTCCAGTGACTCAAGTTGATGGTTGAACTTCATTACAAGGTCTATCCTGTGTCGAAGACCCATTGTAAGCTTGCTTTTGTGGTATACTAGTTATTGATACGCCAGCAGGCCTGTTAATAATATATATTGAATTATCCCTACACCTTCAAATTTGAGTTGTCTGAGCATATTCTATGTTCAAGTTCTATTGTCTTGCATGTAATTGCCTCCATCTGGTATAGAACAATCTCTGCTCCCAAGGTCCGTGGGCCACTCCGTCGTCCCTCATTCTCCTTCTTGACATTCCATTGTACATTTTTAATCCTCATGTTTACCTCCTTCCACGCAATGATACCCTCAGACGCTGAACTCGCTTCTCAAGCACTCACTGAGGAGGGCAATTATCGTTTTCCATCATTTTCAGCGTCTGACGCGGTCACGCTTGGTTTGTCTCTACGCAAACGCTTCCGTGCGTCCTCTCGACATTCAAAAGGCAAAGGCCTCGTCATCTCTATACAAACTATCGCGGGTCATACGTTATTTGCGTGTACCGTGGGCGACCTCGGTCACCCAGCCGGTGTTGGGGATGTCAGTTTAGATAGTTGGACAAGTGTGGATAGCATGGTTGGAGTCGTAAGGCAGACTGGCCATTCGAGTTATTATGTGGAGAAAAGCATGAGCGCAATGGGCAAGTCAGCAAAACAGCTGGGGATCCAAGGGGACCACATTATTCACGGGGGAGGTAAATAACTTTTGCCATATACCTCTGGAAACGACCAACTTAAGTTTGCTTCCGTCCAGCGTTCCCAATCTGGTTGGACGTTAGTATATGCGTTATTTGTTTATGAATTTGAAGAGCTGATTGAGGCTGTATAGAACGCCCATTGTTGTCCTATTGCTGTTGTTGCTTGCTACTCGGGTTCAACCCAAGAAGACCATCATGTACGTCCTCTTCCAAAACTCACCTGATCAAACATTCACACACCAACCATTAGCTTGTGGTCACAACTGTACGGGATTATCTTCACAAAATCAACAAGTCAGAAGGTGCACGAATGTCAGCCTCATCTGTTCTAGGGACAGAGATGCATGCGCCTCTCCCGTCTGTACCAATCCGGGAGAGCACGGTAAGCTCATATCAGCGAGTCGAGGTTCGCCAGTTCACCAGCGAGTAAAGGCATGGCTCACAGATCCTTCCCACAACGCACTTGGCATGAGAAGGCGGTCCGAGTCACCATTTGACCATCATGATGAGTGAGATACCAATAGATGTAACATATATTATCGTGTGGGGTGAGCGGTGGTGTGTAATAGTTATACCAATAAGATGTGTAGCTACGATAGTCATAAAGTGACATGCACTACTCGGGGCTCTCGCTATGCGAGGGGGCGTGCCTGATAACCCGGATGCTTTCTATAAACAACAATCAGTTACGGAAATGTTGAAATAAGAAAGAAGTAATATACCGTGTCTAAGGAATATCTGTCTTTGGCCCTGCGGTGAAGATGAGTCCGCACTTGGGTCTGGGTCACGAAGCTCAAAGTTCGCCTCAACGTAGACTTGGGTCCCTTTCTGGAGAGTGCGCAAGTAGTTGGTCTGATTGGGATTGAAGCAAATGATGTGGTGCCACGTGGTTCCAGCCTCTTGGCGGTCTGAAGTAAGAGTTCAGGTGATACTAATACCCTAAGAAAACTAGGTTTACTCACTGCCATCAGGGTTAGGAGGTGGAGGTGGGTAGTTGGTGGTCGCAACGGTATAACTGAATACAGATTCAGAGGGACATCTCGGAAAAGACATAGAAAACTTACGAAGCGTATTCCTTGTCACCTTTGGTAAGACGAACTTCAGGGTCTTTGCCTAGTCGTCCAATGAGGATGAGCTTGGAGACGTCATATGCACGCGTCGAAGTTGTTGAGAAAGCCTTGAAAAAGAAAATCGTCGACGCAGGACCATTCTTAAAGGACTGTCAACTTACGCGACGCGGTATGCGAGAAAAACTATGACGAGCAGAAGCAAGCATGATTCTGGTCTTTCAAAACGCGTTCTAGCAAAGTTGTACTATCACTTTTATGTGACGGTAATAAAAGGTGTTTTGTTTGTGCTTGTTTGGTAACTCGCCAGTCAGTAATTAAGCAATTGAACCAGATCGCATAGATTCTTCTCAAATCTTTGTACATATCGTTGTATCTCCATCTGTAATCTTTACAATGTCCAGACATAGGCTTGTACGAAATATGAACATCCATGGTATGCACGAATCATCCTGATGTCAGTTTAATTTGAGATTCATCGTGTGACTAGATGAATTGGATGATGCTGCATTGTCCGACGGAGGAGACGAGCTCACTCCCGAGCAGCATGGCGAGTGGCCCGATATATGTGCTCGTGATGCACGCTGAGAGCTCAATATAGCTCAAATGACGTTCTGTCTTGAACAAATCAGAGAGCTCATTGGAGATGAAGCAGTCTCAGGCCTCGACGATGACTTCATCAAGGAAACCCTATGGGACCAGTACTTTAATGTAGAGAGCAGTTTATCGTATTTGTATGGTGTGTAACACATCAACCTCTTTAACCTCGTGTCTTTCAACTAACGCACTCTTGACAGAGGAGCAAGACCGGAGAGCGTCAGCCAAAACTCGCAAAGGTAAGTTTCCAACGTATCCTCTCATTTGTAAATAGTCTTGCATTCGCTCTTCCACCATGTTGTTTTTACCCCCCGTTTTGGATCCCGTTTATGGAACCGGCTACGCCGTAGACGAGACGAGGAACAGGAAGGTGCATGTCGTCCCCACGATCCCTGCGTCAGCCTTCGTACAGTCAGGTGCTAAATGTGTTTTAGTGCGACCTGACAGTATTGATATACTACCATCGGAAGGCGAGGAGTTCCATGATGAACCACAATACGTGGCTGGACCAACAGGCTACGAATATTACGATGGCGACTTGGACCGACCTCGAGTTCCCCTCATAGTATTAGCACAGCAAGGTCAACATGAGGTCTACTATCCCGAGGAATTTCCGGAAGAGGTCGACTCGGATGATATCCCATTGGGCGTCTTGTCACGCGGCTCGAGGCTCAGCACCATTACGGAGATTACCGAAAGGACTGAACCCTCTCGCCACTGGCCTTCAAAACAGCAGCTCGTAGCTTTGAATAATCCACGTGCATCAATGATCACTGATACCACGACATCGTACGGAGAAGTTATTGGTGTGTTGGTATCAGCAAGGATTTGATTGGTGTGACTGAAGTCAGGACAGATACCCGCCAACGCAGTACCGTGGCGCTAGAATATCCTGAGATCGCGATGGACCCAAACTTCATCCCTCCATCACCATCGCCCTCCGCAGTACGACGTCTTTCGAGCTATGAAGCCGCTCCATCGCTTGCCACATCAGTATCACAATCTGATATACGCACAGAGCCACTTCCGCTTCCAACAGAGCGCGCAACATCGCGTGCAAAATCATCAGTTGTTCCTGTACCACCCATGGATACTCTCCCCGAGATTTCTGATTTCCAGTCGAAAGTGAGCGGAAAACCGCTCCCTCCGAAGCCTCCAGCCAGCAGTAAACCCTCCAAATTATCCATGCTTGCGAGTTCTCGTGCAAGTACGAGGAGTTCTCGTTCATCGGATTTGGAGACGACTTCAGTGCTTACTTACCCCGCCTTACGACCTACGGCTGAAAGTCGATTATCATTTGCAACCACTATAAAATCCCCACCTGCAGAGAAGATACTTCCTCCTATAAAGGCTCCGTCTACTACCACTTCTTCTATGTCTGGGCATGTCAAACAGGCTATCCAGACAGCTTTGGAGTTAGAAGCTCACGATCGCGAAAGAACTGCGAGACCTTCTCCAAAGAGCGAGTCGAGCGCGGCGTCTAAGGCATCGTCAGTTGTTACTGTCAAGCCAACGATGCCACATTCGCCACCTCGAGCTGACGTCACCCCAAACTTGCCCATCATGCGCCAAGAGGTTGAAACGAAGGCTCGCCCTCAGTCCAAGCTCGCAGCGCTTGCCCAGGCGAAAGCCAGTGCCAATACTAGTCTCATGCCGAAGCTTCCGAAGTCCCCGCCCAGTTCGCCTCCAAAGGAGCTTCCTAAACCTCACACACAATTTTTCACGCCCATCGCAAATGGAGCCACAGCTACTACTGCTATAACCACATCCTATCAGTCACTCCAAAGTCTGTCTAGACCGCAGGCTCAAGAGCCTGCATCGTTAGTTCAGATGCCTGGTGCAGAGCCAAAGCAATCTAAATTGGCAAAGAAGGTCAAGAAAGCAAGTGAAAAACCACAGCCAACACCACCCGACGACGATACCGATTCCTGTGACATCATACAGTCTCCTCTATTCATACCAAAGCCAACTAACTCTCGTGCGTCTCCCTCGGCATTCGCTTCTTTACTTCTCGATGATCCTCTAACACCCCCATCTCCCGAAGACAAGGCCACGCATTCAGCTCACAAGTATGGAAGGGAGGTGCCGAACCTTGTGAAGGTGTACGAGGCTTCCCATTCGCAGAGCCACTCCAGCCTTGGTTTCTCACAGTCCCAACGACACAAGTCGTCTCGCCCTAGGGCTGCACTACCGGGGATGAAGATGAGCTCGGGATTTGCATTTGACGTTCCAAGCCCTGACGATATCGTATTCAATGCGCGTCGGGGAACTTCTCTTTCCCACAGACGGTGAACGAACCTTGGTTCCCTGCTCCATCCGCCATTCCTTTGTTGTATTTCTCTACTCGCATTTTTATTTTATTCATTCATTTTTCTGGAGGACTTGTTTGTTTGTTTGTTGTAGACCAGGTTGTGGGCTCTAATGGAACTTTTTTGCTGATTGTCACTTCAGCTGCGAAGGAACGCGAAAAGGCGGAGAAAGCGGCACAGAAGAAAGTAGCCAAGACACCTCCTTCATCTGGCTATACCACACCCGTTTCTCAAGCGATGTCTCCTGTGAATACACCGAGTAAGGCCTCAAAGAAGGCTGGTATAGGTGCGAAGAAGTCGGGAACGATGACTCCTCACGGTACAGGGGGTTTGGATGCTCGACTATTCGACATGGCCGCGTTGAATTTGTTGTCAAAGGGAGAAGAGCCGATCGATGAACCTCCTCCGAAAATTGCACTGGAGCGTGGAAAGCTGTTACAGGAAGTTCGGAAAGTCCTTGAAGGGCAAGGAGGTGACAAAAAGACTGTTAGCTTGGTCGTGATTGGTACTAAGTCTTGCTGGCATTTTCAAGTGATTTTTTGTTGATGCTGAATGACAGGACATGTCGATGCTGGAAAGTCGACGCTCATGGGCCGTTTGCTCTATGAACTGGGGAGAGTTGACGAAAAGACCCGTGTTGCTAATGAGAGAGGCAGCAGTAAAGCTGGAAAGAGCAGCTTCAGTTGGGCATGGGAGTTAGACGGAACCATCGAAGAACGAGAGAGGTCTGCATTTTCCTGTTATTTCAATTGCGCGTACCAACTGATCAACAGAGGAATCACGATGGACATTGCTTTACAATCTTTGTCGACCCCTCAACGACAAGTCACCATTCTAGATGCCCCTGGACACAAGGACTTCATCCCAAACATGATTTCTGGAGCTGCACAAGCTGATTGCGCGCTACTTGTAGTTGATGCTATCACTGGAGAGTTCGAGGCAGGTTTCGACCGCGGTGGTCAGACTCGTGAACATCTGCTGCTAGTTCGGAGCCTCGGTGTATCTCAAGTTATTGTGGCAGTCAACAAATTAGACCAGGTTAGTTTAGGGTCTCATAACTCTGCGTCTTTATCATTGCCGACATGGTTGTAGGTCAATTGGGATCCGAGTCGATTTGAAGAAATATGTGGGTTGTTACGTGCCTTCCTTGTCCAGTCAGGGTTTCCCTCTTCGAAAACGAGCTTTGTCCCAGTAAGTGCCATGCTCGGCGTTAACCTTGTCAACAACGCCGATGCTTCGGTACTGTCTAAATGGTACAAAGGCCCTACATTGGTTGACTTGCTTGGTGAGTTATTTTGCACTGTACCTGCATTGATGTGCTCAATCACATCCAGATAAACTGGAGCCCCCCACTCGAGAAATTACTTCCCCATTAAGATTGCCGATATCCAATGTCTTCAAGGGACAAAATTCCGGAACGGGTGTAACTGGTCGTATATGCGGTGGCGTGGTGCAAGTCGGAGAACGCCTTCGAGTACTTCCGGGAGATGAATCTGCGATAGTTCGACGTGGGTTCCTATACTTATTAGTGCTGTTGTGTGGATGCTGACTGATGTTCAGTTATCGACGTGGAGGAACAGAGCGTACCTTGGGCAGCAGCTGGAACCAATGCAGCTGTGTACCTGACCTCCATCGACCCTATCCATCTGAGCATCGGAAGCGTCCTTTGCCCGCCATCGGATATTGTGCCATTGGCTACAGTCTTCACAGCTCGAATCATAGTATTTGACATCCAGCTCCCAATCACTACTGGTACATCAGTACGTCGTCTAAACCCTCCCTATTGCGTCTCATAACTCTGGGGTTAGATCGAGCTGTTCCATCACTCGCGAGATGTACCTGCCATGATATCAAAGTTGATAGCTACCTTGGACAGAGCTTCTGGGGTAGTGACGAAGAAGAATCCTCGGTGCGTTTCGTTCCTTTTTGTCTTGCCAGGATTGTGTCTGATCTTGGACTCAAGGGTACTGTCCAGGGGTACTTCTGCTGAGGTGGAGATTAGCCTGCGTGTCGGGACCTTATCAGGTCCTACACTCAGTACTCGCCCCATTCCATTGGAGCCATTCTCTGTGAATAAAGATATGGGAAGAATTCTCGTTCGACGGGGAGGTGAGACGATAAGCGCAGGTAAGCCATTGACCATCAGAGCCGTCGAGATTCTCATCGCTTTGCCAGGTATTGTTCTGGACATTATTTCTTGAATATAAGACAGTATCACAATAGAAATGCATATATAACACCAATACTATGTACAACAGCCACATAAGCCCTACAGAATTTTCATTAGTACAAGGAAAGAGGTATCGTTTGCGTAATGCTGAAAGAAATAAGAAGTCATCTGCGTCGTAAGAGGCTGTGGGAGCACGAGGAATGTACGAAGAGCTACATATTAACAAGCGAAGACGATCAAGATGGGGTCAAAGTAACTCCTACTTCTTCGTCTTCTCCTTACGGGAAAAAAACTCTCTCAATTTGGCGAAGAGTGACCGCCGCTTCTTTCTGGTGCTGGCGGTGCTGAGCTTGGATGACGATGTTACAGTGGGGTCGGTGGTAGTAGAAGCCGGGAATGAAACCTCCTTTGAATCTTTGGGATCATCGTTTGTTGAAGGCATTAACGAGCTGGTAACTTCGGGGGTATCTTGAGGCTCGGGCGCTGGCAAAGATGGCTCTTTGTTGGGCACGACAGGCGCAGCATCGACAGCAGATGCATCGCTTGTTTGAGCGGGATCTGGATTGACGTCGATCTCAAATGTTGTGGAAGGGGCAGCCGCGTCTAATGGGAGCGCGACTGCATCCACGAGTAAATCTCCATTCTTCTCTTCAGCTGCCTGTGCTTCCGAATTCTCTCCCTCCGTAGGTTTGCTGTCCTGCTCTCCAGCTTGAGGTTCCTGCGTGACTGGAGGTAATGGTTTGGACAAAATTATGGGAGAATGCGTCGACGGTTGAACAGAAATTGTTGCACCCAATGAATCTGAGGCCAAAGGATCACCTGCATCAATCTCCCGTTCTGGTGATGCAGATTCATTCAACGTGTGATCGTTGACAGGTAAGATAAGGATAGGGACGACGGGAGCGATCTGTGGCGCGACCTCAGTGATGTCAGGGGAGGGAGCTCCCTGAGCGCTCTCCGGTAGTGCCTCGGCAATGATCGGCTCGATGGCCGAAGTGGTTGATGGTTGTTCGGTTGTACCCTACACAGTGGAAGGAACAGAGGTCAGCGCTGAAAACAAATTCTATGCTGGTGCAGTTACCAAAACGTCGACGTTGTCCGTCGAAACACGGGGCGTGCTTGAAAACATGTAGCTGATGCCCGAGGAAACATATTCTAGTGCGCTAGTAACTTCTTCTGAAACGTGCGATGCCGCACTCGTAGCAGTATCCACGATCGTATGGAAAGTGTCAACCTCACCGCTCAATGCGGGAGTTTCAGCTGATTCGACGATAATGTTGGGAACGTGATTTGAAACGACTTCCTTGTCAGAAACGCCTGCATCATCAACAGCGCTTGTGACATCAGTGGAATCAGATTCAGTGATTCCATCTTGTTGATCCGCTGCCAACGTGTTCTGCGGGGAGGACTCGCTAGACAGCAGTGATTCTTCAGGCAATGTGGTAGTTGAAATCATGGAGTCAGTGGGGCCTTGGGGAGCAGTGGTTGATGGGTGTTCCATTATAGGAATGGGTTTAGAGGGCGCGATAAGAACATTATTAAGGTTCCCGGCACCATCTAACTCTGTTGGGCGGTCATTGCGGATGACCCATTTTCCGTCCACAATGAACTTATATGGAACTTTCTCATTCCAAGGAACCCTGACATTGCCTACGAAACCAGAAGCGCCCTTGGGCAGGTGCATGGTGCAGGACCACTACCAGGGTAAGAAGGTAACAAAACTGAGCCTGTGGCGGACTGTGGGTAGACTTACGTGGTCGAATGAGCCAGTTAAGATCACGTCCGAAGCATCACCATAGGGCCTGAGAGTAGAAGGTGAGCACAAGCGCTCATCAATTTAAGGATCACATACCACGACAATTCGACTTCATGCAAGTCGTCCATGGTGTCAGACGAAGAGTAAGAAGGAGGGAGATAACAACCTGCAGAAAACCCTGCCGTAACGTCCTCATGTTGTCAATGCTTTAAGCTGAGCCGTGGGGTGTCACGCTTCGTGACAAAATATAAATGTACCCTTGTAACAACTTTAACTTAACGCTCGGTACAAAATAAAGAAAGCGCAAAAGGCGATATCTATTCACTGTCAACGGCTTCCCTTCTTGTCCGCTCTCCATTCCTTGAACATTCCGTCCAGACTCTTGTATAATAGGTGGGATGGCAGACATCGAATTATCTCACTCATCTTTTCCTCTGCCTCTGCCTTTCCCTTCTCACCAGAAGCCTTCCGCGCAAAGTCCACCGACATGTGGAACAACGCTAGCACCGCCAACGATACATGCGTCTGCTGGGCACCGTGCGATGAAGACTGTGAAAGAGCAGCCAAAAGTGGGCCTGACACGCTCGGAGCCGATATTGCAGGCGTAGATTGGGAAAAGGGGGTGGCGCGCTCGCCTCTGACCAACCTGAGAAGAATCTCCATCATGTTATCTACCTCAGTCAAATGTGTCTTCACGAAGCGCTGTCGTTCTGTGGGAACACCAACAGGGGAGTTGACTGCCCACCCATCCAGCACTGTCCAGATCGTCGGAGCCTTAGAGACAAGATAGTCAGAATCGAAACTTCTGTCAAGATAGCGAGAACGAACTGGGTCAGGATCTACAACTGCGATCTTTTTTTCCCACCCATCAGCAGCATCTCCTGCTACCCAGAACATTCTTCCAAACATGCTCTTTAGCCACTCCTGGACATCGCCCGATTTAACCCACTTAGGTTCCGACAATGGGCGCTCAGTATCAAGATGGACCATTAAAGTGATCTTTGAAGGTAGCGTAGCCTTCGAGAAGGAAGGTAGGGTCTCGTCAGTGCTGGACGCTTCAGATAACGTCGGTAAAGGAGAATATGATTTTGTCGCATCAGAAAGTCCTTCGATCTATAATCATGTTAGAGAATATGATAGTAGATAACCAAATAATCTTACCAAAACGCCCTTCAGGCCATCATCGCTACCTTTATCGAGGGATATGTGGACTTCAATTCGACCTTCAGATCTGTAAACCTTCAAGTATTCGACCACCTCTGCGTCTACGACCAAACGCCTGCTACCAGCAGCATATGATATCGACAGGCGGTTTGCAGATGGCACTCGGCCACCTTTCGAGACTACCGTACTAGCTGGAGGGTGCGACGGTTCGCCATATGTTGAACCAGAAGAGGTTGACAGCAATGTATTTGAAGTAGGAGAGGCAGGGGGCTCAGGAAGGTGTTCTTGGTCCGCAGACTCGTTGGCAACTTTGGTGTGCATAGCGACTTCTTCGTGTTCGACCGGAATTTCGCCGGTAAGCTCTAGAACAACTTGCTCTTCTGAGTATGTGCCAACGCCCATATCCTCGTCGAGAATTGTTGACGCGAGTGACGCCTCTGCTTGAAGGGGCTTCGGGTCGGAAGTCTGCGTGTCGGATATCTGCGTATCAAGGTATCCAGCATCATCAGTAGACTGTTTCTCGCTATGAGGCATATCAGACTGAACTACAGGAGGAGAACTACGACCAGTAGAAGAACTCGTGTCAAAGGAAGAGCTCAAATAAATAGCATGAGAAGGATCAGCTAGAGTAGCCGATGCATCAAAGAGCCTATCAACATTTTCATCATCAACAGGCTGGGTGGTTGGCGAAGCATCGCCACCCTCTTCAGGTGCAGAAACCAATATGTCCACGTTCGGCTGTGTCGCAGCAGCACTACCATGGTTTACACCAAGGTCAACAGCAGCGACATCTGAGGACGCTGATGGCTTGACCCCTTCAACATCCGGGACAGCATCATGATTGTCCCCGGTATGTGAGCCATCAGACTGCTCATGAACACCTCCTGAAGAGGCAATTCCGTCCATCTCAGTACTATGGGAGCCTTTAAGATATATGTTAGTGTGTACAACAGCCTTGAGCCACGAATGGACGCTCCCCCCAAGCTCGAAAGCATCCACCCAAAGCGAAAAATAAGCAAGGTTCAACTCACCATTCCCATTGAGAAAAGTATTTGTAGCAGGAACGAAATGGAGAACACTTGCAGCATGGCTCTCCTCTTCATCCATGTCATCAACGGTAGTAACTGCGTCGGCATCGGCGCCTACGTCGCCTTCATCCTCAGCGATAGCGGCCATGAGCCAATCACCTTCACTGGCAGTTTCTGCCACACTGGGCGCTGCGCTTCCGCGGCCCACTCCATCCAAGTCAACACTGGTGTTATCGTCCACCTGGCTGCTGCGAGGAGGAGGCGGTCTTTCTCGACCTTCCTCTGCATCGCCATCATCATCCTCAAGCTTCTTGCGCTTGCCTTTACGCATGTCTGGAGGTGCAATATACGAAGCATTGTGCGGAATTGGATGCGAGTCATCAGGAGAAACAGGAGTGTGAAAATAAATGCGGATGCGAGAGGGTGGAGGCGTCGTCAACGAGGACGACTGCTCCTGATAGGAAGTATCTGGCTTCGTATCTGCCGCGTCTGTCAGTGCGGGTTCTGATGTTGCGGCACTAGCATGCATGTCTTCATCCTTAACTTGCTCTTGTGAGGATTCCAAAAGAGAAGCAGCGACCTCTTTTTCTTCAGCTTTGATAGGTGATGGTAGCACTCCCCATGTCCATCCAAGTTCAGGCATCTCGAGGCCCACAATTTTAAAGTCAGTGAGCGTGCGCCGATTTTCGTCCTTCTTACCGCTGCTTGCAAATTGCGATGCATCACGGTTTCCAAAATTTGTACTACCATCCTGACGGCCTGCACGACCTGAAGCGTGTCCTTGTCCTCGTCCACGGAACGCAGCATTGTTTTGATGGTGCTGATGTCCGGCATTGAACGACCCACCTCCTCTACGATTGTGAAAGTCCTTGTTAAAGCCTCCTCTCGAGCCGTGTCCACGTAGAGAATTTTGTTGAGCAGCGACGCCACCTCGTCCGCTGCCATTATTCACGAACATGCCGCCACCTCTGCCGCCACGTTGTCCGGTTAACCCTCCCCTATTTCCGCTCATAACTGCACCTCTACCTCTTCCGGAGTTCATATTGCCTCCTCTTCCACCAATACCACCTCTGTTTCCACCTAGGGGCATCTGATTGGCACCAGGCTGCCCTTGACCCTGACCTTGGTTCTGGGGGTAAATCCCGACATTCCCCGGCGGCGCAGGAGGTGGTTGAAACTGAGGCTGAGGAGGGGGTGGTCCAAGTTGTCGATTCTGACCGTGATGTTGGTTCGGGCCATCAAACCGTTGGCGTTTGGCAGGGGGAAGATGTTGGGGTGGGGTGTGATGAAGACCATGATTATGTCGAGGCTGCTGCTGGGGTTGTGGCTGTTGTTGAGGAAAATACTGTTGCGGAGGGGCCATTGTTTGTGTCACATGCGGGTACGCAGGCTGTTGTTGGGTTACGATTGGCTGTTGGGGTTGAGGGACATACGGTTGCTGATAGCCAACGGACGGTTGATACGGATTGTACTGTTGTTGAGGTGGAGGTGGCGGTGGTTGGACCACAGGCGGTGGTGGTTGATACTGTTGTTGAGGATGACTATGTCTCTGCTGCCAGTGCATGCCCTGACCACCATAGCCGTAATTTGCATACAAAGCACTTTGTTCAGGGGGCGGTCTTGGAGGCTGCTGAGGAGCAGACCATGCTGGAGTGTAGGCTGTAGTCGCTTGTTGCTGCTGTTGCTGCTGCTGGGCTGCCGCTACCCAATAAGCGGAATAATCTGGAGGTGCAGCAGGCGGTGGTCCTGGAGGAAGTGGTGGTTGCGGTGGGTTGTATGTCGGTTGCGGTATGAAAGGATTTTTATTCATGACAGAATCCTGAAGCTTCCGTAGTCGCCGTCGTAGTCGCCGATGAACAGCTTGTCGTCGTTGTCGTCGCTCGTATGCGTGATTATTGCAGTCGACCGTGACACTGAAAATGCAACGAACACATTCATGCTTATGTCAGCTCCCAATAGTTTGATGATGGGCCCTGGGGCCTGTACATCCTTACTTTATATAACCTCGGGCAAAGTACAATCAATACAGCCGTGAAAATAATGCCATAAAAATACAGGGATTGAGGTTGATATAAAATCGTCAATTACAAACTGTCCGTGTGTGCATGGTCCAGGTACTACATCCTTTCCTGACTAGTGACCAGTAGAGGCACCTGAGGTGCCGGCGCTCGGACCACCGGTCTGGGTCGGCGGGCTTGAGCGCAGCTGATTGAATTTATCGTGACGATCACGCTGCAAATATTTAAGGGATTTGTGCGTGTTCCGAATATAGCCCACCTACATCATGATCATTCTTATCCTTGGTGACCTGGTCGACGTGTGTTCGCGCAGTCGATAAGTCTTGTTTGTGTTTCTCTAGCTGCTGTTGCTGGGTCTGGGAGATTTAAGCGTCAAGAAGAAGCGGAGAAAGGTTACGCACATGAAGGCTTGCTTGCGCATTGTGAAGGTCTGCGACAGCTACATCATGTTTGTGGGTGATATCATGGAGGGAATTGATGGTCCCAAGCTCCAGCTTTTCCAGTTTCCTGACAGATTTCTCTGCTTTGCCTACAGACTAAACAATGTCAGGAGTGATCTAGAATCCAGGAAATAACGCCTTACCTTGGAAGCCTTGGCTTCTGATTTCTCGTGCTTGTGCATGTCTTTGAAGGCTGACTGTAACTTCTTTTCCTCAGATTTAGCCTCCATTGAGAGTTCCTTCTCGAGCTTCTTCATAGACTCCGCATCTACGGGAAGTTCTGTAGGTGCGGACATGTTTGTTGGAGAGGAAAGTCGTTAAGAAACAAACGCAATTGCCATCCAGGTATTATCTTGTTAGGCTGACAGTCCTGGATCACGTGTTGTGGCTTCTGAGACGATGACGCCAGCGCTCGTTCATCATGACGTCGAGTGAAAGCCAGGGATTTCAGAGGGGCTTTTCTACGGGCCCGTCTGGGGCTCCAATGGATTCGGGCGGAGTTCAAAGCAGTGCTGGATGCCATACGCTCACCATCGCGCCGCCACCACGAATGCCTTCCCGCCTACCTCCCGCCCGCTCACCACCTGCTGTTGGAATGTCCTCTGCTCAAAATGAACATTATCAATACAGGGATGGTAAGATATTTAAACAGACACAGCTTTGAGCTTAAACAGTCTTGAGTCTTGACATGTATCCGGTATCTGTGAGTCGGCATCACTACAGCCCGTCACTGCTGTCGAGGACTTAGATGAGGACTGGATGAGATGAACACAGGGCCGTCCATCTAACCATAGACACACCATTGGAGTCGTATTAAGGACACTTTGAGCAGGATAGGAAGCGTTGTGTAAGATTTGAGGACATTCACGACGTCCATGATGCAGGCTTGTGCACTGGACTATTAGGCGTCAGCGCTTCAGCCGTTCGGCGTCTAAACACTGCCTGCAGTTCTGCCGAAGCCCCAGACTTGGCTCCAGAGTTCACGTAGACTCAAAAGTAGATTTTACTGCTATAAGTTTGCTATAAGTCTCATCCGTATTTGATATTCCCTTAGCATGTGCCCTAAGTCTGTGATAAGTATGAATCAGATGTAATGTTACAAAGCTACATATCCCACCTAGTAAGTAGTTATCACACGTCCGTTATGATGCATGCCCAACAGCTGATGGTCAAATGCAGTTTCATGATCTGACCATCGACGACCTGGGGCTGGTCTGGGCTGATGAGCTGAGCGTGGTGAGGCTGATACTGGATGACAAGGGCTGAGCATACCTTATCGACTTTTGGTGATGACCTAGACACATATGTCAATTTGATTTTTCACATGGCAACTGTCCGTGACAACAAAAATCTCGAGAAATCGTCATCGCAAACACATCGGGGTGAACAATATTTAAAAGAGGTTTATATGTTGTACAAAATGTGAAAACAATATTTGATATTTAAACTAACATAAAGATGGGTGCACAACTTCAAATTTTGGTGGTGTTTTGTGTGTCATCCAAAATATCAAATATTCACAACCATATTCCCACAGACAATATGTCAACAAATATAATAAATATAATCAGATTTTCCATGTCTGCTTCAATTTAAAGTTTGATTCTTACATAAAACTTTGGAGAAAACTTGAAGTTTTGCCAAAGCTTGACATTTAAATCGAGTTTTAATGTCATGTCATCTGTAAAACTTCAAGTTTTCTCCAAAGTTTTACATGGAAATTGAACTTTAAGTTGAAGCAGACATGAAAAATCTGACTATATTTCTTATGTTTATTGACATATTGTCTGTGGGAATATGGTTGTGAATATTTGATATTTTGGTTTACACACAAAACACCACCAAAATTTGAAGTCATGCACCCATCTTTATGTTAGTTTAAATATTAAATATTGTCTTCACATTTTGTACAACATATAAACCTCTTTTAAATATCGTTCACCCCGATGTGAAAGATGAAAGAGAACGATTTAAATTTGGAGCCCTTTTCATCTTACGGCTATCTTGCTCCACAGTTCTGTTCGCTTTACTGGAGTAGGTGGAACACATTAATACAAATCAGGTGGGCCAAATTAACGCTTGCACTCCTCATCACGTTGTGCTCACCTGTTTCTCCCGGAGTCCCTGGTCAAGCAAGCTTGTTCACTGGTTCTAGCATCAGTACGCAGCTAGGAGCAATAGATCTGTCGGTAATTGCAGCCGACTGCCCTGTGACGTGAAGTAGGCTGCTAATATATATGGAGCACGATGAAAGACAGACTCCGTCCCCCCCCTTCGTTTGCGCCCCACGATCCGCTATTCGCCTCTGACGACATCAGCGAGGAAAATTATTTTGTGAACTCTACACCCTCGTCTCTTTTCCAACCTGATTCAAGCACCACCCAGCTGGTGCTGGACCGTTATCCATCACAAGAATCATTTGCAGACCATTCCCAGGTTAATTTCATGAGCAACTACGAAACAAATATTGAGAGGTCTCCACAACGCAGCGGACAGGAAAGCGGCTCACATCCATCTCAAGCCAGCATTACGCAGACAGGGACTCAGAAGCCATTTGTCCACTATCACGAGGATGTAATTTCATCATCCGCTACTGGAAGTTACCTCGGATTTCCTAAATCAGATTCACGTCAGTCTTCGGACGATGAAGATGAGGAAGACGAGTTCGATTGGAGCGGCGACGAGGATCTCAACAATGAAGAAGCCAAGTTCGAAAAGAAAATGGGTGTAAAAATCAAGTCTCGCGGCTGGGGCATTATTAAGTAGGTTTGCCAAGGGCATACTATACCTTTTCCGACCAACACGAACTTTACAGACTAGTCACTCTGCTCTTCTCCTCACTCGTCGGGTCCACCTTCCTTGCGGCAGTCCTAATAACTCCCGCACTCCTTACCCATTTCTTTTGGTACAAGCCACACCCAACGGACTACAGGCATTTTGTCGACATCAATGTCGAGGCTTGGCTCTTCTGGGCAGCAGCTAATGTCGTCATTTCTTGGGCTCTCGCAATGATCATCGACATTATACCTGCCATCATACTTATGGTGATTGCAGTCACATGGGGCCATGTCTCAGAGAGCGTTAGAACGAGGCTCGAGTTGTATGCCTCGACCAAAGATACTATCAAACCCCTCTTCTATGCAGCGTGCGCTTGGCTCAGCTGGATCATTCTCTTCCAGAATATCTTCAAGTTGAATGACTCGTCCAATGCCCAGAATTATGCACCCTACACGGACCGTGTGAGCATCATTCCGTCACTCTTCATGTTCTGAAGCTCATTAAAACACCAGGTCGCTCAAGTAATTGAGTTCCTGTTCTTTTTTACCCTGGTGGTATCCATTCAAAGGATACTCTCTCATGCTATCGGTGCGGTCATCTGATCCGTGCCGAATCATAAGTCTCATTGCTTCCAGCGTTTGCATTCCATAGGACTGCGTATAAGGAACGTCTGGATGGAGTCAAGAAAGCCCTTCGAGTGATAGAAGCTCTTCGCAACTACAAGCCAAAATCATCGGCCCGTCACAAGTTCAATAGCTCCCATCCGATGCTTGCAACCTTCACTGGGCTTAATCCGTTCAGCGACAAAGAACATTACAATACTCTCAGTAGCAGACTGCGCTCAGAGAGCTCCGCACCAAGTGAAGGTGACGAAGCGGATGTAGAGGACGGAGAAAAGCAAAAGACGAACAAGGGAAAGGGGAAGCATCAGCAGCGCAAGTCGACCATCATTACAGCCTCGGAAGATCTTGAGTCTTCAAGTACTACGCCAGAACAATCTGCTTCCATCGCCACAACACCAGTTCCTCACCCCTCAGTCGACAATAATATGACTCACAAATATCCTCCTACCCCTTCCGGCTCGCGTTCTGTTGACCCACACACCGAAGATCCTACCATTGTCGTTCAAGCAGCGAAGGCGCTTAAGACTGCTGTACTACACGATGCCCGCAATATCAAGGGCGCCACTGATGAGCTTGAAGCGTTAGTTCTCAGCGCGAGCTCAACACACGAAGCAAAGGTAGGAGCATTTAGAACCGCGTTGTGTGTACGCTCAAATCAAATTGAACCCAGCGTCTTGCCAGGGCGATATACAGGACTTTCAGAGACCGCCGGCGTACCTACCTCACACCCGAAGACTTCTACCCCGCATTTGCTACGCAGGATGAAGCTAAAGATGCTTTCCGGGTTTTCGACGTAGACGACAATGGTGACATATCGCGGGCTGAGATCAAGTCATCACTGCTTCGTGTGTACAAGGAACGTCGGTTCCTGTGGCGTAGTATGCATGATGTTGGCGCTGCGCTCAAGACTCTCGATCAAATTTTATTACTCTTCGCTCTCGGCATCTTGTTCTTCGTCTCTTTAAGCATTTTCGGTGTCAATGTGGCGCAGTCCTTGACGAGTGTATATTCCCTCGGTCTCGCAGCCAGTTTCGTCTTCAAGAACTCGGCGAGCAATGTCTTTGATGCAATCATGTTCTTGTTTGTAACTCAGTGAGTCGCGTGACTGTATGCGCTTGAGTATCATGATGACCCTCTCGTTTATAGTCCCTTTGATACTGGTGATCGATGCTTCATCGATAGTAAGCCACTGAATCATGGGCTGGGCGTTGCTAATGAAGTCTTCTCTTTCATTTTAGACGAGAATCTAGTTGTGAAGAGGATGGACTTGTTTGCGGTATACCCATTTACCTGGAATGGATGTACAATTCTCATGATACTTTCGTTATCAGACAGTCTTTGCTCGATCAGACGGTACCGAAACATATTACTTCAACAGTCAGCTATTCACGAAGTTCATGTACGTATCCGAGCATTCCTTGTGCACTACATGATATCTGACAATATCTACAGCACGAACGTCCGCCGTAGTGATGTACGAGCCTCTTGCACCTTCTTTGAATGTCTTGTACTGATTACCCTGGCAGAAAATGGCAGAGTCTTGTACCATCCAAGTTGCTTGGCGTACGCCACAAGAAAAGCTAGACGCGCTTGAGGCAAAGCTGAATACGTGGCTTTCTACTGAGGAGAACAGGTGGTTCCAGCCGACTACGTCGGTTGTATTGCAAAACATTAGTTACCAACGCTATCTTGAGTGCACTGTTGGTATCTCGCACAACTCGTATGTTTGTTTTTCGTATAGGAAAGAGGAACAAAAGCTGATCGTGTTTTTTCAGGACGTGGCAGTAAGTTGTGGAGAATCTGAGTAGAGTGTAATTTGTTGATGACTTCTTGCAGAGACTGGGGCCTCCGGAATACGCGCAGAACCGCATTCCACGCAGCAGTTCAATATTACTGCCGGGAGCTAGGGATCACCGCATATGAGGCACCTATGCCTATCGCATATGCAGACGCTAACACGCGACAGCATAATGTTCCTCAAGAAGCAGTACTACCCAATATCTTTTCAGATGTTCAGTCTCCTGACCACAAACATTCCCCTGATAGAAGTCGAAAGAGCTTCCTTGGTTTCACACCTCCGCGGGATCAAGGTACTCGTTTGACACGTGCACACACTCGTGTGCACAAAGGCAAGAGTCGCAAAGCAGCTGTGCGGGGAGTGGGTGCAGACGGTGGTGGAAATGGTTGAACTTTATCTTTTCTAATTCTCGACCACATAAGGTGGTTTGTTTGGATACTTCGTTAAACGTATCCCCGACTTGTAGAACGACTATTAAGTCTAAGGGGTGTGTCTCTGAACAGCATTGTCTGTGTTGATAGTGTAATTGAGATCTAGACCGTTTCCTCCTGTTTACACAATATTGTCTATGAGGTTACGGTTCGATTTCCGTCACGCATTGTCACTGCTGCCGCTTTCAGAGTCAGCTTGGCAATCCCTAAGAAATAACCTCAAGTTAATGATTGGTTAGTGTGATGTGGAATATAGTATGGGGCGTAGCTATAATTGTATGGTGCAGGATATGATATAAACTCGATGCTGGTGTGATTCCGCTGCTCATAGGACTCTCATGATTTGCCTTTTGAGCCATGTCCCAGTCGTCGGCTCCATCACCAAAATTACCGAATCCAGAGATCACCTGATATGTTGAATTTTCTGACACCACCAACGACACCTGCCCATTATATCCGACATTTGACATGTCACCCCGGCGCGCTGACGTCAAGCGTGTTATCTGTCAGACATATTTCATTTCGTAGTGTAGCGGTATGCCATATGTCAGATACATTTAGATACATCCATGTATTGTATAGATAAATATAAAACAAAAATGAATGAAAACCACGCAAGTCAAATAGAAAGTACCTAAAGAGCGCCATAGCCTTCTTCAATGAGTATGTCATCATCGAGCACCTCACTGTACTCAGCTATTATCCTGTCCTCGTCATCATCCTCGTCATCATCATCGTCCTCGCCCTCATTCTCATCACCCTCGTCACCCTCTTCAATATCCCCCTCAGTCGTCACAGCACTCTGCTATGGCAGCGCTCGGATGACTGTCACCAGCATTCAATGAACTTCACCATTTCTTAATAAAAATCAGACATTCAACCTCGCAATGAAAACTGCATGATAAAAACATTGATCCAAGTTGTAAATTGAGGGTGGAAGTAAGAATTGAGTGAGATATTCAGGTCGTGACGACTCAGCCGTGAGGCATAGTAGTCTTAGTTTGACTGCTCCAGAACTTGAGTATGGTCTGATCCCCAGCCTGACTCAGATGGACTTAGCGACGATGGAAAGAAGTCATGGTTCAAATATGGAGTATTGGAGCAGTTCTAGTTAGTATCCATTCAATGATACAACCTTTGTTTACTTACATTCCATTTTTATAGGTCTATCACGTTCCTCACTAGATGCCCAACCCTCAAGGAAGAAATGGGCTCGTAGGTACATTGATGCCAGCGCTAGCAGCTCTCGCAAATTTAATGCATAAGTTGCAGCTCGTTTATTCCCCAAGTGAGTAGTATATTCCCGAGAGGAAAGCTTGCGCAAGACAACACAATGACGGGATGTTTCAAAAAATGCAAGATGATATTGTGAGTAATAGAGGGCATCATAATAACAAGAATAATGCTTCACATCATGGGGCTTGTTGAAAGGAGGACAGTGTCCTTCATCGAGAACACGAGCCAAACAGCAGGGCAACTTTGTAAGAAATACCCTAAACATGCATGAGCTATATGAAACAGTGAGTCGAGACAGAAATAAACTTACATATATGATATGCCTGTTCGTGCTCAAGTCAATGACTACCATAGGAATGGAACGAAAGAATGTCAACAGCGGTGGCTAGTGCTCACAACTTTTTCCCACTGACTAAGCTAACTCAAATATTCCCATGGGTGCATTTGCAGAGGAATATTGATTATTTGCATCATGACAGAACCCTCTTCCACATTCATGGAGTCGAGGACTTTCAGTATCGCAGGCTTACAATCTCGCTGTTTCGTTGATTATTTATGTAATGGTATATGCAGAGTCTGTTACTACCTTGTATTTATGGGAGCAGTTATGAAATCACGTGCATATTTTGTGCTGTTTAGTGTGATATATCACACGTCACGCTCCATCGTGATAGACCTTGCTCCGCAAGGTAATGCCATGTACAAGTTCGATACTTTCTGTTGTTATAGCGGGTATGACTCGACAATCAACACACATACCGAAGGGATGATCCGTGCATTGACGAAGTAGCGGAATTTTGGACTCGTCTGAGTTTAGAATAATATGTGTACACGTCGGTATGAACCGAAAATATAACGCGCACACCTTTGCATCTCCTATTGCCAGCAATAACGACGAGAACGATTCTCTCGTTCATATTCACATTATCATCAGGTTATGAGCCCTGATAGTGCGCAAAATAAAAATATCTTGATTAATAACGAACTATAACTAACTCAATAAAAATGGCTGATGCTCAATCCTCCGCTGGGTCTTCACTCTATCGAATTGAACATCTTGGCGAGAACAATTGGATCCCTTGGAAAATGAAAGTCCAAGCTATTCTTGGTGACAAAGGGCTCAAAGGCTATATAGACGGAACGAAGCCAAAACCTGTTAGGGGTCCAGACCCTGTATCAGCAGAAAGGCTTGCCGCTATAGCCAAATGGGAAGCAGAGGATCGTAAGGCGAGAACTGTGATAGTGTTGCTTGTTAGCAACGCACAAATGGTTCACCTTACAGGAGCAAATACTGCCAAAGAAATGTGGGACCAGCTGAAACTCGTCAAAGAATCTCGAGGTCAGCAAGGTATCTACACCTGGAGGCACAAATTGTACCAAACCTTTGCTTCGGAAACCAAAGACATTCCTGCCCACATCATCGAGCTTAAGCAAATCCAGGAAAATCTCCATTTAATGGGGAGTGTGGTGCTGGATATGGATTTTCGTATCATCCTGATGGGATCATTACCACCAAGTTGGGAAACCTTCGTTGTGACTCACCAAAGCAATGCTACTATGACGTCACACGAGCTCGTCGCTATGATTCTTGAGGAAGATCGTTGTCGAAAGGAACGAGAAGTTGAGTTTACCGAAAGTAAGATGGTCAAAAAGGAACCTAAGAAGAGAAAGTTTAGCGAAAAGAAGGAGAATAACAAAAGATGTAAGGTATGTAAGAAGTCTGGCCACACAGAAGACGACTGTTGGCATAAGACCAAAAAATGTGTCAATTGTGGCAAGACAGGACATACCAAAGAGACTTGTTGGTGCAAAGGCGGAGATAAGGAAGGGGAAGGACCATCTTCGAAGAAACACTTCAAAAGAGACAAGGCTAAACTTGTCCAAGAAGTGTTGATGGAGGAAGAAGATGAAAACATCATGGAAGATGTTGCCTATATGGCCAATGACGAAGAGATTTCAAATGAGGCTGCCAAAGTAGCCGATATTATTGAAACTGTAAATGTAGGTCAGGATGAATCCGAAAAGATTTGCTGGTATGACTGGTTCGCCGATTCTGGGTCATCATCCCATATAACGAAAATTCGATCGGTACTTACCGATTATGTGCCTCTCAAAGAACACCGAGTGACAGGAATAGGGAATGAATCCCTAAATGCTCTCAGAAAAGGCACAATAGAACTTGTTAGTATAATTGGCCGTCAGCAAATCAAAGCTAAATTTCGGAATGTTCTATATGTCCCAAATGCTTCCAATAACTTCATATCCATCACAAAATTGGACAATGAAGGTGGAAGTGCGCATATGGGGAATGGTAAAGTCACCTTATTCGAAAAAGGAGGACGAACCATAATAAAAGGCAAAATGGCCAATGGTCTCTATAAGCTAGATACACGGGCTCAGATGTATCCGAAGACCCGAGTACAAACTGCGCAAGAGAGACTGAAAACTGATTGGATGATGTGGCATTGAAGGTATGGACATATCGCGTGTAGTGGTCTAAAACGTCTATGTCAGGAAAATTTAGTCAACGGGTTAGAAGTTAATTTAGACTCACCCATTGTTGACTGCGAAGCTTGTATACAAGCCAAGCAGGTATGCAAACCGTTTCCTGACAATATTGATGAATGATCCAAAGAACCTGGGAAATTGACTCACAGTGACCTTTGGGGACCGGTGTCATGCATGGTATGTGATTCATACCATGTCAGATATATATAGAGAGTGATAAGGAAGATATGAGAGACTGTCTGGCCCTTTGTCACTAAGTTACCTCTCTATTTTTCCTTTATTTCATTGTCTTGTATTTTATTTCTCACTTTACAGGCTTATTTTACCTTGTATTTGTATCAAGCATGTGACCTTCTGTTTATTTCTCATTGTTTATTTTTATTTGGCTTCTTTCAGCCACCAAGTTTTGTATCTCTATTTATTTCTGACTGTTTATTTGTATTTGGCTTCTTTCAGCCACCAGCTTTTATTTGTCATCACATCATGTGACTGGGAAATATTCTGGTTTGTAACATTATTTAAGCTGACTCAACATGTTTAGTCATGATTGGCCATGCTTTGTAACAACATTTAACATGACTCAACATGTTTAGTCATGGTTTGTCATGGTTTCTAATTTCTTTGTAAGATTACACTGTATTTGTAATGTACTTAGTAATAAGCTGATTCATCACCTGGTTTGTAAGCCACATTCTTACCAATCCATCTGATTAATCATGCTTAGTAAGGGGGTTCCCAAAAGGTATAAAAGGACCCCATTTTCACCCATGAAATACAATCCTCCCACTTGACTCTTATCTCAAACCGTGTGAGACCACTAAGACTTAAAGTGCAGGCCAATATAAGTGCCTTGAGGTAATCTAAGATATCATTATCTATTCTAAAGTTATATACTACCTTACAGGGGTCGACTATATAACTTTCATTATCGTTATTCTACTCTAGGTTATATACTACCTTACAGGGGTTGACTATATAACCATTGAACAGCTCTCATTCTAAGCTTTATGTGTATTCATAAGACTCTCCCTTTCAACGGAAAGTGAGACACATCTAAGGACGACAAAGTTGAAACAGACTTTCATAGGTTGAAACACGACCTACTAGGCTGAAACAAACCTAACGAATTTATCCAGAACACAGAACATTCCACAACAACTTCGTATAAGACTACACAAGAAGAGGACAACAAACTAAATCCTCCCAAGAACTCACCATGTTACCTCCCACGAAGTAGAAAAGTCGGAGACCGTGGACTTAAGGACTGGCAAGAAGTCTTCACCGTGTATAATTGTGTTGTCATTATACACAACTTTCATATAAGACCCTTAAGTAACAAGACACCGGCGAGGGTAGAATCAATCGGTGGAGCCAAATACTATATTTCATTCATCGACGACTGCTCTCGAAGAGTTAGCGTCGTATTCCTGAAACATAAGAGTGAAGCTACCACAAAGATGAGACAACACCTTACCTACCTAGAAAGACACTGGGAGAATAGACCTAAAAAAGTTCGCGTTGATAATGGCAAAGAATACATCAATAACGAGTTACTTACCTGGTGCAAAGATAGAGGGATTGAAATCCAAACGACAGCACCATATTCTCCAGAACAAAATGGTGTTGCAGAAAGATTCAATCGAACTTTGACCGAATTAGCTCGTGCAATGTTAATAGCCAAAAACTTACCTGAATTCTTATGGGCAGAGGCAGTAGCACATGCTGCCTATCTAAGAAATCGTGCGCCGACGCGAGCACTAGAACGTGCGACCCCTGAGCAACTTTGGAGTGGTAAAAAGCCGGACATATCTCACCTGAACGAGTTTGGCACACCTGTATATATATTACAGGAAGGTCCAAAACCGTCTAAAATGAAGCCAAAGTCAACAAAACATATCTTCATAGGATACGAAGATGGACCAAAGGCTGTGAGATATTATGATGCTTGATTGCGTCAAGTTCGAATTAGCAGGAACTATCGATTCCTACGAAACGAATCTCCCCAACAAGCGCCTGATGTGCAGCGCAAGGGGGAGATAGGGAGTACAGACACGCAGCCATCAGGGGGAGCTGACATGCGTACACCTATAAAACCACTCACAAAAGAGAATGAGCGCATAGAAGAAGAAGACGTACCGATGATTGAAAAGGAAAAGAGCAAAAGCTCTACTTCCTCAGAACGAAAACGGATGCGTCCTCCAGAAACCGAACTGCCTAGAAGAACTAAAAGAAAGGTAATTAGACAAGACTACCGCAAGTTAAATGATCCGGTACAGGAATGGGCTTACCTCGATCGCGAAAGTGGATATGAGGAGACTGAACTAACCCAGACCGAAGCCGATATCATAATGGCAGCCATTGTTGAAAACGGAGGCTTCGATCCTACAGAACCACATATGCTGAAAGATGCACGTAAATCAGCAGATTGGGATAAGTGGGAAGGAGCCATAAACGCAGAACTTACTCAATTAAATGAAATGGGCACCTGGGAACTTGTAGATCCTCCCGAAGATCGAAAGATCATAGGGAACAAGTGGGTCTTGGTAAAAAAGACTAACAAAGAGGGCGAAATCATTAAGTATAAGGCACGATTAGTAGCAAAAGGATACACACAAATACCCGGCATGGACTATACTGACACTTTCTCCCCAGTTGTCCGTTTAGAGACAATACGGTCCGTTATGTCAACAGCTGTAATTCTCAATTGGGAAATTCAGCAGATGGATGTAAAGGGCGCGTACCTAAATGGTACACTGAAGGAAGAAGTGTACATGGAACAGCCAGAGGGGTATAATGATGGCACTGGTCGAGTTTGCCAACTTAAGAAGACCCTATATGGATTAAAACAATCTGGGAGAGAATGGAACATTGAGCTCGATAAACGTCTGAATAATATTGGATTCAAACGTACAATATCAGATCCATGCATATATATCAGACGTACAGCGAACGAGACAGAAATCATTACCGTTTGGGTAGATGATTTGCTCCTATTCGCGAGTAATACGAGCTTGATGAGCCAACTCAAAGCTCAATTGAAAAATATCCTGGATGTAACCGACCTTGGAGAACCAAGAAAAATCATAGGAATAGAGATAACGAGAGACTGAGCAAAAAGATCTGTCCGAATCTCACAGACCAAATATATTGAGTCGATCCTACAAAAATATGGTCTCCAGAAGTCGAACGCTGTAGGAATGCCATTAGATTTCAAGATAATACTCGAAAAAGAGGAAATGAACCAAGAAGACAACCGGAATAACGGCTACGCGTCCTTGATTGGGTCCTTAATGTATTTGGCAGTTGCCACGAGACCGGACATAGCATATGCTATTCAAAGACTAAGCTCGTTCACTGCAAATCCAGGGTTAGCACACTGGATAGCGGCAAAGAGAGTTTTGAGATACTTGTCCGGAACAAGAAATCTTGGAATCAAATACCAAGGCATTAATAGCGATGACGAAGTCCAAATAGTAGGTTGGTCTGATGCCGATTATGCCAATGATCCAAGAGACAGAATATCTGTTTCGGGTTATGTTTTCAAGTTAGGAAGCGGAGCAATCACCTGGAGTTCGAAGAAACAGAACACAGTTTCATTATCTTCGACAGAAGCCGAATATACTGCAATGGCACACGCAGCGCGTGAGGCTATTTGGCTTCGAAACCTGTTCCAAGAGTTAGGTTTCAACCAAAAAGCTCCTACTACCTTATATGGAGACAATATGGCAGCATTAGCAATTGCACAAGATCTACAATATCACGCTAAATCAAAACACTTTGACGTCAAAAGCCACTATGTGAGACAGAAAATTTGTGAGCAAAGGATTCACGAAGTATACTGTCCCACAAAGGAGATGATAGCCGATATATTGACAAAACCGCTACCAAAACCGGATCACGAAAGACTCACACAAAGTCTAGGTATATCTCTTGATTGAGGGGGAGTGTTGTTATAGCGGGTACGACTCGACAATCAACACACATACCGAAGGGATGATCCGTGCATTGACGAAGTAGCGGAATTTTGGACTCGTCTGAGTTTAGAATAATATGTGTACACGTCGGTATGAACCAAAAATATAACGCGCACACCTTTGCATCTCCTATTGCCAGCAATAGCGATGAGAACGATTCTCTCATTCATATTCACATTATCATCACTTTCCAATAGGAGTCGCTCAATGGTTTATCTTCATTGATCTTAGTGAATCGTAAAACTACCTCTGGCACGACTGGCACCTATCAATTTCAAACTCCTCGCTCCGCCCTGCCACGCCACTGGCTACACCACTTAAGCATCTGTGGTAGTATATGTCAGGCTGGTCATGAGCCTATGCAGAGTCATGATGTCTCTGAGCTGATGATCTACTAGGCGAGGGAAGCTTTGTATGCCCATGCTGTCCTCCGTTATTCTATGCCTGACATTCTCTTAGGGATGGGTGTACAAGGCCACTCAAGTAGTCACTGGTCAGATCATGGCCGTCAAGAAATCCCGAGCATCTCTCGCACTCAAAACCACCCCTTAAATCATGAGCGATGGGTTCTGCAGCGTCTGCAGGGGCACCCTTCCATTCCAACAGTCTTCGCCTATGGTCGATTGGAGTATTTCGACTATCTTTCTATGCATTGGGACGAACCTTGATGAGGTACGGGCATGCTGTTCTCTACCTGCAGCAAACACCTTAGTGGTTGTTGATCAGATGGTATGTAGTATGGGTCCATTAGTAGGCTCATGGTGACCTTGCGCTAGATCTCAGCTCTCGAACACATACACGCGAACAAACTTGTCCACTGCGACATAAAACCTGGGAACATACTCCTCCACCCAACCCAACCCAACCCATTACATACACTTTCATCCGATGTGCCCTGCCCCTTCTGAGTCTCTGGACTTCCCCATGTATTGTATCATCTTCAAGATAGACTGGATGGACTCGGCTGGTAAGCGAGTCTCGGCTACCTGAGCCTAGTAGAAACGATCAATTACAGATTATAACAATATTGAATGAACATACACTTGTCCCCTCAGGATAATATTTGATTGGTTCAAGCAACACATAGGACAGACTGTCACCCTCGTGCTCAATCGGTACTGCTTGATGACCCGCAAGGGCCTGGGGTGCTGATCCCAAGGGGCACCATTGCATCCTGTCATCTATCCTTCCTGCTTCTAGTTGTTCTGTCAAGGTTAAGCCATTGAATGTGGTCATTGTAACGACATTCAAAAAATGTCCACCCTGATCCACCTACTTGACATTCATAAGTGTTCGAGGGAATATGATAAGTGCACTCACTTCGAGAACTACTGCAAGCTTGTTGACAGGTTTACCTCTACTGATACTCTTCGCTGTTGTGCCTAGCTTCATGCCTTCAACTGTCTTTGTTGCAATGGGAACAACTATGGAGGTGTGCTACACCAAATGATATTGCCAACAGTGATGGCATCAAGCGCAACTGGAGTCAGCGGCATGTTGGATTGAAGAAGGTGTCGACCTGGTTGCAACGATGTAAAAGTACGAACGGAAACACTTAGCTAATGGGACCGGAGGATCGACATGCGGTGGAGTTCATATGGTGCAGAAGCGAGAAGTCCAGGAAGTCAAGAAGTAAGTAAAACATACGTGTGGCATCGAAGGTGCAAGATAACAATAGTGCAAGAATGGTAATACTGAAGCCAACACACCCCCTTGCCAAGATGCTACTCGCGTGTCTCTAATTGTAGCCCTGCTACATGCTTGATGAACAAAGGATGTGGCAACGCCTTTGTCAGGATGTCCGCAACATTTTGGCAGCTGCATATAGTGATGCGGAAGTCCGGTTCAGTCCGGTTCAAGAGAAAATTTTGCAAACACCGAACACGACTGCACATTCGGTTCAGCTGCTAAGCTGAACGTTGGACCAGACATCCTCGAATGCATTCTGCCAAGAAACTTCGTAATAGGCCCTAAGTCCTTGATCCCGAAGCGGTGAGCGATTCGGCCTTTGACGTGCATGAGGAAAGGTTTCGAGTTAGAGGTCCCCATTCCGTCATTGACATGCCATCCTACAATGCAGAGGATATGACCGGTGGAAGGGGTGGACTTGTCATATAGGCAGATGGCGTGATCAACAGCACAGCGAGTGCTGCCATGAAACAGACAGAGGCGGTCTTGATGACTGATGCGAACCTCCGTGGTCTCCTTCATCTTTGTCAGAATCATGGCACTAATCTCCTCCGGAGCAAATTCCATCCCAAGTCCAGGCAAATGAGTCGAAAACAGTGTTAGTTGACAGATTTGAATGGGAACTGATTTCAAGTCATCCACTTTTGACAGGCAAATGAGACGGGCGTAGCTATTTTGACGCGGATGTGACGCGGCACTGACGTGGCACTGACGAGCCTTGACGTGGCACTAACAATCCTTGACACGGCCACTGACACGCCCGACGTTTAACGGGCGGACATTCTTCGGCCAGCAGAGAAGGAACTACAGTCTTGGATAGCTCATCTGCAGACTCCAAAGATGTAGCATCGGAGTTATCACTGAATAAGGGGCCACGCTGTCAATCACATAAGTTAGATATCTATCGAACGGAGCAGGTAATGTCTTCCTCACTTCAAATTCACTCTCGCTATAATCTCTTGCAGAAACCCATCCATCAGGAATTCTGAGATACACATTCCATCGCCTATGATGTTGGCCAGCATCTAAACCCACTGCTGGTTGCCTGCAGGTCCTGCTTCTTCGGAATGTGATAATAAGGGTTTCTTCTCGAGCCCAGAGGAGACAAACGAAAGAATGCTTAGTAAAATAAATTTATTACTGCCTATGGACAATTACAGTGTACGACATCTAATTCTGTCAGGATGAAAAGGAACACTGTTAGAATATCAAATATTATGACAGATCTAAAAAAATATACCTAAGTTATACGGACAGTGTGACAGTTAAGGTGGTGAGGTTTGATGTGGCATGTGGAGGTGGTGAGGTCTGACGCTAGACTCATAACCAGTCCTTACTATGTCTGATATGTCCGTGGTAATAAGCCAGGCTGGTCACGAGCCTAGGACTGACACGCAAGATGCATACTAGTAGTATGAACACAGAGGACAAGCACTGTAAATTTGGTGAGAGGTGAATACAGTATTGGACGTTAGGACTGAAGGACGAGTCTACAATAAGAGTATGATGAGAAATGAACAAGAAACATAAATGCAACATGAAACATACCTCAGCATGTTAGGAAGAACCGCTGAGGTGTAAATAAACTAAAACAACGAAATTATAAGCTACAGTACTGACACCGGAATGCCAAAGATAACGAAGGAGGAAACATGACGAAGCGATGACGAAGCTGATTCCAACACACCCCCTCAACGAGACAGCACTTCCAACAACACCCTGGAAAGACAGCCACCCCCATCATTGAGTCACAAGTGCCAGTCCTGCACGATGGTGAATGAATAACGGGTGTGGGAGTGCCTTTGTAAAGATGTCAGCAACGTTTTTGTGAGTCGAGAGCCAGATGGGTAGGAAACTTCCTTCTTCGATGTGACGTCGGATAAAATGATAATGAAGGTCGATGTGTTTGGTATGAATGTGGTTGGCAGCGTCCTTTGACAAGGCGATGGCCCTGGCGTTGTCGGCGAATAGCTGAAGGGGCAGTGCGAGAGGGATCTGAATACACTCGAAGAAGGACTTCAACCATAGGCCGTCTTGGATCCCGGCCGTGAGAGCCATGTATTTAGTGCTGCCGCGGTCCGGTTCTGGACGGTTCTGTTGTCAGCCCGAACCGGACCAGAAATTAGTTCTCGGTTCTAGGTCCTGCTGAACCATTCTATTTTGGTTCGCCTTTGCCGAACCGTTCCACACCCTTCTCAACTCTGACTTCGATGTCACTTCGACGTCGACCGAACTTCGAGATTTGCACTCTACCCTTCTGCCTTTAGCCTTTTTGAAGGTACATACTAACTAATCCAAATTTTGATTCTCTCACACACTGACATTTGTTCAAATATGTCGCAGATATATGTTTCCTTGAGTCTGCACAACAATTATGATCCTCCAACTCTTTGCTTCAAACGATCTCCTTGGATTCCAATGTTCTGGGATGCGCAGGAGTTTTCTCCCTATTCTATGTATAAAAAAAGATGATGGCAGCAAAATTGTGAGTTGTCTTGTTGAAAATGTCCTGTGCTCTCAATCCTGATGGCTCCCTCAAGGATGCGTCTGACATCAAGTTTTACAATGATCCTGATGACAATATACCCTTGCCCAATGTCCCATCATCAAGCAACACTTTCCCTGTTCTACTCAAGGCTGGATGCACCCCAGCCATTGTTGTAGCTGGTTCTCGGCGCTCTGGCCGCCCTTCAAAGCCGTCGGCTCGCATTCGTGATGCTGACAATGCCTGTGGGCTGTCAGCATCAGGCTCCAGCACGAGGAAATGTGCTTTGTCAAGCACTACAGACCCTCCAGTGCCCATCAAAAAAGCCACTATGCGCATCCTATCTCCTCCTGACACTGATGATGAAGACATCCCTTCTCCTCTTGATCCAGCATCCTCCGACGAGCTGATCCCCCAACCAGACGAGGACGAGGACACTGATGAAGTGAAGTTTGAGAATGGAGGCGCGACTCAAACTGTACGTATCTCTCTCATTGTCCTGAATGTCTTCCTTGGCTGACACTTGTATTTAGGTTACGAAAAGTGAACGTACAGCAGATATTTGGACTATATTCAGTCATATTCCTGACGGGTGGGTCTGTACCCTGTGCAAGTAAGTTGTTTGTTTATTTTCAATCTCTTTTTTGACATGTTTGCACAAGGGACGCTGGTGAACCAGCACACAAGAACATGTTTCACGGAGGGACTTCAACACTGCGAACACATATAGTTTGCTACAAACGGACCCACTTTCGAGTCTACAAGGAGTGTTGTGATGCTGCAGCCATTACCATGCACTCTCATGCGATTCTGCCTGGCGAAGACCTTACTGCGACACAGCAAACTCTTGATGGCAGCCTGGTTTCAAAACTGGCTGTATTTATGAAGGAGGGGCTAATGGAATATATAATGGAGCTCATCATGACAGAAGATGAGGTGCATTTTTTTTTTGTAATTTGTGTTGAGGTTTATTCACATCATGGCAGGCAATCCAACTAGTTGACAAGCCAGCTTTTCGATGTTTGCTGTTGTATGCTCGATCGTCCCTGTCTGAGAAAGATATCCCACATCGCACTAAATTGACTGACACAATCAAGTCTCGAGCAATCTCCATTGTCAAAAGGATCAAGGAGCATCTTGCAGTAAGTTTTTCTCTGCTTATATTATTAACTGTTTCATTAAGCAGTTTTGGTAGTATGTTGACAGCGCTGTGTCTATGACATTCGACTCATGGACGTCTATCATCGGCGAGCCTTTTTTTTCAGTGACTGGCCATTATATTTGGAACCCTCCTGATAAGCCGCAACACTGGGAGTTGAAACGTGAGCAGCTCGATTTCAGCCGTGTTGATGGTAACCATAGTGGCCAGAACATCAGCCGCATCCTTGTCGAGACAATAGATAGGTACAACATTCACAAGAAGGTATGTTTTTCATGTTTTGTTCTAGCAATGTTCTAACTTTACTTTATACAGGTTGGCTGGATGACATTGGATAACACCTCGAACAACGACACCGCCATGAAAGAAGTGGTGAGGGTCTTGAATGAGGATGGCCATGATTGGCTTCCAGGTCCTCACCGCATTCGGTGTCAGGAACACATCCTCAATCTTGCTGCGTGACACTTTGTGGATGCAGTCGCACCCACCCCTCAAGCCACCTTACTCAAGAAAATCTGTCATGCTATGGATAACGGTGATGATGCTGACATAGACAGTTGAACTCAGCAGCTGGCTGCATTGGAATCCGATCCTGAGGCTGCAACTGAGGATGGATTCAATGTGGCAGATGCTGTCGGCAAAGCGCTCGCTCTCATTGAACAGGTGAGGTCCTTTTTTATTTTTGACTTGTTTTGTGACATGAAAATTATAGATTTGCAAATCGCCACAAGCCAGGGCGTTCTTTCAAAAGTCTTGCGAGGAAGAGGGAATCCCCATTCGCGAGCTTTTGGCCTGGGTGAGAACATGCTGGGCATCTTTGTTTAAGTCCCTTGAACGCTTCTTGTCTCTTCGCCTGGTAAGTGAGACATATAGTCACATGTACAAAGATTTAATGTCTTCGTTTTTTTCAGGCTGTCAATCATTTCACACTTCTTGCTGATGACAGTCACAAAGTCCCGATGTTGCGCAATAAATTATATGGAGACTTCAAGCTTGATCAAGCCGACTGGAAGAAGTTACGACTAGTGCACAATGTTCTCAAGGTAATTTTTATTTATTTGTTCGTCTGTTTATTTGTTAACTTATGATGACCGCAGGAGCCTGCGACTGCGCAGCAGTCATTCTCTTCGGCCACACACCCAACGGCCTGGTAAACCATACCCACACTCAAGTGTCTTGCTGACACATGGTGGACAATGGCGAATGATCCAGAATACACAGCAATCGCTGATGTGATTCAGAAAGGCCTCAAGAACATCAATAAGTACTATGAGAAAATGAGCGACTCAGATGTTTATTTCATCTGCCTGGGTGAGTTTCATTACTTTTTAGTGCATTTCTGAATCTGACATGACTATAGTGCTGGATCCCAACTACAAGTTGGCGTATGTCGAGAGCCATTGGACTGATACTAAGGTTGCAAGTGGGAGAGCATGTCTTCAAGTTGTAGTAAGTGTTATTTAATTGATTTATTCCACCAGTAGCTGATGAGTATGTACATTGTAGTTCAACAAGTACTACAAGGCTCCTCTGCTGCCGCATGCCACAGAACAAGCTACTGTTCCACTGAAGGTCTCATGGGCCGTTCAGTATGGCAAATCCTGGATGCGTGATGCTGTCATCGCACATCAAGCCGCAGAACATCACACGTGTGATCACTATCATGAACTCACCTCATATCTCAATTTGCCATTGGAGGAGACAAATGATGTTGTGGCATGGTGGGGGGTGAGTTTATTTTTTTGTTTAACACATTCTCAGCTCACATTATTTCATTAGCTGCACTCCCTACAGTATCCAACACTCGCTCGTATTGCATGCAATTATCTACCAATTCAAGGTAGTGCTGTTCCCTCTGAGCGTGCTTTCTCTAGCGGGGGTATCACGTCAACCCTGTGCCGCAATTCTCTGGCACCTTCCACCTTCTCTGCACTACAGCTAATGAAGGCCACTTACCGGAATGGACATCTTTCAGCGGCTATGGAGGCAGAGGAGTATGTAGCTTAGACTAGTCACTCAATGTGTAGACTAGTATTTCGTTTATTATAATGTTTTTTTTATGCTCCCTGCAGAAAATTTTGGGTCTGGTTCAGGTTTGGACCCCAAAAAAACTGAACCGGACCATAGAGAACTGTTCTCTATGGTCTGGTTCTTGGTTCGGATATTTTGCAGAACTGAACCGATGGTCTGGTTCTTGGCTCTCATCTAGGACCCTCCGAACCAGGCCACGGCAGCACTACATGTATTCAGCTTCGGTCAATGATAAAGCATGAGTGACTTGTTTCTTTGTGGAGTGAGAGATTGGGCCACCGTTGAAAAACCAGGCATAGCCTGACACTGAGACTCAATCAGCAGGGCATGACGCCCAGTCAGAATTGCTGTACCCGTGCAGGTCAGGATTAATGCTGGTGCCCCCATAGTGAGTCCGCATATTGATAGTTCCCATGAGATATCGGAGAACATGTTTTGCAGCAGAGTAATGACAAGCTTCCGGGGAGGCATTGTGTTGTGCGAGGCGCATGACAGTGTGTGCAATGTCTGGGTGAGTGTACACCCCAAGGTATAAGAGTTCACCCACGAGCTTGCGGAACTCGATTCCCAGGTCATCTATGTGAGGGTGCATGTCAGTTGGACGTCCAAATGGAAAATTTGGGTCCATTGGCAGTGCAACTGTGTTGCATTGCATCATGCCGTGTTCTTCCAGTAAGAATAGGATATAATCCTCCTGGTGCATCCATAACTCCCGTGTCTGTCAGTCTCTGATGGACTGAATGCCCAAGTACTTAGTGACTGGTCTGAGATCTGAGATGCCGAAACACTTAGCGATTGCATTCTTCGTTTGATCAAGGAAGCGGCGATTGTTTGATCTGGCAAGACCATCATCAATGTGCCAGGCTATGATGCAGATGACCCGCACCCCCTCACTGTTGACGTGGTCGAAGACAAACACAGCATAGTCGGTTTCACAGTGCAGGAATCCCAATGATGTCAGTATGTGTTGTAACAGTTCATACCAGTCATAGGCCACTTGCTTGAGGCCATAGAGGGAGGAGAGGAGATGACAGACTAGGCACGCACCATCTGGTCCCAGACATTCAAAACCTGGAGCTTGCTGCATATACACGTCTTCCTGCAACTTCCCCCACAAAAAGGCCCTCGGCATTGAAACAATCAAGTTCCCAGTCATGTCTCACGCAGTATGCAGCGAGGACACGAATGGATGTGGACCGTGCAACAGGTGCAAATGTCTTGCTGAAGTCCACCCCTGGTACTTGAGAGAAGCCTTGCACCATGAGCCGTGCTTTAAATACAGGCCCTCCTTTCAAGTCCTCCTTAAATTCGAGAACCCACCGACATCCGATTGCGCGATGCTCGACAAAGGCATGAGCTCATACACACTCATTTCCGACATTAAGTTAATCTCCTTCCACATTGCGGCCATCCAATGATCGTGATCCGGGCATCACACAGCCCTGTCAAATGTTGCAGGAGGTATCTTTAAGTTGTAGTTGGATGCTAAGGGGTTCCATCGAGTATCACTCCTCACCGACAAACTTGCCACTTTGATGACAATTAGATTTGCAAGCACCTGGGGAAATCCGACTTTGTCTGTGTCGGGGACAATTGCATCTGGGTCTGGGATGGATGGTGCAGGAGGTGCGGGCATTGCAGCAGGAATGGTGACGATGGGAGCTACAGCAGTGTTGACATCTGATGGAGGTGGTGGTACGCCGTTGATTGGCGCAACCTGAATTTCACGTTGACGGGAGAGGCGAGCCTTGTCGAGTAAGACTCATTCCTTGAACACCTGTCATTTCTCTGTTGGCATTGGAATACATCCAGAGCGGCATATGGCAGCCATGTGAGGAGGTTCGGAAGGAGTAGGCACAGAAGGGACAGGTTGCACGAATGCTGGTTGCATGGGAGGAGTTGGCCAGGACACAGCCTCTTCGTCATCATCATCACTGTCCGGAAAGGGATGAGCAGAAAAGCCCTCATCAAAAATAACATCACGTGAGTTAAAGAACGTGCCTGTGACGACATCACGACATCACCAAGCCTTTACACCAGGTGGATAGCCTAAGAAGACTGCCTCCCTTGAACGGGGACCAAGCTTCTGTTGAAGCTCAGGAGGAATGCAGGCAAAGCATCATGCTCCAAAGACTCGGAGGTGCATCAGGTTGGGCTGAACACCATGTAGCATCTCATATGGTGTCTTTCCTGGCGGTAGGGCACACGACTCAGTGCGATTGAATAGGTAGCATGCAGTCAGAGCCACTTCTCCCCAGAGACCTCGAGGTTGACGAGTGTAGTCCAGCATCACATACATACGACCCTCGATTGTATGCATCACCCTCTCCACCTTCCCATTTTGCTGATGAGCATAGGGGGTGGAGCATTGACGCTGGACTCCAGTCTCCTCGAGGTTTGCAGTGAATGCGTTGTTGATGAACTCCCTGTCATTATCTGAGCGGAAGATCTTCACTCGCTTGCCAGATAGGTTTTCCCATCGCACACGAAGGGTGCGCCAAGCATCTAAGGCTTGGTCTTTCGACGCAAGTAGCTGTAAGTCCAGTGCGTGAGTGTGATCATAGAGGAAAATTATGAAATAATGTTTTCCATGTGGGGTGATAGTGGGCAGCGGCCCACACACATCACTATGAATGAGATTGAGGAATGCGCTAGCCTGAGCTGTTTCAGAGGCTTTGAAGGGTTGACGAGGATGTTTCGCGAGATACACGATTCACAGTGCGATAGAGGCGAAGAGGATTCGACAGTGACCCCTCTTGCAACACGGTTGAGGCGCATGACTGCATCTTTACCAATGTGCCCAATTTGGGCATGCCAGAGGTCCATTGACAGTGGCATATTAGCAAATGCTGACACTTCCGGAATGTGTGTGACAGTGAGAGAAGGTGTTGCCAAAAATGGGATGAATTCAAAATCAGGTGCATACAGTTTTCCTGTGGCTGGAATGGAGCCAACCCGCGAACCTTTGTATGAAAGTTCGCAAGTCATGTTGGCGCAGAAGTTGACGTCCCATCCCTTGACATTCATTCCACTTACAGAGAGGAGGTTGAGTAAAGCTCCAGGTGCGTGAAGGCAATTCAAGAGGCGTATGTGAAGGCGTTTCTGACCAATAGTGAACCACACGACACAAGTACCACGACTGGTTGTCTGGAGTATGCCATGATTGGCCGTTAAAACATCAATGGGGTCCTCTGTAGAGTATGTATGGAAAAACCTCCGGTCCTTAACTAATGTCACCATAGTACCTGAATCAAGGATGGTCGTGAAGGGGAGATTGATGGCACAGGCTATGTCCCTCGGGATATCAGCGATAGATGCGAATGAGAGATCCTGATCAGACTATTCAAGTCTGTTGCAGCAGCGGTGATGATGGGCGCTGATACGAACACCGTCGTTGGCATTATAGCTGCTGCAACATTAGCTGATTCTTTCACCCCCTTCTTATTCCGCATCCAAGGGGCTTGTCCCTCCATTCCTCCTCCCTTACTATAGCAATGCGCATTATCATGATCTCCCTTGTTACAGCCGGGCGTGGTACAAAATATCCCATCAGGATTATGTCTGTGTTTCCAGAGGCCGGTTATAGGATTCACATTAGGGGCTGTTGCATTGGTTGAGGTCGCATTAGCATATTCGGAACTGGGACGAGCAGAATGCACGTGACATGCAGCTTCAGATGTAATCCAGGAGACACAGCTCTCGACAGTGAAGGTAGAGGGTCATGTGGCAGTTGCGAGCATTATTTCATCATGCATTCGCTGTTCTAACATAGACTTGAATTGCTGCCAGATAGGCGTCTGAGGGAGTCTGATGAGCTGACTATAAATCGTGTCACTGTCGTGTAGAGGGGCACCAGAGTCATGTAATCATTCGCGGAGTGCGGCGTGCTGACCGACATAGTTTGTCACATCAGCAGAGTCTTTCATCCAGAGGGTGTCAAGATGTTGATGCAGCTGGTATTGAGCGCTCATGTCTGTCTGATTGAAGTGTTCGGCGAGCGTCTCCCATGCTTTATGTGCAGAGACCGTGTGAGAGTGTGAGACGAGTGAACTGACCGAAGGACTAAGATGTCGAGTGATGAGATCCTTGGCTTTGACATCATTTAGCAACCATTCACGCATTGTCGCCAGTTTGGCGGGCGTGATGTTGTTTGCATCAGTGGCCACGGGCATGAAGGACGGTGTTCCAAGAATATCTGCCGGTCGACAATTTTATTGACATGGCACCAAAGGTCCTCACATGCTAACGCATATTGAGTTTTAGTAGACCATCCAACATAGTTCTCTGAGCCGAGAAATTCAGGAATATGATCAAGTTTCCCCATAGCGATACTGCTGTGAGGGAGTAGTGATATAAGATGAGTTGTGTGAGCGGCAGGCTAACGTGAGTGGAGTTTCGTCCTTCTAGTTCTGTCTGATGGCTCTGTAGGAGCCAGGGCTCATAACCTATTGGACGTTAGGACTGAAGGACGAGTCTCAGTATGTTAGGAAGAACCGCTAAGTATATTCACAGTACCTGAAGGACGCGTCTACAATAAGAGTATGATGAGAAATGAACAAGAAACATAAACACGATGTGAAACATACCTCAGCGTGTTAGGAAGAACTGCTGAGGTGTAAATAAACTAAAACAACAAAATTATAAGCTACAGTACTGACACCGGAATGCCAAAGATAATGAAAGAGGAAACATGACGAAGCGATGATGAAGCTGATTCCAACATACAGCACTATAGAGCCTGTACGCAGGCAGACACTCACTACGTGAAGACCCCATATACTTTGTACCTAGTTAGCTAATATTTGACAATATAAATACAACAAAATTAGAGCATCTACTGAGTACATGAGTAGGCCTGAGTAGTTTCGAGGACATGAACTACCAACCGTCTAACTAGGTGACCTATCCTGCCTTCCAACTAGGCCATCTGTCTCAGAGTAAAAAATGGCATCAATCTGGTGGCTCAAATTCTCATCTAATTGCATATACAAGCTTCAAGTAGATGGATAACCAAATTTAAATTATCTATCAATATGTGATCTACATCACGTGGCAATTATATCGACTGCATCCAGCATCGCGTTCCCCCTTCTTCACCCACCCCCTAGCACTCTCGTAACTCTTGTAAACCATGGTTCATCGTCCAGAAAATATCCCTGTCGATGTGTGGAATGCTTGGCCTGACCACCTTAAGCAAGCTGTCTGTGCTAACACCGGAAATAATCAGCCAAATAGGCCTGATCCAAATATTGATCCTGCACTCACCAGTGGTCTAGCACCAGCACCACGCTGTGCTCATGACATGTATCGTGATGGGCCCACATCCCCTCATCCATACCAAAGGGGAAACACCAACAAGTAAGTGCATATAGGTGCATATATGCATCCAGAACTCACCATAAGGCATGTTAAGTCCTGTAGCAAGTGCTACCACGAGTACCAGACCACGGGAATCTCGTAGAAGTGACTGGGGCGGTACCAGAGCTTCTCACAGGTACCAGAGTATGTCTTCATCATGTTCCCGCTCGCCTCGTAATCATCGTGGATGGAGCTGAAGGCATAGGTCTCCCAGTCATCATCACAACGACTCATCCCCATCTACAAGTCGAGAAAGGTCAGCATCCAGGGATCAATGGTGCTTGGGATGTGCCTCTTCGACTCTCACACGTCATACAACACCAGCTTCCACTAATGATGGTGCAGAGCATGAAATGGGAAATAATCATACCTCTGCACATGGTCGTTCAACTGTGCCAAGGGGGGGTAAGTCAGCCAGGAGACGAAGAGCAAGGGCTGTTGCAGAACCTGGCAGAGCAAGTCATGTCAAACTGCATGTTGGCGAATATGATGATGATGCAGAGGATGTGACTCAAAGTCAGAGTAAAATATCTGCAATCGGCAAAGAGGCACAAAGCAAGCTAAAGGCAAGTGCTTTGAGTAGCATCAAATATAGCGCAAACTCAACAATCTTACCTAGCATTTGATCACCATGAAATTCCATCATGTTTGCAATGTTTCTGAAGGGAAAAGCTGGCCAGCATCAGCAGATGAAGAGTGCATCAATGCAATGACAGGTGAACATTACCTCATGCCAGAGTTCACCAAAACGGTAAATGATGACCACAACCGCATGATCTTTGCCAAGGTTGCAAGTTTGGTCTGGGAAGACCTTCAGGTAAGTCATATGCAACATGATATGTAATTGCCACTTCACCTTTTGCAGAACATGGCCAACAGCGACTACCTTGTGAATCGCAAGGTAAAATGGAATAAGCAATCACTTTTCACATTTGCAAAGGAGACATACCATGGATTCAAAGAAGACTGGCGGGCCCAGAACGACGTCGAGAAGAAAGCTGCCAAAGGTGTGAACCAGTAAAACAATAGATGTGCTCAACATCGCAAAGAAGTAAGTGTTAAAGCTACTTTTCATCAATATGAAGACTTACTATGACGAATTAGAAAGCAGATCGGCTTATGACAGCATGTCAGGCTTACATTGAGAAATTCAATGTTGATCTGGTGGACCTTGTGCATGCAGATCATATGTCAGATGAAGTGTCTGGACCAGATGATGATGAGTTGGAGGATGATTGGAAGCGAAGGATGGCGGAGAAAATGGGAATGCCTGCCAACTCACAAGTCGAAAACTTGTCATTCCTGGAGGTCACAAGAAGTCCCTGGAGATCTGACGAAGTAAGTGTTATGCAGTCCTCAAATATGAGTAGAAGCTTACAGAAATCATTAGCTCGGTCAGATCTTTCATACCCTGCATGATCTTTGGCGAGTGTCGCTGACCTCCAAGCAAAAGAAGCCCTTCCACATGATCCGAGTCACTGGCACAGATTATCAATCACAGCATATCCCAGATTTTACTCTCTATACCTTTGGCATCAATATAGAATGGCTCGAGGCCAACAAAGATACACTAGAGTATCAAGACTTACTCAAGGAATGAGGCGCATGGGAGGATCCAGAAGGTTTTGGTTTGAAAAAAAGGGAGCACCAGGACAATCAAGACACTCCAGGTAATGAAATTGAGCAGGACACCACTAGAGAGATGGAAGGATGATTGCATGGATGATGTTTTCTTGAGGACAGACAAGCTTATGAAATTCTGCTGGTGTCAGTCGTGGTATGATGCTAGAGCTAAACAGTAGGATGCTAAGTAGAGAAGAGTTGTCAATCATTGTATGATAGAGAACATTTTGCACGTACCCGGTCAAGTGTTGTTGTAATCCACAACTCTGGATTACTGGTCTTGATGATTCCATGAGCAATCTGGCTTGTAATTTGATTGAATGGAAGAATGGTAGGGGGAGCTCCATCTTTGCCTGGGCTCCAGTATTTGTTTAGTTTAAAACACATAACATCGAGCTCGGGACTTGACAAAATGAGTAGGAGGGATAGAACCACAAATGAGATGCATACAACTCGCTCCATGGATCATCTTCAACGGGCACCAGCGGTAACTCTATCATGCACCTGAATTCAGTGAGAAGCCGAGTTCCATTTGCTATCCCTGACTGTATGTGACTGAAGATGTTGATTACTTCACTGTACCATGACTTATCCATGTATGCGACCTTGACGAGAGATGATCCAGCAGACTCTCAAGTGCTTCTTGCCAATGGTGAGATCCGACGTCCATCTAGAAGTGCGAACTGATAGTACAATGCAAAGTCGTTGAGTTGAGATGAACCTGGACGTGGATTTGCTTTGAGTGCATAATGAACACTGTGGGGTTGTTGTGAGTTATAGTGAGTATATAATGCAACACGAGCTGCATTGCTGAGTTGTTGTGGGTTTGGTATCGATGGACCAGGTTGGACATGCAAATATGGACTCAATTCTAATGAGAAGTCAAAAATCAGCGAGTTTGTAAGAAAATGGATGATATGAAACATACCGTCAAAGCCTGTCCCAGCAGCAGCATCCTGGATTGTTCCAGAGGCCTCGTGGCCATCACCAAGCATGCATTCTAGAAGCATCTTGACAATCAGACTTTCAGCATTTGCTATTGCATCACGATCCTGAAAATCCTAGTGAGTGAAAGCATGATAGCGGGCAAAGAAATCACCAGAGAATCTATCTGAGCACTACGTGCAAATTCCCTCATCATCGAAATCTCAATCTGCCCCCCAGTCCAGTTGTTCGAGTTTGAACTCTTGAGGACTTTGTTGAGACGCTCAGAGAGAAAGGCTCAAAAGTTGTAGACTGGTCCGTAGTCAAGCATCTGTTGCCTAAGATGAACTGCCCAATGAAAGTTCAGTTTCAGGGCATCAACACCATACAACTGTTTAGTATACAATAAGATTGAAATGTGCATTCAAAGCAAGACCATACCCTTTTGTACTCAAGCAAGTACTTTTGAAGCAGTGTCTCCACATGAGGGAGCATATCCAGCTTGATAGAGCTACCACAGAAGATCTTGAGAGCAGTTGAAAGGCGCAGAAAGTTGATTGGTTCGTCACATTGCATGCAAACCTTTGGTGGCTTTGGTTCCTTGTTGTCTTTTGCAGACTTCTTTCCACAGCCTCATTTCACACCAGCAGACCCTTGTGGTGCTTCTTGGTGCGCCTTCCAAGCCTTGTAGTCCTTGATAAACTGATTCTGACATTTAGCAAATGATTTAATTGAAGTTTTTTGATCTGACTCTGCTTCTTCCATGAACATGTCCCAAATGATAGGTATCTGGATTGTGGGATGAATACAATGAATAAAATATAGAATAAAATGACTTACAGTGATGGGCCAGGCTGTCGTCGCAGCAAACTTGTATTCATCAGCCGTCAAGGACCCACCTGCAGGCTCTCCAACACGAAGCAGCAGCTTTCCAGCCCAGAGTGGGGCTTCGAATGTACTGAGAAAGGTGTGCATTAAATCAAGCTCACGAGTTCTTGTCTGAGTAGAGGCGCAAAGGGCTGGAGTCAAGATCCATTGCATGTACCACTGAGTCTTAATAATTCCTGCAAGGTCCATATTAGCTCGTTCATTGTTAAAGTAAATATGATGACACACCAAGTAATAAATTGTGCATCGAATCAATGATTGTCTGTCGCACAAGATCAAAATATGGGAGCCGTGCAAGTTCGGTCCAATGGACACCATGTTTGTCAAAGAAGGTGTTATGTTCATCTCGTGTTTCGAGGGCTTTCTCTTGGAAACATCGACATCGATGTTCTTCACCGTTGTGTGGATCAAATTCTATTTTATGGTTAGTTCAAAACTGTAAGCTACCAGTGAAATCAAAGGCACGTACCATTACGTAGAGACTCATCAGAGAAAAGTTCATCCTGGGTTACCTTGCACTTAGGGCACAGAGAATTCTTGTGACTGTGATCGGCAAAGCCACACATCTTACACATGGCTGGATGGTCACATACAACACCTAGGAGTACAACACGAACTCTTCGACCTAGAAAATATATGTTAGTGCACCAAATGGTCAAACACTGTTAGGACTAACCTTCTGGGTGCCCTGGGGTATGATAGACAACACCTTCCTTGTAGAGCTGGAGCAAATCGTCGATAACAAGTCACAAATAGTTTTGGAGCTGAGCGCTGGTTGGTTTGGTAGGTCCAGGTGTCATGAACAATACCAAAATGATACAAATGCTTCAACCTGTGACCAGAAAACACGATATAGGATGATAGTGATAGAACTAGCACGACAGTGTGAAGCAGGCAATCTCGACAGCAGCAAAGAACAGGAGCGATGTGGACAGGCGAGGAAGGAGACAATCAGGAGGAAACCGGCAGGCAATACCAAAATGGAACAGGAGTGATGTGGAGTGAGACAGGTGAGCACAGGTAATTTGAAAGAGACCAGCAGGCGATGGCAGGAATGATGTAGACAGGAGAGGAGTTAGACAAGCGAGCAGGCGACAGTGGGGATATTTGCTTTGGCTGTAAAGACATGAATACAAGATATGAAACAAGTTAGTGGCAACTCACCTTAGTGCCCTAGGAAGGTTTGAAACACATAATAATAAGATACCAGAGGAATAGCTTGGCCCATAGATGCTGGTCTTACGTCCAAACCTTAGAATAAAATTTAATCAGTTGTCACATCAAGAATACTGTGTGGGTAATTACATACCAGTCAAGGCTCATGGTGACACCAATGTGAAGCTCCTGTGAGGTTTCCATCCCAGAAAAGAAGGGTGCTTGATCTGGGCCCTGGATGGTGCACCATACCTCACCATCTGAGATATCATGAAGCTCCCCTGGTTTAACCATGTGTGATCGCCAGGATTCACATGCCGCCTCATTACCTCCATGTGCAAGAAAATTCACAAGTGAGGAAGATGGTACCTGGATAGGCGCTGCACATACTGGAGGAGGGCACTGAGCTTTGCGGCCTGTTACCATCCGGAAGAGCCTATTGGAGACTGGTTTGAATAGCCGGCTATCACAGTTGGAACACAGTGCATTAGTGGGTATATCTGTAGGGAAAATACAGTGACAATGACTACAGACTGGATAAATAGTAAAATGGTCATGGAGATCAAGGCAGTGAATAACAGTGTTGAGAGTTGTAGGAAGAGGCTGTGTGGGATGAAGAATGCCTAGAGAGAGGAGAATGGTGGTAACACAATGGAGAATCAGAGCACAAGCACGAAAAGAAACACAATACTTCACATGTAGAATAGCCACCATGATGATAATGATATGTCCAAACCAGTCCGGATGAGCATCTTGATATACCTGACGTGGATTGAGTGGCGCTTTGAACTTGCTTCTTGGCATGATCTACACCTGATCCACAGGTGCATGCTGACTGTTGGAGGGGGCAACCTGTACGTTGGGGATGACCTCTGCATCCAAATCTTCATCGTGTCGTTCTGTATGGAGAAGTGGGTCACGGTGGACCTCATCACCTGCGTCGGGGTCATCATATAACCCAAGAGAGTCTTCTTGGGGAGGCTGGGACTTGGACTGTAGGGCATCACAGATCGCTTCATCTTCTTCACGTTGAACCATCACATGCATACTGCTGGCCTTCTGCCACGGGCGCTTCGTGGCAGGTAACTGAGTTTGGCAAGGGACAAGGGTAGGACAAGATTGTGCAAGAGGGATCTGGTGACCGCTGGCAAGTAAAACAGGTGTGGTACGTGTCACTAAGAGTAGCGCAGTGTGGGCTTCAGGGGCAACCCGAAGATATTTGGATGGTGGAGATTGTGTGGTTTCCAACGAGGTCGAGTGCTGAAGATGTTGGGATGAAGATGGTATGGGGTCATGAGAAGGTAGTGTTGGTGTAGGTGATTCTTGCTGGGGATATTCAGTGTTGATCTCCATAGGTTTGTAGCTATCCATGCTTAAAAACTTGAAGTTATTATGATGCTACAGGTATATACATATATCACAACTCACAAGGGCGATGGTGTATGAGTGAAATTTTTCTGAATATCAGACTCTTCACTGTGCGATGTAGCTGATCCTAAAGGTGATACCTGTGCATTACCAGGAAGAATAGCACTGTGTGAACCACTCGTTCGGGATGAGGAGACATGAGTTGAAGTGCCAACACAGGTACGAGCAGTTGATACCACCCCACGAGGGAGTCATGACATCACACATCCACGTTGAACAACAGGAGGGGAGCTGGACCTCTAGCATGGCCTCTCTTTGGAATAGCAGACTGACTGAGGTTCTGGGTTCGGTGGTGATTGTCGCATAGATAACTCGGGATGTACTGGCCACCTTCAGTGGATGTTGTACCCTTGAAAATGGTGCAATTGCACCAAACAAGGCGTTGGCTTGAGAGTGTGCTTGGATTTATGGTCTAAATAGTTTGAACTTGCATTAGATGACAGCTATCAAACAGAAAAAGTGTGCAACTCACCGACATGTTGCAGGATCATGGAGATGGTGGTAAGAAAGAGGGAGGCACTTAAAGCGACTTGGGCTGCGAGCAACGAGCTTAAGTCCCTTTGCCTCGTGGTAAGTCATTTGGTCAGCTTGGTGCATACCTGATCTAAAGTTGGTTAGTGGTTCCCTTGAGTTAGCACACCGAGTAGAACGGAGGCAAGGTGGTCTATTTGCAGTAGATAGCAGCTACATGAGGCTACATGATGCTGAAACGAGGCAGCATACTTGACGATCCGGAGAGCCTGCATACTGACAAGTGATCGATGAAGAAGAAACCCGGTGTAGTTGTAGTGTGTGACTAAGTCTTTGTACACGTGATTACTTCACCTAATCAGGCCTACTGACACTAACATTAACCAAGGGCTAAATGTAGTGACTCATATGTTGATCATTATGCATTAACAATGATTCAAAGTGTTTGGAATGTGATATGAAGTTGTGTAAACATGATCTGTATGTAGGAATTTGTTACAGTGCCACATCAATTTCACCTGGCCCAAATGAGATGTTTGGCGTCAAAACAGTGTTAGTTGGATTTGAATGGAACTGATGAGTTCCCCCCACCATCATAACTCACGCCGTCACAAGAATAGTGTTGCCGCCGAAGTGAACTGACTTCGGGGTAACTTCACTTCACTTCGAAAATGTGAGAATTCGGTTGACTTCGTTGTTTCGAAGTCAGTTGAAGTGCACTTCGACCAACTTCAAGAGGTGAATGGAAGTTACTATGCATATAGATTGATTGTTATCATTGCACATCTGAGTAACTTCTGGCTCCTCTCTGCCTCCCAGTTCTCGTCACGCAGCCACAATACAGACGCTTGCCAAACGAGCACGCAAGAACAAAGACACAAGACATGTTGGACACCGAATATGTGTTCAAACTACCTCGAATCCTCAATGGACCAGTCGCAGCCAAGTCAACTGCAGAACCACCACTCAGATAATATGGACACCACAATGAGTGATGATTTTGACAATCTGGTATGTCTGTCCAGTGAACACGTCGAACTATGCACTAATAATTATCAGATAGATGATGTACCCATGCCTCCTAACAATGTTCCTGACCGGAATGAACCTCCTGATGATTTTGCTGATCAGAATGAGCCTCCCACCCCCGATAATATACCTCCTGATGATTTCACTGATCGGAACGGAAAACAATGTGTTTTCAAGGTATACCCCACCTGTTTTGCATCGATTTCCCTGTATTTCGAGCTGTTTTCATACCAATTGTGTTCCACTACCAAGCAATCAAAGCATATTCTGGGAGGACAGCACGAGTGTATGTGAATATGCCTTCTAAGATGTGCATAATGTAAATTATAAAATAAGCACAAGGGAGTCACAAGTCTAACAAGAGAGCACATGGGGCACTGAGGATCCCTGAAGCTCCCCCATAGGTTTGTCCGAATTTTAGCATTTTTGAGGCCGAAATTTGGCCAAATCTCTGTCCGGACTTAGCATTTTTGAGGCTTTTGGAGGGCCGATGTCTTTTCGAAGTTAGCATTTTTGGTGGTGATTCAGGCGCACTTCAGGGCAGGTCATGTAGTGACTTGGAGATAGACTGCAGCTCATTGGAATGCTCTTGCACGTCCCTCAGTGAAGAGGGTTATACTGAAGCTTCCAGCAGTGAGGAAAGGATTGTCTAAGAAGCCAGTTAGAAGTTAGATATCCCCAAGCACTAACATACCTTGTTTATGTACTCCCAGTATTGCACGGTGCACAACGCGGAAATGTCACAATTTGGCGGAGGTCACACTGTGTGACCACTGACCTCTATCCGACTTAGCATTTTTGACAGCCGAAAAGTTGCATTTTTTAGGGCTGATTTTGGGGTTCTGGATGGACAGACCTATAGGGAGCTTCAGGGGTCCTGGGCACTGCCCCGTCTTATATAGAAAATATGCTGTCAGTCCAGATATCAAGCGAAATCCGCGAGTATGTGCGCTGTCTCTCAAATGCGCAAATCAACATATGAAAGCCCTATTCAGGCACAGCCAATTCTCACTGGGTTTGATTACTAACATCACAAAAAACCACGGTTACCGATGAACCTATTTATACACATTATAATGTAGATAATAACCATAATTGGCTAACATGTGACAGTGCATGTTATATAGTAATTTACGCCTTTAGAACACTATCCTGTATGACCAATAACCATCACATGGACCTATGTTTGGAGGCGGTTGCACAAATATAATTGTGAATATACTGAATCTGATTGACAAGCATGGTTAATAGATCTACACTATGCGGTGTGTAGACTGTAGTGTATTGTGGCTATTTGTGGCTCATGTCTTTGAGAGTGCGTCTGATTGGTGATCTATATGATAAATAGACAGAAGCCCAAGATCAGTAAGTCATGTAAAGTCATTTATGCAATTCTAACGCTATCCTGCATGATCAGGGAAAATCATACATGTTGAAGTTCAGCATCACAGCCCAGTTGCTGGTTGCGCAACATATTCACGAACATGCAATTGACGACCGATTTCTAGCACACAGGGCGTTGTTTCACAAAAGTAAAATACCTATGGTGTCTTGCCACCTGTAACTTAGATGTAGATCTCTCATTGAGAATAATATTTGGAGACATTGCGAATGAACCGCTGTTAGGCACTGCATTGCCAATTTTATATTTCTCAGCGCTCGTTTGTCACAAAAGTAAAATAACTATGGTGTCTTGCCACCTGTAACTTAGATGTGTAACTTCCTCACAAGAGCAACACAGGTTTGATCTCTCATTGAGAATAATATTTGGAGACATTGCGAATGAACCGCTGTTAGGCACTGCATTGCCAATTTTATATTTCTCGGCACTCGCCTGTCATTTGCATGAATTGCTCGGCTGCATTACATTATTTACATATCAATGGCGGTATTATACATACAACAATGATCTCGGTGCTATCCTACGATTTGTAAAACAGTGTACATACATCTATCTATGCATGCGACCTGCAAACTCTGAGCTAACATCTGCCTGAACACCGAGCAACAGATAGCTGTTGGACTCTTTGGGGACGATAGGCAGATGCATGTTTGCGTCCAAAAACCTTGCTAATGTTATAGTATAATGAGACCAAGGGTAAATAATTACAGCTGCATGATAACTCACCGGTTCCACCAAAGTAATAGGTCATCAACTTCCTTAGATGTGTCTGGTGTCATAGGAAGCTCGAGGAAATCGACAATGTTGTCGTAGAACTCTTGAACATTGAACTCGTCATCTATAACTCGCCACGATCCCATACTGGACAAGGCAAACCTGAGCTGAGTTAGCCGGCAATGTCAGGCTAGTGCATGGATAAAGAGCGATCCATCATACTCACCTGTACAGCTGTATATGCGATTGAACGCGGTTGTACTGATCTCATATTCAACAGTCCCGCAACATTGCAGCAAGTGTGACGCTTGCCAGCAGTCCTCCACTGCTTTGGGTGGCCTTGTGTGGAAATATTATCCAGGCTGGGCTCCTCCTGGTCTTCCGTCTCCGCAGAAGTAGGAGATGTGAAAATATATTTGAATGTCTGTAAGCAACCTTAGTAAATGGACATTCGTCTTTACGACACGCACCTTTAAAAGAAAATTTCCTTTAAACAGACTGTTTGTAGGGTTTTGAGGGTCGTATTGTTTGTCCTTGTACAAGAAAGCTGGCCAAGAGTAAGCTGTGACACGATAGTCTGGGTGGTAGTCCCTAATCTGCTGTCGGACACTACTGCATTGGTCAGCGAAGATGTTGCAAAGTGGGTGAAATCTTACACTAAGTCACTCCAGTCGCATCGTTATTGAATCCGCGACCCGTTTTGTCCTGCCCATGAATGACGGGGCTTGGTGACGGAGTAAGTTGCATCAACCAAGAGGCAACGATGACTTTGAGCCGTGTCGTATCATCCGCCCTGGCTCCATCGGCACCTTTATTAAGCTAGATAGTGCATCAATTAGCCTCATTGCAAAGCAGTGTCCGAGTCCTACCTTGCTGTACATGTGACAAAGCTCACCATTCTCAACCTCTGAATCCAGAAGCTTACAAACAGATGGACACCGGGTCGCCAACTTCTTATACGATCTGTACCTCCGATCGTCTCTAGTGGAGATGATCAATGCAAGCCACTGGCGACACCAAAGGACCTACTCAGTGTTATTTGAGCTAGTATCGTCAGTATCTGATTTTAACCCCAAGGTGACACGTCGATCAAACTCTGCAATGAGATCTTCGACACGTTCTGTGAGGCAAACAAGTCTCTGAATTGACCGGCCCTCAGTATGATGAGGTTCACTATGCAATGAAATAGCTCTTCAAGGGGTGCTAAAATACTAGATGATCGCACACTCACTTTCTCTCTGCCAAGGGCTGTTTGCAAAGTTCAGCATTTTGGGCCTCTAAGACGGCCAGCCGCCTTTTCAAGGAAGTCACTTGGGAGGGTGGGTCATTGTCAGGGGAGCTACTTTGCGACATCTGAGGTGGAATTTGGTAGGAATGTGTGAAGGTGCGAGAGTACAGCCTGACTGATATACTACAGAGATCATCAACACTTTGATCCAAATCATGCAGAAAATGTTGTAATCCACTTACCGCGTATGGGCTCCAGAACCAGGGAGGCTGACAGTCATTATATCGGTAGATCAGGTATCCCAAAGTGGCTGCTCGTCTGTGACCAGCCCAGATCTATCAGGTCATGAGGTGGCAAACCGCCGAGAGACAGACCGGTAAAACTGAGCAAATTCTGAGAGTAACGTAACATATAAGCCTTTTATGGCATAACAAAATCATGTGAACCTTTTGCTAAGCCCTTGCAAAGAATCACTAAGTCCTTTTGACAACGGAACGATCATTCCGTCAAGTTATTTCTCGGTTCCTTTGAATGGCTTCAAACCCTGAGCACACCTTCATGTCATCCACAATAAAAAGACCTAGGTTAAAGCAAGACTAGCCTAAATAAAATTTGCTGGTACTTTTGAGTGGTACTGAAAATGAGACAAAGTTCACAGACTTAAGCCGCGAGTCAGTGACTGGCTGTTCATGTGTGAGGTAAGTAGGGAGTATTTTGAAGCAGCGAGAACTTAGTCCCAATATTGATATTTCGCTAGTGATCTATAATGCTAAATATTGTTCCATAATTGCCACAGGAAATTGTGCTGCCTCTGTAATGTCTGTATCGTTGTGACCCATCGTGACATGTGGCACGACCTCAGGATTAGGCCATAGGTACAGAATCTCAGAGACACGACATCCAGCTTGAATTGAATCATCGAACCAATGAGGTGTGAGGACAGTCATGTGAGTACGTGATGCGAAGTGCATTACAATTTGATACTACAAGGATAATGCGGCAAATACTCATCCTGTTAGCATTATAATTCCAGTGCACGAAGTTTGAAAGAGAGCAAGCACCTTGTCACTATGTTTATGCAATGCGAAGAGGTGGGTTACATCGCAGGTAAGGGCCGTTCACCACTGCCCTCCTAATGAGGTGATACCAGCTGAGAGAACTTCGAGGTCACATGGGAAGAGCTTGTAACAATATTAGTGTCACACCATCTGATGATCGACAGCTCACTCACATCAGTAGCACATGCGACAATGTCTGAAAAAATCATTGTTGGATCAGGTGAATAGTACTGCTCACTGACATGTTGACCGTCAATATCTACTGATGTGCAAGGGAGAGGAGGCTCACAGTTGACGTTTTCTGAGGACTACGCTCCGTTGTACCCACATTTCCGATACTACATGCAAATACTCCTGGTGTTCACATTGTGTGTGCGATCCTGTAAGCGCAATAAGATGGGTATGTGGCGGTGTGCTCATTGCACCGTGGAGTTCCAGCAAGCCAGAAAGTTCCTCGCGACATTCCTCATGTATTGAAGATGAAAGTACATAGCGTACACCGTTGAAGAGGGCCATACCACTAAAGCTTCAAGGTATAGGGTATTGATGTGAGAAGAAGCATCATGCACTGGCAAGAGGTCAATGAAGCATCCTTACGGTAACTATGTTACAATTGGCCAGTTTCTTCCCCAAAATGTGATGGGAAACTCGGCTTAGATGTTTGACGTCGATAGTATGCATGTTCAAGCCAAGTTCGATGATCTGTGTTATGTAAGTGTAATGGGTGATCCGGGTCTTCGATGACGTGAATATATCATTTTCGTTTTTCCTCTTCACCAATGAAACTGATTTCAGGGCTGACGGAGTTCATCTTACAGTGACACCAATGACTAGGCTGTATGTAGATCCGAGAACAAGGCAAACAGGTCGAGCTAAACCAATGGCAGCCGAGTGCTTTTTTCCCAAGCCGAAAAGGGATTTAGATGCACAAATGCGGACATAACCTTGTTTGTGTAAGCTAATCCTGGTTCAATTCTCTTCCTCACTGCCGCGTTTTAAGTTAGTAGACATTTTTGAGACAGGCCATTCAAAATCTTCACTAAGGTAAGCCTGCCTATTCTTGAAATGGAATGTATCCAGTGCAATAACAGTTGTAATGGGAGCTTTTGAAGCATGCCCTAGGGGAAAAGTGATAGTCTTGATGGCCTATCTTACAATTTGTAGTGAGTGGACATCAACCTTTCTCCGAGTATCTGTCATGCTACAGTACTGACACTACGGTAATACCTGCTCTTTGATTTAGTCTGTACTCTGCTTTTTACCTCCCGCTGTTACCTTCAACACACGACTCGCGGTCCTCACGATCTCCTCATGCCTCGTTCTATTACTGCCTATCTTCTTGCATTCTATTCGGCAAATCGTCGACAGCGTGCATCACCAATATCTTATCTTCAATCTCCATCACATGTTTGATTATTCTCTCACACGCAATGTACGGCAATTTTTTATCCAGCAATCCTCGCTCCTCAGCTTGTTGATTACTGGTGAGTGAACTTCTTTACAGTATGCTCTTGTTTTGCTCACAATTCCTAATATTTACATAAATGTGAAAGGTGGTTACCGTTACTACTGCACCCACACACAATCTGTACTTTGCACGCAGATCAGGCTCAAGAAAATCCTTTTCAGCTCGAGCCCAACTTCAGAGCTGAAATAAGCCATGCACTATCTCATAGACAGCCTTCTTATGCGTTCCCCTAGACGAAAATTTTTATCTACGTAAGGCTCACCACCGTCTCTTTCATCCTACATCCCACGTCCAGCTTTTATTCAAGAACATTTAGCAACGCCTATTCATACAAACCTCATATACTGTAAGACCTGGCCATAGGCTTCTGATGTCAGTTTCAAATTCTCTCCAAATACCTCTAATCATCAAATTTCACTATCATTTCACCATCCCATTCTCGTGCGTCATTTACTGATACACTGGAATCTCGTGAATTTGCCAATTTGTGGCTAGTCACACCATGTACAGGCAGCCCCAGCAACGGGGAAGTGGACAATGCTAACAGCCAAAACATATACAGCAAATCGACGTCACAGGGTTTGTATGGTGTTACATGGTATGTATATCGCGCAAGCGTCCAACATGTGCAGCCGCTTAACTTATTTCAGCCTCTCAGAACCTCCGTCCCTCTTAAAATCTCCGTCCCTCTTAAAATCCCTGTCCCTCCTAGAATCCCCGTCCCTCTTAGAATCCCCGTCCCTCTTCGTGTATCCGTAAGTCCGTCCGGAATTCCATAATTTCAAAGCAGTTTACCTAGCAGCGCTAATGTGCATCTCGAAGTCCCAGGAGACGCTCCATCTCCTCCATCTCCAACTCAAAAATTTGGCGCTCCCTCGCGATCCAAAGCACTACCATCGCGCGTGTTGGTTCTGTCCAGACTGGGGGCTGAAGGCACGGCTGAAGCGGCAGTTCAGGGCGGTAGATTTCTTGATGTATGCGGACTCGCGCATTGGCCCACGTAACGTACATTAGTTCCTTGTAAATGTTAAAATCGATACTTCTGAATGAATCCGTACTTACCAGCTGCCTTTCGATCAGTCTGAACGTGATGTCCCGAGGCCTTGGTACGAGTTGTAAAAACTCTTGAGGAATCTGATTCCCGGCTCCTTCGTTGGCGTTGGCATTAGCATTGTTGTTCATAATGGTGGTAGATGTACACTCGAGTTTAGAATGAGTTAGAGTGAATTAATGTCATTCATATCGTTCATATCCCGATTTGGCTAAAAATTATGTTTCTGGCATTTGCCGGAATGGTGCATGCGGTATGTGTCTCGACCTAGGTCTTGAACGCATCTTATATCACATGAGTTTTTTTTTCTACGTCTAAAGTCATGTGTTGAACCAGAGTATGAATATTCATACTCTGGTTCAACACATGACTTTAGTTCATCGAGATCTGATTGCTCCGCCATCTCCTTCCGTCGCTCACTACACGGGGTCCTCTCTGTGCGGAGACAGGCTGGACAGAGGTAGTACTCCATGAGGTATGGCTTGTGCCATGATTTTGCCTTTCAAAACTCGGAACATACTACAGTTAGGTAAAGAAAAATTCCGTATTGGCACACAAGATGGAGAAATCTAATTTGACAACTCTTCAAGTCGACCCTGTAACAAACGACAGCTGATGGTGTTATCCATCCCTAGTAAACACTGTAAGTCATCACATGTTACATTTACCATTTACAACCTAGGCGAGTTGGGCGAGAACTGCAAATCGGACCACGACTCAATTTTCACATGATTCAAGTCCTATGTGGTGTGCACATGTTGTTATTAATGTTGTGTTTGCCGATTTCACGCTAATATAATTTCCAAGTTTCAAGCCCTCTCTGTGCAGCAATGATGAATACTTTGAGTCCTCGCAAAACTCCCGCGTCTGTACTCAACAAGCTGAAGATGTCTCCTGGAGGGTTCTATGCTGCAACGCCTAGGCTTGCTTATCGCACTGAATATTTTTCAGGTGGAAGGGATGGTAACATCCTCATCACCAAGGGTCTGGACCACAATGAAGAATTCATCATCTGCAGTGTATTCCAAATCAGCCGTGACGATTTCTGTTTCACACCAGATGGCAACTTCAATCCCGCAAATGTCTTCCATGGCCGCTTAGCAGACCTGAAGCTAAGCTGTCGGCTCATTGCAGGTCGTAGCAAGGCCTTCGAATTCTCGTCAGATGATTTCTCTGCTGTTGTTAGCAATCTCAGTGCCTTCGAGAAATCAGCTCCAAGGGAAAGATCACACAAGACCTTCAGTGTTATTCAGGACACTATTGGCCGCCGATCAATCAAGCTCACTCACTGTCTCTTTGAAGTAAGTTAGTTGTAACATTCTCTAATGATACTGAATATTGTAATGCAATAGGCTATTGACAGAGATCAAGACAATAATACTAGCGATGACGGCAGTAACAGCTCAACAAATGCCAGTAAGTTCGGAACGATCTTCATTTTTGAACGGATTTAAGTATTTGCTTTAGCCCCCACCGACGGCCTAGGATCTGAATATGACATCGCAACTTGGCCGGTTGCTAATTGATGTAAAGGCCATCTGCAGGACATCGTATCCTCGCATAATATTCGCCCGTTACCAGCATATGATGAAAACCACATTCTCATCCCACCGCTCCAGTATGAAGCGAAGCTCAGGGGTGTGCTTGTCGAAGTCCATATGGCTTTTTGCCACACGAAGAAATCAAAGTGTGACATCTTTGACGCTGTTCTACGAGAACTCATTGTCCTATTGCCACCTGTGCCCATGCCAAGCAGCCCCTTCAAACGTCGGCGCCTCAATGACGGGCCCTATACTGAACAATACAACAAAGGGAACTAATTGAGTCATTTTACCTTAAATTGTAGTATGTATTCACTCTGATCATTGACCATTCATACATTGATCAGTTTTTTTTGTGCAGGCTACCCGAAAACATGATACGGGATCGTGTAAATGCATAGTGTTTGTCTAATTTTGTACAATTGTACTGTACTTCTACCAAGTCTGTCTCTCGTTGTACGAATTACCACTGTAACAATAGAGCACTTGTCGCTAGCTCTGCACATGTCTTCGCTGGATAAGCTCCGAGTATGTAGATCATCCCCGACTCCCACGTTAGTGGAGGAGGGCTTTGTCGAATACAACCGAATTTCCCTGTGTCAGTCGATGTGCAAAGCTGTGCACTTGGACAGAATCTTAACTTTATTCTCATCTGCTCTACAGTTTTCGGCAAATACTCACCATCATACTTTTGTCAGTAGCTGAGTCTCATTGCGTGGATCTCACCGCTTTCAGACATCCAGACGGCAGTTCTAAATCTGTTTTCACTGCGATAAGGAATTTCTTGAAGCAATTGAATAGGTTGGTCCTTAGCTCATTCAATGTTGTCTTCAGCATGGTCCTAATAGCTCTTCAAGGAGCACGTTCGATAGGCCGATCAAAATGTCGTATAACGGCACGAAACCTCAACAAAACCAAATAGACAGATGCAGCTTTTAGTAGACACAAGCATTTGCTTTTGGCTGTCGTCGAGTTTTCAATATGGAAACCTTACCCGATGTAGAAACAACAATACAATGAGGAACAAAAGAAGCTCCTGACTGTATCTGTAAAAGTTGTAAGGTCGCGCGCTGCCTAGTCTGCGTTACTTGAGAAGCAAGTGCGTTCGACCCTATAGGGGAAGTGAGTGCAGCAAGGATCTAGAAGTGTGCGCTTAAGCGAAGCGCGAGAAAGCGCAGGAGCGCGCAAGGTACAAAGGCGCGGGAACGCGCGCGCGTATTAGCGCGAAGCGCGGGAAAGTGCGCGCGCGTATGCGGAAATGAGAAACTAAGCTTAAGTAGTGATATAAAGCAAGATAAGAGATATAAGAGTGCAAAATGTAAAGGAATAGCTTTCTACTATATTCTGCTAAGTAGTAAGTGGGTAGTAACTAGTAAGTGAAAAGTAGGAAAAGTAGGTCCAGTGTAGTATGTACTGCTGGCGCTTATATAGCGCGCCTAAGCGCGCTCATGCGGAGCCGAAGCGCTACCGAGTAGGTATGTAAAAATATATATGAGTGAGAAACTATGATAAAAATAAAGGTGGAACTATGCTAATAAAGGAAATGGAAATATACATACTAGGGAGCTTGGTGGACAGTGGATGGATGCATCTGGATGGCTGGCGCTATAGGGCGCGCAAGCGCGGGAACGCGCGCGCGCGTATACATCGTGAAGCGCGGGAATGGTGCGCGCATGGCGCGCGTTGCGTGGGAAAGCTGCGCCTCATATAGAGATAGCTGCGGGTAGCGCACAGAGTAATGCTATGAGTTCGTGCTGTATACTCCTTGGTGAAAACTACCATATCACGCCATGAGAGGCATGATTCTCTACATCTCCCAGGGACTTAAATTCTGAGTGTCCCCACTCAGCGCGCGCGTGGTGAGGATTTTGCGTGATAGTATGCGAGTGCGATGCCTGTATGATGCTTGGGTTGTTGGGTGATGAATGCGCGAGCATAGGAATTATCGCGTGGATGTGCGTGAAGCGCAGGAAGTTGCGCGCATGGTACGCGCGAGGCGCGAGAATGTGCGCGCGCTATGCGTGAAGGCGCGGGAATGAAGCGTAGCATGGTGGGTTGCGAGGGTGACTCTGGTGTGAATAGTGCGCCATGGGTGTGGGGTGATGATGCAAGGGTGATATGGATGTGGCACGCGAAGCATGAGCGAGACGCGCATGTACAGCGTGAAGCGCGGGAAAGCGCGCGCGCACAAGGCGCAAGAAAGCGCGTGAGTGTCGCGTGTGTTGTATTGTGCATATGATGCGAAGTGGTGCGGTCCAAGAGCGATCCAATCCAAGTCCAAACCAAGTCCTGCTAGGCGCGCTAAATATTAGGTGGTAAGGTTTGAACAGTGTGAGTAAAACTATATGTGAAAATGCGAAGGAAAAAATGGTAAACTTTGCGGATGTCCTATCCGACTTGTCTTCTTCGTGCGGCTGTCGACATCTACACCTTCCTATGAGCGAGGCGCGGGAAGCGCACACGTGCGCGCATGAGGCGCATGGGCGCGGGAATATTGCGCGCATATGCGTGCGTTCTAAGGTAAAAAGAGCATGGTGCCGCGTCATGCATGCGAAGAGAAAATAATACTATTGAGCTAGGCGGACACAATCTAAGGTTGTTTTCTTGTATGTTCTTCTAGGCAATCCCTATATGCATATATATCAGTGAGTTATTAGTCCTTGGGACGGCATTATAATGAGAGAAACAAAAATGAAAGCGCGCTGGACGAAACCCAGGGTAAAATGAATGATATCCTATGAAACAACAATGTTATGTTGTTCTTTGATGCGTGGCTGAGGCGCTTGATCCTCCTCCTTGAGCGCGTGCGAGTGCGCGTGACTAGCGCGCTTCGCGTCTCTTGCGAGCTGACGCTTTACTCAAGGTAGGGTTGGAATGAGCGAGGCTGGCGCGCTTGGGGGGGCTTGTAACTGGCAGAATGAATTCCTGCACAACGCGCTGCAGGTTGAAGGCGCGCCAATGGGAGGCGCTGTGAGGGGTGTAGAGGCGCCCTACAAGCTGATAGGATGCGCGCGATGTGCGCGCCTTGGGGTGATTTCGCGCGAATTTGATTATATTGGCCGAACACGCGAGGAACGGCCATTTCTCTGAAAATGGATTAGCGAGAGACATGTATAGCGTGAAATTAGGCGCAAATGTTGCGTGAATGGGCTGTAAGGGTGGTATATCAAGGCGCAGTAGGCGCATAGGTGAAGGAGAATAGTGCGCATCAAGGCGCGCAGGAACAAAATTGACATGGTAAGCAAAAGTACGAAGAATGCGAATAAGTGTGGAGATTGCAAAGTTAAAGATGATGATAGGGGGGTTAGGCGCATATGTATGTGTCAGGCGCGCGCCTATGTCGCGCCTGGATGGCTGAATGGAATATGTCTTGAGTTGAATGAAAAATTTGTGATTTAAAGGGGGAGAAATGATAGAAATGCGATAGCGTGAAAACTCTGCTAAAATTATGAGTGCGCGAGGCGCGGGAATGCGCGCGCGTATTGCGCGATGCGCGTGATCATGGCGCGTGAACAAGGGGTAGTGCAAGGATGAAATTAAAGTGTTTGGAATGGTCATATAGCTCCTTAAGAGCTTTAAACATGAAAGAGACAAAAAGCGCGAAATGAGATGAGGGTAAATATACAATACCTCTAGGCGCGCGCATTGCGCGTCCTCAGGCGCAATATGGTGCGCCTGAGTTGCGCCAGGGTCACCTGAGACATGCTCTGCTTGGTGGTTAGGTGGTATGATGCATGGATGCTTTACCGGCGCGCGATAGTCACTGGAAGCAAAAAGCGCGACATGCGCGCGATCATTAGTGACAGTTGGAGTTACCAGAGGCAAACTCTGGTTGATGCAAGGTGCAACTTGAGCCTCTGATGTGGTAGGAGGCTCCTCTATAGGTGCGCTAAGGTGCAATAGATGTTTAGGGTCATCCCTGACCTCTGATGATGCGAATGGCGAATGCGGTGATGGTGATGGTGCGATTCATCAGGAAATCGGGGAGATGATGTTTTTCCTAGATTTATTTGGCAAGATCAGAGCAAAAATCCACCGGATTATATGCAAAAACAGAACTAGACAAAGCGATACATAAGCATAAGCACATTGCGGGATATTATATGACAACCACAATTGTGAGGAGAATACATCATGTCTTGCAATGATGATCCTTGATAGGCAGAGAGCTACAAATGCTTATCACAATGACAGAAAATGAATAAAGTTTTGCAATGCATAACAATCATGATTACAGCATTACAATTTTGCTATTGGATTGCGAGCCTACCATACAAGTTGCTTACATTGTCGCGCTATTATAATTGTGTCCAAACGTACCCAACCATTGACAAGGTATTATAATAAGTGGGATCTTGTTGTTTCGTCCAACTCCTCAAGTAAATAGAAGCGGTTAGAGGAGGAAAAATAAATCTTATCGATGAGACATCTAAATTACGCCTACATTCAGAGGAAAGGAATGTGTGTATGTATATCAATCAATAACGTAGTAACATCAACTTATTTGGAGGCTGTCCGGGTTGAGGTGGAGGAACAGGCTTGAACTCTGCAGGCCCCCGGGGTGACAGGGACTCGAAGTTTCTATATATGATCAGGTGATTAGGAAGCGCAGGGATCGAGATGATTCCTGACTAACCGGAAAGCATCAATTGCAGAAGTTCGTAAACGACGCGTTTCCTCTCTTCATCGTAGCGGACTTCAGTGTAGCCCTGAAATGGTGATCCTATCATTACGATTAGCGGGTTGTAGTGGTAGCCACGCACCGATAATGGAAAGTCCTTTCGGAGGGGATGACCCTCGAAGCCTGAACAAAAATATCGCCGCAAGCAAGGTTGGATAAAGCTGTAGATTATCATGCCCAGGACTACGATCCATACGAGCATGAAGAAGATACCGGAGTAATCGAGGTCTGAGTACGCAGGGAATAAGTAAGTGTTGATAGACGAGCGTGCTCAAGACTTACTGTTGAACCATGGTCGGGTGTAGAAGCGGGACCAGCTTGAGTCAGAGTCGGCGCGAAGGGCATCGGGGAGTTGAACGAGGTTGTATTCGAGGGAACAGGATCCTGTGTGATTGTTATGAGGCTTCGTATTTCGAGTACTCGATGGTGGATCAAAATCAGACCTTTCATAACGTATGGATCGCCAGGGCCATTCCATCCCTCACAAGAGACCTCGACTCGACCGAAACGTAAAGAGGACGGCAGGTCCGCCTCACACTGCAAATATTATTGGATGACAAAGCCCAGCCCGCTCATTGCTGACCAGCGTCTCCCGCCTGCCCGCCTGTTCGCCGCTGCCTGCCAGTATGCAGCCGTTCTTAGAATACTGCATTTATGTTCCGCCCCAAGTCTACCTTATGACAATGCCATGCCCGCTACCCATCTCTCTTATCTGTTGGATGCCCTTGGAGTGAGGTTAACAGGTTGCTGATATCCGGGTCAGGTGGCATCATGGCTATAGTGGTGGCTGACAGAGATCGCGTCGGTGTGGTAATAACGGTAGGCTTGCTGAGATCGCATCAGTGTCGCTGACGGCGGGTGGTAGACCTACTCTCCTTTAAAAACACAGCGAAGAAATAACCGTCATCCTCATTCTTTCCCAACGGTACTTCATTGAACAACCCGCAAGCGACCTTCATGAAATGAGCGAAAACGGGAATCGACATGTTGCGAACCCATGCGGTCTTTATGAAATGATTTGCAGACCTAAAATAATGGTGTATGGCGACTTGGACAAGATATCTGGATACATATGCGCCACTACTGATTAAGATCTAGACAAAGGGAGCGCATATAATCAGTTAGGCTCCATGAAGCGCTGAGACGCAGCGAGAGAAATAAGTGACAAACGTCGATGACTTTGTCGGACATGATCTTCCCTCGTCCTAAAGCCCAAAACATAGCATCCATGCGGCCATAACGGTTGAGAAAGTAGTGGGCTCGAACGTAGGGGTCTTGGGACACATTGTGAAAGTGTTTGGAAGTGAGCGTTAAAGCGGTCGGGTCGTCGAGCTCGTAGAAGATCAATTCGATGACTTCATCTACGCAAATCTCAGGTTATGAGTGAGAAAAAGAATGATCAGAAAACATACCACACAGGCGTTGCATGGCGTGTGGTAGAAGGGTTCTTGACTGCGGTAGGCAGAAGCTTGAACTGCTCAGAAAGAGCACTAGTCGCAAGTTGACTCCGTCCAAGGAACCTGACGACGAGGATTAGGGACTTGACGGGGTTGGCGTTTACGATGATGTGGTTGGTGTCAAGAGGTGTGCAGCCGGAGAACGCACTTCATCGGACTTCTAAATTCAACCACCACTGCATCTTGAAAGTCAAAAAACCTTGGCCAAAGCGATCACAATGTTCCACAAAATATCGTATCATGAAGTTTAAGCTGTTCAGAGTGAAAAGATGCGTGAAATGGCAACGTTCTACACCGTTACAGGCGCTACATTGTGCTAAGTGGCTGTAATCACGTGGTATGTCAGGCGCATGATGTTGAAACTCCGATTGAAACAAACAGATGCCCCAGACCCCAGAGTCCGCCGCAGATTTTGGCCCCAGTGTCCATTTCCTGGATGTCCTCACTGATGTTGATATATGTATAGCACTCGACTCCGTTCTCTTGTATCTGTAGCATTCGTCTCCGTTAATATGTTCTCACGTCTCAGTCTCATCTGAATCTGTACGATACTTATGTCTTTTCGCGACTCGTCTCGGTTGATCTGTACGATACTTGTGGCTGTAAATCCAATCGATTCGCATGAAGTACGGCTCGAAAAAGCGACTGTAGGGCTCTGCCGTGCGCGTTATCACAGAGCGTAACTGTGCGAAACTTCGGAGTGTTTCTCCCAAAAAAAGCAAGAACTAGTACATACAGTGTACTCACGCCGCCGCACAAACTTCAATTGAACTATACCGAAGTCCAACTGATTATCGGATCTATACTACATCGAGTCCATGGAGCAAAATAATCAATTCAATAACGCTCAAGCACAAGGTGACCAATTCAGTACTCAAGCAGTGAGTAGAATAGTGATGATATTTTGCGCTTGATCTAAAACTTTACCTACTAGAACCTCCCTGACTTGGATCATGCAGTCATACCGGGGCCATTGATTGTCACCCAGTCGGCAATTGTATGTGGTCATTAAAAATCGTATGCTAACGGTGAAGGACTCACGAACATGATGCAGTCGATTTGGAGGACCGCCACACAAGCAGCTCAATCCGGTATGAGCCAAAACCGCCAGCAGGCACAGATCCACACAACAGAGGAAGAAAGGTGTTGGTTGATTTTGATGGCGTTGCGAAGAGAACAAGAGCTGGATGAGACGACTAGATGGCTGCGTGACGCCTGGCGGGAATTGGATGAAATTAGAAGCCTGTTGGGGATCGCAAGAAATCAGTAACGAGACTCGGTACGAAGTGTAGGCGATAAACGAAATGTTCGGATGCTTGCGTTGTTGACAGTGATAGAACCTACGCGAAACATACTCAGATGATTCAAGGAGCGATCTGTAAACAGAACAGAACGAAGAGTCGGACAGCGCACCAGAGACCATCAACATCCAGCCAACTTCGACGATGCCGTTGTTCTAACGCATCTCCAAATACCAATAGTGTCGGCAACATTTCTAATAACAACGCCAACACCACTGCGAACGCCAACTCGAACTCTAGATGGTGCAAGGAGCGATCTGTAAACAAAACAGAACGAAGAGTCGGACAGCGCACCAGAGACCATCAACATCCAGCCAACTTCGGCGATGCTGTTGTTCTAACACATGTCCAAATACCAATAGTGTCGGCAACATTTCTAATAACAACGCCAACACCACTGCGAACGCCAAATCGAACTCTAGATGGTGCTGGATCAGCAAGTTCGTCCGCTTGATGTGTCTCCTTGAGAATCGAGGTGGTTACCTTGAGCATTTGGAGTCGACGAATGCAACGAATGGTGCTGCCTGAGCGCAAGCTTCCATGCTAGATTGAACTGGTGCAGGGTGCGGTCAGTCGTAACACACGTGCTACATCTACCTGGCTTACTGATCTTGTACGCCTGAATTAAATCACTGTTCATAGACAAATGAGTAAGTATTAGCAACAATCGGATCGACCCATACCTGATCGCCTGTTAGGCCGTGGACGCTTGGACGTGCTAACAATCCTCGCACGCCATGGAGTTATGGCGTAAACGTGCGAAGGCTGCTGAAGCATCAATGTTGGGACGCCATTGCATGCGAGGTATAATCGCAGCTGCAGTCTCGACAATGTCTGGGTTTGTTGATGTCTCTAGAATCCAGCGAATACGTCAGACTTGGGAGTGAATCTGATTGTCTGGACCAGTCAAGGCACTGGCTTCGAAATTTGAATTGAACGAACGACTCACCCTTATCGATTCCCATGCCAAAAGCAATGGTAGCACAAACTATACCATTATCTGATTCCATAAATTGCTGTTGGACACGTGCACGCTCATCGCCATTCAATCCGGCATGATAGTACACCATTGGTTTCATTCCATGAGGGCGAAGATGGCCGGCAACCTCTTCCGTATGTTTCTGCAGGGTCACATATATGATTGCAGGTCCGGTTCGAGATTTCGAGAAGGGAATAAGAGTATCGAGTTTTTGATCTAGAGTATTTGCGACTTGAACTTGCAAAGCCAGACTAGCATTCAAAACTTTTATTAGTGGGGATAATGGGAACGCGAGAGCACTTACTTTGACCGGTACACTGGGGTGCGAAACACACCTTTCTGAGTATCAATGAAGAATGATTGACAGATGTCTTCTGCCACATTTGGAGTAGCGGTTGCCGTCAAGCAGAGGACACGTTCTACATCCATTTCCTCTGCAAAATGCACAATCTACAGGTCCATGAGTGCAAACCAGAACAGGCGCACGGCATGCTTACTTTTAAATACTCGGGCCGAAAGCTTGCACCCCACTACAACCCGCTCATGAATGACAATCTCGTGCAAATTATAACATACCAGACACACCTGCGAGATACAATGCGACTCGTCAATAGCTAGCAGTGAGATTTTGACACGACTCATCATCGTAATGAATCCTTCATTATTCAGCCTAGAAAAGTATTGTCAGAGTGATGCATGAGTCGTACATAAATGCGAACCTTCCAGGAGCCACATAAAGCAGTTTTAGACGCCGTGAGACAACCCCTTGTTTGACCCAGGCTGCCCGTTCTGCGCCCAACGTGCTGTCCAGGTTTGCAGCTTTCACCCCACGATCGACCAGAGCATCGACCTGATCCTTCATCAAAGCAATGAGAGGAGATATCACCACAGTCAGTCCCTGTAATAATGTCAGTGATGTCACACTCAGGAAATGTAACTACGTTACTGGAAGGCATAATGCTGGAACCTGATAGGTGAGACTTTTCCCACCTAAGCGGTGGTCGTTAACGCCTGTTAGTATTCGAAAAAACAGGTTGCATCACCTCCCGTGGGATATAAAACCAGTGCGTTCTCATTGTCCACAATCAGGCGTTTAATGACCTATGTAATTCAGTATCAGTGGCTGAATTTCACGTATGATGTGATAACTGGCCTCTTCTTGAGACAGCCTAAAAGATGGAAAATCCCATATATTCTTCAATACTCTATGTGCGTCTTCCATTTGGATTTGAGGTGAACACGCAGCAGAACGGGGCAACCGTGACGCGTGACATTTGAACAGTTGTTTACGCGTTGTTTGGTTGATTCCACATTTGGCGCTTTTTCCCACACTTGCAGCAGAGCTTGAGCCTCGCTTCGACTCATCGACATCAATATGCATAGCCCATGTGCTACAACTTACCCAATCGTTTATCACTTTCCTGCGCACGCTGTGCATACTACCATTCAGTACGCGACCGTGTCCACCATCAATGTTAATGATTGCGATGATGTTGTCTCACCTTAGCGACTGGAAACATCATCAGTATGTGCTGTGCGCACCTGCAGAAAAAGTTGGACGTCGGGAATTCATAGGAGGCGCCTTTCAGCAGCGCCTGTACTAATTCCATCCCTTCCCCTGAGAATTTTCTCAAAGTTTATCAAACTTCAAATTCTTGGAACGTGCGCTGGGGCCCGCGCTCTGTCAATGTCAATGCTACCTGTTCCGTTTCCGAACCAGAAGAACTGCTGTGGACAGATTTACCGCTGCCCTGTATTTGATGAATTGTGGTCATCTCAGAGTTTGGATTCCGCTCATGGCGGGCATAAATCATCGTCGGCGCACCTCAGCGAGTAATAAGCAAATAACTAGACTGCAAGTCTGCAGGACCTTCAGCCATCAATTATTTTTGGCACGCGCTTATAGCTCTCCACATTCCCAGACTGTGTGTACACTCACAGTACGTGCATCCGCGTCCATCGGCAGGAGGATCGCAATGATGCTAAACGCTCCGCAAGTTCGGAACCCAGGCTGTCATCAAGAAGTTCCGGGTATCAGATGTATTCAGCTATCGAAACACTGTTGCAATTGGCAATCTGTCGCCAGTTCAAACGTTCACCGATAAGCCGTTCCGATCATGATAGCTGCGGTGATAGTGGCACAAACAAACGAAATCAAAAGGGTCCTGGCTCCACTGCCATCAACGGTCCATTTGCGCTGTCGAGAAACAAGTGCCCTTCCTCATCCATCACGTTCAGGCAACTTTCGATTGTAGATCCTATCATGGACAGTGACAATGGCTTTGAGCCCCCACCCAAGCGGCCATACCGAGCAAAACTTTCAGCGCTAGTGATGCCGTCAACCAATGCCTCCCCTCGCCGTTCACAGTACCGCATGGCTATCCAACGAGGCAGGGTCCATCACATTCCAGGATCTCGCAAATCTATCGCTTTTCATTGGCTTCCTAAGCAGTGGGATCTGATGGATCTATTCCTTTTACTGCACCATCTCGAACATTCTTTCTACTTTCAGCCCGCATAATATCCGATGTCCCCCAGCCAACTCAGGCCAACTCCCGAGCACGCTTGCAAAAATAACTTGGAACTGATTGTTACTGACGTTGAGCACATGGTGCTATATTCAGATGTGACTTCAACTAGTAACTGCCCGATAAAACATGCGTTTCAGTACACCGTGACAATACATCTAACATATATATTCCAAACACACTATAGATATAGTATCGTTACAAATTAACTACATGAGACTCCTCCACGAACTTGAAAACATGCATTACGGCCAAAGCAAAAACCTAGAAATGTTCCTGTGAATGCACACGTTCAGCATTAGAATGAACAACCAATAATGAAAAAACAGACCTTGGCAAATGTGAATTCGACATTATTGCTACTGTGCATGAGAGTTGCTGCCTTGATAGATTTCGCGAGTACACCCGGACCACAGAAGTAGGTCTGCGAGAGCAACCATGAGAACAATTATCAGGAAGAAGACTGAATTCTTCAGACTTACACCAACTTTGGTCTTCAACTGTGCACTGCTACCAGGGAGATACTGACCGATCTCAATTGCTTCCCTGATCCTGCGGTAGATGCTCTTCCAATCGGGGCGGCCAAACATGGTGCGAGTACGAAGCAACGTGAGAGGATCATAATCGGCACCAGCATCGTTGACAGCGATGTTCCAGAGCATATCTTCATCGATCTTTTGAGTGAGGTAGATGTTGATATGTAGGAAATTTGCTTGATATTGCATTTGAGCTGAATATTTCCTAGGTCGATCAAAATAACTCACGGTCAACTTGAGCTTCCTCAACATCTTGCAATAGGCTCTGGAACCAGCCAAACGAGGGCGCATCACGACAAACCCAGAAAAATTCGACCCTTCGGAGGGAACCAAGATCACCTTTCTTTTGACGGTACCAGATATACTTGAGAATTGACGCGAAGGGAGTGACACCTATATAAATTTAATTAACAAGCATTAGGCCCTATGTCGTTTCTTACCGATACCAGCGCCAATTAGCACAGCAACCTCGTTATCGAACACATCTTCAGCAGGAGCGCCATAAGGCCCGTCGATTCTAACGCGAGGAAGTGAGCGGGAAACATTGGGTTCGAGCTCAACAAATTCGCCACGAGTGCCGCCGTACTCGGTTTCGTCTTTTTCAATGCCCTTCATGGCGGCTTTTGTCATCGCAGCAACCACAGATGGACCGCAGCCAAGCCGCTCTCCTAGGGAGTGAGTCCAATCACCAACTTGACGAATGTGAACGGACACATAGGGGTCTTCAGGAGCAGAAGTGATAGTGAACTATATTTTTTACGGCGGTCAGAAAATACGAAAGTCGAGCGGCGATCTACTTGTTACGCACAGGATGCCATTGCCATTGGGAAACTTCTGGGACCTGAATGAAGAGCCACTGGCCTGCCGTATACTTGAAACTAGGTTTGATGATCCGCAGTTCCATGGCTCCACTAGGATGCACAAGAACTTTGGACAGCGTTGTTGCCCTTCGAGCACGATATTCCCTGTACATCCTTTCACCGAAGTAGATAATACCAGGCCAAATGGTGAACCTCCAGCTTTCGTAGCCAAGACAGTGCTCCGTAGAGTAGAAGGGGAAAGTATAAGTGTAGTCCGGATTTGCAGAGTCGCGGACAAAGCACCCAGTGGCATGGCTGTAAAGGCCAATGAAGAAGAAGAAGGCGAGGTGATGAGTGTACCAAAAAGCTTCGAAACATTGGTTGCGGATCTTGTGGTGTGCAGTGGTATACATGAGGACCATGATGAGGAGCATGAAATGGCCAGTTATACCACCAGCCTGTGTATAGTGAATCTGCAATGCATACTCCGGACGAACCTCTGAAAGAAATTAATAACGAATGTCAATCCAAAATTCACTGTAGCACTCACGAGTGCGTTCGACATTGAAAAAGTTGACATAATGAGCTGTAGTATGTACCATTGCCCAAAATGCCATCGAGTATGCGACCTGTCTATGGAACCAGATGTTCTCGTCGGCAGGGAAGAGCCACGCGAGCTTGGGACGAACGACGCGAATGATATTGCGCAGCATGGGAACCAGGAGCAGTCCCGCGTTGAACGCAAGAGTGAGACCAGCACCACGCGACGTCCAGACAGACCATTTCAGAGCATTGAGAGCAGCCAATTTAGTGTCAGTGGCCTGTTAGATGCGTAGTGAGTGATTGTCGAATCTGATGCGGTGAATGAGGCTCACTTGCAGATACCAACCCAGAGCGAAAAGGGTTAATTGGATACCGTAAAATATGACATTGAAAACAAGCCTCCTCGGGTTGAGGAACTCGCTCTGAAACCAAGATTCACCCATGGTATGATGTTGGGGAAGTAGAAAAGTGGGGCCTGCCCAAAATGTAGGAAAGAAAGACGAGAAAAAAGAAGGCGCTAGATGTAAGAAGGGATTTATAAAGGGTACCGGACGGGACAATGACAAGGTGATGCCGGGATAGTAGAAATATACATAGTACAAGCTGTACCCCGGGAAGGCTGTCGCTATCTAGAATCTTTCCGGCATCCGACGTAGGTCACGGCAACTCAGTCATCATTTGTCCGGCTGTGCCAATTCAGCGCGTAGCAGCTCTATTATAATTATTGAACATTGTCCATGGCATTGAGGCTGAAATTCACTGCCTCCCCGCGACAGTGATCGTCCCTATACCGTCCTAGATTTAGACCCAGGACCATGCTTATATATGAAATTCCATTCGATTTTGGTAGTCACGTCAGGCAAAGTAGTGACCGGGTGGAGAGGTCTGTCGAAACTCGGCGTTCGGCGGTGTTTGCAATATCGCCGCCTGACTGCCTACCTAACTGTCGCCTTGCAAAATCAATCACTTGATCGTTAGACTGCCTATTATCCTAGACTCCAGTAGGCAGGATCAATGAAAATTCTGACAAGCTTGAAGTGAAACGATGGAGCCATATAAGGCAAAATGGCACGTGGTTTGTAAGATTTGTTTCCTTGACGCGACTTGTTCAACTGCTCATTGCACAGAACACCACTGTAATGGCTACACTAGCCCCCTTCTCTACGTCGTATCGACAGCAGCCAAGTATAGGCACACCCTCATCAGTATTTCGTCAGAACCAAAACCAACAAAGGCCGGCCTCTGCCCTTGACCTTCCAGGTCTCCAAAGCGCAAGTCGCGTATTGCACGACCAGTTCATCAAGGATGCCCAGATAATACCAGATATCGGTGACATGCTTACCACCCGTAAGTTGGAAACCCTCTGGCATATTCACATTATCTCTAACTTTCCTTGCCAGCTGGTGGGCAGTCGTCAGCACTCTATAGTGTCTTTCCCGACGACTACCGGGCACCATTTCAGAAGAGGAGGCTTGTAGGCATTCCTGAAGCACTGTTTCAGTATTATAACAGTAAGTTTAATAAATTTGGCTCTGATGCTAGCCTAAAGCTTCACAGCTACCAACGTTACTTCACACATGGGTCTAATACCCGAAATTGAGCGTGTATGGATATCAATTGATCATAAGCTATTTCTTTGGGATTATATTGAGGGGTATGTATCCCTTTCATGCCTCTTTTCAAACTGATACAACCCTTCCAAAGCCAAGACATAAGCTCCTTTGTCGACCAACCGGACGTCATCACGCATGTCGCTGTCGTAAAACCAAAAGTCGGCGTCTTCGTCGACGAAATCACATCCGTCATGGTCATTTGCACTCCTGTATCCGTTCTTTTAATTGGGTTGTCCATGTCCACCGTCATTGGTACCAATAATCGCTCCCGCAAAGAAATCAGAATGTATGCAACAGACATGACAGTTTCGACTGACATCGAAATGACCTCTGTTGTGGGGATGTCCGACGGGCGCATTTTCATGTGTGGTTCTCAAGATGGCTGTTTGTACGAACTGCACTATCAACAGAGCGAATCTTGGTTTTCGAAACGGGTGCATATAGTCAACCACTCTGTTGGAAGTGTACAGAGTCTGTTCCCGAGATTCACCTCACCAAAGTCGGAAGGTCTGTGATTTGTTTTGCCCTTGACTTGCGATGAATGACCCTTGCACCTAGACCGTATTGTTGCTGTGATCTCGGATCCAAAACGCAATTGCTTCTATACCCTGTCTGCCAGGAACTCGATATCTATCTACCAGGCCAGCAGCGAGAAGGCTGTGCACCATGTGCAAACTATGTCGAACCTTTACAAGTCTGCGCAAGAGAAGGCACCTGGTTCTCCCGCTCTTACCCCTTCAAACTTCCAGATCGTGGCTCTACATGTCCTAGACCTGGGTGAATCGCGAACAGGGGTTCAATTGATAGCCATCACCATGAACGGTGTACGCTTGTACTTCTCTCCATCAACCTCGACATATGGGTTTTCATATGGGCCAACCCCAAGTGCTGCGGGCGGTGTGCGACCTCTACAACTCATTCATGTACGACTTCCACCCCCAAATCTATTGCATCCAGACGAGCAATCTAGTCCCCATCGTCCTGCTTACAACAGCTCCACCCGAAACTCTCCTCCACAACCTCCATCCCGTCCCTTCATCGTGTCAGGACTTGAAAACTCGTGTTATTTGGATGGACTAATGGTCTCAGCTCAGCCTGGTGATACAGATGGGACAGACTTTTTGCTTTGCACCGCGCCTGATCTCACTCGAATTGGCTCGCTCGGGCAACTGAATCCGCCATCGCAACTACAACCATCCCAGCAACCAATATATGGTCCCTCATCATATGGGACTGGAGCAAATCAACGACCTCCTTTAACTGAATATGCTACCTTGCTAGCCATCCCTGGTCGGACATGGTCAATGGACGACGGTTCCCCGAGAATCGACCCTTGCGTCAGTTGCTCCTTCACCTCCTGTCACAAATGAACTCGCAACACAATTCTCCGAGCCTTCACGACAATTTATGATCCTCACGAATGTCGGTCTCACATTTTTGATCAAAAGGCGAGCTTTGGACTATCTCAAAGCGGTCATAGAAGAAGTCCAGACCGAGGGAGTGGTGCAGCCAATAATTGAGTTCAGAGACAGGTAGGTTTATTTGTAAATACAGTCGCTCAAAAACTCACTTTTATATAGTTTTGGAAGAGACCAGACATGTGCCATGTTACTCGGTCTTGCAAGCGGGAATACTTTCCTGGATGCTGGAGAGCCATCGACAAGTGGCACACTCTGCACAATTAGTCCCGATATTGCCAACGTTGCTAAGCAAGCGTTTTATGATTTTGGCGAGCGACCAATCTGGACAGAACGAGTGACTTACGGTACAAGTGAGTAGTGCATTCTCTAATCAGACTCGAACTCACACCTTTCAGGCGACAGTTCTGGTAGTGCCATCTTTAGTGGTCGAAGGGAGGGCTTTGCTATATACTTCGCACGTCTAGTACGGCCACTGTGGAAAGACAAGTTAACAAAACCAGGGTAAGGTCCAAAACCCTTGTAGTCAATTCTTCTCATACTGAAATCGCACAGCCCCCCTGGTTTGCAACAGTCGAACTTTGAGGATAACCTTTTGGTAACTGTACAGAAAAACCTTTTCGCACTGAAGGAGTTCCTAGATAAAAACCCTCACCTATTCCACTCTGCTCCCGGAGAGCATTCAGTATCGCGGTCGTCATCTGGCAATGAGCAAGAAGCTTGGAAGGTTATTCGTCTTCCACACCGTGATGCTCTCGCTTAATCCTTCCTTAGGCTGAGCAAAATTCTGTTTCCCAGCTCCAAGCGCTGTTATCCAGGACAATCGAAGCAATATCTTTCATACTTCTGTTGAACGATTACAGGCTGGGGGAGCTGACAGCCCAGTAAGCATTTCTGATGGGCAGGGAATTTCCTAATCTCAAGCTGATTGCCAGGTGCGATCCTGATACGCAAAAGTTGATCACTTCCATGACATTTGAAGACCTTATTACTTCACAAAATGGTGTCACGGCTGCACGTGCATTGGTTAACAGTCGTAATTGACCAACAGATCGGTCAACAGATTAGCGTGCGTATCTGTTGTAAATCTGCTGCACTGGGATGACAAGCTCTGTACAGGTGGATACAATCAGTGAGGTACTACAGCAACGCTGTGGCTCGTTTTGCAGCACAGACGATGTCATGCTGTACAAGGTTAGTCGTAGTTGTTGTTTCCTGTTTTAGTGATCCGTCTTACAGTGAATTAGGCTCGTGAAAGTGTTCGTAAGGCTATGGAGTCACGAAATCCCTCCGAACGTCATAACTGGCTCGGCGAATCTCTGAGGTACATTGAAGATACCAGATGGGGCTCGTGATTCTAACCGTATTGCACCAGACTGTTTACCAAGGGTGCACGGATGCTAGACTTTGACAAAATTCGCGAAGTTTGTGGTGAATACCAGCAGCTCGGTTATGCCAAAGGTTAGTACGTTTTGGTCTAGTGGTCACTATATTTACACCCGCTCAGGAGCTGTGGAACTTCCATTGAGTTGCGCCCAGGCACTAGACCCTGATAATCTGGGCCTCGAGTACTGGTATGCGGCATGTCCGCCAAATGACATCCGAAAGGAGTATTGCGACAGACGACTCAAGTGTTACGACCTTGTCCTGCATTCTCTGAGCGTCTTTGAGGAACAAGCCTCACAGAGTCCTTCTGTAAAAGGGTCAACGTCAAACGCAATTGACGACCCCGAAGCTATCCGCAGCCATGCCTATGACCTTGCATTTTCCAGCGAGGACGAGATGTTTCACTCTACGTTATATGAGTGGTTAATTAACCGTGGTCTTGCTGACGAGCTTTTGGCGGTGCGTTGTTATCGTGCTCAACAATCTTGGCTTCGCTGATAAGTCTGGAATGATTGTAGATGCGGCCTCCATTCCTGGAAGCCCACCTGAAGCGGGAACCGATCACGGTGCCCAAGTATCAGCTTTTGTGGCAATTCTATGTGAAAGACGGTCAACCGTTGCGCGCCGCAGAGATACTTGCTGTCCTAGCAGAGTCTGAGTGAGTGTTGTGTCTATCCATTCTATTCAATCGACACCTCATCAAACATACAGTACTGACTTGCTGTTGGACAAACGCCTCGAGTACCTGACACTGGCCGTTGCCAATGCGAAGTCTCATCCCGTGACCATCGGTGGCAGGCACGAGACTGCTATTTCTTTCCTTACCAATCTCGAAGAAAAACTGGACGTTGCTCAAGTACAGCTCGAGGTATACAATACCCTCTTACCTCATATGAACGATCCTGGAGAAGCTGGAGAGAAAATAAAGTATCTCAGCAAGACCTTGTTGACCATGTCGGAGGTATGTCCCCATGATAGGTCTCAGTCGTTGTTTTCTTTATGTACATTTTCAGCTGTATCAAGTTTATGCGGAACCATTCGATCTACCGGTCATGAAGCTCTTGATCTTGCATGTCTCTGATCATCACGATGAACACGTTGTCCGTCCTATATGGGATAGGATATTTGATGATGGTACGTAAGGCCAGTTTACGAAAAGGTGGCGCCCGTCTTACTCGCGTCTCGTTAAGCAATTGAGAAGGGTGCGGATGCACAAACCAATGCCGACCACATCATCGCAAGTGTTGTTCCACTAGGGAAACGGTTTTACCCCTCCGAGAGTGCCTTCCCCTTGAGTGAGTCAAGACTGCACTTATTCTAGGTCTTCTCAGCTCATAACATAATTTCAGAGTACATTGCATCGTTGTTGGTCACATTCGCTCTCAAAAACAGGACACAACTACCAAACGGTTGGAGTCCTCGGGTGCTTGTTCAGTGTGGCGTTCCTTACGGGGATGTGTGGGATGTACTCCATGAGATGTATGAATCACAGGTAATGGGTCTTATCTGAGAACTTTGCACGAGTGAATCTAATTTCGGCAACACAGATACCGCCTTTCAACACGCAAAGCGGCGTGCAAGTCGTATCCGCTGATATTGCAATTCTTTTAAATGACTGGCTCGAGGAGGCAAAACGCCCTCAATCCTCAGTTCCCCGAGGAGAATTCCCTGTTGGCAGAATAGATCTTGCTGTTGGGCAGTATCTGGCGGAACTAGGTGCCAATCAGGCGGAGACAAAGGCAATTTATGAAGGAATCAAACGTCAGCTAAGAAGAAACTGGTAGCACATGGGATGCCTTATCTATTACTCGTCATAAAATCCTACTACTTTCATGACACCTATGTCGGGCAAATCAATTGACTTCCAGAATGACATCCTCCGCAAACAGAAGTAAACGTTCGCTGATCTTTCGTGTCAATTTGTACGCCTCGTATAACGCCCTGGATGCAATGATCAGGCAAACATACAATGTGCGTAAGAGACACGTGCCTCGCAATCCCAATAACTAGTAAACCCAAGATGATCATCGCAGCTATGTCTGTTGAGTTACCCCTCCGGCTTCTATTACCCCTGAAACGAGCTATCCAATGGACTGGGCCAAGAAGAGGCAGCGACAGCAGCATATGAACTATAGACCCGGCACCTATCATAGGGAGGCCGATCACGAACCTGCGCACAAACCGCTTCAAGAATGATGGTGAAGATGGGAACGGGGCAGGATTAGTCCTCGTCAGTCTTGGAGCATCGTCCTCTAGAGGAAATGCGTCCTGGTCTCGAAGTATTCGTAATGCTGCACGGATGAGATCGTGGCCAACGTCAATCGGCGAAATGAAGAAGTAGTATGATGATCCGTAGGACGAGTAATCGTCGAAGGAACTCATGAAATACGTTGTAACATAGGACGAACACATGACAAGTAAGGTGAACAAAAAGGAAGATATCATGCCAACTACGACTGCAAGGACGTCAGTATCGTCTCACTATGCGGAGTGGTTTCACTCACCCGGGTTGGTCGCCAACCCAATTGCTTTGGTCCGAGCAAAGTGATATCGGTAATGGCACTGTGGACAGCGATAGAAAGAGTTGTTGCTGAAAGACGAGTTCCTCCACTTTTTCAGGCAGGATATATGGACATACTGAATAGATGTCAGTGTATCGATATTCGAAGTATTCGAGGGAGCTGACTGACGCTAATGGAACCCTTACACAGACAAGGTCGAATAAGTCTTCCCAATGAGTCGTCTTCGCCATCGAAGCAGATACGACATTGTTTCTCCTGCTCGGGCGCTGGTTTGTTCTGTGCATCTGCCATGTTGGCCATGATCATGTACTGTCGGCGTCGAGGAATCCTGTTTTGTGTAGATATTGTGACATATATGGAAATTCGTACGAGGCGACCTTGCCGGGCATTCGGCACCATAATTTGGCTCGTATGTGGAAATTGCCGAATGGAGCATAGATTTTCGTAACTGAGCGCTATGAAGCTAAGCCAGAGCGGTCCTCTCAGGTATTTCTAGTTAGTTTAACTGTCTCGGTTGAACGAGGATTGAAGGAGAAATGAGTGAGCTAGCACCTGCCGATATGCGCCGTGACGGAGTTTGAATATGGACTTGTGGGTGCAACGCGACTCGTCGCTCTTCTGTCGATCACCGGTCTTCTGGCGTGAAAAGTGGGACAACTCTATCACAACTCTAGTTCAACATCATCCGTGCCAAGTCAGTTCGCTTCGGTGCTTGAATTTAATTTTCATCGTGTTTGTTTACGTCTAAACGGTGGCAGTGGAAGGTAATGTTACTCGGTGACTAGGTTCCTCGAGTTGACGTATTTAATACAGAGCTCAGTCGCGCGATCCAGGACGTTGTTCGACTGCATCAGGGGTTAAGGGATCACCGCGTTTCAAAGGCGAGGGTTTCATTGCTTCAAAGTTCACATAACGCTCTCAGGCCATTGTCGCGCTTATTGCGCGCTATCATCAAGTAAATATCACTTTGTTGGGCGATGGCTGATGCGTTCTTTTTTTATTGATATCGAATCCCCCCATCGTTGCTACGAGCTGAATGCCCCCCTCCTTCCGATGATACCGCTGCTAACTTATGTAAATCCCCGGTTGCACAAATTAGGCGAAGGGACCTGATTTGACGCCCCACCTCTTGAAGAGAATTCTTCTGATACATTAGGTCGTGCTGAAATCGGGGAAACCTTCCATAGTACTGAATATTGAATAACCGGCACCCCGTCGGCGATAACCGATAGTCTTCTAAGTTGGTAAGTAGCAACTTGCTCCGACATCATTCGTTCAATCATAAACATACTTGCAGATCTACTTCAGATGTCTCTAATTCCTCCTTGCTCTCCTCCATGTCAGAGTCGTACAACAGTCCTAGTCAATCACCAACTACTACTAAGCGATGTACGATATCATACTCGGTCCCAGTCAATTTTCCCTCTGGAATTTCCTGTCTACAGACGTAAGTAATCACGCCTGTACATGAAAGCATCGTCACCAGGACCATCATGTGTTTTTTCCAGGTACCTCGCATTAATTTCACCCGACTTCGAGTCAGGATAAATCTTACCAGATCTCCACAAGGCTAAGCTCTTCCTTCCTGCCGTAGATCGTTATTATTTTAATGGTCAAGTCCTAACGCACATTAATGTTACGTGCCCACCTTCGGGCTTTTACATCAATCAACCACGGCTCATGCTCGAACGCACCTTGTGTCGAGCTAGCCTATTCCTTCTTGATGAAGTCTACGACATGGATCTCGATCGCTATGTCTTGAAGGATATAACCGTAGGACCCAGTCCTCTATCTCACTAAGATGGCTACTAAGTACCCTGTCCCATCCAGCGATAAAATACTCGCTCTATCTTGCATGAATGTTGGCGTTGGTCCAGGTGGAACAACCGCAATGCTTGCGTTCGTCATGCGGATTGTTCATGACCCGCTCATCTATAACACTGACATTCCAGACGCGTCTCCATCGTCGATTACAAAGGACAAGTCATGCTTGATACATACGTATCACCTACCATGCAAGTCAGCGACTACCGAACTGCAACCACCGGTATAGAATCTTCTCACCTTCTTTCTCGTGAGTTCAAAAGCCAGTGTCATCTTTCTGCTATTCACACGACCTATCACACCAGCCGACACCCCTACTTTCGCCCAAGTTCAACAGCACGTTGCTGACCTTATCAAGGGCAAGGTACTTATTGGCCACAGTCTGTGGAACGATCTCTCTGGTAAGCATAGCTTTTGTTCAATTACCCCGGCCGTCACTTATTGACGTCTTACCCAGTTCTAGGAATTCCTCATCCCGCAGTGGGTACTCGGGACGTTGCTCTATATCAGCCTTTTCGAAACGCTCTTCGGTCTCCTAATCAGGTGATCGGCCTTCAAACTCTTATGTGGCATTTGATGTGCCGTCGATGTCAAGATGGCCAGCTTCACCCAGTGAGTTCCTACTATCATGACAGTCCTGCTCGACCCCTGAGTAATGTGTTTCCCGTAGGTCGAGAATGCGCGTGCTGCACTTGACTTGTATCGGACTGTTTCGTCTGAATGGGAAGGGGCAATTGCCATCGGAAATTGGCCCTCATCCCTTCCTCCTAGCACATTCTCGCGTTGCTATCTCTGAACAATTTCCATGCCGATTACTACTCTTTACACCTACATGACATTCTTCCGCAGGACTATTTCGTATTTAGATGCTTTTAATCCTACTATACACTCGTCTTATGCCAATTCGTTTTATGCCAGTTCGTTATGGGCTTTATGACTCTATGTATGGGTGCATTAGCTTCGCCTCGGAGTTCCAAGTAAATCTACAACGACTGGCTAAGTTACTCGGTACGTCACTGCACAATCCTCGACTCTTCTTTGCTTCAGCATTGAAACCTTCCTCTTCAACGCCTGCCATTTCCTATTCTCGGCTCCCCTTCCATGAAAAATCTTTGCAGTTGGCCGTCTAAGTAACCTGGTAAAAGCCCGAGGGGATGCCCCTCCCGTAATGTCCCGTTGCGTTCGCCATGATTGCTTCTGCAAGCGAAGTGTTCGCTCAGATTCGAGCATAACCGCGGCGATATCAAGACGTCCTTCTTTGATGGAGAGACTAGCGATCCGCCGCCTGACAACGCTGGATTCTGTGCGCGGACCCCACCGCGTGCGAAAAGTTTTGAGGCACTTCATGGCGAGAGTCCCGCATCGTTTGCAAGACCGGAGACTTGCGAGGATTAAAAATAGTGTTTTTGACGATGGTCGGATCCCAGGGTGAGCTGAAAGTAGATGGGAGATAACACGACGTTGGGCGAAATGTCGGCCAAGTCCTGATTTCTCGGTTACAGCCCTGGTGTGCAAGTGAATGATATCCAGCACTGCGTGCTGTTGTCTGCGGCTGAGTCTCCTGGGGAGCGTTTGGAAGTATAATGAAGTAGATTCGAGCGCCTTGACGTGGTTTCCCAACTGAATCATAGCCTCCGCGATGAAAAAGACGGCCCTTGGTGGCAGCTGAGAATATTCGGGCGAGGCAACGAGTGGAAACATGTTCATAAGAGAACGATAGCGAGAAACCTGCACTGGACCAGAGACCGTGGATGTTTGCAAGACCACGCATCTGAAGTTCGCAGACTTCCATCCATAGCCTCGCCGTTGCGGAATTTTAACCCACCGTCGTAGAGCACCACGTTTCAAAGAGCCAAAAAATTCCATCCACAAAGGCAATGGTAGTCCGTCCTGATGCCCAGATCGTAAGCCCAACTCTTTTGGCCACCGCTCTCTTCTCATAACACGTTGAACACGTCTCATAGCCTCATCCCATCTGCCAGTCCGTACCAACCACCTTACAGTTAATTTCCACGTTTCGAGATTTGGTAGGACCGACTCGGCTTTCATGGCATTGAGAAGACGTGCAGCAGTGCCGAAAGCCGCTTGTCTTAAAGCAAGAGAAACCAAGAAATTGAAGGAACGAGTTGAACGAAGGAGACGCGTGTCCTGAGGGTTTGAGAAATGGTAGTTGACGAGTGTAGTGAGCGATGAGTGCGAGTAATTATGCATGTCCAAGAGATTTTGATAGAACATCTCACAAGAGGTGGGAGTTGGTAGGTGAGGTATTGGCGCAGCGGCGAGGGAATGGGCACTGACGAAAGTAGCGGATTCGGAGGGAGGGTTTTGGATATACATTGGTTCCGCACGACCTGGATCCTTCCACGAAGCCTCCCTTATAGAGATGGAGTCGGGATCTATGGGTATGACATATTGACCTCGACGTGGTGTCTGAGGTTGCCGCACGAACGATTCGTCAGAACGTGATTTTCTAGACATCCCGACACGCTTCTTGTCTGGAAGAAGAGATCCATGGTATTTAACACGTCGTGTCCAAGCGCGAGCTGCAGCTGACTGCAAAATTGCAGAAAATGAAGACGTGGTGTCTGGCGGAATATATGAACATTTAAGCAGGCGGGATGCATGATGAAGCATGCATGAGCTCGCAACTACACGCTGGTCAATATCGCTTCTGACTTTTGCACGTTTTTTTTTCGACTTACTTGCAAGGCAAGCTTTGGGAGACTGGCGCTTGCAGTCTTCTTCTGCCTTGAACAATATTTCTGATTTCGTCCGATTCTGGAGGCTCGACTGACAAGGTTCTAAACTAAACAGTGACAAACACTTTCCGTCATGTGCGATAAGTCACTTCAGCGCCTCAGCTACGCTCCAAGATCGCTCTGAGTTTCGCGTGCACACTTCAGGCCGGCCTTTTGGTGAGTGGAACGTTCGTTAGACTATTCCAGAACTAATAATTCATAATTGACTTCAGATTACGTCGCGCATGTGCATTTCATAGAAGCATGCTTGAAAGCTTACATCGAGCTTATTTTCACAGCAGGGTTGGTCCACTCTATCGTAAACAAGGTTCCTAGAATGATGATGCAGGGCACAAACGTGCACCATCGGGTGTCATGGTCTTACTAAAAAAATCATTGCTTTTCCTTGTCAAGCTTCTTATCGCTTGATGCGGCTTGAAGGGACACCCCAGAGTCGTTTTCCGGTAGCGATCGACGGAGAAAACTGGGGCAACAACATGTGTCGATCTAGCACAGGCGCTGGCACTAGAAGACCAGCAGCAAGCTCGGTCACGGTGTTTTCTCGAGCCCGACACATTGGTGCCATATTTTCGACGTTCACAGCGTGTCACCAAGACGCTGAAAATTTATTTGAGTTGGCGATCCGTCAGCATCATGCAGTGCGTTCGAACTCAGAAATAGTCTTTCTACTGTCTTTGAAATTTACCAAGTGACTTTCCGCAGCCCAGGCTCGATTTTGATTCGAACCTTAAGCTTAAAAGTCGGAGTGCACCTCGTCGCAATCTAGAAAACCTTCATGATATCTAGATTCTAGCATGTAAGCCAACATAGTCACGGAGTTTGAAAGGTGTTTTGAACACGTTTTGAATCTAGGGTCTACCCCCCTTCTTGATGTCACTCGAGAACTGGGCGTTTTGGACATGCAGACTTGCAAAATACTGACGTTTGACGATGACCCGGGCACATCGGCACGAGGACTTGAGAACATAGATTTAGCGTTAGAACGACGTTCTAAACGCTGTTGGGAGTCACCTAGCCATTGAAGCTGACTGACCCGAAGGCACCTAGATTCTGAACTCCGGGGTCGCAACCCCTGCACGATAAGACACTCAGGTGTTTTGGGATCGCCGGAACTGTAGGCACTCGGGCTGCGGCGTCTGAGATCTGAAGGCTAATGCACCTAAAGACGTGCGATGATATGACGAATTTGAAACAGGTGTGCACCTTCCATATAGTCATACAAACTACGAGCATAAGAATCGATCATGACTAAATACACACTTAATGAGTGCCACGAGAAAAAAAAAACTTATGACCTATCAGTAAACCATAATCCAACGAGAGCTCCGCTCAGGATCGTTAACAGTAAAAAATGAGTTCCATTATCAAAGTTCCTCCTCCATTAGGTGTAGAACGTTCCTTCCCACCAGCCAGCCGACTTTGCTTACCCACTGATCTCGCACCTTTCGCATGTCCTGCCATCCCTCCGGACCTTTCGCCTCGGCAAACTCATCCAAGCCCTTTTCCCAACTTCTAACGGTGTCCACTCCGAACATCCCCCCTTGTTGATTTACGACCTCATCTATCCGATCTATCCAGGCTCGCCACTCCTGAATTAGCCGGGGTAGTAACAGAGGGGCGAGAGATGATTGTGTCAGAGGTGGTTGAGAAAGGATATGGTTCGTGAGGGCTGAAAGGAAGAGAAAAGTCTCTGACGGATGAGACCTGTCTCTGTGTTGCAGCTGAAGGGCTGCAGAGAGCGACTGTGACGAAGCACCGGAATCAACGTGCAACGGCAATGAAGGTGATGCATAGGAAAAATATGGCACATATGACATGGAGGCGGACACGAACTCATGTATAGCTGGTCGTAGACGTGATAAGATGTATGATTCTCGCATGCCACCATCAGGTGGGCCTGCTGGGCTCTGCTGGCCGAAACGTGTGAAGCCAGATGGTAGGCCGCCGGCGGGTGTTCTATAGTTTGTGATCCCAGATCCAAAACCAAAGGAAGTAGTTGATGATGATGATCCTAGCGCAAATGATGAAGGGTTGGAATAAGGATATGCTTCCCGAAGTTTTCGAGCTGATTGCTCCAGAGCTTGTATAGCTGTATCCAGCGTCGGACGGGGTATCAGAGGTAGTATAAGAGATTTAAGTGATGGCTGAGCACTAAGCATGGAATTAAGCAGAGGAAGTAGTGATTGCGGTGGCAAACTCGCTGATTAAAGCAGGTTAGATTTACCAGGATACGATAGGCGACTAAAACGACATACCAAGGAGAACGCCAACGTCAACATCGTTATCTGAGCCCACTGAACTATTTTCTTTTCCGCCTTTGTCATCTTTTGAGTTACTTGCAGAGGTGATCTTTGCTCGCTTAGGTGCTCCACGCTTAGGGCGTTCTGGTGTTGGACTTCGGTCCATAGCTACGTCCCGGGCGCCATGTCGACTGGAGCTGTCGGTTTCATCGTCAAATTCGTGTCTTCTCTTCTGTGAGCGATGCACAGAAGCAGGTAGGTTCATGCTAGAGGCTAATTGCTGGAATGCAGCAGGCTGCGTATGTCCCATGGTCATTGTAGACTGCCAACTAGCTCCGGGGTTTACTGAAAGGCCAAAACCAAAACCCAAGCAGGACGGCGGATGAGTGGCTGGGTTGTGCAAGAAATCAAGCGGGGGATGGACAAGATTTGCCATGGTTTTGTTGTTGAAAGAATGGTGGACACTGTTACAAAAGTCCTTCAGGCCACAATGCAGCCACGCGAATGCAGGCGATCACCTTGACCAGCCCTTAACAAATTGCACGTGACATTCATATTAAAATGCCTGGTTTTTTTTTCGGAAGCGGCTCCAGGCTTGCTCTTGCTTTCTCTTTCATTCTCTTTGAAATGTTGTTTCAATCAAGGTAAGCACCAACTTGTCGAGCCTCATTTCGCGGTGACGATACAAACGAATCGCTACTTCGAAGCTCACAGAGCTAATGAATTTTTTCGTTTATACCCAAATTTCTGAGCTGTTTCTGATGCTCAGTTTATTCGCATCGTTATGCTTACCAATCTTTTGTAGTTCACCACGACGACGTTTGTAATTGCCGATAGTCGTGAGTATCACGTCCCTTTCCCTTCTCGAATGATCGAACAAAATAGAAGTCAAGCCCTGACCTTGTCTAAAGGACAAGTGTTGATGAGCATCCATGCTAATACTGACTTTACAATGCCATCACTGCAATCACACTTGATGCTGATTCTTCTTTTCAGGTCATTACTGGTACATGGCAGATACGATCAGTTGTCATAGACATAGATCAATTTTAAATATTTTTGTATCATATTCACCGGCGAACCGTTTCTGCAACAATATCGATGAATGATATAAGGATATCTACATAAGCCAAGACGTGTTAGTGTTGAGTCCAGATGGATATGTAGTACCATGCTATGTTGATGCCCACAATGAGTTAGCCAGCCACATCACTCCGATCCATACCACCAACTTGGCTTTTACTCCGGGTATCCAACCTGACTCTTTGTACCACACCTTGTAGCCTGGCTCACGCTGTGGCAACGTCCCATCAGCTAATCTATCCACCCACCGCCTTGTGGGTCGCACGGGTGAATCAGGTTTTACGGGATGACTGTCGCCATCCTTACTTTGGACGTCAGTGGCGAGGGGAACAGATTCTGCGCTGGAACCTGACGACGCCGTGTGGCGGGTGACGTTGCGAGTTGAAGTGGGAAGTGAACTTTCCTTGTTTCCACATATCCACGTTGTAAGCTCTCCTGTGGCATGGGAAACATGATTGGAGATGTAGATGAATATGATCGTGGAGATTACGAAGTTTATTGGACGCCAGCGTGTTCCAGGAAGAAGGACAAGAACACCCTTCGTGTCACCTGCGAGCCATAGATGATACTGGATAATGAATGTCTCCAAGGAACATCTGCCGATAAAAGCGAAAGCTCGAGAGCTGCATGAACGAAGGGAAGGACTTGCGTTCCTGAGAGTGATGGATGCTACGATGGGCAAGAATGATATATATCGATGCCATGCGTTATAGGTGAACTTGCTTTCCTGCATGAGTTCAAACGCGAAGAACCACAGCAAGATAAAGATAGAAATCACAACAGCCGCTTTTCACCGCCATGGGCCAAAGATGATGGTCGGTGAGTCGATATGCTTGGATCTTGATTACAGCAATTGCCAGAAGCATCCCGAAATACACGATCCACAGGTCAAGAACTACCCGGAAACTCCATTCACGGGCGGACCAATGGATGCTGAATATCTGCTCCAGAAACGCGAATACGGTATCTAGTATCCACGTCTCAGTCATGAACCACGTGAACATGCCCATGGAGATCGCAATCTTCGATAATAGAAATGGCATGCGATCGTTATATTGCGAGCCTATCGCCATTGTCCCGTACACGATGAGAAACCACATCGAGACGAGGGGCGAGAAATAGTACGAAAGGTAATTGACGTCCATGGTGTATACCAGGACTACCGTTAGAAGATTTAGGCGAACCAATACCTACAACCAATTCGACGTTATTGAATGATACTGTTACAAGGCAGGCTCGGATCCGCTTACCTGAGCAATACGCAGAAAGGCAAAGTCGGCTTTCTTGATATAAAAGGTTGTGTGACCGTAACCAGTCATGAACAAATATGCCGCGACCAGCACTCGAATAGGATTGTAGATTCCAGAAATCTTGGATGCCCCCAAGTAATGATATATAAGGATTGCGACTGGGACGAGAGTGAGAATATATAGACATGAATGTCGTAGTGACGAACCTTGCATCCACCCCTTCCACTCATCGGTTTGATCACGGTTTAGGAAGCCCATATCTTTGTCCGCACGCTTCACCGTTGTCAGCCCCGCCGCGAGAGAGCATAGCATGAGAAATCCAAATGTCCACGGGTTGAATTGTTTTTGTTCTTTCAGCCAGAAGCCAGTTCGATCAGCGATAAAGATCAGGCCGATGGATAAACCGAAAACAACAGCTGGTCTGTATTCGCCTGCGAAGGAGATACTTTTGGTCGGATTTCGAGTGTCTGAATAATAATCAGGTTTGTGTTTATCAAGAAAGAACGGGCTCACACGCAAGATACCACATGACTGGTCCGTACACCACGACAGCTGCTATGATAGCAAGCTGCAAGAACGACGGCAACGGGTAAGCGCGGCAACATGTCTTGTCGAAAGGGGACGTCTTTGGCCACACATGATTGCAACGCAAATTAAGGAGGATGTTGGCATGCGCTTTCACGATGTCGTCTGAGAAATGTAGTCCATCTTGTGTGCTAGCGTCGTCAAGCATCTTATTGAAAACAAGGGGTAAAGAAACGGGTAAAGCCGCGGGGGAGCTGGAGAATATGGAATAGATAGCAGGTGATGGAGGATTGATGCGATGGTGGAGGTCCGAGTTCATCGCATCTACATCTGAGGAGTGCATGGTTTCGGCACGTTCAGGAGACAGTTTTGAAGATACAATGTCCTCCACGGGAAGGATTATCACCTCATCTGCCGGCTTTCTCTGTGCTGCAGAGACAGACTCCAAAAGACTCTCCATATTCGCTTCCCAGGCAGGGAGACCACCGGTAGTGGCATAACGCAAGTACCACAAGCCCGAACCTAGGACAAGTATAGCAGGACGGTCATCGACGCCAGGAGAAGGCAGGTGACCATGAACGAGAGAAAGAGTGCCTGATGTATTCAAATACGGATCCCAGAAAAAATCCAGTCTTGTTACTGAATCTGAAGTGAACGAATAGTTAGAATGCTTATGGTCGTCATCAGGAGGAGTAATAGGGAGCTTCGGATCGACAATATGCATAAATGGAAATATAGCGAGCGTGTTACGGAGTCACCGATAAAAACGACGCGTCTGGAAGCAAGGCAAGACGTGGTATCCTTCGACTGGTATGTGTGTAGCATACAACCTGATTATTGGTTAAAGGGTGAGCAAGACAATGGAAGCCTGAGCAACAGACAACACACCATCAGGTTGCCAGTTCCGGTGGTTCTCATCCAACCAGGTACCTCTAGTAAGCAAGGAATTGCAATGCAGTGGATCCGCTCGGCCTGCGACCCCGTTAGACGCAGAGCCAAAATGTATGAGGGATAAATGCACTAACCAGAAATTATATAATGTAGTATCCCTGCCAATACGGCGAGTGTTCCGGTAGATAACGCTAGATAGTGGTGAAATGAAGGGTTCAGCGAGAACAGTCTTTTAGATGAGGACATGATGGCGGTGAGAGTCTGCTGCGACGTGGCAGTACAGGAATGTCTTTATGCTTCAGCGCTTGAAGTCAGAAGTGAGATAATTAATTATGCTGGCAAAGTTTTTAACCCCAACGTAAGCATCGGGCGAGACTTTATATAGTTCGCGATCATCACTAGTGTCGATGAGCTGCAGAGCGACACAGCGAACCCGATGGTCGTTTGAAACGTGCTGTGTACAGGTACCTTATTGGGCTTACTCGTTACCGACGTCGTTATTGTACCGCAAAATGATCTGTTATTAATGTCCACATGCACATGATATAACGTGCAATATCCAGATGCTCGCACTCATCACTGGGGAGTTCGGTCAAATTATCAGTGTAGTATTACTGTCCATTGGCCATTGATATACATAAAGTGATGATGCAGTACACGAAGTTAATGTCCAAGTATGAGATCGGAAGGTTTACATTTAAATACTCGACCCGCCAGTGGTGGTATTACTAGTGCTAAAGCCTATACAACAGTCAGCAATTAATCGGACGATAAACTATAGGAGGAAGTACATACCTGTACCTTGACAGTGATTGTTAGATGCAGTTGGTATACATGATAGGTACCTGCAGCCCGAGCACGCTAAGAAATTATCAGCCATCATGTCTTCGTGATCGCAACAAACACAAACCCGCATAAGGATCTGAAGTATAGAAGTTCCGAATCAGGACAACGAAGAGGACGATTGCTAATGGTATGGCTGCCAGCCGGAAAGCCCACATAATGAGCTTATGGCGCTTCGTTGGACTGATCACAGGGTACAGGGTTGTGCCAACGAGAAGACCCATACACAAGCCCCCCAGGTGAGCTGAAATTTTCTATGAGTTGAGTTGAGGGACGAGACAAACAGTCACTTGCCAAAGTTATCCACATCTATCGAGAAAATGTTATTGATGATGTTCAAGACAGGATAAGTGTGCACGTACAAGGTATATACCCAAGAGCGATACCGAACAGCAGTTCCACTGTCATGATGGCGAGCTACGGGAAAACATAAGAGCAAAATAAGCATGAATGTGATTGTCATCACCTTTCTACCAGGTCGGTATTGATATTTCCAATGTGCAAAAAGATCCACCCATGTAACCTAAGTTGCGAGGTGATCAAAAGGTAAGAGGTGCAAACAGGTTTTACAGCTTACCGCGACTGTACCGAAGATGGCACCACTAGCGCCTATTGAAGGTGCGCCGACCAGTGAAAAATTACCGCCCAACACGTTACTGTGCCATACGTTGGTGTGCATAACAATGAAGTAAGAAGGATTTACCCAAAGATCCCGGCCGCGAAATAAGTTATAAAGAAACCAGCGGAGCCCATTTCACGCTCTATCTGGAGGGGCATAAGAGCAAATAATTGGACTAGAAAGACCACCAACTTGAGCGGATATTGTCAACTGAGCGAGCATGTTGAGGATGATATGGATGAATCCTGCATGCAGGAAGATGGCAGTGATGAATCTGAAGTACTGAAGTTTGGCCCTGAACTATTACGACCACAGCTTGCTTACCTGAACCACTGGTCGGGCTCGCCGCCGTGGAAGCCACCGAACCCACATACGTCCTCAATCGAACAGAGCCGATCTGGCGGATTTGCGGTATCATTGAGGCCTAGTCATCAAGACGGATCAGTTAGAGTCGTCAGGAAGTAAGACAAGTTTATCTTACACGCAATCGGAGTAGTTAAGGGGAGTCCTTGAATGACTTTCATGCATGGCGGGAAACGAGCACCTAAATTGATCAATGCACTTTCCGATGGCCCAAGCATGGGGTTTACAACTGGCTGAGTGGAGGTCAGCAACGAATATGGTGCTCACGGTTTATTCGCAAACCTTAAAGGATACTGGGGTACCCTGTGCTCTGGTGTTCACCACCAACTCATTGATGAAAACGCCAACCATGATAATTGTTAAGGCCCATACTACGAGGATAAATGTCTCGCTGATGGGATGACAGTTGTATGCTCACCAACGTAAGGGTACTTTTGCCGCCCGATACCCCGCTTCTTGTCCTCGATCCGCTGATCAATAGGGTACTTCCCCATGTCCATCCTGAGAACCTTCTGAAACGGAGATGCGCTGTCTGCAGCAAGCTTGGAGTTCTCATCCAATGGTTCTGCGTATTCTAGAAAGTTTAGACCATTGTTACACTACCAAGGCCGCAAGACACACCCAGGTCCTGATAACTATCTGAGCGTCCCATATCTGCAGCATTATGCATCAGGTGGTCGTCTAACTTGCCAACGATAGATGATGGACGTGTTGAGTCCTCGTCCTCGTCCTTATATGGGACACTCAAGTCACTGAAAACTGGTCCATTTCTTTCGGACAACGACGGTGTAGGTTGCCGGCTTGGTATGGCTGGCAGGGTTGGTGACTTTGTACGTCGATAGTTGAAGATGAGAGATTCTGCTTCGGTTCGACCAGCACCACGCAAGAATGATGAAGGGTCCAGGGCAGGAATGCCGCTCGTAGTTGTTGCGAGAGTTGTGGTATCGTCTTGTATTATCCCATCTAAACCGTCAAAGGGTTTGTTTCGACTGTCCGAGCTATCCCCAAAAGGATCCGTATGGAAATTCGATCTAGCTGGATGGTTTGTATCAAAATGTGCCATGATTTCCAGAAGCACGGCAAAGGATTCAAGTGAAGGTGGTCGTATAGGAAAGAGCTTATATGTGGATTGCCAAGCTGCAAGCCATAGGTTTCAAGACTGAATTTCAAACCGTATCACGTCACACACACTGCCCCAACCACTACTACCGGCGGACTCCGCAGTCAAATGCTGTGATGAACCTGGCGACAGATCACAAGTTGAAGTCAACGAGGCTGATGTGCAATTCACATTGTACAGAATGCATTGCATGCGCGCTGAATTTCGTCAACTATTGAAACTATTGAAAGATCATATTTGGATCATATACAACTGCATTCGTCTAGCTTCCTCTAATCTCTGACCACCGTCAGTCGATTGGAAGTCCCTTGCTTTCATGCCATCTTTTCAGGAGTGTGTTACTGGGCATACCGAAAGGGTCTAAAACTTTCCTAGTAGCCTCAATTCCAGCAACAGGAAGATTAGAGGGGTCCAGCAGTCCAAGCTGCACGAGAACCCCAGCTTGATCCCAATACCTAAAAAGGGTGAGCCATGTAGCCTACAAGCCAATATCTCAGAGGAATACCCACAGATGTCTAATAGTAGCAGCGTTGAGGATAACGGCACCTTTAGACTCCTCTAAGAGTAACTGAATGCACTCACTCGAAGAAAAGCTTATCCCCTCTGAAGGCAACTATCCCGACTATGGCGATCTCAATGTGTTTCCCTGTCGGAGCTATTCCAGGCAGAAAACTATCGACGGGTCGGCTTCATAAGACGAGGGGGAAAATCCTTTGAAACGTACTAGTCTATTTCCTGGAAAGCAAATTTAGCTTGCTCATAGAATATCAATGAATCGCAACGCACAGATGTGTGGTGGCACTTGAAAATCATCTCATCAACAATCCTGTCACAGCCCACTGAACAAAATTTAGCGGGTCAAGTCCTGAACTGAGCTATGTATACGTCACCAGTCCGGGAGACGGTAATGAGCTCAACGTCTTGAGGTGTTACCTGTCACAGGTCGTGAAAGCGAAAAATGCATAGGGTAATATTACCCCTTACAGTTGTGAAATGATACTAAGAGACGAGCAGGTGAACGCTGAGCTGGAACATCGTCACGATGGTCCACTAACCTTATAAAATCTCGTCAGATCGTCATACCCGACACCCCCAATCATCGTTGCAACATGATTGACGTATGGTGTGGCAACCTGTGTCAACATATTACTGCCTGTCAATTCATCATTTGGAATGGAGATGAACCATTGTAGTCATCGTCTCTGTTGATAGAATGAATTTAGCCCCCCTGGTTTTGAATGCGATGGCAAGGATATATTGACGTACTAGGTGCATTTCTTTCGACAAATTCCTGCCAAAAAACGTGTGAGTGACTTTTTTAGCGCCATACTATTCATGTACATAATAAGTGTGCTTCTCCCAAAGCCTCTCCAGATTGAAATGAGGGCCAAGATGTGCCTTCAACAACTCAAGGGTCCGGGTAAGCGATAGACTAGAGGCCGAGCGAAGATATGGGTCGACCGATTGTGTGTTGTTAACATTCACACAGACGGGGGGTTGTATCAAGAAGGGAAACGGTGGGGATTTTGACACCAGAGGGTATGAATACACCCGCACCGGTAATCGAGAGTGAGTCGGGAGAGAATAACCAAGATTAGCCGGATCCTCGAAAAGTAATAGAGAGGCATGGAGCAATTCTTGGGAAGAAGCAAGATGAAAAGCGACTCTTAGTAGAATGGATGGCAACCATAAGCTAATACAACGCTCGAGGCAATAGTCGACTTACGGGATGTGTCTCTTGTGGCTGTCCCTCATCAAAAAACCATGGGTAACCTCAGCATCTGGGCAAAAGTGAGTACAAGCCTTCAAATCTGCGAGCGAGAGAGCGAGTTTCGACACAAGGGTCTCTGCATCTTCTGTGGTCAAGCCGTATGTCAACAGTCCCCAGTCAGCTCCTAGAGCAATGATTTTGTCATCGACAACTTTCATCGCATCCTTGAAAGAAGAATTGGGGGGAAGAGGGTATGTCAAGTGTACGACATTGTATCCTTCCTGTGCGAACTGGAAAGTGACAGCATCGAATAGCAAGTTGAGACCGAGTTGGCCAAAGAGAATATCTGATAACACACCTGTTGGCACCAACTAGTCTGATCGTGGGGAAGTAGCATCAATAGAGTCGCGGGTTTCACTACGGAAGCCACGGTATTGAAGAATACTTCTGTCTGCGTCATCTTGTGGTTGTGGTGGAGCTTTATCAGAAGGAATGATTATCTTCCTGCGTCTATAAAGGTCTGGCTAGGCAGACTATGCCATTATTGGGCTGGATCAAGGCGGTCAGTCTCCCTTTGACATCATTGAGACGAATTGAGATAAGCGGCTCTTTCCTATTCAACCAAGTACTACCCTCCCTTATCATCAAATTCGTGGTCGACAGATTGTTGAAACGGTAACACGACAGATGCGTAATATATGCAAGTCCAATCCGAATGCAACATCGAGGTAGAGCAATGACAGATAATGAACAAATGAGTCTGACGATTCATAAAGAAATTGGTATGACAGGGTCCCCAATAAGACTAGGACGCCCTCTACTGCGAGCAGATGGTCTCTTGGTAAGTGGGGTACCGTGCGATACGGTGTTGGGCACATCAGTGTTGATGCGCAAGTCATCTATTCCATCGGATAGTGGTGTGGATGGGTAGGTCTCTTCGTACTCTTCTTCATGCACGGGCAGTTGGAATGTCTGTGGTTTAGTCCTGAACCTGTCGACCCACTGCAGTGTTTCGAAGTCGACATTTCGTACCCTTCTACTGCGACATCTCCACTTCATTGGCCCTCCATCGAGAGTGCTTGCTTGGCTAGTGTTCCGAGCGTGGGCTGCGGTTCGCGCACCTGCTCGTTCACCGTATCCGCTGACCACTCGTTTTTCGGGCGTTGCAGAAAGCACGCGAGGGTCTGACGGAAGGAAAAGGGGCAGCATATGGCGAGAATCTAGAAGCTCCCCTAGAACTTGAGGTGCCTTGGCTGGTTCCCATTCCGATTGTGAGTGCGAACGATCGAACAAGTCGTCGATGCCATGCTGGGCAGCAAATGTTTCTGAAGATGCGTTGAGGCTTGCATTAGCTTCGTTCGCCATGCTATCTTCTAGCTCACGTTCCCGCTCACGCTCGCCCATCTGGTGGGTGTATTAGTTTTGCTTAGCAAAGATACCAGCCAGGGCAATACCTCCTTGCGCAGGGCCTCAACGCCCATTTTAACACGATGGCGTTCCCAGTCCTTTTGAAGCTGCGTCAAATATTGAATACACTCGTCTGTCATCCTCCCCTCATTAACTTCATATTTGTAATCTCGCACAGCACGTCGCATCTGGGTTTGAGCGGTAAGCACAAAATTGTGTTGTCTAAAAATGACTTGCTTGTAACGGGTTAATGCTCTTCATTGTCTGTATCGTAGCTACCAGATTGGAAAAATCCGTGATCGATGACAGGCACTGTGATCGCGACATTAAGCGAGCGGCAACATAAATTCGAGTATTGAGACCTCACCTGAAGCCAATTCAGCAAGTCCCGTACAGGTGAAAGATGGGATGCGATTCCACGAGGTAGACCCATATCTTCTATCCACTCTTCCAGCACAACCAGATTCATGCCGATCTGTACCGCTTTAGACCTATGCTCGGTATGTGTGAGCACTGGTAGACTGCGTTTACAACGAATACATACCGGCAGAGATACTTTTTCCTGGTCAGAATTCGATTGAATATTTCACCTAACGCTCCGAGTCAACTATAAGTGGAAAAGGATGGAAAATTACACTCACACGAAGTCCAGTACATCACTTGAGACCAGAATTGAATCATTAGCACAGGATTGACGTCTGAAAGGGTTAAAAGTGTATGTAGCGCCGTCAAGAACGAAGTCATGTCCCGCAATCCTGTAGTTTGCGGGACGTCAGAATGCGTGTTGAACGCTGTCGAAGGTGTTTTTGCGCGTGAAAGGGTTTGTCTCAACGATGACAATCCTTTAGCTGTGACAGGCGCGGGGCCGAGTAACATAGGGGACGGAGATGGTGGGCGACTCGGTAGAAAAGGAGGTGAGGATGGTGTGCTATTCTTGGGTGTTCCATGATTTGGAGTGTTTGTCGTACTCTTTTTCTTGGCGCTAAACGGCCTCAAGAATGACCACTCTGATTCGAACTGCACGGATTCAAATCCCGATGCCACGAGCGAACTGTCCAGTATCGCTGCGTCCAGTAATTGATCTATCCTACGCTCGGCGTAACGAATGATGAATACTTCAGACGACGTCAGGAATAAAAATACAATCAAACGATACCGAATGAAACGTACCAAACACAGAGTTGATCACTTGCTCGAGGAGCTCAAATGAGCCTAGCATTTCACAACACTCATTGATAGCGTTGTCGCATTGCATGAGGTGCAACCATATGGTGGCGTTGTATAAGCAAAATACAAGACAAGTGATATCTTCTGAACGGCTCTGAGTGACTGGATTAGTGGTGAGAGCATAAAGGTAACAAGCATGCACACAAAGAACTTCTCTTCGATTGCATCTGTCGCTCCTAGTACAAGATCTTCAAGCCAGGTTTGATCGCATGTTAAGCATGCAAAACGCGCCATAAGGTATAAAGTAATGGCAGGTTGAGAATTCCGAACAGAAGTATGGGAGGTCGTGATGACTGCATCGAAAATATGTGAAAGCTCCTGTGGAGACCATGCGAGCATAGATGTAAAGTCTAGTTTCGGAGTCTCCATAACAAGATAAGGCAACCGCAAATGTAATTTCAAGGAGGATATGCAACTCACATACAGTTCTTCGTCGAGTTCATCATCATCGCCATCAGAATCATCTGATGAAAAGCCTTCATCTTCCTCACGGGAACCCCACCATTGATTCTGTAGACCAAGCACTTTTGAGATATTCTCGCGTACGCTTTTCTGTCTCCCTTTACGTTTGAGCTGCTCGTCCAATGCTCTCCGCTTCTTTTCCATCCTGCCTCCCATCCACCCTTGGCTCCGCATTGCTTCTTCCAGTAACAACGCAATGTCATCACGTCCTGGCAGAACAGTGTGAGCAGTCACTATATCGAGCGGTGTCAGCCGTCGGCGTGTTTCTGCGAAAGGAGAGCATCCATGCGTCATCAGATGGGAGACCAGAGTAGGGGGACAAAGAACTGCAGCGTGATGGAGGGCAGTCCAGCCGGCTAATAGCGAAATGTCAACAACTGGGTGAGATGGAAGCGATGTACTCACCCTTATCTGCAGAGGTGGCGTCAGCTCCCTGTGCAATCAGCAGCCGGACACACTCTTCACGTTCGACATCTCTCTCCGATTCAGACCCGAAACCTAGGATTGCAAGACTGATCAAGCTAAGCCCATCTTCGTCGCGTGCACTGAGGTCGACATAAGGTTGTGATTGATGGTCAGACAAAAGATGCTGGAGAAGAGATAGATCCCCAAATACGCATGCTCGTGACAGTGAATGGGATACCAGTTCAGATTTCTGGGAGGGTGCTAAGCCCGAATCGGGTGACAGCAAGTGGGATATTAGATTTGAACTCGGATACAAAGGATGGAGATCAGGCTCCGGGGAGAAATCCAGTGGTCCAAGCGATACAGGGATCATCGTTATGATAAAACGTTGGGATTAATGCTGGGTCAGCAAGGCAGCTGTTGCCGGTAACCGCGTCGACTACCAGACGGGACCTATCTTCTCCTTGTAAAGACCGCGATTAGGCGAGACAGAGATTTCCGTGACAATCGCCTGTACAAAGAATGATCTGTAGGACCTCGATGCTTGCGAGAATGGTGTTAGACTAAAATTTTAAACATGCTCGTGTAGTTCAGTGCTAGCATGTGAGCGAAGTGACTAGTTGTCCAAATTAAAATTAGACTTATTTCAAATCCACCTTAGTTCAACCACATCATGCCCGCTAAACGGCCAAGGCTATCAGAAGATAGCGATGTTGACGCGTCTGGTGCAGACCACGAACAGAGTGGCAATGATCTCGATGCTGCACAGCAGTCCACGACCTCTGCTTCTTCATCAGAAGACGATGATTCTCCGGACACGGAGGCTGAAATTGCGGATAAAAGAATAACAAAGTCGAAGAAAACATTGAAACGAAAGCGGCGGGCAACAGAGCCCTCACAATTTGGTGCTACCTTGCAAGGTTTGCTTGACACCATTGCACCGTCAGACCTGCCGCTATCGCTCAAACCTTCTATCGCGCGCCAGAAAAATGGTGCAAAGCTTGAATTGAAGGCCCACAAAGTGATTCAAATAGAGAAGAAGGAAAAGGCGGATAAAGGACATATACGGGATGTTATCGGAGGTTGGGGCGGCGAGAGCGAACGCTCCTTGCGCAAGGTTGCTCAACGAGGAGGTGCGTATATGTTTGCTTGCATTTCCTATATGTATTGAAAATATCTCAAGTGGTGAAACTCTTTAATACTATTCAACAATCGCAGGCAGCGGCGGGCATCGCCGCCGAACAGTCAAAAGGTCTGCGAGGAACAGGGAAACCCACGCTTTCAGCGCCCCTGTTGGACAAGAAGCCGAAAGGAAAACAAAAGGCCAAGCACAAGGACAATATTATCGGGAGAGGAAATCCAGGTTCGTGCTTGAAATGATGTGGGGAACCTGAAGTGACGCTATGATACCTTTTGCAGCGACAATTGGGAAGGACGATTTCTTCGACATGATCAGGTCAGGTGGAATCGTCTCAAAAGTATAGGCGTCTTGTGCCTAGTCTCCCCCACACAGACCGTAGACGATAGAGTCAACCGTTTCTTCATTGTTTTTGTTACGTTGGCGTGACATCTGCCCAGATGGTTCATCAGGGGCTAGTAGGCTTACTCGTCGTAGCTCGCAGTGGGGGAACTCAGGTTGTATTGAGAGCATTGGACAGTGTATGACAGCTGGTAATGTTCGCATTCGAGAGCGACCAATTACTTCGTGCAACATGATACGGTCAACCCCTTTGTGCCACAATTCTCAGTCTCATCTCCGTCTACCGCTAACATCGATGCACCCGCACGTCATTCATGTACAAGGAGGACCTTTAGTTCACATCTAAGCGCGATCTTGGGTATGGATTGTATTATTTATGCGACGCAGCATGAGTCTCCGCTCGCTAATAATTTAATTCTAAAACAACGCTGCAAGTGGTACAGCAGAAGAAGTTACATGCGGCGTTGAGTCTTACATCTGGGTAGTCGTTTTCACGCCTTCCTTGAAACTTGTGAGGTTCATTCCGGAGTCCGATCGCTTGAACCTTAGCTAACTTTGGTCGGTCATGGCTATACCTGTGGATACTACGGTACTAGATAAGTACTATCTGCTCAGCTGCAGGGCCCTTTTGTAGCAAGACAAGACAATACACGAGTCAAAAAGATGTAAGGACTGCAATCTAAATTCGACCGCGTATTGACCTGCCAAATCAGAACTAAATAGGTTGCACGTTGCCAAACCTGCCCTGAAGTGGTCCAGAGCTTAAATTCGTTTCACCTTCACCCCCGTCACATCCATGGTGTGTATTTTCAAGCTTCATTCCTGCAGCATGTCTCTTACAATTATTGGCCAAACTTTAAACTTCAGCCTCCGAGGACCATCATTCGTAAAGAAGAGTGGGAGCGGCGTCTACGCGAGGTTCAGGTCACGAAAGAGTGAGTGTTTGTCCTTAATTTCTCGGCTTTAAAGATGAAAAAATCATCAATGGGAATCTCTCTGAAATTCGAGATGAGAAAAGATATTGCATGTATTATCTGATATATCCCCGTTATACGCTGTATCTTGAGCATTTACTGACATTCTTGCTTGTCAGTGACTTGAACCGACTTATTATGGACTACCTCGTCATCGAGGGATACAAGTCTGCCGCAGAGGAATTCAGTGATGAAGCCAATGTTCCACCACCTGTAGACTTCGAGAGTATCGAAAGTCGCATGGTGATTCGAGAAGCCCTGCAACGGGGAGATATCGAGGAAGCCATTTCCCGCATGAATGACCTGAATCCTGAGGTGGGTCGTGTGTTCTTTTTTCGTGGCCTTATATCAAGGACGTAAGATTAAAACGTTTCATGCACCACTCTCAGACTTTTTCGGAAGTCGGTGATGAGAATTGTAAACCAAAACTTCAGTCTTCAATATGATCCGTCCTTGATCTGTTTCACATGTGAGATGTACGAATTCTTACCTTTTGCATTCTAGATCCTCGATACGAACCCTGCACTGTACTTTCACCTTCAGCAGCAGAAGCTAATCGAGCACATTCGGCATGGGCGTATCACAGAGGCATTGACATTTGCACAAGACGAACTCGCGCCAAGAGGTGAAGAAAGTCCAGAGTTTCTTGCGGAGCTCGAACGTACGATGGCACTTTTGGCGTTCGACTCTTCATCCTCGGCCCCTCCAGCTATATCCGAACTTCTTTCACCCGCACAGCGGATGAAAACCGCTGGTGAGGTTAATGCCGCAATCCTCGAAAGTCTTAGTCAGGGAAAAGAGGTTAAACTAGTGCAGCTTTTGAAGCTTTTGTGCTGGAGCGAGGGGATGTTGGCGGATCGTGCAGATTTTCCCAAGGTTCGTGCCTTGGCATTTGTATTCGATTGGGTTAGTTCAACTCACGGCTCTTAGATTGATCTTCAAGAGGGATTGGTGGCGACGGGCCGAAAAGAAGCAACAGATGATTCCATTATGGGAGAATGAGGGTCAGCATGTATAGTATCGAATGTATCATAGTAGAGGGCGTAACATGGATGAGTTGTGAGCATTTATATCCACTCGAGATTGTTCTTGGCAGGAAGATCCGTAACCGTAAGTACCACGGCGAGAGTAATCCGGGCGGATTGTATTGATGCGTAAGACATGCATGTGACAACACGACGCAGCTCAGCGGAGTATGGTCTGGAAGTCAAGCTTATTGGGCCATTTGCGTGCGTACAAAATAATTCAAACCTATGCTCGTCGACACGGCTTGTTGATGTTGGACATTATTCTGTGCGTGTGATATAAGTGGTCTTCTAAATCTGACTGTTTCATGCTAACACATGTCTGCCAGTTGGGAAAGGGTTCTGGTTGCTGCGGCAACTTTAACCGCTTTGGTTGGTTGGTGTATCGCGAAGTTGTGAGTAAGTGTCGTGGGTCACGTGACATTAAGGAACGACGACGCGACCTTGAGACACCACTGGTCTGCAAGACACTACAACAACAGTGAACAGGTGACCACGAGAATCGAATAAGCAACGAGAAGACAGGACAAGACGCGTCGTTGCCACTCGATTAGTAAGCACTTGCTCGAGTTCTGTACTCGCAGATTTATCATTACTAGTTGCGTTATCTCTCTTTCCTCAATCCTTTGTCTACTCGCAAACAAGCGAACAAACTCGACCTTCTAGGCATTGTCACCCCGCACTAGACCCATCGTAGCTCATCGCTACGTCCGTTTTTACGACGAAAGGTTTCGTGAAATTCTGGTCTCATTTCTCAGGTACCTTGCATTCGAGGTGAATCATGTTCTTGTTTTCACCAACCGACGGGACGGATGTCTATCGTATCAATAATCGCTGGCGCAGATCACCGCCAAAAACACTACCCCCCAACTGGCGAAAAACCTGTTCTTTGTGCAAGGATTAAGCATAATGTACGCTAAGACATTTCATCCAGACTCACTGAGAGTCCTCGACTGAGGCAAAAGGTATGCGAAACGAACGCGGGAGAAACACGTAGACAACGAGACTACAGAGATGGTGAGTACGTCGAGCAACGAAGTTGTAAATTTAATGAGTACTAGCGTCATAGCGCGAGGCTAGGTCTAGCACTTCGTCCCGTACTCAGACGTCATTCTGTCAATTCATGTTCGAGCAAGTACCTCAGTCCCGTTATCACACATGCTGTGATGGATTCCACTCTGTGTACCGTGGTGGCATCGCACTAGTAAGCAACCAATTGAAAGCCATATCTCACTCAAAGTCCCACTGAAGACATTTGTGATAGTCGACTGATTCTGTTCATTTATAGGCTCTCGTCATTTGATCGAGACGCTAAATCACCGAGGTCTCAAATGTACATATAAGGATACCCCCGCGGTAGGGTGTAAAGGCACACGATAGTATTGATGCGTGGCACAATATAGTATGTCGAATGGTAAGCGGAATACCGAGGTGAGTCATGGTCTGTCATGGTTTCCAAAGGACATTGCATCGAGGCTTGAAGCAGGGTACAAAACCGAGCATCGCTCGCTTGGTGAACATATCTCGGCTGTTGCGCAAAGGTACAGCATTTTCGCACGGGGCATCGTTTTTACATACAGGTTCAACCTTCACCTCCAAAATCATTCATTCGAAGAAAATGGTGTTTGGATTTGAAGCGACTCATGATTTTAGTGTCGCTCGCTTTGCCGAATACATTTTCATCCATTGTCTATCGTACTGAGGTGAGCCTGCAAGTTGTTGACATTATTGTCTTGTGTTCAGATATGGAAACGACTCATCGATCGCTTTGTCGAACACATTTTCGTCGTCTGTCGCGCTGAGGTTGTAAGTTGTTACATTTCCGAGGAGTCTTCACTTCAAGTCCGTCTTTTCGTAGTCGTAAGTAGCTTTTGTCGAAAAATGAGGAACTTTTGTCCTCCATAAAACAACACAATTGTCGATAGCAGAATTGTGGGATTATGTAGTAAAACCCGTTTCGGTTCACTGATCATTTGATATTGTTCCTAGGATTACGGGTCCATGGAATAACCGGCGTAAACTGATGATCTAACTCGGTTTAGTCACGGTGAGAGTAACCCGGGTTGCGAGCTGGAAGAACAACGGAAAGAACAAGGAGGTACTACTTACCATAAGGTACCATAACTATGCATGGCGGCCATGAGGATGTTGACGGCATCATATATATATGGTGGATTTGATTTTTTGTCTTCCCCCATTGGGGCTTAAGTAAGCTTACGGTTGGATGCCACTTTCCAGCGCCAACGGACAAGTTTGACCACCTTACGACGAACTCTCTTCCTTCTTACGCATAATACTCGTCGTCCGAGTATAAGTACTCTTTATAAAGTATTCTTAGGATATATAAAAGCCAGCAAGGTATAATATATCCCCACTCTCCACCGTTCATCATCATCGTAGTAATCATGGCTTACAAGCAGATCAGGAAACCGTCGGAGAGAGCTGTTAATGCCCTCCTACTCTATGTCAGAGGATACTAGGTCGTCGAGCGCACCTAGACCTCGTCGTGTCCTTGTTCTATCAAATCCAGATCCAGGCGATTCTAGCAGTAGTGAGGATGAACGTCCTCGTTACCCCCATCATCATCCACAGGATTCTAACCCTTCCTTGAATCAACATCCAACATCAGTAATTCCAACTCCACCATCTCGTCCTCCAAGACGGCCGGCTCCCCCCTTGACAACGAACGATCTGCCAAACCACTATCCTCCATCCCGTTCAAATCCCAATCTATCCTCACCTTCGAGTCAGAGCTCAAATGCAGTCGAATCAACTCCTCCACCAAGCACTCCTGGTCAAACAACACACTCAGATTTGAGTCATTCAGTCATTACCATTGATGATGGTACAGCACTCGTTGAACGAACTGAGACCGCTCAACCTCCTACTCGTCTCCAGAAGATCGCCGATGTCCTTCACTTTCGCCATCGCAGGCCTTCACATCGACATTTGGGTTCTGATGTTTCTCTCCATGTGAGCTAATTCATTTATTTGTTCCTCCTCTGACCGTTATCTCATATTCATGCTTCAGTCTCCATCTCCTTCTTCTTCATCGCCGACTGTACCACCTCCGCCTGCATGGGTTATCATGGTAACCTACGACTGCCATGCCTATACAGCTGTAGACATCACACATGCAAACAGCGCAGCTTTCATCTGGGAACGCATTTTTGCTGAAGTGCGCCGATTCTTCCCATTCCATTTCAATCCTGACCAAGTGCCGCCGCAGCTCAAAGTACCTCATGAAGATCAGAGTGGACAACTCTCCATCTATCGCACTCAAATTGGCAAAGTCGCAATCGGCGAACCACTGTCAGACGATAACCTAATTCGGCTGGTTCGTGATCGAGGTGACAGTGAGGGGAGCTTGAAGTTTCTGGTTTGTCCTTCTCAAGCAAGAGTTCAGGACCCTTCGCTCCTGAGTTCTCCAGTCAAATCCGTCCCCCCGCCCCCCGTGCCAGTATTCAGTCCCTTAGTCCCAAGGCCACGGGCAACCAAGTCTTCTCAGCAAGAGAGTGTATCCTCTGACGATCTAACCCCGGATGCAGGCTACGAGCCGTCTGTGATATCTGATGATATCGATGATTCAGACAACAGGAGTACGATGAGGCCACCTCCTCACCCTAATTCATCCGCCACCACGTTGTCGTCACCACCACACAGTGCACGATATGAAGACCGTCAACCTTCTCCCGCATCCGCAAAAACACCGCAATCGGCAAGCGTCGATCGCCATCGTTACGATTCGCCTCATGGACAGAGTCTTCCCTCTTCTCAATCTACCCCCATTCTTGAGAATTACCTCAGTAAACGCCACCTGCGGAGAGGATCAGATGCAGAGACAGTTGAACAAGCTTTTCGCGACCTTGAACGTGCAGCGGAGCTAGCTGATGCGGAATGGACAAAACCACAGGATAAGGGCATCATTCGGGCGCGGGCTGTAAAACATCGACCCGAAAGATTGACAACTTCCGACGATCATGCAGGACTCGCAGCCGCCCGTGACGGCGAGTTTGGATCTGTGGTGAGAAAGCCTTCTCCACCTTCGTCGTCGGGAATGGCGCGTTCGCCCTCGACCAAGAGGCGACCGTCACACGCTGAGTATCCCCCTCGCCAACCTCAGACCAAGAAGGGGGGAGGAGGCAAGCCGGTTCCACCACACTATATATCCGCTCATAAGCCGACCGATTCTTCGACTGCTATAAGGACAGTCAATAAAGCGAAGAGCTCAGAGTTTCTCAAGAATCCTCTGCCACCCATGCTTCGCACTTCACCGAGTCGACCCCATCTTCCTACTCCGTCCGGTTCGGGTACCAATTCTTATCCAAGACCCCTAGATTTGGGACCCAGACCCAGACCACTTCCTCAAAGCAGGCCCGATATTGTCAATGTGGATACCACCACATATACCCGCGCTCAGCAACCATCAGCGGGCGGCACTCTTGGTTATCTGTCACCCACTCAGGAACCATACCCGCGCCCACATTCTGCCTCGCCCTCACAGCAGCGGTACCCTACCAATGACATACATCGCGACCGTGATGAATTTAGGCCCACTCACCAAGCTCAGTCTAGCAGTGGCTCTTCAAGGTTTGGTGATGTTCCTCTGAGAGAGGATGGCTATGGGATCACCCTTCCGTCGTCCCTAAGACCTGGTCCTTATGCTGGTTCTCCAGCTCGCACCAATCCTCCATCTGAAACTCCCCCACGTAGCCCCGTTACTTCTCGGCCGAGTACATCGAATAGTGCATGCGGACTTACCTTTACTTCCACTGGGACGATGGTGCCTTCAACTTTCAAGAACGATTCTGGTGCTGGCAGCCAGGAGAGCACAGCCACAGAGTCCACTTTACGTCCGGATGAAAGGGACAAGCTGGTATGGGATATCAGAGCCTCCATACTATCAGATTCCTCAGATGATGGAGTTGGCACTAATGAAACTTACGGGACCGCCTCTTCTGATCTGTGGTCACGCAAACCCACATCAGAAAACAATGACAGCTCTAGGACTCCCATTCCTGGTACCAAGCAGAATCCTAATCCTTCACGTCCCGCTCTTCACGTCACAACCCCAAGCTCTGGACCCGGCAGTATGACGCGCGGTGTTCCGGCCAATTTCCCAGCACCACCCAGTTTCATGCCTCAGCTACGTCCTCCTCGGCCGCGTACGCCAAAGACTAGGCACAAAAGCACCACGTTCGAGGAGTCCACCTGGGCTCATCGTCCTCCCCCAGAGGATGTCTACGATCGGCTCGAAGAGTTCTTCCCGGAGCATGATCTCGACAAACCCGTCATTGAAGCTAATTCTGGTGGAACATCGCCTACTGCCATAGACTATAACTACGGGATTCCAAACATCGTTGATAGAGACAAGGCGCTAGTACGACCGAAGAAGTCCATTCGTATTGTTGCGGAAGAACATAAGAAGCGGATAGATCGGTTCTCTAGGGCTGATCCATTAGGCGACAATAGCATCTGGCGGAAAAGGAGCACGAAGTTATGGGGCAGTCGTATTGAGGAAGTCGATACCTCGTCGCAGACGTTGGCAAGCTACAGCAAGACGCTCCCTGACTCCCCGGCGGGTGGTCCCAGACGTATGTTTTCTGCTTTTCTTTACCTTACTGAGCTAAACTGTACTGCAGCGATATTTAAATGGGTCCGTGGTGAACTCATCGGCAAAGGAACGTATGGTCGCGTATATCTTGCTCTTAATGCCACCACGGGCGAGATGATTGCTGTCAAGCAAGTTGAAATCCCCGTAACCGCCAGTGACAGAAAAGACAACCGTCAGATGAGTTTCGTACAGGCACTCAAAATGGAGAGCGAGACATTGAAGGATCTCGACCATCCTCACATCGTGCAGTACCTTGGATTCGAAGAGACACCGACGTTCTTGAGCATGTAAGTGCTGCGGAAACCATCTTCGATAATATACTCATTTGTGTTTTCAGTTTCTTAGAATACGTGCCCGGAGGCTCGGTCGGAAGCTGTCTGCGAGACCATGGCAAATTCGATGAGGAAGTTACAAAATCGTTCACTGGACAGATTCTTGAGGGTCTGGAATACCTCCATTCCAAGAACATCATACATCGAGTAAGCTTCATCTACGATTGTTCTCCGTACCTCATTGTCTTGCGTAGGATTTGAAGGCAGACAACATATTGGTGGAGAAAACAGGGATTTGCAAGATCTCTGACTTTGGAATTTCGAAACGCACAGACGATCTTAATGGAATGGCTTCTACGGCAATGCAAGGCACAGTTTTCTGGATGGCACCGGAGGTCATACATCCCCAGAAAAAAGGCTATAACTCCAAAATCGACATTTGGAGCGTGGGCTGCGTCGTCCTTGAGATGTGGGCAGGGAAGCGGCCATGGAGTGATGATGAAGCTATAACGGTCATGTTCAAGGTCCGTTTCATCGTATATTGTGCAAAGTGCGGTGCGCTCATGACTTTGCTACAGGTATACCAGAATAAGCAACCCCCGCCCATACCTTCCGATGTAGTCCTGTCCGAACTTGCAAAAGACTTCAAGGACAGATGTTTCGCAATGCAAGTGTTGTGATTTACTGTCTTGTCTGTTGTGCTCACGGACGATGCTTAGTGATCCGGATGAACGCGCGAGCGCTGCAGACCTTCAGTTACACCCATACCTGGAACTTCCAGAGGGCTGGATATTCAACGATTTTAAGTAGGACCTCATTTGAACATTATTTTTCAACATCATTTCCTATATCACCCATTTCTTATCGCATTTACTCTCATTTGTCCCAATCGCGCATCTTTCTTTGTTGTTTCGCATGCTGTTTCATAATGACCATTATAATTTTTTTGTACTTGTGGAGGGTGTGCTCATACATAATTACTTCACGTATCTGAGTTGACTTGAACTGTGTGATTAGAGTTTGATGCCCTCATAAACGACAAGTGTTCCTGGCCTTGACCTGATTTCCGCAGTATTTAGAATTCAAGATTTTGGTTCAAACCCGGAATGTCGTCTCACACCTCTTCGTAATCTAGAAATGCTTTACAAATCGTAAACTGTACAAAAGGCACATGTAATAAGCGACGCTTACAAGATAAGTCACGGAATTAGATTCTAGGCTCGTTTAGGTGTTTTGGAAATGTTTCAAATTGAACAACCAGGGTACCCCCTTCTAGATATCACTTCAGAAAATGTACATGCGAACTTGTAAAACACCGATGTTCGACGGCAGCACGAGGACATTCTAAACACTGCCGGAAGTTATCCATTTCCGAGTTGCGGAACGCTGCATGATCAGAAATGGAACAGCCGAAGTGACGGAACGTTGGCTCAAATACATTTTCAGCGTTTTTGGTGACACGACCTGTGAACACTGAAAATATGGCACCAATGTGTCGGGCTCGAGAAAACACCGAAACTTGCTGCTAGTCTTCTAGTGCCAGTGTGTGTGCTAGATCGACACACGTTAATTAATGCCCCAGTTTTCTTCATCGATTGTGACCAGAAAACGACTCTGGGGTGTTCCCTTTCAAGCTTGACAAGGAAACGTGAGGATTTTTTCTAGCGAGACCGTGACACCCGGCGGAGCACGTTTGAGCCCTGCATCATCATTCTAGGAACCTGGGTCCTGGTCTACGATAGAGTGGACAACCCTGCTGCGAAAATAATATATTAGCTCAAGGTAAGCTTTCAAGCTGACTTCTATGGAATGCACATGCGCGACGTAATCTGAATTCAATTATGAATTGTTAGAAACGCTGAACTTTCTGGAATAGTTCAACGAACATTCCACTAACCGGAGGGCTGGCTCAAGAAGTGTGCGAGCGAAATTCAAGGAGATCCTGGAGCTCAGCGAAGCGATAGTATTTATCACACTGACGAGGCGGCGTTTGTCACTATTTGGTTGAAAAAAAACCTTGGACGAGATTAAGAGCTGAGAAGACTGCAAGTGCTAGTTGAACGTTGAGTGCCAGTCTTCCAAAGCTTGCCTTGCAGGTAAGTCAAAAAAAATGCGCAGGAGTCGGCTCACAGCGTCGCAATATGATACCTGGTTCCCCTCTTCCTCTGCTCTTTCCCAGGTTAGCGTCATAGCGTGATGACCCCGCCCGCGCTATCGACTCAACGCATCCCGCCGCCAGGTGGAAAACCCATGCCATCCCGAATTTCTGCTGCACGCTGTGCCAAAGGCTGCGCTTTTGCGCCTAGAGTTCAAGGGGCGCGTCCTTCAGGTGCAGTGCTCTGACATGATGTCCCCGGGATCCCGAAAGACTGCTCTCTAGGAGGCTGGATATGGATATGAGCATGTACGAATAAAAGGGCGGCGGTGTGCATTAGGGTTACTTTTGAGCTCATCATTGTCCGGGTGCGCGTACAAGGTGGAGGCGGTGGTAAGGAGTGTATGCCTGTAGAATCGGCGCTGTCGAAAATTGTTTGAAATTTCAAGTAGAAAATTGATTGTTCGGTACACAAGTCGGGCCTCGCTTAGCAACTTGTTTTCGACTACACCGTCTAATCTTGAGCTTGTATCGAATCCTGCCCCTACATAATGGCATGTTTCTTCTCTTCTGACTGGAACCAAGACTGGTCATACATCATTTTACCTTCTATTCTGAGCTACCAGATGCCGAGCACTTGAGAGTACTCGATAAAGCTCGATGCGCTGTGGGGGTTGGAACAAATCCTTGCCCTTGGCCCACATTCAAGTTGTAACCGAATAACTTGAAGCAAATTGCATCTGACGAGGACGAGCTCCCCACGTTATTCGACCTCAATGAGTCCGAGAAATACCTCAACAAGGACAAGCGATCTATTGATACTCAGAAACAGCTTCTCAAGCTGATTGTTGTCATCTCAAGAGTCGCTCTCAGAGGGTCGACAATGCACTTGCTATCTCATATGCAGATTATCTCATTGCCACCTGATGCGATCTTGCAGTGGCCTTATGAAAGACTCGTAAGTATACACTCCGCCTTCCTTTGTTTTGATTTGGCGCGCCTGAATTTCGGGTTCTCTGCGGTTTGAATGAGCATGCTTCTACCGTTTAATCCATGGAGGCCATGGGAGTGACCACACTGTCCTGCCATGGCCGATCCAAACCTTTCTATCAGTTCTTAACCAGTCATTCATCATTGAACGTTTCTCCTCTAGCTTGCTTGCTGTCTGCTGACAGCATCAGTCCCAATATACTTCCACCCGTACTTTCCACGGTTCACCAATAACAGGCCCTGTATTGTGGGTCCAATTCTGCATCTTACCACCGCTCACGATGTGTGCGCTACCGCGCAAGGAGACGAGAATCCTTATAGAGTTCTCATTTCCCTTAAATCCGTGCTTCAGACTTGGTCTTTTGGTTTGCACCAGCAGTGATACTTCCCTAAGGGTCCAGGTCGGCTTTGCAGATGATTCAGGAGGCACAGCTTGTTACTACAAGGCGCCTGGTGTGTTAATCGGCCTGTGTCGTGGTCAAACAAGTATAGGTGATAGCAGTTCATCAGTACTCGCCAGTTGATCTGCGGTCCGCGGAGTAGGCGAGTTTCATGTGGATCGCATGCAAAGCGGTGGTAATCATGGATTGGAGGCTGTGCCAGCCATGGCTCATACCCTATTACGATATTTGCAAACCACGATGGGCCGCTGTTAATACTCTTGATAGTCTAACCCGGCGATGCACAGGCGTACGATCTCGAGATCTCAACCAGGAACGTCTCGAATACATTCATACAGGCGAGCCCGAGGGAGTGCCCTTCCTCTCGCCGGTTTTAAGTCTACTGTTGCCGAGGAGGTAAGGGCAGGTGTTCCACTTGACAATTCAAAAGAAGGAAAATGGGGCTCCAGTCCCACACGTTCAGAGGCGCAATTCTAATTCTTTGACCAATACTATACAAGGCACCTTCGTGGATGTTGATAGGCGGTAACTGTTATCATTTATTTATTCACTGATGTTCCTGGACCTCCCTAGACTCACAAGTCTCTGCGCTGCAACGTAAACAGTTGGACCGGATCTCGTAGCCACAGACATGGAATGATGTTGTGGGAGATCTAATTTAAACGCTATACAGCGTGATGTGTTACCCGTGCGAGGATGATCGCGTCGGTATGTCGGCTGCTAGACTTCAGTGTAGGTTGCCTGATTTCAACACTTTTTGCATCGCATCCTAATCACCCAGCTCCATGGAAACGTGTTTCGCCAGATGTCCGCGCTCTTTTCCTTCATTACCACCATGGGTGCCATGGATCCTGGTATCGATCACCTGCCCTGGTGTCTGCTGTGCAAAGATGCTTAATTTCAGGGAACTCAGGGGTAGCTTGGGCTCACAGCCGAGCAGCGTTCTCAGTACGATGAATAAGGCAGCTAGGAGGCTCCTAGCCTTCGTTATGCTGATCGGACGGTTTGGAAGGCGGAGGGTCCACGATCAAGGGGCGTCCATCTTTCCACAATGAGCCATTCCTGGTTTAAAGGCAAAAAGGCTCCGTATGTACAGGCTGGCGATCTGTAGCTCGATAGCGATCTTCTTCGGCAACCATGTAGCGTCGGCCAGCGGGAACGGCGGACTGATGGAGGTATACCTCACATCAGGGCATTTTCGACTTGGGAGATGTAAAGGGACACTGGTGGTCCTGAAGTAATGTCCTGCATAGAGTTATCTCTTAATAGGACAAAAATCGTATTATTAAAAAAACGTAACTCCTCGCGCACCAAGATGAGATAACGCGCCTTGATACCATATTGTCTGACCAGATGGTCCATTGCGATAATGAGAAGGTGCGAGTAAAGGACTGCACGACCCAGTTTATGCGTAATGTCATGTAATCCGAATCAAATTTTGCCGGAAGAAGTTCCTTTGGCAGGGCAGTTATGATTCTACATTGGAGAACTGGAGTTCGTAGTTGATCAGAAAGCACGAGCTCTTCGTTCCATCAAACCAGGGTCCTCCCAAATAAATCACTGTGATGTGTTTAGGTGACGCGTACAAATTTTCTATGAGACGTTGAACTTGATCGAGCACCATACTGAAATCCGACTGTAGAAGGAGGACTGCATGACGCACCTCAGAACGATAGATTCAACACCTTTGCTTGGTCACGAGAGTTGCACAGGATGCTCGCTCTCTTTGAATGAAGATCTGTTCCTGTGACTTTGGTGCTTTCAAGGGTTATCCATCCAAGAGCCGTAGCACCATGTAATCCAAACTATGCGTCGCCCATACAGCTCGGAATCTACAGCTCTTCTCAGTCCACATCTGCGTTATAAAGATGACATACCCCTTGGGTACACGCACCACGGCCTTGAGCCCTGAGCCAATGCGGTTTTGCTCCGCGTTGCTCGCCGTGAGCCACATTCTCTCGTAGCACGGCACGTCACAGTGCCCATTGTAATCACCTGAAGAAAGACGATACCTCATTTCCGGGGTTTGTCCGAAGATTCAGGTAGTTCGAACGGTAGATCTAACGCTCCCCGCTCCCAGATCATCTGGTTTAATATGCGATCACATGCGCTGATCACTGCACGTTCTTAATGCATCATTCGCTTCGTAGTTAGGGTTCGAGAGCGTCCCATCCTGCCAGTGTGCACATCTCATGAACGTTTTACCAAGCGGACTGCCCACATTCGCCTTCTTTCCACATTTATGTGGTAACTTGTAGAAGACAAAGCTCCCTTCAAGCACATGTTTTGTAGGGTATCATCCGTTGGATCATAAGAATCAAGCTTCAAAAATCGGGTATGAAAATCGGCGTTCGGATCACAAAAGGTCCAGCCGCATTCCCGGGAGTAGAAAAGCGGCCAGCCTTGCCAGGACAAATGAAGGAGGATGGGGGCAATGTGATACATCGACATCGAGATACCCCTGTTGAGTGGCCACAACACCCCTGCTATGGGTGTCCGATCGAGTTGAGAAAGCCAAGGATCATCCTTCCAAAACTGGTTCTTCATCCCGTCATCAACCTGCTCCGCGAGTTCGACAAGGCGCCTTTTCAGTGCAGCTTTCGTAGCAGACTTTGCGAGGTTGAGGAGATGATGGAGGGGAGACAACAATGAGCGCATTTTCTACTCGGAAAAGAGACATTCTTGAGGGACAGCAAGCGAAAGACGCACAATTGGAACCAATAAGAGTAGATACGACAACCATAGTGAGGGGATGATAGATATGCCTGAATGAGGCCCTATTTGAAATTGTTAAATACCCAGCCCTCCGGAAGCCCCAAGTATGGATGTTGCTAAAGTTCTGTAGCTTGCGCGTTCTACCAGATCCCTTAGCATCGACCATAAGCACAGCAAACAAGATGACAAGTAACAAACTTGCATTGCGAAACATCTGTGCTTGAAGTCTTTTCAAGATCAGACAGCACCACATAGGAAGGTATGGGCAAGGGTTGCTTCTGGTATACCTGCAGCAAATTCATGAGTGACCGCAGGTACTAAGCAGCACGTACGAAGAAACGAACCTTGAACATGACCATTATAGCTTCATCATCACTCCACAGCCACTTTCCTGTCCACATCTTTTAAAGGCAGACAACATCTTGGGGGAGAAAACGGGGATTTGCTAGATCTCTGACTTCGGAGTTTCGAAGCGCACTGATGATCTAATCAACAATATTTGGGAGGGCGTAGTTGAGACGTATGATTGGACGGTGTTGAGGGTTTGGCAGGACACCATGCATCATCCTACCATGGCCAGAGCTCGGAGTCATGGCATTTAGAGGAAGACGTGAAGGACCAGCTTGAAGCTTCGTGGCACTGAGATGCCAGTGTCCTGAAAGATGGACCGAAGCACTGTTCTACCCGAAACGACATCCTAGTCTTCCGTAGACAGACGGGCCGCCATATAGAAGAAAAGTAGTTGTGCCTTTAGCGGTCCGACAAAAGACAGGAAATGAACGTTCATCCTCCTTCCACCGAGGTCCAGCACGATATACGCTTAGACTCACCGACCAAATCTGTATTTCATTCCCCATGATGCATTCGACAATCCACAACTCCAAGTTCTCACTCCTCTTCCAGTTAGTCCGAGCATGAGGGACTCCCTCACACTGTGGCATCCCGAAGTCTCGCACTGGCAACGGGCGACGTTCTACGCTAAACGCCAGTGCATACCGTCAGCATTGGAAAGCAAGACTGGCATAGTGTCCTAAATGCAGCTCATCGCGAAGCCCTGGGTAAAATCGACGTTGGTAAGAGTTAGCCGTGAATCCCGTGCCACATGGTAAATATTATGAACACGACATATGGACATGACCAATGAAGGCAAACTTTTCGAGGTGTGGCAGATGAGACGAGAACTAGCACCTTTGATTTGTGCGAGGGGGTCGTGTGCGGTGTGCGGTGTGCGGTGTGCGGTGTGCGCACCTAATTCTGAGCGTCCCTAATGAAGGCAAACTTTTCGAGGTGTGGCAGATGAGACGAGAACTAGCACCTTTGATTAAACCAGACACATCCAAGTAAATAAGTTCTATAAGCCGAAAACTATTCTTCGCATTTATCACATTACGATGTACTAAAACTTTGAAAGGTACCTCATAAGACTGTATCTTGCACCTGTTATGGATATACTGATGATACCTTCCTCCTGATGATTCACGCCCTGGTCCATTGGCTTTCAATGTTTGAAATACGAACATCGACTTTAGCCTGAAGGGGGACTCCGTGGATCGTCACGATTATAAAGTCAGGACGAAGTACTGCCTTACCTTCTCGTCATAGTCGACCCAGTCATCATCTTCAAGATCAACATCGGAGAACTTGGTACCAGTCTCTCCCTGGCATGTCCATCGCCCTTTCTGTGACATTTTATATAATGAGATTGGAGAAACACGATAGAAGAAAATACAAACTGGAGCAAAATCTGTGAACTCTAACCCACGACACTCCATCTTCAATAGGGTTGAAAATTGTCCATTTGATTCAGCGGAGTATGGTTTTGACGGTTCAGCAACAAAGCTGGCTGAGCTTTCCTTTTTACAATTACCACAACGCCAAACGAGGTGAGCCGAGCCTCTACTGTTCGAGATATTTCGTGTTTCCTGAAGAAACGAGATGGAATCCTCCATCATCATGAAGTAGACATACATACCAATCTTTTCAACGTGACGTACTTCGGGTGCTCCTCGTGACAACTATTGCAGACTACCTGCACAGGGTATTCAGAATACAGGATATGACGTGTCACCGAATATCACTTTGAAAAAGTACTCGAAATCATCACCAGAAGGGGCGAGATCTGTGACCTTTTCTAGCTCAGCTTTGATTTCCAGTTTCAAGAACTTTTCAGAATTAACATATGGAGGTCTTTCCGATGTAGCGAAAGAAACTTACGACCATGATAGGATGATGTATCTTTCAAGTTCAGGATCGTGGTGTGTCGTTCATCGATGAATGCATGATCAGAGTTTGTTCTTGTTTGCGTACTTCCGTTTTCGAGGTCGGTTTTACAGTTGAACGACTTCTGCCAAGTTGCCAACTCCAACATGTGGTTACTTCCGCCATGTCGACGCGGTCTGCCTTCAATGATGGTCGCCAGGCAATTTCATGCCACTACACAAGTGTCCATGCGGAAAAAGATGTCCAAGGCATCGAAAGCGGATGACGAAGAAATACTTCAGCACTTTCAGCCAGATGGGGGATTAGATGTACCAGTGGCCGGATACCTATTACACCGTCAGCAGCGGCAGACATTATACTACATGCGACTAATTGAGCACGAGATTCCAAAACTCGTAGGTCAGCCATGATTGACCCTAATTAAAGACGTCCACTCATTCGCATTTTAGCGTTCCGCAAATCATTCGTCCCTCCAACTACCGCTACACCCCTCGTCATACGGTCCGTTGATTTTGCTGGAGAACAACATCCGTTGACAGCTAAGCGGAGTGTTGTCGTTCCGGTCGCACATCTTCCCCTGCGGAACGAAGTAGCTTTTCACAGAGCGAAACTCCTCGCAGGCGTGCGGTGGATGCCAGAGCCCCCAAGAGACTCTGGTATTTCAGCGGATGAGGATGCGGCCAAGCATGGTTTTATCAAAATCGCGTGTGAGGATTTTCCGCGAGCCAGCATGAATTTAAAATGGATCAGCGATACGCTTGATAAGCTGGTTCTCGAAGCAAATGTAGGTCGAGTTTGACGTCGGCTATCATCCATACTCATAATTGATAGGCTGAGGGCGAGGCACCATATCAACGGCTACCACTGGATACCCGACATCTCGATTCTAAAGTGCGGAAATCGAAGAAGGGTGATCATGTTCGAGGCAGAGGTGGATTGCGTCCAAGCCTCAAAGACTTCCCCACGGAATGGCTTCCAAAACGCCAAGAAAATGTGATATCTTCTATACTTCCATCTCAATAATAGACTGTATCTCTGGACGGCCGCTGTTAATCGGTCCGATATCATGATCACGAGTGTACGGCGAATTATGTTATAAGCTCCATCGATGAACAAGCCCGCATGCGTTTCTCCCTATCTTCCTCATGGCGAATACAATTCGTGCGTCTGTGATTCAAACCTGCACTGCCCGTTTCAATCTATCAGAGACATTGGACAAATTTGAGAAGTTGACTAGACTTGCAAAAGAGCGCGATGGATCGCAGCTCGTTGTATTTCCCGAAGGCTTGTGAGTCCACCTTGGTCCGCATGTCGTCTTACCTATGGCATGTAACTCTTGCTCAGCATCGGGGGCTATCCAAAATGGTCAACCTTCTCATGCTTCGTAGGAGAGAGAACTTCAGAGGGCAGGGACGAGTTTATCAAGTATCATAACGCGGCTGTTGAGATTCCTTCGCCAGCGACAGATCGTATCGCAGAAGTGAGCAAGGCGACAGGGGTTTTTGTGGTCATGGGGGTTATCGAGCGTGATGTCGGGACACTCTACTGTACCGCCATATTCGTCGACCCTGTTGAGGGCCTAGTGGCAAAGCATCGAAAACTACTGCCAACAGCATGTGAACGTTTAATCTGGGGGCAGGGCGATGGAAGCACTCTTCCCGTCGTAGCAAAGAAGTTCCAATCCTCCGTCGAGCCAACGCGCACCGTCGAGACGAAGATATCCGCTACCATATGTTGGTGAGTGTGAAACCTGATCGCCCTCGCCTAGAGATCATAACCGAGTTGTACCAGGGAGAATTATATGCCTTTGCGTGAGTCTTGAGACTGATCTGAGTAAACCTCTCAAACAGTGTGTTTCCTCCAGTCCGAACCTATTATTACTCTCTCGGGACGCAGATCTATTGCGTCCCAACGGTTGATGCGCGTGAGACTTGGGAAAGCTCTATGCGACACATCGCATTCGAAGGACGTTGTTTCGTGCTTTCTGCGTGTCAATTCGCGACCGAGAAAGACTATCCTCCGGACCATCCCGTTGCAGATACCAGCAATCGCAATCCTGACAATGTCATGATCAACGGTGGCAGCTTGATAGTCAGCCCTCTGGGAAAAGTACTCGCTGGTCCCACCAGGAAGCCCGAGGACATCCTGACTGCAGATCTTGACCTTGATGATATTGTCCGAGGAAAGTTTGATCTTGATGCTGTGGGACACTATTCACGTCCAGATGGTACGACGACTTCATTTTGACTTGAGATACGACTCATGGTCTGTGCTTAGTCTTTCAGCTCAAGGCAAACATCTCGCCTTGATTTTGGCAAGGGGGCCCATGTTCAAGAAAGTGTGACGATGATCTCTTATTATCATCTCCACTGTCAATATCGTGTCTTCTCAAGTTGATCTGTACAATAAACATCCACTTCTAACAGGTTCCACTGATATTGAATGTTGGACACTGCAGGTCCTATCTTTCCCAATTAATTATGCTTTGTAGTACGACATGCATGTGGCTCGCTCGGTACTAATGCGGCCGACAAGGACAAAGATCAAAGCGACATCCTCTTTCTCGTACTCTCACAGCACGCACAAAGTGATGCATAAAAATCCATTTGAAAACTTCCACAACTACCATGATATAAGAGCTAGCAACACATACAACTCCCCTCATCACTTGAAGTCACTAAGGTGCGGCAGGCCCAAAGTTGACCAGACTCTTCAGCCAAAAAACCCTCGCACTACTTACTATACACTCCATAATGTCTAACTCGCAAACTCCTGATGCACGCACTGCGCTTATGCAATCTATTCTGTCGCGTCACTTGCAGGCGAGTCCGGCGAGAGCATCCTCAAGCTCTTTATTGCGGAGACCAAGCCGCAATTTTAATGTGCAGGACTTTGCTGGCCACCGAAAGCAGGCAGCTAGCCCTAGCAAACGCAAGGCACGCGAGGACAGAATTGCCTTGGCGATTCGAGGTAGAACGATCTATGATCCACGAGCCTGCCCCATTACACACTCGGCACCCAAGAAAAGCAGCCCACGGAAGAGGTTGATGAAGCCAACCGCTCCCTCATACCACCCTGGTGCATCCTTTGAAGAGAAAGCATTGACTCTGAATATTTTAAAACGGATGGAAACCGAGGAAGAACATTCAGAGAAGAACCAACGTTTCTTGGTAGAAGCCGGAGGTGAATTTACACCGAGCTGCTACTGGCAGGCGCAGGACAAGTCTCCTTGGATGGGCATCTCCGAGTCTGATCTGGACTGGCCAGGAAGCAGTGAAAAGTTCACACCCTCGGACATGGAGTATTCCCCGTCTCGCTGGAACGTGCCGCAATTTAACTCGGGGGAGTGCGACTGGGAGACGATGTTTGACATGTACATCAGAGAGCAGTGAAGCTATGATGCGGCTTTAGGGAAGAACTGTTGAATAATCATAATCAATACGGTAATCACTCATATGTTTGATAATATTTTCTGTAGTTAGTTGTGGCAATATGTATATCCTGCAGCTGCAGTGCACTATCATTTACGTACCATCTCCCTTTATGAACGGCTAGCCCGCTCCGCCCGGTCGATATTGCTCGCTACGGGATTGAGTTATTCGCTTACCGAAAAGCGGATTTAGCGCGCCACTGAAGCCAAACAAATGCAACACATTTGTAGACAAGAAGAGTGTTTGCTTCATCTTTCTCTCCTCGTTTGCAGTCAACCGAAAGTAAATTTTGGACCTTATTGCTAGTCATCTTAAGCCCTTCATCACTGACAGCAGCGTCCAGATGACTGACTCCTACACCTCTCGCGCCGGTGACCACTCGCCCTCTCCAAATGGCTACGCGAACGGTTCCAGTCCGTTGTTGGCCCAATCTAACAACGCTGGTATCTCACCTGTCATTCGCAAAAAGCTTATGGGCTACGTCGGCTTCGCCAACCTTCCAAACCAAGTGCACAGGAAGAGCGTCCGGAAAGGTTTCCAGTTCACTACAATGGTCGTCGGTTCGTTGTTTTATGCCAACTTAGTAACATACCCTCAAATATTCATCATTCTCTAGGCGAGTCGGGTTTGGGCAAGTCTACGCTGATCAACACTCTCTTCAACACGCCTCTATACCCTCCCAAGGAGCCCCTTCCTCCTTCGGCTGAACGACCCAAAACGGTTGCTATTGAAAGCATTGGTGCAGGTCAGTGTCATATGACAGCACGTGAGGTGCCATTAACACTCTCACTTAGATATTGAGGAGAACGGCGTTCGTCTTCATCTCACCGTCGTTGATACTCCCGGTTTTGGCGATTTTGTCAACAATGACGACAGGTATGTAAAAATTTGGCCATATCAAGAATATCCTACCTATACGTAATGTTAGCTGGAGGCCGATTGTAGAAGACATTGAGTCGCGCTTCGACTCATATCTAGAGCAGGAGAACCGTGTAAATCGGCAGAAGATCGTCGACAACCGTGTTCACGCTTGTCTTTACTTCATCCAGCCCACAGGTCACTCGTGAGCAGTTTTGTTGTCTTTTGTTGTACTTCTGTCTGACACGTTCCCTCTTTGCACAGGCTGAAACAACTCGATATTGAATTTATGCGTCGCCTGCACACCCGAGTTAACCTAATTCCTGTCATCGCAAAAGCTGACACGCTGACGGACGAGGAAATTGTTGCCTTCAAAGCCAGGGTAAATCGTCTGTCTGTGCCGCATTACTTGTTGCCTGACCTTTCATGCAGATCCTTGCAGATATTGCTCACCACAATATTCACATCTTCCAGGCACCCAGCTATGAGAACGAGGATGAGGAAACCCTTGCTGAGGCCGAGGAAATTGCTAGCAAAATTCCTTTTGCAGTCGTTGGTTCGGACAATGTCGTGGACACCAAAGATGGTCGTCAAGTCCGCGGACGTGCATACCCTTGGGGTGTCATCGAAGTTGACAATGAGGAACACTGTGACTTTGTTAAGCTTCGCCAGATGCTCGTCCGGACCTACATGGAGGAGCTTAGAGAGCGTACAAATGATGTGTTATATGAAAACTGGCGAAGTGAGAAACTTCTTAGCATGGGTGTCGCCCAGGATTCTAGTGTCTTCAGGGAGATCAAGTAAGTGCTAGCTTTGCTGTTCGTGGAGAAAGTTGATTGACATCTCGTCGAAGTCCTTCTGCCAAGATCCAGGAGGAACGCATCCTGCATGAGGCCAAGCTTTCCAAGATGGAGGCTGAGATGAAGATGGTGTTCCAGCAGAAGGTCCAGGAGAAGGAGTCGAAGCTGAAGCAGTCCGAAGAGGAACTTTATGCCCGACACAAGGAAATGAAGGACGCTCTCGACAAGCAGCGCGCAGATTTGGAAGACAAGAAGCGAAGAATCGAGAGCGGTCGACCGCTGACCCCAGAGAAGAACACTGTAAGCCCAATAATCCAGCCCTGGAGTACTTACTAACTAACGTTCATATAGACCAAAAACCGTCGCTTCTTGCGGTAGATTCTCTTCGTCTCGGTACTTCTTTCTTGTTCTCTCTTCGCCTCTTCTAGCTTGCCATTTAGTATTCTTGCTATCGTACATTGCCTTGGCGTTTCACTCATTACCTCGCGCTCGAACATTTTACACTCTCTTTTGGATTGATATCCAGTTTTGGCTACCCTCTACCCTTTTAGTACTATGAGCAACTTCTTATGCAGAGTTTCTGGATGTTGAAAGACGTCGAGGAGACGATTGGATTTTTATTTTTGCGATGACTGCGCGCAGATACCCAGTGTTGCCACTATGTCAATACTGATAAACAGATAATCTTGAGTTGTCACAGCTTAATGAGATTTGATCACGAACCACGACGAAGCTCAATCATGGCTGATAACCAGTCCGCTAACATTCAAGCACTATTGTCCGCATTAAACGTGTTCACTCGTGCACCTGACAAGACTTCTTTGGAGAACGCGAATTCCTGGCTGCAGGATTTCCAACACTCTGTAAATGCACTTTCGCCCTTCGCCCGATCTTCCAATCCGGTCATCTGACTTCGTCCATCCGCCCTGTCCTAGCCCGAAGCATGGTCGACATGTAACGTCCTCCTGCTATCTCCTGATGCACCCCCAGCGGCCAAGCTATTCGCTGCACAGACTTTCAGGTCAAAAGTTAGTCAATCGTGATTCATTTCTGTGCGCTACTGAAATCTCCCCGACAGGTTACTTATGATCTTCATCAAGTAGATCCATCGAATCTCCTTCCCCTCAGGGACACTCTTGTCACTGCGCTGGAGAGATATCAAAGCGGTCCGAAGACTATCATCACACAGTTATGTTTAGCGCTTTCAGGGCTTGCCCTGCAACTCCCGGCTTGGGACAATGCTCTACAGAGTATCGTCGAGACATTCGGAGCGAACCCTGTAACAGTTCCTGTTTTACTCCAATTTCTGACCATCCTTCCGGAAGAAGTATCGGGTAACACAAGGATACCTGTGACTGTGAGTGGCGCATAATTGGTAGATTTAGGAGGTTTTCATGACCCCAACAGGACGATGAATATCGCGAAAGGTCTACAAAACTCCTTTCAGACAACTCTGAGCAGGTATTAGAGCTGCTGTCCATGTATTTGCAGGCAACTGGTCGGTCTATTGATTTGATTGCGAAAAGGCATTGGTTACAAAATTCTGCAGGTGTCACACACGCGGTTCAAAGCCAAATCTTTGATTGCCTTCGTAGCTGGTTAGTCGCAGGAGAAATCGACATGCCCGCTTTTGGGAAATCTCCTTTGCTTGCATTTGCATTCGAGGCCCTAGCCTCGGAGGAACTCTTTGACTCGGCAGTCGACGTCGTCTGTGAAATGATACACGAGACGCAAGAAATTGACGACAATATGCCTGTGATTGAACTCATCGTCCCTCGAGTCATTGCCCTCAAGTCTCAACTGGAAGATAAAAAGGATGATCCGGAAAAGATTCGAGGCTACGCAAAGATTTTTGCAGAAGCGGGTGAAACGTACCGGCTACTTATTCTTCAGCACACCGACACATTCTACCCAATCGTCGAGGCAATTGGCCAGTGCTCAGCCTACCCTGACCTCGATATTGTGCCCATCACTTTCCCTTTCTGGATGCGGCTAGCTCAGACTATCGGCAAGAAAACAACAATTTCGCCCCTATTTGGGGAAGCGTACAAGGCGTTGATGGCAGTCGTCATTCGCCATTTGCATTTCCCTCCTGATCTCGCCTCTATAACGGGCCAAGAGGCGGATAATTTCCGTTCGTTTAGACATGTGATGGGAGATACTCTCAAGGACTGTTGCCTAGTTCTTGGTGCAGATGCCTGTCTTCTTTCTGCTTACGGGCTCATCACTATGGCGCTCTCTCGCAGCCCACAGTCTATCTCCTGGCAAGAAATTGAGGCCCCTCTCTTCGCTATGCGCTCCATGGGTGCTGAAGTTGATGTGATGGACGAAACCGCCGTGCCCAAGATAATGGATCTCATTCCCTCCCTTCCGATTCATCCTCGAGTTCGTTATGCTGCACTGCTAATCATATCCCGGTACACCGAATGGATCAACCGTCACCCGGACTACATTGCATATCAACTACAGTATATCTCGGCAGGCTTTGAAGACCCTGACTCCGAAGTCAGTGCGGCTGCAGGGCAAGCGTTGAAGTACTTGTGCCAAGATTGTAAACAGGTGAGACCAAGTGTCACCTTTGTTGTTCAATTTTATTTTATTAACGCAATTGCAGCATTTGATTGAATTCCTTCCTACGTTGCATACTTTCCTCACAACAACCGGAGCAAAACTGGCTCAGGACGATCGGCGACAAGTGTACGAGGCCATCGCTTACGTGATCTCTGCAATGTCTATGGAGAAAGCTGCGGAGTCCCTGCGAACCTTCTCGCTTGATATTCTGTCTCAAATACATGCCATAAGTAGCAAAACGACAGCAGTAACCAAACAAGAACTCAAGGAAGTCGGATGTGAGTTTCGTGGATCGTGTTGATATTTGGCTAACGCCTGTCTCTTAGATGGCTTAGAAAATCTGGAAGTCATGTTGCATGTCGTAGGACCCTTTGGAGACCAGCTACCCGCCGCCTGTCAAAACAGCTGTCAAGAAGCATGGTCGATTTTTGACACCTTCATATCCAAGTTCGCGTTCGACTATGACACTTCTGAAAGAGTCACTCGCGTACTTCGTCACGGCATCACGCTGTTTGGCGAGAGCGCTCTTTCGGTTGCATCATCTGTCTTGTCACGGATGGTGACGTCCTTTGAGGCAACAGGTTTCTCGTCTTTCTTGTGGATTTCAGGGAAATTTGTAGGGAGGTTTGGTCACGAGTCGGACCCAGTGTTGCGAAATGCCTTCCAAAACATATACGAGAGAGCGACCAACAAAGTCGTTAGCCTCCTACAATCAAAGGATCCAAGAGACATTCCTGATGGTGAGCCCTTTACGTTCCAATCTTGACGAAAGCTGACTTTGGTTTAACAAGTATTGGAGGATTATGTTCAGCTCTTACTCCAGCTCATACGGATGGCCCCAGACGTCTTCTTCCAGTCCAGCGCATTCCCGCTGGCATTTAGAGCCACGATGGCTGCCCTCACTCTAATTCATTCTGACCTCGTCTTTGCATCCTTAGATCTCTTCCGCGACATCCTTACTCACGAGAGTCTTACTCCTAGCTCATCGCCACCTCCCAAGTTCCCCATTTACTCTTCAGCCATCAAGGCCGTCATGGAAAAGGAGGGATTCGAGTTTGTCGGCTACATGCTCTCGGGCCTGGTTGGAGACTTCCCCGAAGACTCTACTGCGATCGTTGTCACTATCTTCCGCGCCGTAGCGCTTCTGTGGTCTACGCAGCTGGTCGCATGGCTGCCACCTATTTTGCAGCAGCTTCCTCCATCCAGTGCCCCGAACCAAGTGAAGCGGCAGTTTTTATTGGACGTGACCAAGTGCGTGTGCCTTATGACTCCTTTTGACTATGGTATTGAAGTCACCTGATTGTTAGCTCGTTGAACACCGCCCAATACGACAAGGTCAAGTATTCCATTCTAGCACTCCACCGCGCTTCACGCAAGGCTCGAGATCGTAGACGTGTAACTCCCTTGAACCAAGCGTGAGATCCAAGTGAGGAAAGCTTTCTCGTCTCACACGGACTGGAGAGATTCAACGAAGGGAAGAGATGTGCACACACTTACAGAACTGTAATAGGAATTTTGTACATGACAAAAAATTGTTTAGTATTTGTTTGTGAATGCGTTACCAGTGTCTACCACCACTCGGCGCTACGTCCGAGGGAACGTTGCTCACGAAAAGTGACATGGCAGAGAATGCTGCGAAGCGAGACTTAGTCCGATTCAGGTACACCAGGAACGCGAGTGTCTCATGACATGGTACTTAATCGGGAAATACCGGGGTTTGAGGTTTTGGCACGGCGGGCGGGTTGCCACATATCACAACGCAGCGGGGGAGACTTTGCGTTTCTTTCCAACACCACATCCACTAATGTTTCGTCGTTCAGGTCAATCATTTGCTTCTGACCGTACGTTTTTTATCTACTTTACAATAGCAACGGAAGCTGATGTCTTCATAGTCGGTCGCCGGTCGTTCTCAGTTTCGGCTTCTCGAAAGAGTTACGCCGACACGATACACAACCTACGTATTCACAAAGACACTAAAGTACTCTGTCAAGGTTTTACTGGAAAGACGGTGAGCTCTCAACGTTCTCCTTGGATTTTAACGCGCGAAGAATTTATCATCGGAACAGGGAACCTTTCACGTGAAAGAGGCTTTAGCATATGGAACAAACATGATTGGGGGTGTTTCCCCCAAAAAAGCAGGCCAAACGCATCTCGGCCTCCCTGTTTTTGGTAGTGTCAAAGAGGTATGAAGGAATCCATCATCATTCTGCCAATGTCTCATCATATCGAATAGGCTGTTCGGGCAACAAACCCTGATGCCACAATCCTTTATGTTCCTCCCCCCACCGCTGCTGATGCCATCATTGAGGCCATCGAGAACGAGATTGGTTTGATTGTTTGTATAACAGAGGGTATTCCTCAGGCCGATGAAATCAAGGTAAACTATTTTTGCGATACATTGAAGCAGTTGGTGAACTTTATATTTAGGTCATGAATGCCTTGAAGAGCCAATCTAAATCTCGTCTCGTCGGACCCAACTGCCCCGGCATAATCAACCCACTAGGTTGCAAAATGGGTATTCAGCCTGGTCACATCCACATGCCAGGAAAGATCGGTATGTCCCAATCGAAAGGCTTTTTCTCGTCTCCCGCCTCATCGATATATTCCAGGCATCGTTTCACGTTCTGGAACCCTTACGTACGAAGCTGTCGCGCAGACCACTGGTGTTGGTCTTGGTCAATCACTCTGTATTGGCATTGGTGGCGACCCATTCCCCGGTACTCAGCACATAGACGCCCTCAAAGTTTTCATGGAAGATGATGCAACTGAAGGTATTGTTGTCATCGGTGAAATAGGTGGTTCTATGGAAGAGGAGGCTGCCGATTACCTTGAAAAATACAACAAGACTCGTAAGAACCCCAAACCTGTCGTTGGGTTCATTGCAGGACGCACTGCTCCCCCTGGGAGACGCATGGGCCATGCTGGTGCTATCATTTCTGGCGGCAAAGGTATAAACCATTGGATTCGCTTTACTCTCTCACTGAATTTTTGGATCGCAGGCGCTGCAGTAGACAAGGTTGCTGCTCTTGAGAGAGCTGGTGTTATAGTGACGGACAGTCCTGCAAAGATTGGTGCTGAGATGCTTAAGGTTTGTTCAATTTTTATTGTTTTCAATGGTATGCTGACTTTCGGGAAAGGCAATGAAGGCAGCAGGTCTCGTCTAGATAGATATTACCGCTATACCAGTGTACCACAGTTCAATCTATTATTTTTATTAGGCCAATAATCTGCTGTGTGCTTACATAATCGTTCACCAATCGTTCATCGATGTCATTTACTCCGTCCATAGATGAAGCAGCAAGCTATCTATCATCTGCACCGTCCCTCTCAAAGGTTTCCACAACCATCAAGCTCGAGGTCGATATGGTGTTCTTGACTTTTATCTATTCTCTAACTTGTTCATAGCTATATGGTCTATTCAAATATCTCAAGGTGGCCCCGAAGCCGCAGGGCTCAAGGCCACACATATTTGACATGACGGGACGCGCCAAGTGGGACGCGTGGAAAGCGGCGAGCGATACATATGTGAACAATAGCCACGCCGCGGCACAGCGGTATCGAGCAATCGCTCAAGAATTGGGATGGAAACCAGATTCTACTCCCAACAGTGCGTCTGGGAAGCGATCGGAGGATGAAGGTGCGGATACAGGTGTTCGGAATGACTCTGCTGGCTCGGGATCTTCAAGCGGTGGCGGCGGGATGGGAACATCTGTCAGCTTACTGATCAATCCGGGCCCAGATGTGGGTGAAGCTCAGACACTGCACGGGTTAGCTATCGCAGGAGACGCAGAGAAGTTGATGGCGTTCTTGCTTGTCAATCCAGCGGTTGATGTAAACGCACGCGATGAATTTGTGCGTTTCACCGCTGCCTCTCTACACAACATTAAAGTTCCAGTGACAGGATTATACCGCCCTTCATTTGGCCTGTGACAGAGGGAACTTGTCAGTAGTCCAAGCATTACTGAGCAATGGAGGGGATCCTTTGTTGAAAGTAGGGCATGGAATCTTATAATTCGAATACTGACCTTGTGATCCGACAGGATCCCGACGATTACACTGCAGCAGAGCTAGCTCAGGTAGCTGGACATCAAGAAATATATGACCTCCTGAGTAATTAGATGTTTGAATGATAATGGAATTATAACTGCAATCTACATATGCGAGGCTGTAGTGGTAATATATGACTGCCTCCTCGCTCTTAACAGACGGTGGAACAAACCCACCCCAAATCGATGTCGATTTGCATTTGCTCAAGACACCACGAGAACTACGATGTAGCTGAAGTCATTTCAGAAGAATTGTCTTTTGACGATTCCGTGCCGAATTTTGGACCCAAAACCTTCGGGTGATACTTGGAGTCCGGCGGTAACACACCGCCCTTGAATGTTGACTTTAGCACCAACAAGCGTACGAATAACAAAGGCGGACTTACACGTTCCAATAGCTTGACTACAGATTTGCTGGGCAGTGCTCCGACACCCAGCCAATATTTTATTCTGTCCACACTCCATTTGACAGTCTTGTGTGTGTCCCCGAGCTTAAGAGCAGGATCGTAGATGCCCAATAGCTCCATAGGCTTTGCGTCTCGTCTCGTGCGCTGATTAATGGCGACTAAATGAAATATACGGTTGTGTCTTTGGCCGTGCATGGCCATCCTGAGGCGCACAGGCATGGTGTAGTATTGAAGTAGTACGCCTGTAAGTTGGGAGAGAGCGAGAGTCGTGTTTATTACTATTTGGTTAGGCGCGAGCCACAAATTCAATTATTTTTGTGACCTCAGTACAATTCAGACAATACAATTTCTACATCATAGATAGTCGGTTTGGAGGAGAGGATGTGACACTCGTAGTGTCCGGCAATACTATGTGTCACCGAGGTTTACCGTACCTGCTCCAACAGTGCTAGTGAATTTTCCCCTACAAGCGGCCCTTGAAGTTAAGCTGAGAGTGCAAGAACGAAGCATTGTCTTTTCATAAGTCAGGAGTCTGACTCGGGACCTTCGCTGCCTGGAATCAACTGGGTAGGTCGATGTCAGCCCCCACTCGAACATTCAGTAAACGAATTTCACAGACCATACAAATATTGTTGCCGTTGAGAAGCGTCTGTGCAAGTCGTGTTTTCTTCTTTCCCTGAGGAGTAATCTCGCTGAGGACGACGGTCAGCAACAGGAAATCGCCATCATCTAGTCTCACTGACTATTCAGTTACATCCTCTAGCACCATGTCTGCGTGTAGGCGTGTTCGATACCAGCTTTATCGTGTAGGAAAAGGTGGCCGACTCACTGACGAAATCGTCGAAGCCAAGCAGCGTCCCAGTAAACTCACGATCACTCTTCATAATGACCCATATCCGGGATCCAATGCATCTGTCAATCAGCTCTGCGACGGCTGTCAGGAAATTGATCATGATTTTGTTGTCTTTTGTACTCGCCTAGCGGGAGGATTTGAGAAGCCATGATGGTGGCGCAAAGCAAGACGGGCGAGACATATTGGCATCAGCATTCAGATCAATGTTGTAAATTTCATGTATCGCATAACAGACATCATTGGGTAGTACAGGTTACCAATAATAAGTATTATCAGCTACTACACTGAATCATTTTCTCGTGCTCTGACATATATTGTTGTCATAAAGGAATTTGCGTCCGTTAGACGCGTTACATGTAACATACCGCACAAGCGTAAAGGGTAAGGAGAGATCACAGGTTGCAAACAGAATGGGGGGTTGAGCGATAATGGTTGGTGCAAGATATAAGTGACAGTAGCACACAGTGGAAGAGATAGGCGAATCAACAAGACCAACAGTTTACTGCTGGCCAAAGCTAAAGCCTCCTTGAGGAGCAGTGACATCCTGGAACTGCGCAGATAATTAGGACATGAAAAAGGACAATATCAACGAACTCACAGCAAATGTACCAGTAGCATCAAGGCTAGGTGCGCTAATTGCTGCATCCACTTCCTCCTCATCTGGGAAGTACTTGTCCATGATATTGAACGCCTTCTTATATATCTCTAGGTTGTCGTGTGATTGGAGGTTGTGGATGGTGATCATACCGCCCGCCTCTTCGACATATAGAGCATATTGGTTGACAGATCCGGGACCTCCAGCCTGTTTGTCCGTCTCGCCGACCTTCAGAATGTTATCGAGACCATCAAGGGCAACTTGAATGATCTTGTTATCCATCATAGTGAGCAGGTCACAGAGTGGCTTGATACAACCTTGCGAGACGAGATAGCGGATCTGCGCTGGTTCATGAAGACCGCCAGACGTTGCGTTCGAAATTGCCCAGCAGGCCTCCTTCCGCGTTTTGAAGTCGGCATTGGAAAGGATGTTGATGAGTGGAGGGATGATGTTGGCATCGATGACTGCCTGAATTTGGGGAGGTGACCCAGCGGTGATGTTGGAGATCGTCCAGCACGCTTCTTTCCTGATACCCTCTTTTGGAGAAGATAGCAGCGAAAGAAGAGCGGGTAAAGCCCCAGACGCGATAACGACCTGAGTCTGAAGATCATCTCCAGTAACGATGTTGCCGATTGAACGAAGAGCGGGCGTTTGCACGGAGGTTGAACTGTGCATGAGTAGATCAACGAGGCGCCGACATACAGCTGATTCGATAACTGCTTGGATCTTGTCGTTCGAACCATCTGAAAGGTATGAAATAGCCCAGCAAGCATCAATCAAAATTTCGTCATCGAGCGAGTAAATGAGTTTGGTCAAGACGGTCAACGCGGGAGAGATCTAGTGAAAGACGTCAACATCCTATGCATACAAGCCATGATTTGTCACAGACCAGTTCCCAGTCGGGCTGAGGATTTTTGCCCCTGCAGAAGTTACTCAAGGTCCACGTAGCGTTCCTGAGCATGCTGAGTTTGTGATTTTCGCTCAGCAAAGTCAGGAGTGGCCTCAATGCTCCTTGCTGTAGGACGTAATCTCTGCATTGTGGGCTGTCACCCGCGATGTTCCCGAGGGCCCATACCGCCTGCTCACGAACATCGAGGACCGGCGATGACAGGAGGTTGATGAACTCAGGTACAGCTCCAGCGGAGATGACAACTTGAGTGTGCTCAGCAGTTCCAGAAGCAATATTTGTGAGCGCCCAAGCGGCCTCGAACTATAGACCGATTAACATTGGCTCAATGGTGAGGGACGGAACAACGAACCTGCAACATGGAAGCACCAGTCCGAAGGAATTCAACGAAACGGGGTACAACGCCACACTCGATGACTTTCTCAATTGGAGGGTTCCTCTCCTTTGACAGCAGTTTCCGGAACTTCGTAGTTGCATCCAACTGGCGATCAGGATCATTAGAAAACACGCCACTAATCATTTCTTCTGCAAGCTGCAAGCACATTCAGTATAGAATCATGAAAGTGGATGAGATCGTATGCACCGGAGGCTCCCAACTGCTTGTCGTCGCTTCTTCATCTGAGTCGGCTGAAGCTGAGGGGAGGAAATTACGCCTTTTCGCGATATTCTCCTCGCGCTTCTGCCTTCTGATCTCAACCTGCTGCTCCTCTCTGCGACGCCTAAGATCGTCTTGCTTCAAACCACCTTTATTCTTATAGTCTGATCAAATACGCGTCTTCAGTAACTGATATCAAGAAAAAAAATTGAGGCAAGCATACTGGCTCTGCGGTGTTCCATGGTACGTGACTCCATGACGGATTGCTGGATCGCAAAAATCTAAGAAATGATAGAAGAGAGAGATAGAACCAGAAAGAAGATCAAGATGTTGAAAGCCCTCGAGGCGTCACAACAAAGGATAAAGCATTATCAGCCCACGTGTGACATTGTCATATCCATCACACAATGTGACTCAACGAGTCACGTCACAAAAGTTTTCATTCCACATATTTTTAGTTCTATCAGTCTCCCAGATTGTTAGTCATTAAGTGTTCAGCGCTCAGCACCTGATTTTACAAACAATTGGTATCAGGAGTGTGACGGTAGGGTGGAATTGAGCAGTAGAAAACTTGCGAGCGGTGGTGGTACTTCACGGAAAGTTGTGTCGTTCTCGTGCCTCGATCGGACTTAACTCAAAATATTGCACGACAAATGTGTAAATACTGAAATGTTCGATTGCAGTAAGGATACAGCGTGGATAATAGTTTACGAGTCAAACGGGTACTAGTAAATATTATTTAGTCTCTTGGCGTGCCCAGTCATTGTTAACGATTACTCACCTCAAATGATTCCGGAGGGTCAACGTCCGGCGAACTCTCATCTAGAGCAATGTGGAAATCTCTCGAAGGTCTGGCACGATGTACGAGGGCTTGCGGTTGTGCATGTCCGTTCTCAGTTGGTGCTGGTTCCACGACAGGAGGTTCGAACGAGATGAACTCCGCTTCCGTGTCTGGCCTCTCATCCACCATCAGGAGAATACCACCCCCGCCCGCGTACCGCTCTGATGCAACACCGGATGGCGCCTTCCTGAGACCAGGGTTCGGGTTCCCTTTGCCACCAGTCTTATGTGGGACTGTGTTCAATGATACCGGACGAACGGGTTGATACCGTCCTTCAGGGGGGAAGCTGATGTAGGCGAGTTGCGTGGGAGTAACACGGGAGAAGTTCGCAACGTTCTCTGAGGAAGGCTCTGATTTCCGTTTCGGCTTAACGTCTTCGGGAGCGTTGGTCGAAGGCGAGCCATCCGTAGGCTTGCCGGCAAGACCCTCTTCACCTTTCATTTCAACATCGCCATCCTTCTTTTGCTCGGGTTTCTCGTCCTGAAATATCACATAGATAAGTAAAAAAATACCCTGTGGTAAACGCAACCACACGTACAGTATCCATAGCATCTGCATCAGCAGCTGCTTTTTTCTTTTCTCTCGCTTTGACCTTAGCAGTTGTCGAAAGAACTGCGGTAGCCGCTTTAGCGAAGGTCTCCCGTTTGGGAGGTGTGGCGGGAGGAGGATAGGCGAAAAGACTGGGTCTGGCATTGGAGACAAACTCGAACTTTGGTACCTGAATTCTGGTTAAGTGGAAGTGGCCGAGAAGCATTGCATGGTGCTCACTTTCAAGTCTTCGTTCAGGCCAATAATAGCGGTTGGTTCAAACGCGAGGCACGCGCAGTGTGCTAATGGATACCAATACCAGAACTGGCAGAACATGGTCATACCAACGATCGCGTTCGTGTTCTTGCTCCCCGCTCGACTCTGCAAGCTAATGGTAACGTTGCGGCCACCTGCATCTATCAAACCTTGCCCAATAGCAGCACCAAAACGTGCCATAGGATCTTCGTGCTTGTCAGACACCACTTTAGTGTAAAGGGCACGGGTTGAGGACATGGATGGAGACGAGGCTTCTGACTGTTGGACCAAGATCATACCAAGGGCGATGAAGGCACCCTGTCGCACGAAATCAACGCCATCCTTAGTCATGGGCTCAAGGATCTCAACGGCATCTTGAAGACCGGTGCCTGCACATGCGATACCCAGGGCTAGGGTTGCACCACAACGAACGTGGGGGTTGTAACTTTCACTGAGGAGTTGAACAATTCGGGGGACTTGACCTGGGTTCTTGAATAGGAGGAAGGCGAGTGAGGTCACAGCTGCCCTCCGAACATCATCTGAAGTGTCAGAGACTGCAATGTGCAGTAGCTGCCGGACTGCGTCGTTATTTGACGTCCCTGCGTAAGCTAGTGCGAGAGTGTAGACACCACCATAACGTAGAATAGGGTCCTGGATGAAAACTTCAATAAGAGCGTTGACAGTCACGGTAAGGCTTTTACCTTTTCGGTCAAAAGTGAAGTGATTGTAGAATCGGCCTCCTCTTGGCGACCATAGAATATGAACGCCAGTCCCATGGCCAGACCGCGAATGATCTTCTCGTGCTGCGTCTCTCTAGCATACGTCAACATCTCCTCCGCGGAGGTCTGATCTGCAGAACCAAGCATCACGAGACCCATGGCATAACCAGCTGCTTCGCCGGCCACGGCGGAATCGGTGAACAGCGTTTCCTTCAAGTCATCGTATGCATCGGAACTTCTTCCGCCCATTGCTGAAATACCAAGGCCGAGAGCGGCACCATGCTGCACAACCTCGCCCTGAGCAGTTTTCATGGTCTCCCGAAGGTAATTCTCAACGGGTTGGCCGCTACCACAGCCAGCATTGATCAGACCAAGAGCATAAAGAGCACCACCCTCGGAGTAGGCGGCCCCTTGGATCTGGCTTTCGCCCCCAGCTTGGGGGAGGTATGGGCCAAGAATGGTCATTCCCTCCTCGAAATGGCCCTTGTGAATAACACCGAGGGCAGCGGTCGTAGAGAACTTTGCCCAGTTAGACGCCAAACCGAGCCATTCAAGGTTTTCACGAAGGAACACGTCGGAAGTCGTTCCGGCGTGCATAAAGGCGTTCTGTAGAGTAACCGCAGTATGATATATAGACGTCCGAGCTTCGAGAACTTCCTAGCGACAGAATATTAACGACGTTTAGAATCTACCATGAGAATACTCACTTTCGTGTTCTTCAGAATTAGCATATCTACTTTATTGTTGCGCTTCAAGAATTCCAGGTATAGTTTGACAGACTCTTGCCCATCCAAGATTTTACGAAGCTTGTCGTATATGTCTTGTGTTTCCTATGGGACAAAGTTAACATATCGTTCGCATATATATGATAATACTTACCTCCTTGCCCTCAGGTAAGTCGGCCTTCACCCCCTGCAAGAATTCCCGAGCACCTCCCTCAACTAAGTCGAATGCGAATTGATATGCAAGAAGCCTTTCCTTTGGAATCAGGGAAGTCAGGAGTGGAACGACGAGTGATGGCCGATTAAGGGTGACTAGTAGCCGAGCCAGGGCATGAATGTGCGGGGATTTTGACAGTGATGTTGGAGGAGGGAAGAGAGGTAGGAGGAAGTTGAGGACTTGATCACGGTAGGAGAGGGAGAAACCTGTATCTAAAACAGCTTCCATCGTGTACGAGAGAAGGGAGACATCGTGAGTCAAGTCATATATACGGTTCACAACATCGAGACGATGAGACTCTAATGCAATGCCAATTGCCTGCCCACAAACAGTAAGCTCGGAGTAGGTAGCATTCATAACGATCACGTTACCTGGCGGTACTCCCCCTCTTCAATACAGCAGTCAAAAATGCTTTCTATGATAGCTTGTAGCCGAGCATCAATCTTCGTCGAGCTCCCGGAAGGCTCTTCGGTGCGTAGTGTGACGTATCGGTCAATTGCATTGGCTTGAAGGTGAGTGAACAACATAAGGTTAATTTGTGGGCCAGGGCAAGGGGTCTGACACTCACATATCACTGTCTCGACATATTCACCTGCGCCATGTGCGCGAGCCTCAGCCTGGAACGCGCTCCCTGCGCCCAAGGCAAAGGACAAGGCTTCGTCATACTCTCCCAAGAAATAATACACTTTGCTAGCCAGCAAAGCAGCATTATGGCGAGCAGCCTTTGGAAGATCATCGGACTCGTATAAGCTTTCTCTGAGAATGAATTCCGAGGTCAGAATCGACTAGTGCGCAGTGAGTAATAGCAACCCATACATGAGTGCAATATGCTCCGAAATTTCTGCCCAAAACTGAGGAACCAGGGGAATGAGTCCTTTGAGAGCATGTTGCTTGAATACGGTGTCTGGTTCTTGAAGGAGAGCGAGCACGCCAGCCGCGGAAGATTGGGAACGAATGACCATGACTTTCAAGTCAAAGAATACTATGAGACGCGTCACCTTTCATCACGCTGCACACGAACAAGTCTTTCAATCGGAGATTTAATTCACCTTCCCGACCTCATCCGTCCAAACGCGAATATTCATTGCATATTTAACATTTCGACGCCATATTCATGTTTGCTCGCACCGCCGTACGTGCTGTTGCTCGCGCAGCTCCCAGAGGTTCCCGTGCTTCCTCTGCCGATGCAGGTGCAGGTGATTATTTCACAAAGCGTGATGCGGTCAGGGCCCATGCTGCAGGTTCGCAAAAGCACTGTCTTGCAGATATAATTAGTACTTAATACACCTGACAGAGGTTACCCAGCTTTGGCGCAGAATAAGGTCAGCCCAATATCTGCTACATAGTTGATTTCCGCTGACGTTATGGAAGCTTCTATGTTTGCGTCCCAGCCAGTGCGTTTTAACATCAGCTGTCTGTTTGGCCTGCTTACCCCTTTTTAGCAATTGTCTGCGCCCTTTGGGTGCGTAATGTGGAAGCAGAACACGCCGAACACGTAGAACACATAAAGGCAGAACATGATGGTCACCTCCCCGACATCCCTCAGTACGAATACATGAACCGTCGTCTCAAGCCTTACCCTTGGGGTATGAACTCGCTGTTCTTTAACCCGCATGTAAGCCGTTCAACTGTTCTTGTGTTCGTCTCAACTAATCATCTACAGGTCAACAAAGATTTGTCGGAGGAATGATTTTGTTCCGTATCAGTAGACTATGATGTCATTTCATCTCATTCGACAATTTCAGCGGCATCTGTCCTCTGTCACTCCAGTTGGTGCGCAGGTCGTAATTTTCTGGCATTATATCTGCCTCCATAGTTTCAATGAAATGCCGGTTAAGTTTCTGCCATGGTCGTCAATATGAAGTGTGATTGAAAGCTAAAAGCAGGGAATGATTTAACCCCGCACGCAAGCCTCAAATTTCACCATCGCAGAATCTTGCAAGCAGTCCTCGAAAGTCTGCTTGCCAGAAGATACAAACAAGATATCCCCTAGATGGCCACAGCGGTGACTGATGAATATTTTTTCCTCGTTGTTGCCTGCAGCATAATGCGCTTGCACATCTTTGCGAGGTTCAGATCTCAGTGCTCCTTCAAACAACTATCTAGTACGCCTTCCCCGATTACAGCGCGTTTTAGGAGTTGAACATGCTGTTCAACATTGGTACATCTTGGAAGCCGAAAGCGCTACTTTAGACAGACGTGATTTACGAGCTTCGCCGAGTTCAAGACAGATGTCAGGTTGTCGTTGGTGGATATTTACTTTGCAAATGAGCTTCACGCTTACATGAAAGTTATCGCTTCTGTCATTGTTCCGTTGCGTTCCACTGTAGGACGCTGCGGCCTCCGAACTGCATTGCTCAGCGTGACACTAGCGGAGGTAAGTCGGTGTTCTATAAGACCAGTGATCCGAGGGTGCAATTATGATCTGCATCACTAAAATTTGAATTAATTCCCGATACCTTTAGGTAGGTCTTTGTCGACCGTTCAAATGGAATTCGTATTGCAAGCCGGATATTTCCTTATGCCTTGCAATCTTAGTCTGGACTCGCGCGGAGAAGACACTTCCGTGGATTCGGCTGCGCTTGACTGTTCTCGAGACGGCGTTTTTCGAGCGGTCGACTCGGAAGGCGACAAACAGTTCTCCACCGATTTTCCGTTTACTCGCGACACTGCTAGCCACAGTTGTCTTAGGTTGTGGATGGTTCGCGTATTGTCGCGATATTCTGCGCAGTCATTTTGAAAGGCAGTTTTTATCTTGCGAGTGGGCATTGACAGAAAACCTTGGTATGTCTCTGCTCCGTCTTTCGGAATTAGGATGCAACAGTCTAGCGGATGGTGATTCTCTCGTTGATAAAGCTGCCCAAGCGGATTGTTTATCGGCAGATCTCGTTGCTGCTCAGGATATAGTTCAACGTCAGCAGACAGCCTAACATCTATCGATTACTCCGTCGCCGTTAGACGACAATAATTCAATGACCAGAGTTGGGTTTACAAACTTTGAGCTGGCCTTTGCACACAATTGGTGGTGCCTAAGTGACATGCACCATAGATTTAGTACCAGCGCTGGCAGTGACAACGGGTAACGATAGCAGATACAGCAAGCCTTTTGCAAGATAAGAGGTCACTGGCAGCGTGTGAAGTCGAAGTGGTCGAAGACTCAGACGCGGGTTCCGATATGAACGATACAGCGGCCGGCCCTTTGCATTTACGTAGAAGTGTGCGGGCCTCTGTGTGCAGCATTCATTCCTAGGATGAAGACAAAACCATATTAATGAACTGTACTACCACAGCTAGGCGTTCAACGAACTAGTACGGGTGAAAAAGCATCTAGTACTACACGGGTGGTGTGATTGTCGCCGAAAAAGGAAGGTGCTGTAGATCGAATACCACCAAAACTGCTTTCATGTGGGACATGTGGAGACTTTCACGCATTAATCACTCACCTTTGCAACCACCTACACTACCACCACCACCAACATAGAGCCATGCCTCGCGCAATCATATCTCCTTCAGTCCTGGCCTCTGACTTCGGGCAACTCAGTGCAGAATGCAAGAGAATGATCAAAGGCGGAGCGGAATGGCTACACATGGGTACGTCTACTGATATGTGAAGCTTCAGAGACAGTCCTCATCGCCACCTCACCTTGTGCAGACGTCATGGACGGGTAAGAAATGCGATTCAATACTCTTATCCGATGTCAATCTGTCCCAATCCAGCCACTTTGTGCCCAATATCACAATGGGTTAGTGCGCTATCGCGCTCGTCTGCGAGTAGTTCTCACGTGCATGTAGGTGCACCAGTCTTGTCTTGCGTTCATAAAGGCGTCCCGGACATATTCATGGACTGCCATATGATGGTTGCACAGCCCGAGAAAGTAAGCACATATCTTATGAACTCGATTAACACGGCAGTAACTAACATCGGCGTCTCTTCAGTGGGTGGACGATATCGCAGACGCAGGAGGCTCGCTGTACTGTTTCCATATCGAAGCCACGTGTAAGTAATCTCGGTTTCGATCTTCTCCTGAAGACTTAGCTCCTTGCGCAGCCGATGCTGTTTCGCTTATCAACGCCATACATGCGCGAAACATGAAAGCTGGGGTGGCTATTTCTCCGGACACACCATCCACAGCCATCACGGATGAAATAGGCGCAGTAGCAGACATGCTCTTGGTTATGACCGTTTACCCTGGTGCGTCACAATATCATATTTGATTTGATAGGTTGCCTCACGTGGCGTAGGACGTGGCGGTCAAAAATTCCTCCAGCGGTGTGTACCGAAGGTTGCGGAACTGCGGGCACGCTTCCCAGAGAAGGACATCGAGGTCGATGGCGGTGTTGGGCCCAAGACAATTGATGTCTGTGCCGATGCAGGTCAGTGCTACCACAGAATCCCCTATACGATTTTGACTGGTCCGCAGGCAGCAACGTCATTGTAGCAGGAACTGCTATTTTTAACGCGCCAAATCCAGAAGACGTCATTACTTCACTGAAGACTACCGTTAATACCGCTCAAGCGAGATTCTCGAAGTAGTCGCTGAAATCGCTGAACTGCTGATCGCACGATACGTATTATGCGTCTATGTTCATTGAGGTAGCACAGTTTATGTTATTAAAGTAGACTAAGATTGGTCACGGCGGCTGAACCAGAAGGGCAGCAAGTAAACTACGTGACATGTCCGAGGTGAAAAGATCGGCAAATAGTAAAGGTATGTACTATGGACAGTGAAAGGACTGGGAATCAGAAGGCCAGGTATCGCCCTATCGATTTCAGATGATGTGATTAGAGCGTACGTAGTATGGTATTATCGTGTATGCGACCAGAGAACTGTTACACAAATTTTCAGTCGGTGAACTTCACCAGCTTTCCCACGAAATGCAGTCAACAACCATGACCTTCATTCATTGAACGCTCAGTGATGTGCGATGCTGACTCTCCAGCAAGCTCCGAATCGGCGCCTTGCTCATAGAACCGAGTAAGGTCTGACTGAAAACAGGATGCCGAAGTTGAGTGTGACCCCTGCGAATAGTAATTCTCATGTACATGTAGGTGCACCTGTGATGTCTTGCGTCCCGGGAATATTTCTAGATTGCCATATGTTGGTTACACAGCCCGAGAAAGCAAGCACATGTCTCATCGCGGCAGTAACTGACACGGCCATCACGGATGAAATTGGCGCAGTAGCGGACATGCTCCTGTTTACCCTGGAGTGTCATAATATCGATAGGTTGCCTCACGTGGCACAGGACGCAGCCCTCCCAGAAAAGGATATCGAGGTATGGCGGTGTTGGACTCAAAACAATTGATGTCTGTGCCGATGCAGGTCAGTGCTACCACAGGATCTCCTAGACGATTTTGACTGGTCCGCAGGTAGCAACATCATTTTAGCAGGAACTGCCATTTTCAATGCGTCAAATCCAGAGGACATCATTGCTTCACTGAAGACTACCATCAGTACCGTTCAAGCGAGATTCTCGAAGTAGATGCTCAAGGCATCGGAACTATTGATGGCACGGTATGTAATGAGTAATAAGTACGCATCTATGTCCATTGAGGCAGCACAATTTATGTTATTAAAGTAGACTAAGATTGGTCCTAGCACTGCGAACCAGAAGGGCAGTAAGCAAAACTATTTGACATGTCCGAGGTGAAAAGATCGGCAGATGGTAAAGGTATTGACAGTGAAAGGACTGCGAATCAGAAGGCTAGGTATCCAAATGGCTTGCCCTACCGATGTCAGAGTCTGAATCAAACAATCACAAAGGTTGCAGCATGCAATCTTTGCATTCATGATATGGGGTCGTTTCAGATAATATGTTTAATATTGATTATAAGATTGCGGGATCATGGTCGTTGGAAAGCCGCGACGGAAGTGATTCAAGATCACCATTGAAGCCATTCACCGTACATGTTTGGCCTCTCCCCACGAATGTAAGACTCGAACGTTCTCTTGAGAACAGTAGCCCAATCAAGATCGCGTTTATCGTCAGCAACCCGGTCAGTGGCATCCTCTGGATCGATATCGGGTTCCGCCGCTGCACGAGCAGCCCTCTCGCCAGCTGAAAACTTGGGGCCTAGGTCAGGCCAGTTACGAGATGCATCGAATGGCTTCCACCTAAATTGTGATTGAGCATGGTATGTCACACGGAAGAGTAATCTGCTCACCAAAAGTTATGGAAGTGATAAGAGAAAGCACCTTGGAAGAAGCCTTCAAACCCTAGTGCCTGAGGAGCAGCACTGGCTTGTGTAGGTGTGTCAAAGAAGTCCGAGAACCTATAAGAAATGAATAAGTGAGCTATGTCGTGAGAACACGGAACCGCATACGTACTCTTGGAAGTATGGCTGAGGTGGTCTTTCGCGTTGGTAATACTCAGTGTTAAGCCATGCAGAGTCAAACAAGGCGTCAGGCAGTCGTAGCAAAAGGCCCTCCAAGTATGCGTCCTTGGTATAACGAGATACCGTCATGGGGTGGAAGTCGAGGCCGTTCTTCAGAGCAGTGCGGAATAAGAATGATCCAAGAGCAGAGTTCTTGTTCATGCGCAGAACGGCAGTATTGTACTTCTCCAACCGCGACCACCTATATGCAAACGCACCCTCCCAACCCCAAAGCTCTTCCCAGTCCCGCAAGAAGATGGTGTCCGCATCAAGGTAGATACCACCGAAGCGATGACAAAGGACAAATCGTGCCATATCAGAGAGGATAACTGAGAGACGATCATATGAAGACGAAGATTTCGAACCGGTACGGTTGAGCATATCATCTTCATCTGGCTTGTTGTCACCAGTATGTAAAGGCTTTGCAGAAGTGTCAGCATCGGTGCTGTTGGTCGAATCCTCCATAGTACTGGTACTGAAGACCTCGGTACTTTTCGACTGCGACTTCTCGGCGGGCACGCTGACAATGTGTCCTCCCGAGTTGAAGAGAGTCTCTCTTAACTCGCGCCACTCGTCCTTAAGTTCTGGGATACCGTCAAGTTGGTCTGTTGTATTCCACAGTTTGAATTTGATAACGTCCTTGAAGCGATGGTGTAAGAAAGGAGCTGCCCAGGGATTGGTCTTGAGCCCTTCATACATGTCACTCAAAGCGGAAGGGTTTGGGACAGATGCTGCAGGACCCGGGTTAATCCACATCCAGAACTCGGGGCGGCAAACATTAAGAGCGTCGCCATCCTTCAAATGCAGACCGACATTCTGTGTGAAGAGGAAGGAGAGCAAAGCGAGATATGGCTTGTCGGTGAATGGGCCAGTCCAGAACATGTGGAAGAGACGGGGGTTTTCAGGGTTGCAAGGTGCCGGAAGACTTGAATAGGGCGTATGCTGCAAAGGAGCACGGAGAGGTAACTGTGTCTCCCAGTCTACCCCTACTTTCTTTCTTAATCCTGCGTTAGGATCCGTCTCTCCACCTGAAACCAACGGACGAGGTGGAGCAATGGGATTGGCTATAGGGATGGGATCCGTGAAGGGATCCGTGAAGTTCTCCTTTTCTTGTTCCATGTAGATGTATTTCCATTCGTCCATTTCGCCCCGCCTGAGTCTGTTGCCATTGTCGAGGCCTGCGCCTACACGCAAAACTTCGAGGCAGTCGCGTACATACTTCGGAAACATTAGTGGGTGAAAAAACAAAAAAAAGCAGAATGCTTACTTTACCCTGTGAGAAATCACAATGATCCATAATGACGTCCAGGTCAGCGACACTGCCCGGTACAGGGCGAGGTGGATATGCAAGGTTGGGAGGCATGCTTTGTACATCGAGATAAACGCGTCGTGGACCATCTCCACGCGTGGTTGTAGCTACAGGGCCTGGAGGAGGCCTGAATCGTGAAGGAATCGTTGGAACTTTTCGTGGAGGAAGAGCAGGGTTGAGTGGTGGTACACTGAGTCCGACCTGCTCGGGTACTGAGAAAATTCATGATCAACACAGTATGATCACGACAGTAAGAGGGATGAGGCGCACTCTTTGCATTACTTGGATAATGGCCGCTATCTATTTCCCATTTCCAAATTCGCTGTAAATCATCTCGCCCAAAGACTAGGGTAGAAGACTCCCCAAAGTTCGTAGTCCACTGTTTTTCCTCCGTACCGAACCGACGTGCGAAGGAACATACTGTGATGATGGAAGCAATCAAGACTACACAGAGCAGTATAGGCCCTCGTCGTCGTCCAAAACGCGAAATACCGATCTGGCGGACACGACTTGGATTTGGCATAAATAAACGAAGACGACGCGAGTGTACACCGGGGATTGGGACTGATACTGGGACTGTCCAGGACATTGAACGGGAATGTCGATGCATTTTCTCGGTTACAGCGGAAGAGTAAGTTGGAAGAGCGTTAGTTAAACGGCTCTTGTCTGGAAAGCCATTCCCGCGTTGGGGAGTAAAATAATTAGAAGACGCCATTTCGTCCAGTAAACGGCGAATCCACGACGCTCGTGAGGACGCCAAATGAGCACTTTTAAGAATATTGATGTAAAGCAGAGAAGCGTAGCAATCCGTGGGAATTTATCATCTCTCATTTGGGTGGGAATTTTTTTGGCTAACTACCATGATATCAAATTCAAGAATGCAGTGAGCGGGCCAACTTCATCCGGTCGTTGTGCCGGACATCAAGTAAGTCCGAGCGCAGCAGTCACAGTATTAATAAACAATCAAAGTACATGGACTCGATAGTCTGCAATTGTGGACCAGCAGTGCATCTCAGTCCAATAGACTGAGATTTCTATTTCTAGCTTATTTACCAAGTCTTGACATTACAGCCATTTGCAGAATGCTAGGCCAAAATTTTTTCACTACATTCACAGCGGTATTTTAACTTCTACTCTCCGATCAAATATATAGGGTATGCTAATAATTGTGAACTGGGCTCACAGGTGCAATAGGAAAAACAGCGAGAAATTCATGTCCGTCAAGGAGCTCACCCAAGCACCACTGACCTTTCTTCTTGTACTGTTCCAACACCGCTAAAGGCTCAGTATGGTCAACATAGAACTCAGTAAACACAGATGATATGGCATCACTGGTGCTGCTGTCTTAGAAGAGTGAACCCCTCAATTGAGCGGCCTGCAGATAGGTAATGGGGGAAGATGCCAGGATGTGTCAGAAAAAGTTATTTTTGCTTGGCATACCTTATAAGGCATTGCAAGCCCTCAATTGATCGAGCCCATTTGAAGCGCTTGGAAGTGGACCCGAAAATCTTGCAAGCGAGGCTCAATTGACACTTGCAGGCTGATTGCAACCTCATTTAGGGACAGATTGGGACATATTTTTGCAAAAGTTACATTTACAGCCCCTTGTAAGCCGCTTGCGACACAATTGCAAGTCCCTTCCAATTGACTTGGAAAATTTTGGGTGACCTTGCAACCCCTCAATTGGCCTCAAGAGGGGTCCCTTGCAAGGCACCTTTGGAAATTTCCGACATGCCCTTTGCATGTTGATGGATGAAGTCCAATTCAACGTCTTTGATATTAGCAGCTTCATAATTTTAGTTATAATATCTGAATATAGTGAGGGACCAGGGTGATGACTCACAAGCATATTTTGCCAAAGCATTGCAAGCAGCGGGGTGAGACAAGACAAGACCAACAATGTTAACGCGGGAAAATAACGAATGTCACTTCAGAGTTTGCAAGAGGTGGATTGCAATGTAACACTGATGGACTGCTGCATCAACGACAAGCTGCATCACCCAGCCAACTTAACAAAATCAGAAGGTGAGCTTTGCAATAAATTGAGATAGCTACCTTTGTTTTCACCATAGTCCCAGACTGTGGCAAATGTGTGTCCATAAACTTGAGGATGCTCACTCTCAAGTGGGCCAACTTGGATGTAACAGGTTACCAAAACACTACTCTCCAGGTGAGACAAACATTGGGATCGTAGTTTGCACCGGTCATCTTGACCTTTTTCCCTGTGTAAATAATTCAGCGATGGTCAATGATCAACATATCAATTACTCACCAGCTACAGTAAATTTGGAGATTGTAGCTGCCTGGTTGCCCCAAATACCATAGTTGGAACTGAACAAATCGGCGCACAGTTTCAGTGTATCATTGGAGACTTCACTACCCACTGTCATCTTATAAGAAAAAGAGGCTTTGGACAGAGAAGTGGGAGAGGGGAGGACAAGGCCTCTTGTTGGGGGAGTTATGGGTGTTGACTTGGGCATTATTGAAGAAGATGAGTGATTAGGTAATTCATACAGACATGTATATATTATCAAGCATGGTCCATGCACTTCGAACCTGACAGTAAGATTGACTCATAAAAAATAGCAACCATTTTTTGTCCCGACGGATGGTGTGCTGCAGGCATATGGATATGTAAATATTATTGTGTAATACTGTGAAAAAAAACTATAAGAACTGCAAGCCCATCCTCACTTGCCCATCCTCACTTACTATGTCAAGTACCCCTCCAAGCCAGTCTGGCACAGGCAATATTCACAACCTGCATCAGTATCATCATCAGTATCCACAGCTGCCAGCACATCATCAGCAACCTTTCATACAACATTATCTGCAAATGCCGCACATACCACAGCACTATCCGCCACCTTTGCAGCATCAGTATTATCCACTGCACTTCATTCATCAGCCTCCATACCAACAGTATCTTCCAATGCGACTGGCGAGGATGCAACCAGAAGTTCCAGCTCCAGAGTACCCTCCAACCCCAGAACTGTCCCAGGCATCATCAAAAGCCCCAGCATCATCCCAAGTATCAGTGAGACTGCGACTAAACCCTGAACCATGCCCTGGAGTTTTTAGTTTTGACATTGACATTATCATGGGTGACATGAAGTGTGGATTTCGTGGCGAGACTGACATGCCTTGGGATGACTTCAAAAGTCGCGTTCTTGCATACCTCGATGCTCCTGAAGAAGTCCAGCTTGTGTATAAGTTCATGGGTGATAACAGTAAAGCTTCTCACCTAAACAATGCAGAAGCATTTGGTATTGCTATGGATCGATTTTGTCACAAAGTGTCCAATGCGTGTACAAGAGTCATTGCTTTAGAGGTAAAAAATGCAGCAGCAAGTGATTATTCATGTCGCATCAATCAAAAATTACTTACAGTTACTCCAAGGCCAAACAGACTACCACCAAAGCGAAAAAGAGGACGCGCGAAGATGATATTCCCCCAGTGACCGAGGAGGATTCCATGCAGCTCAAAGTGTACAAACAGCTTGAGTGCCACATTCAATGTGAGCTTCACTGTGGCCATTGTTTCATAGATTGCACCAATGGCTATGATAACCATCATCATCTCAATCATGCCAAGATGACTCTCTGGGCTAAAAAAATTGTAAGTTACTTTCATGTCCATGCATGCAGAAAAAAAAAAACCTTTTAGGCTCTCGGTCACGCAACAATTTACAACCCACCTCACTGCCTCAATTTTGACTGTGGCCCAGCCAACAAAAAACCTCATCACTCGAGGTCGGGATCATCACCTGAAGTCCATGTCACCATACAAAATATAACGGCCAAACCTACCATAGCTTCCGCATCCTAGATGCAGATCCCCACATCAAAGACTCCTAGTCCTCCACTGCTTCCACAACAGTGCCCCTTCAAGTTTGTGCCCCAGATCCCTAGCACAACACTGCCAGACTACTCAAAAATTGGGGTGTTGCTTGCGCTGATTGATGCCAAAAAACCAGAACTGCGGATTCGTGAGCTTGAAACATCCCTGCTAGATGCAGGGGTGGTTTTTTTGAGCCAAGTAATGCTCTTACCTAAGGATGTGTTGAGTGTCATTGGCGATATGGGGCAAAAGCAGGCCAGAATACTCTGCAATTACGCTAAACAGATCATTCTGCTGCTCCTTAGACTCATCAGTTCATACGAGGAGCCAGAGGCTTTTAGTGCAGGGACTCAGAACAAAGGGAAGGAGTGTGCTATCAAGATTGAAGATGATTTGTGGCAGGAAGGAGAATCAGAGTATGGAAGCGGCGAGTACAATGAGTATGAGAGCAATGACAAGACTGAGGGGGGTGGAGAATTCCTGACCTAAGTTGTGAATCAGCGATACAAACTAATCACTTAGTAAAATAGCACCACTGGTAGTTTCAACACGCCCACCAGGTACTTGCACAAAATCAATAAAAAGTGTGCTCTCTATGCAATGTATTCACTATGCTTGTATCAGCCATAAGCCTTTTCGCTCATGACAACACCATATACAGCTTCCCATATCAACACGTATGGATCACAAGCTGGACCCTTGGTTTCCCCAAGTACATAGTCACGGTTTGACTGAAGCCATGCCTTGATAGCTGAAAACACCTCCTCGATAGGATTTAAATCAGGTGAGTAAGAGGGCAAGTACAGGAGCCGCATGCCACTACAAAAAAAAAGGGAAATCAGGATTGTTTGAGCAGGAAATAAGGATAATGTACTGCTCTTCAACCATCTCACAAATACCTTAAACTTTATGGATACTTGCATTGTCCATGACCAACACCGAGTTTGGCATGGGCCAGGGCTGCATTTGGTCCAGTACACCAGCAACGAAATCCATGAATTTTTCACCAGAGAATGAATGATCTAAAACCTCCAAGTGGAGGATACCGTCAAGTGACAGAGCCAGAAGAATTGAATATCTAACAAAATGTCAAGGCACTGATGAGAAAGTTTCTGCAAAAGTACCTTTTGCCACGTATGAAAAAATCCTGCCGTTGTGCATGCTTTCCAATAGGAGCCCAAGCAAAATCACAGCGAAATAAAACCCTGTTGAAATTACTCTTGTCTGCAAATACAAGGTGCTCTGGCTGGAAATGCTCCCCCACAATCATCTTATAGGCAGCTCAGTCATCTTCATCACATTCGACAGAAGGGCGTGTAACCTAGATAGTACTGTATTGAATCAAACATATCAGTAAGGACATGAGTGATGACATACCTTCTTCCATGTAAACCCTCACCTATGTATTGTTCTGGAAATTGTTGCAATTGAAACTTCGACACTACAAGTCTCCTGTTGATCTTGCATCTCAGTGAGGTAGATATCTGGTTGTTGTTCAATACACACCTCAAGGAACTGAGAGATAACATATAAGTAGTACTGAGAATAAGTAATAACTCACGTTTGCATTGAGACTATCTAGGATGCGGGGTCAACCTGCACAAACTGGTGTCCTCACAACTTTGCCAGTCTCCCGATACACCTTCCGAAGATATCACAATGACCGCTCACTAATCCCAGTGTAATGACGAATTGTTAGGTCCTTGACATTTAGCAAGCTCATTTGTAGAGCAACTTGTTTTCGTTTGTTGGATATGTATCATCCCATTGTATGAAGGGAAGCATCACGCTTCGCATCAGTGAGTCATGTGGCTTTGTTTGGCTTTTGTGCACAACTGTTCTCACATTTCCTATTGGAGCTATGGTCGGAGTGCAAAGGATATATGATCAAGTTACACGTCAGAAGTTAAAAATTTGTTGTCCCGACTTATTGCCGAATGTATGTAGTGAGAAAATTTTGGCCTAGTGTTCTGCAAATGGCTGTAATAGGTTATGAGGCCTGCTACCACCATAGATATGACTGTTGATATTCAATGATGTCACAACCTTTATTAGATTACCTTTTATATCACTGACTTTATACATATACTTTATGATTGTTTCTTCTCATTCTATTTATACCTCAGTGCTTCTGTTCACAACACTGAGGTATGTTCAATGTTTTCTGCATGCCATACTTGTCTCATTGTGTCTTGTCTTTAGACTTTGTCCTAGTTCTAAAGTTCTATAGGTTGTGAGCCCTGGCTCAATAAGAGCCATCAGACAGAACTACAAGACAGAAATCTCTACCTGTGCCTGTCCACTGCTCATATACATCACTTCATCTCATTCTCCTTCTATAGTGGTATCACTATAGGAAAATTGATCATATTCCTGAGCTACTGGGATCAGAAAATTATGTAGGATGGTCAACAAAGATGCAGTATGCTCTTGCCTATGAGGATCTGTGGTGTCATGTCAACAAAAATCTTGACCCCACTGATATCCTTGGGACCCCATCCTTCATGCTCATCCATGCCCATCCACTCAACATCACAGCTGCTGAATAGGCTGCAATGCATGAATGGTTATTAAGCGACATCAAGGCCAGATATCTTATTACCCATTGTTATGACTAGGGTAAGTTGAGCTGTCTAAGTCTGAATGGACGATCTGCTAATAGCAAGACAGACAAGGATCTTCTCTCAAATGAGAGATCAAAGGTTCAGGCTAAGGCAAGTGTAGGTGACTTCCTCAGAATAGTGGATCTGAGACAGTAAGGTTGGAGGCCTTACTGAAGGACAAATTCCAGGTAAAACCCAGTAGATTAAAGTGAGGAATACAATTGGTGAACTACATGTCTATATAGCAAATGTTCAAGCAGAGCTTGTAAATGGTTAGAGTCTGTTCAGGCACCCTTGTTTATGCAAATTAGGATCTGACTCATACAAAATTTTGGCTTAGGTGATGGTCGGAACTTGAATGAGATTGTCACACTGATAATGTCTACTACTAGTGTACTACCAGCATGATGCCTCATGACAATCCTGATTGTGACACAGACTTAGTCAATTATGACCCTGCTCAGACTGAGGCAGAAGACATACTGGACGATGGGTCTGGTAACACAGAGGAGGATGTCCAAAAGTACCTATCATGGATTATGTATGCCACCATGCAAGCTCTGCACACGGTGATCACAGTGGTCAATGCAACAGCAACTGCACTTGAGGCCTATTCCAATACACACTACAATAAGCAACCATATCACACTTCCGCCTTATCAGGGACTGCCTGGGTCACTGAGTTACTTACTGGACATCCAGAATGCATCTGATGCAAGCTCGGAGTTCACAAGCACATATTTTATGTCCTTATCAATCTGCTTCGACAAGCAGGATGCAGAGACTTAAAGCATGTGCCACTGGAGGAGCAACTCGCTATATTCCTGTATGCGTCTGTTACAGGTCTCTCAATTTGTCACATTGGTGAATGCTTTCAGTGATCAAATGAGACAATATCAAAGTATGTACACTGCCGCTTTCCTGCAACTCACTAACACAATGTTTTTTCAAGATATTTCAAACAGATTCTCTTTGCATTCTCTTCTCTGCCAATATATACCATATATGTCTGACTCCCTGATGCAGATGGCCCTCCTCCTGTCGAAATTGTTTGACACCCAAAGTTCTTTCCATTTTTTTTGCAGATGCTATTGGTGCTATTGATGACATGCACATTGCGTGCCATCCTTTCGGCAAGGATCACCATGCTGCCTGGGACTGCAAAGGGAATTCTCCCAAAACTGCCTTGCCATGTGTTCCTTCAATTTATCCTTCACCTACATGCTGAGCGGCTGGGGAGGATCTGCTTCAGACGCCTGTCTCTACCATGATGCCCGCACTACTGACTTCACCATCCCCAAGGGAAAATACTACCTTGCCAATGCTGGATTTGGCTTGTGTGATGAGCTACTAGTCCCATATTGGGGTGTGTGCTACCATCTTGCAGAATGGGGTCGGGCCAATGTTTTGTAAGTGTGTTCCACGAGTGTCAGTACATATACTTATGTTCACATTGTTATATAAACCTCAGCAACCGCAAAGAGCTATTTAATTTATGTCACGGCATGCTCCGAAACATTGTTGAGTGCATTTTTGGTGTTGTCAAGTGCCGGTTCCGCATACTTCTCCTTCTGCCAGAGTATGCCATGGGAATCCAAGTATGCATCCCTCCTGCATTGTGCCTCGTGCATAATGTCATCCGAGTTCACGATGTGTGTGAGGAATGATAGCTAGATGAGAAGGGGTGAAAGGGGAAGAAAGAGTGAAGTGGGGTAAAACTCAAATAGACCTCTGGACATGAGTATATGATTAGGCCCAAGGGGATTGCTACTGAGAATGATTCCTCTATATAAAAGTGGAGGGAAATCACTGAAACTAATAAGGGTGGTTGAGAATGGATGGAACATGAATGTGAACGTGATGCGATGCGAGTGCAAGTGAGCCACCTGTTGACGCAGGTGCGGAATGAGGTTGAGCAGCCAAAGATACGTTAACGTGCGATAAAGCACAGCCATGTGGGAAGATATGCGAGCGCCTGCAAAGTATTACTACAAAGCGGCCAAGCGGCGAAGTGACGAGGACAGTGGATTCATAAGTAGCACAATGACTACGGAAGCAAGAAGCTGACAGAATGACGTGTAAGGCCGATAGATATGCGCAGCAGTTGACATGAAGTTTAGACTTTTGGTTCAGATGGTAATGCGTGCAAGTGAGTGATGGATTCTATATGGGAGATAAGAGATACATGAAATTCGTAAGTACAAGTATATATGAGGACGTGCCGAAGCGCTATTCAGAGCTGAGTAGGTAGCGGCTGTAGGTAATAAGGGTCCATGACGAAAGTAATAGTGATATAAACTGAATTAGCGTCGGAAATATGGTCAGTCTATTCCAAAACAAGTGAAATACACACCGATAGACCAGCGGAGGACATGGATAGGATAGGATAAGGATGCATGATGGGGCTGAGTAAAAGCTGTTATGGTCCAATATACATGTGAGCCGCAGTTGTCGGCCGATAGCAGAAAGATGCACTGCCACATTAGTGTTAGCGCGCGCAATGTGAGGACCTATGGGACAACGCAAAAATAGCCTTTACAAGGCCACAAGGACTCTAATTCCTACAACGATTTAAACGACATGATGGAGTATCACAACTGTGTTAGATGAGCATCTCCTCACTGATACTGAAAGCCTTGCTGATAGTCCTCCTACTGAACAAGCACATTCTCACGCAAATCTTCATTGTGACCGTATTGCTGGCGAGATGTGAGAAGATTACAATAAGGAAAGAGTTCAGAGGGGCGCACAAGCAATCACAGAAACATTATCATAGTTGTATGTCGAAATGCGGTGATATTACATTGAGCTATTGAATGCTAGTATCGGGGCGCACTACTACTTTGAGTGCTGGTCCAAAAACAACTTTCTAAGACTAGGTTTTTTGATAGTGAGATAGATGTCAATGATGGCGATGTCACTCTGAAACTTATTCAATACATTGAGCAACTGATAATCCTCCAAGTCCTCAGTCTGCAATTGCGCCACTGCCTTCTGCCTATGTAAGGGAATAGGATCCACACATCGTGCAGAGGCATTTGAGGCATTGGCCTCGAAAGCATGAGTCGCATGCTGAAGGTACAACAATTCAGATGGTAAGTCTGAACAATGTTGGGTCTTGCAGAACCTAGCTGCTATTTGACCCTAAAGGGTTTCTGGACCAAGCTCAAGGCTCAGAGGATAGGAAATATGATAGAAACTTGCTGATCTCTCAGACTCATACTGGTAAATGGTGAAAAGATAACTTGATTATGTAAGCTACAAAAGTGCCAACATAAGGTAAGGTAAAAACAGTCTCTACCAGCCCAGCCAGAAATGAATCCCTACAACGCTCAAACATTGAATTGAGGCCTCGAATATCAGACCCCATCTGCTGGAGGGCCAATGGCATTGACAGGCATGCTGATTTTCCTGAATCTCCTGACTTTGTCGGATATGCAGGATGGACAACAGCGAGTGTGCTATCATCGTCGTCGATAGTTTTCCATTTGCCAGAAGCAGTTGATGATGGCACACTAGGGAAGATGGATGCATCAAGTGGGAGTTGGTATCACTGGTAGGGCCCATTTGAGGATCTGAGTCAGCGACAACAGTCATGCACTCAGGACCAGCCTGCACCATGGCACTAAACTCAAGCCCATCAAGGGCATCTCCAAGATCTGACATGTGGACTTCATCGAAGGAAGAAGAGGCGACTGCATTATTGTTAGAGTGTGAAGGAATATTGGCGATGTTCAAGTTAGAGCACTATGTGATGCTGGTGGCGAAAAAGGAGTGGTTGTTTGCAGTTTTGACAGAGATGAGACCCTTCAATGAGTCGTAGTGCTTCCACCCTTTGTCCTTGAGGCTCTTGGCTTTGGGGTTTTTCTATTGGTACGTAGTACTCATTAGCATAGTGCTGTGCAGAGTCGAGTTACCATACCTTGACAAAGTCTGCCTACATACTTTCTGACTCTGTAGTAATTGAGGCTCCATTCTCCAAGCTGCAAGACAATCCAGATGTGTTAGCCACTTTGTGGACTACATCATATAGACTTCGGAGCTAGAAGTTCATCAGTGAAGGTTCGACTGATCAAGAGTGAGATAGCATGCACCTGTGCCCATTTCAATTGACACACAATCGGTGTCTTGGGTACACCTGAGTAGGTATGGTTTGCCATGCTATCAGCAATAGAGACCCAGAATGTCTTGTTGAAGTTCATGCCATCCTCACCTTTGGGGCAGTTGGCAGTGATATACTTGATGAGTAAAGTTTCATCTGCTTCAGTCCATATACATCAATCCTTTGATTCCATTGCTTCTAAACCACCACGAGCACTTTTGTGACCACATGACATCCTGTGAGTGTTGTGTAGATAGATGGACTGTCATTGAGTAATGGACATGCCAGTGATTGTGATTGATCTATGTATGTAACATTGTGACCAGCAAATCACCTAGACCAACATTTTGCGTGAGTCAAATCCAAATTTGCGTAAACAAGGGTGCCCGAACAGACTCTTAGAGATAAGAGGCAGACAGCCCGCTTGATGAAAGATAAGAGATAGCAAACATAGCGTGGACAGCCCACTTAGGTAAGTGATAGGAAAAATGAATAGGGATCTGAATGTTATTGTAACATTACCCTGTTGTTATGGTTGAAGTCACTGGCTACAACTTCAATTATCCTGGTTGGTGTAATAGATGGGGTCAGTGTCAGTGTTATGGAATATAATATTGTCTTCCTCCATCTGCATCATATACTCTTGATGGGCACATTCTATTTCTTCCTCAAGCTTCTGGTCCTCCCTGGCTTCCTATTCAGCCAAGGCATCATAAAATCCTTCGTCGGTGTAGACCAATGGAAATTGGTCCTTCTTTGGAGCATAGGGACAGTAAATGGAAAAGTGCCCTGGTGTGTGAGCTTGGCATACCTGGCAGTGGTACTTGGGGCAGTTCTTGTGACGGTGGCCAAGGTTCTTACAGAGATGACATATAAAGTTATCAGCGGATAGGTTGGGTTGTTTTACTGTGATAGTGGAAGTAGTGGGGTCGGTGGTGAGGTCAATTGTCTTGTGCCTCTTTCCCTTGGAGGACTTTGTCTTAGTCACTTCACAGACAACTGCTCCTCCACAGGTCTTTCTCTGGTAGACTTTGTTAGGTGGAGGAATGGGTAGTGGCTGATGATCTTCTCTAGCCTGATATGTAGCAGATATGCTAGCAGAGGCAGTGCTAATAGTAGCACTTGGTGGGTGACCAACTTGGGTTGTGTTTCATTCTTCAATAGTTCATATAACTGTTTTACAGACATCACTAAAAGAACCAAGAAGAAGCTGAATAGTAAGAGAGCAACTGTGTCTCTGGAGGTGTTGGCATGAGAGCCTGAGGGCATCATCGTTGATGTTATTGAGCTTAAGCTTGAGTGAACTGGTAGTGTGTATGATATGGATCTGGGACAGGATTGGAGCAGCTAAATGAGTGGGTTCTTTTGCTAATTGTTTTTCTAGCTCTTCAGCATGAGCAAGGGAGAGTAGGGTGGTTTCTATAATGACATCATCTTCGACATTGATAATATTTTGCTTGTAGAATGTGTTGTGTAATGAGAGGTGGGAAGTGGTGGATTCAGTAGGCAAAGGTGTTTGGGGAGGAGTCATGTCTAGTTGGTTTTGTAGGTAGGAGCTGATTATTTCTAGTTCAGCTTGTGCCTCTTCTTATAGGCAGCTAGAAGGGTTTTGGAACTCCGCAGGTTTTCTTCAGGGATCTATTTGTTATCTCTGAAGGAGTATCTGACCCATGATACAAGATAGCATCTTCGTTTATCTGCACCCCTGTGGCTGAGAATGGCTTCTACTTTGTATTCTTCTTCACCATTGACTATATCGGGTGGACGTTCTTCATAATTCGGTCCATGTATCTCCGTTTCATGATAGGATGATAGTTCAGAAGCGTGGAATGTGGGATGAACCTTTCATTATTTTGGAAGCTTTAAGAAGAAGGTGATGGAGGATAAGATCACTGTTATGGGAAATGGTCTGTATCACTTAGGTGCAAGTTTCCTAGATGGGAGTGTGGTTAGGAGATTGACAGCTGTAAGCCATACATTATCTCCTATCTTCCAGGGAGAATACTTCTTTTTTCGCAATCTTTCTGCCATTTGCTGCATGGCAATATTATGGCAAAAGATAGCTTCTTCACATATTTTTTGCAGGGACTTAAGTCGTTCTTTGGCAGCAGGGGTGTCGGAGGAAGGTAGGATATGGGGAATCTCTTGTGGTTCATAGCTCATCATTAAGAAGAAAGGGGAGGTAGGTCTGGTTTTGTGCTTGTGATGTTTATGGATGAATTCAGTGACAGGAAGATGGTCTGACCATTCTAGAGGGTTGGTCCTGCAGTAGATCCATAGGTAGGTTTCTAGCTCCTGATTAAGTCATTCGGTCTGTCCATCAGTCTGGGGGTGGTAGGCGGTGGAAGTAGCAATCTGATATCTGTTACGCACTCAAATAGATCTGTTATGCGGAGCCCTAAGAGGGGCGTCGTCCGCTAACGTTTGTGACGTAACCGGAAGAGTCCGGTGTAGCGACTGAGACTGGCGACAACGAGTCGGCAGATATCAGAGACACGCGTGTCACGTGACTTCTAAGACGGATGTCTTCAAAGTTACTGACGTTCTCAAAGTAAGGACAGTCTTGTCCGAACGATGAGTAGTCGATCGAGGTAGACTTAGGCGCGATGAGCACCTAAGAAAAGATACTAGAGACTGAAGCTGAGGGGGCTTCAGAGGGAAGTATGTTCGAGGGAAGATTGAGTAGATTCAAGTTAGGGAATCTAGTACAGAGTGACCGACTACTTATACTAAGTGGAAAGGGTTAAGGGCAAGGCTACCGTACTGTAGGTAAGGGCAAAGGGGAAACGGAAAGGGTATAGGTACGCTGGTAGCAGAGCCTGATTAGTGATGTGAGGTCGAATGCGGAATGAGACCGAGAAACGTTGGAACGAGCCAACGGTAAATGATACAATGCGCAGCACACATGAGTCAGAGGAAAGATAAGACAAGATAAGGAAAGCCACATTGGTGGCACGAGTCAGAACGAGTCATAGCCCGAAGGCACGTGCGCACGTTGGTGCGATAGGAGGGGGATGAGGGACGGGAACGGTCCCGAGGATCCGGTCAACGGATAGTCGGTAGAGAAGTACGAGCCAGAGGCATACGAGGGCGAGGACGAAGGGGAAAAATGATAGGGGGGCCATGTAGCCGATGTTACTTGTAACAATATCCAAGAAGGCAAGCTAGTTCTCTAGAGAATTTGGAGACAAACTATGGTCCTCAATCAGAAATCACTTTTTTGTGGAGTCCAAAATGCTTGAAGATGTTTTTGAGGAAAAGTTTGGCTACTCCTTCTGAGGTGATATTCTTGTTGCAAGGAGTAATAATTACTCCCTTCATAAAGCCATGGTCTACCATGACCATGACAGAATCAAAACCATGGGAAGGTGGAAGGTTGGTGATCAGATTGACCAAGACTTAAGAGAATAGACGGGTGGTGGAGGATGGGATGGGAACCAGGGGCAGGGTGGTTGGGTGAGTGTCAGCCTTCATTTGCTGGCAGAGAGCGCAGCCGTCAATATATTTATGAATGAAGGTGCCCATAGCAGGCCACCAATAATCACATTTAATAAGCTCCTCCGTTTTGAACCAGCTGGGGCCACTGTGGGATGGTCATGGTGATGTAAAAGGATATCATGGCACTGTGTAGGGGGAACATACGCCCTATTCTTATAAAAGAGGACACCGCTATCAAGTTTCCAGTCCGACAGGGCAGACTTCATAGATGAGAGGCATATTCCACTCAAGGTGTCACAAGCAGTAGTGAAGATGAGATTAAGAAGGGAATCAGTAGAGATAGTGGTGCTAAGCTTATTGTCCAGTAGTCAAATAAACATCGAGTCAGGTAAAAGAATCTTGTTTTCATTGTCATCTTTCCCAAGGCTGTGGTCTGGTCATCGAGATAAGGTGTCTGGGGCCATGAGTTTGATTCCTGGGACATGATGACACTTAAGGTCGAAGTTTGAGAGGGTTAGTTGCCAGTGTGCCTGCCGTCTAGAGAGCTTTTGGGCAGTGCAGAAATATAAGAGGTTCATATGATTGGTGAAGACAATCACTAGATGAGGGCTTTCTCCTAGATAATGGCACCACTCATTGAGGGCGCGGATTACTGCAAGCAGTTCTCAATGAAAGATCTCATAATTTCTTTCAGCGGGATTGAAGAACTGGGAGAGGTAGCCACATGGGTGATATAATCCATTTTCATTGGTCTGAAGGAGGACTGCTCCAGTTGCTGCAAGAAAAGCATTTGTGGTAATAGCAAACTGTCTGGTAGGATCTGGGTTTCATAGGACAGGTTGGGATAAGAAGCATTGTTTGAGAGAGTTAAATGATTTCTGGCAGGCAGCTGTTCACTGGAAGGCATGGTCTTTCTTGGTAAGATCTATCAGTGGCCATGCTATGTTGGAGTAGTGGACGACAAATACTTGATAGAAGTTGCAGAAACTGAGGAATGAGTGTGTCTCTTTTATGTTGGTGGGGGTTGGCCATCACTCAATTCCTTCCACTTTGGCATGCTCCATGCCTATTTCTCCAGGATGAATGATCATGTCTAGGTACTCCACCTCCTTGGCATCAAAGACACACTTCTCTGGTTTAACAAACAACTGCTCCCATCATAAAATATCCAAGACCCATTTTGTTCTTTGGTGATGCTCTTCTAGATCCTTTGAAAAGATCAGAAGGTCATCCATATAAATGACCAACCATCCTTGATTGATTTCTGGTTGGAAGCAATTATTCATATAGCTTTGGAAGGTGGCGGGTGAGTTTGTGAGACTGAAGAACATAACAGTTGGTTCAAATAAACCTTCCTCAGTAGTGAATGCAGCTTTCCATCTGTCACTAGGATGTATTTGAATCTTATTGTAACCAGATCAAACATTGATCTTAGTAAAATATTGCACATCATGGAGGCGTTCGATAAGGAACTTTGGTAGGGGGAGCAGATACTGATTGCATACTGTCCAGTCATTGAGGTAGTGGTAGTCTTGGCAGGGACATAGTTCTCCACTCTTCTTTCCTACAAAGAAGAAGCCACTTGCTTGAGATTTTGAAGGGACTATGAATCCTTTCTTTGTGTTTTCTTCAATAAACACTTTCACTGCTTCTTGTTCTTTGCCAGATAAAGGATAGATTTTAGACATTTTCAGGACAAATCCTGGTTTCAGGTCAATACAATGGTCAATACCAGGTTGCTCTAGAGGGAGTTTGTTGAGGCCATCCTTTGCAAAGATGTCAGCATAGGTATGCAAATAAGATGGGACGAGTTCCTCAAAACTCTTCTTCCTTTTCTCCGTTTCTCCTGCAATAGCGAATTCCTAGGCTTTATTACTGATTTTTTCATATGCTTGCTCTGTCTTTGATGTACCATCACAGGTGAGTGGAGTATCTAACAATACTTCCTCAATTACTTATACTTGAGATCCATCTGAGGCATACTCAATGAGGACCTCATCGTCGTTTAGCTCGTAGGTGGAGACATTGTTGACAGTGGGAGCGAAGTTCTCAGACCATACATCCTCTTTGGTGTCATAGTCAGGTTGGTCGTCGTCTTGGTCAGGCATGAGAGGAGGGGGGTCGTTGTAGGACTGGAAGTCCTTGTAGCCTCGTAGAGGCTATTTTTGCAGTATCCCTCAGCATCCTATTGCTTTACTATGTGAAGTGCAGCTTTCCCATGACCTGCACGCATCAGCCGCTACTTTCCCATGATGGCCGCAGCATTCCCATGCATGCACACAGCCACACTTAACCACGCTTTCTTGCACTTCATCGGCTGACATTTCCAACTATCTGTCCATGTCCAACCAACCCAATGGTACATTATTCTATGATTATATTTACATATTAGACCATTTCTGCATCACACTACCTTTATTTCATCATAGACCCTTATTTTACATATAGCTTTACATACCTTACTTGGTAGCATGTTGGCTCGGTTCTGCATGACAGCGCTTAGCACCATACTTAAGAGGTAGCAGTACATATTATTCAGTAGCTTGGTTTTCTGGACGTCCCAGTAGCAACTCCCATTAGCCTACAGTTGGTAGCTATTGGCAATTCATATCTGTTTACTGCCCACACCGCATCCATTACTGTTCCACTTTACGTCTATTTCTATTATCTATCATCTCTATTATCATCTGAACCACCCACGCTGCAGCCACTTCACAGCCACACTTTCCTGCACCTTCAGCTATTGGCCACCACTTCAGTCCTGCGCATGCACCCACTGCTTTCCCACTGTAGGTAAACAACTTTTGCTGGACACTACATGAAGTGAGTGTCTAGCAAAATATAATAGTTATGATCTAGCACAGCCTAGTCTGCTATACTTGCAGAACAAGTGCGTTCGACCTGAGGGGTTAACTGTTGGTAGTAGAATAATTAGTTATATGAAAAGGAAGATAGTCCAAAGTGTGGGAAAAAAAGTCCAAAGGTATAATTACAAATCCAAAGGTAAAATGTCGGGTCCGATGTTTTCAGGTTTCGGGTTTAGCGGATTTTAGCGGGTGTCGTCAGATATCGTTGGGTTAGTGTTGGGTTAGAAAAGGAATGTCGGAGATAGTGAACAGTGGGTTACTGACAGTGTTTCGGAGTGTTTCAGATAAAGAATGGATGATATTTGCAGAATTCAGTGAAGAACTACAGATATCTAATGACCTCCTCCTACTCGGAGGTAGAAAGGTATTCTCAGTAAGAAGGAGGTATGTGAAATATATAGTATCTATGTAGAATTTCGGAGTGCTGTAGGCAAAAGTAGTAGCACTAATTTTCGGGTCCGATGTCCTATGTAATAAGACATGTGGTACTGCGGACATGTAATAACACATTCTACAATGTTAGCGATGTGAAAACTGATAACTGCGCACCTAGTGGGGATAGATATGACAGGACTGGACATAGGGAGGGCAAATGTGTGGGAAAATATTGGATCTGAAGTGGCTGATGCACGGAAATCATTGGATTAGCGTCAGATTTAGCAGATAAATGTTGGATTGAGCGGATGAGTGTCGGATAACATCGAAAGTGATTCGTGTACGACATGCATCAGAAAATAGCTGAATACAAGCTCAGCACTAGCTCGAGTGCTACACCACACTTCACATCAGCCGCTAAGCAGCACCTTCTGCACTCATTTCTTGACCTTTGCTGCACTAGCTTCCTCTTTAGGGTCGAACACACTTGTTCTGCAAGTATAGCAGACTAGGTGTTGGATGACCTACAACATAAAGATATCAGTTTGGAGCCTATAGCACCACAATGAGTTGTAAACCTACATCATCTTCATCAGGGACTTCTTCTATGGAGGCCACTACAGAGGGGAGAGGGGTTTCAACAGTAACCACCTTCACCTGCATTACTTTCTTCAGTTTGGAATCTTTCCATGTGGGGGGTTTTCCTGTAATGGTGGTGGGTTGTCTTTCTAATGAGAATAGCGGAGGGAGTTGGTTGCATTTCCTGGTTTAGTCAACACTCTGTTCAAGGGCTAGGGAACATTCAGTTGTACATAGCAATAGTGTTCCTTTTACCCAATTGATGTCTGGGTTGAGTGCTTTTAGCCATGGAAATCCCAACAGAATTTTGTCACGTTTTGCGAGTCTGGCCACATTAAATTTCCCTATCATGGTTCTCCTATTGATTTTAACCATAAGGACACAATATCACAAAATAAGACCAGCAGCAGCATCTAATCCATCTGCTGTGATGATAGGGAATAGTTTGGAAAGTTTGTGGGTCCTGATCTTGTGTAACTTGCAAAAGGCATCGCTTATAAATTTTCCTGATGCTTCAGAGTCCATGACCATAGAGGTTTCGATGGTTTTCATATACTTTTCAGAAATGAGGGTAGCTGGAACTCTGAGTTCTTTCTTATTTCCAAGTGATTGTACAAGTTGTATAGGAATAGGAAGCACTGATGTCGAGGCAGTCTTCCATTCTAAAAATCCCTTTCCATGAAGCAGTGGTTTTCGACTTCGTCACTGCTGCTTTCCTCCTCTTCTTTCTCAGTCTTCCTTCAGATAGGAGCTTTCTGCTTCTTGTCTTCGTGTGGATGGAATGTAGTATCCTTGGCATGATGTCCTACTTTGTTGCAGTTAAAGCATTGTCCTTCTTTGAGATGTTTCTTCATTTCTGATTCGGAGAGTCGCTTGACTTCAAGCTGGTTGACTTCCATAGCATCATCCCTATGTGGGGTATGGGAGTGATTCCCAAAGGTTTTCTTCTTCTGCCAAGATGGGTTCTCCTGTCTTTTGATCACCTTTAACCTTTGGAAGGTGTTATCAAGATTGATGCAAGTGTGAACAATGGTTTCAAAGTCATCGAGGTTTTCTCCCATATGATAGAGGTTGTTGCAAAGACCTTTGTCTAGTCCTTCATGGAAAAACTCTACCTTGGTGATGTTCTTGGTTATCCCAGCTTTGTGGGCAAGAAGGCGGTAGTTAAAGATATAGGCCTGGAGATCTCCTTTCATTTCAAGGGCCCAGACTTTGGACATAGCTGTGCCCTTTGGATCGATAGCTCCAAAGGCATCCTTGAATTCTACCTTAAAGGCAGCCCAGGTTCCATAGCCAATGATATTTCTGGCAGTATTCAACCTTGTAGGGTCTTGAGTGGCCCTCATGAAGTCTTCTTTCCAAGCAGCAGCATTGCCCTTGGTCATAAACAATAAGGCGAAGATAACTTTCTTTTTATCATCATTGTAGCTCCTGTCATTGATATTGAGGTAGGCATGACAGTTCAACATGAACCTCTTGGATTCATCACGGTCTCCATCAAACTCAGTGGGAGTACTGATCTTTATTTTTATATCTTTGGGTGGACACCATGGTGTTCAAAGGCAGTATGAGTGGTAGCACATCTAGCTTCAATGCTCCAATCAAGGAAGTTAACAAAGTTGTGGTGTCTGGAACATCACAGATGGTGGCATCTAGGATAGAACTTTAATCTTTTGTTATGACTAGGGTAAGTCAAGCCATCTAAGTCCAAATGGACGATCTGCTAATAGCAAGATGGATGAGGATCTTCTCTTAAATGAGAGATCAAAGGTTTAGGCTAAGGCAAGTGTAAGTGACTTCCTCAGAATAGTGGATCTGAGACAGTAAGGTCGGAGGCCTTACTGAAGGACAAGTTCCAGGTAAAACCTAGTAGATTAAATACAATTGGTGAACTATATGTCTATATAGCAAATGTTCAAGCAGAGCTTGTAAATGGTTAGAGATAAGAGGCAGACAGCCTGCTTGATGAGAGATAAAAGATAGCAAACATAGTACAGATAGCCCACTTAGATAAGTGACAGGAACAACGAATAGAAATCTAAATGTTATTGTAACACCCGTCATCTTAGTGCATTAGTCGGAGCATTGGTATCAGACTCTCATCAGTCTCATCCTGCAAAGCATGGGAGATCCTTGCAGAACATTTCAATCACACTGACACCAGTGCCCAGCACCAGCTTCATCAGTGACTTAATTCTCTGAGGATGAAGAACTCAGCAGATGTGACCAATTATGTGGGTCTAGGAAATAGCATGGGTATCCTCAACCCACATGAGTCATGGGCGGGGGTACCTCTGGGGGTGTGGGTATGTAAGCAAACATGATTTATTTTGAAACTTAGTAACACACATAAACCTTAAACTCTAAACCTAAACACAGTGCCCTTATGATTTATAAAACTAACAGACAAAGCTAAAGCTGTGCTAGATGAGAAGTAGGAAGACTCATCAAACAAACAAAAGAATAAAAAAAGTGCTGCTAGTAGTATATCTTCAAAGAAGGCAAAGTAAAACCGGGCAGTAGTTCATACTGAGGAAGAAGAAAGTGTATTATATCATGATGCTATTGTCATCAGTGATGACAAGGAAGGAGCGGGTATGAATACTGACAATAATAAGGATAAAGTGAGTGTGGATGAGGAAGAGTGTGCGGAGGATGAACTCAGTAAGGCTGATTTCACTAGTCCAAGTAATACAAGCTAACATTAGCTAAAGAACAATTAAGAAGGAATGGATTTCACCAATCTATGTATTTTTTGACCCTACACCTACTATAGAGTCTATTAACAATTGTTGTGCACATTTCTTCAAGTGTATGGGCAAGGGATGCGAAATTACAATTTGACACTTCCTCAACAACAAAAAATGCACGATCCACAGGAAATATGCGGAAACACATCAAGTCCTGCTGGGGTGATGATGTATTGCAAGCTGCTAATGAAGCCAGGAATGCAGACAAAGTTTGGACCAAGATCATTGTAGGACATCAGAAGGATGAATCAATTACAACCACATTTGAACATAAAGGCAAGGGGAAGGTCACTTACTTGCATCATCAGTATACCTGTACTGAGACAAAATAGGATCACAATAAGATAGAGAATTCTTGTGGCTGATATAGTTGCATTCAGAGCTGAACTTGTCCATTGGGTTGCAGAAAGCCTATAGCCATTTGACATTGTCAAAGACAGGGGATTTAAGTCACTCATGAAGACAGGGAGACTGGAATACTACATACCATTGTAACACTCGAGCTAGCACTAGGCTTGTATTCAGCTATTTTATGTATTGCATCAAATACCTGTTGTACAATATTTACCTGATGATATCCAATGTAACCTGACACTTTGACTAGTGGACCTGATGTTTCAGCCGCATTAGACCTCATATTTTCCTGCACATTTGTCCTATCTGTGTCCTGTCTCGTCTTGCTAGCCCCACTAGGTGAGTAGTTGATTATTTCGCACATTACTCGTGTCATAGCAAGCACTATTACATGTTTTCCCATCATCTGTAGCACCTCATGTTTATTTACATGTACTTCAGATCTGAAATCTTCAGCCGCTACTTTCGCCTATAGGGTTCTGGATTTCTACAAACTTACTTATATATTGGTCTTCACATAGCATATTCATTATCTAAGTAGTAGGGAGCTGTATCCTGACACTTTGTGGTCAAAACTGATAATTCATAGTTCTTAGTTGATATTGCAAAATATTACCACTCTTTTTATCTAAAATACCCATCACTATTAATAATCCACATATTGCTCACTATCACCGTTCCCTATAACCTGCTAACCCAAAACCCAAAACCTGCTAACCTGCTAAACCCAAAAACATCGGACCCAACACTTTGGCATTTGACATCATAAGTATGCCTTTGGACATTGTTTCTCATGCTTGGACTTTTGACAGTTTATCAATTGACTAACTAAAGACTTATTCCAATAGCTAATCCCTTGGGTTGAACACACTTGTCTAGCAAGTATAGCAGACTAGGCTGTGCAAGACCACAACACATTTATATATTGCTGGTTACTTGCTTCGTGTAGTATCCAGTAAAAGTTGTCTACCTGTACCATCTCCATTGACCGTCTCACACAATGTTAGATTGGTCTTTGCGAAGATAAGACAACAAATTGCTAAAATGATAAATGTATGTAGATCAGTTGGATGCAAGAGGAAGACTAATGAATCTTACCAGGAATATGAGGGCAAACTCAATTTTATGATGGACAGATGGTTGTCTCCAAACCACTGTGCCCTTGTAGCATTCTCAGCACATCTTGAACACAAAGGCAAATCTCTAAGCTTACCATTAAACATTATTGAGGTGACGAAAGTAAGTACTCAACTCACTGAGTTAGGAAAGGACATTGTGCTAAGACACTATCAGTCCCACATGGGTGAGGAGCTTGCAGCAGCCTTCGAACAAATGCTGAAAGATTACAGAGTAACAAGAAAGGTTAGCACACAATTCTTGTGGATACTCACAGAACTCACCAAATGATAGATCCTCATTGTTACATGCAATAATACAGCCAATAATACTGCCATGCTCGAAGAGATGGCAATCATACTCCCTGATTTTGGTGGTACAGCAGCCCATATGAGGTGCTTCCTGCATACGGTCAATCTGGTAGCAAAATCTCTCCTTTGACAGTGTGATGAACCAAAGAGCTGTGATGACAACCATGAGCTGAATGTTGATGACCACAGTGAGAATGAGCAAATGGAAGATGGTGATGCCAAGGGTTCTGATGTACTGCCTGACGATGACATTGATAGGTTTGTCAACAAACTGAATTCTTGATGCATGATGCACACAAGAGCCTGTAACAGAATATTTGTCCAGTTAAGTTGGTACTTGTTAAGGTCTGTACATCAGAATAAATTGAAAATATAGATTAATCAACATATCACACAGCTTTGGAGGCTCACATTCAAGGTCATTCACTCCATGATAAAACTCCTATCTGCATGGCACAATATTCTTCAAGAACAGCAAAGGCTAGTCACCAACATCCCATGTAATTGGCTACATGCTGGAATTCCACATTTGACATGCTTGTGTATATCTCAAAACACCAAAGAGCAGTCAATGTGATGACACAGCAAAGAGACTTGGATTTGAGAGATCTTGAGTTGTTGGATCATGAATAATTAATTGTAGACCAGCTGCAAAATGTTCTGAAAGTGTGTGTGTGGTGTTGGTATATAGTTGTTGTTCATTGTTTACTAATGCACCAAAATGGAATCCTAACCAGATTCTCAAAGATGCAATAATGTTTTTCTTGCAGTCAACACCCAATCTCCCTACCATCATTCCAGCAATGGATTTAATTGGCAAAAAGCTCACATTGTATTCTAATAACACTAACTATCAGCTCTCAATTTGTGCTGCCATTGGACTTGCTAAAAAAATGTTGGATCACTACTATTAACTCATGAACCATTCTGAAGTGTACCACATTGCTATGAGTAAGTGCTCTATTGTAGTTCAAATAGTCTTACTCACTATCATTCAGTGCTTCACCCACATCATAAACTCATGTATTTCAAGAATGTGGAGTAGGAGGACAACTAGATTCAAACTGCTGAGACACTTGTGAGGGATAAGTTCAGGCACTCATACTTAGTCACACCAAATGCTGACTCTGACAGTGATGATGCAGACTTAATTGAATCTTCTCAACAGAGCGCCATGGTGAGTTATTGCATTGTGTAACTTAACTTGTATGCTAACTATGACAATAGGACAATATATTCAACAACATACCTGCACTCACATATCCATTCTCACTTAAATGTGCAATCAACAACTCGCATGCTCTTATGTCTTGGCTATTGGAGTTATTTAAATCTTGTCAAGACTGAGGATGTAATGTCTGTAAGCATGCTCACTGATGTGGAGGGTGAGGAGCTGGAGCTGGAGGATAGATAAGATCATATTATCATCAAGTAGCTACTACATGTGTTTGTATCTCATAGTTTTATGATAATTAACAGTACCCACCTATGGGTATACCCTCAGTGGGTGATTTCCTGTGTGGGTTTGGCCTCATATCCATCAAAAGCCTACACCCGCAACATGAGTGTGAGTATATCACAGGGTATGGGTAGGGGTAGTGCCACTTGTACCCGGGGTTCACCCATGCTATTCTCTAGTTAGGAACCATAACAGATACATCCTCAAGACCATAAAGCTTGATGGTGGACTATAAAGCCCCTAGAGGTCTGACATATCTTTCAGTGTCCAGTCTGTGATATCTGTTGCACATCAGAACCTGTCATCACACCCAATTTGTCCTCAAAGTCTTCTAGCAAGAACTCAGACATGGTGTCAGTTATCATGTGAAACAGATGACGAGTGAACATGGTCAAGAAATGGTTTACAGTACTAGTGCAGGATATATATACATAGGCTAGGGACTTGGGGATCATATGATGAGCTACTAGGAGATTAAATGGAGTGGGGGCTGATGAGAAGAACAGGTCAACCATGGATATCACAGAGACATCTGGGAAATCAAGAAAATATTAGATCAATTCATGTGCAGAGAATGGTAGAAAGAGGATGATTTTTGTAATTGACTAAGTGTCACAACCCTTTAAATGAATTAACACAGGACAGAGACTAGGACTTAAATGACAAGATAATTACAAAGAGGATAAGGCAGCAGATACATCTTAGATTGCTTACTTGGAGATACAAGAGGTTTGAACTAAAGAACTACTAACTACAATGAGCTACCTATTAAACATATTCTTAGAGACAGGTGCTGTGACTGGGCGCTTAAAGAACTTAGAATTTAAGAACAAACAATGGTTCATATTTGGAACTCATGACACTAAGCCCTCCTCCACTAATGTGGTACTTGGGGACTGCTTGACTAAGACCAGTGAGATGCACTTCTAATGAACTCATTCAGAAGTGAATCCTCAAGGCACATTCATCTGCATTTTGTCAGTTCTTTCAATAGCATGGTTACTGTTGATTCTTTTATTCTTGATACAAAGTTCAATATATGCCCAAAGTCTTGATGCAAACTCAGAATAATAAGCACAAGAGAAATATAATCCTCTCCAAAGGTCTTGACTTAGTTGAAGAAGAAGAGCAGATTACACATCAAACTTTCAAGTTTGATCCTAATGACCTGGAGAGTGAGGAAGAATACACATCTGTCAAGGTTGATATTCAAGGCAAAGATTCAAAAGAGCCATCTGACCACTATTCACTCATGTATAAGGTTGAGGTGCACTGTATTTGAGACCCTTTCATCATCATGTTGCTCTCCTCTTGCTTTTGAAAGTGCTGTATTGCAGTCTATATTTAATTCATCTGTTCAGCTGAGGAAAAACATTGCAAGTAACAGGGAATAGTAGACTTGCCTTGCAGATTCACTTCTGAATGTTTTCTTCAAAGATGCTTCTAACTGTTCTTAGCCAAGCAGTTAATACAACAGAATCCAAATCTATCTGCATGAGTTCAAAATCTACTAAAGATAAAATTGTCAAGTGATCATCAGAGTCAAAATCTGTTTCTCTTGGACTGTGTAGATTTGAAACCTGCCAATGATAAATTTCAGTTTTTATGAAACCACACCTTTACATATACTCATGGTCGGTTTACTTACAAGCTTGTTAGAGTTGTTGTTGCATAGAATAAAAATATTACCAATAGTAGGTTTGAAACCCACAAAGTGCAAGAGAAACAGATTTTGACTCTGGTGACAACTTGACTAAGGCTGATGAAGATCAATGTTTGAGATGCTGTCTATCAGCAGATAGATCAGATATGTTCTTATGGAAAAAATGTGATGTTTAACAGGTTTTTATTGTGTCAGGATGACCAATGTCAGAAATTGATGTTAGAACTGAAAAAATGCAGATAAATATATTGAGGATTTACTTTTGAATGGTGTTATTGGAAGTGCATCTGACTGGTCTTAGCCAAGCAGTTGATGTCACAGAATCCAAATCTGTCTATGTGGGTTTGAAACCTGCTAAAGATGAAAATGTCAAGTGATCATTGGAGTTAAAATCTGTTTCTCTTGAATAGCATAGGTTTGAAACCTGCTAATGATAACATTTTTATTTTATGAAAATGCACCTTGACAGTCTGAAAGCCATTGAATGCTGCATTTTTATAGCTCAATTGAATATTTGCTTATAGACAGTTTCTCAGACTTTGATCTTCATTGATCCTAGTTCAGTGAGCCCAATTGAGTTATACATTTCTTTTTCACATTGCAACATGCTTGTTAAGACCATGCACAAAGGGTAGGACTGATTCTGAGGGGTTTGGCTTTAGCTCGTGTGCTGCACCCCTTACCTGAGTATGTGCCCTTAATTTCAGATTGATGTCCGGAGAAAGTCCAAGGATATCTGAAGGATATATGAAGGCACAGGAAACTTTGGAAGGACTTTCTGGATGGGTGCAAGTAACTTCCAGATGAGTGCGGGAAAGTTCCAGAGGAACTTCCGGAAATTACAATGAGGTTTTGTCCTGAGTAGAAGCAAGCAGAGGAAAGGCTGCAAGGACAAAGTCTGAAGCAGAATAGGTCTGGAGGACCACGGGAAAGATCTGGATGAACTTCCAGAAACTCGGAGGATCAGACGAGAAGCGTATGACATTAGGGCAATGAGACAAAGGGTGAATGATGCAGGGTAGCTGCAGAGGTATGGAGGTTTGGCATATAGAGATACAGGGATCTGGAAGTCTGGATGAGGTGTGGGAACATTGGTGGACATAGGTCTGGAATACGGGATATGACAATGCTCAATTGAATATTTGCTTATGGATGGTTTCTCAGACTTTGATCTTCTTTGTTTCTAGTTTATGATTTATCAAAGTCAAAATCTGATTCTCCTGGACTAAGCAGGTCAAAAACATGTGTCACTCAACCTATTTCAAGCATGCACAGTCCAAGATAAACAGACTTTAATTTAGTTGTAACAATCACTTGGCTAAGACTAATCATAATGAGTTTTTTGAGACAGCCATTCATGAGCAAATGTTTAAGGCATATTTTAATGAAAAAAAATGTAATTATATAGGTTTCAAACCTACTCAGTCTAGGATAATCAAATTTTAAATCTATTGTAGCAATAACACAGCTAAGACTGTTTTTGAGAAAATGATCCATGAAGAAATGTTAGGGTGTGATTTCATAGAATAAAAATATAATCATCAGCAGGTTTTGAACCTGTACAGTCCAAGAGAAACAGATTTTGACTCTGGTGACAACTTGACTGAAGACCAATGAGAACAAATGTCTAAGATGCTGTCTATGAGCATATATTTGAGGCATGTTCTTATAGAAAGAAAAAATGCAATCTTTCACTGGTTTTGAACCTGTTGCACTCTGATAAAAACAGGTTTGGATTCTGTTATGATAATCACTTCACTAAATACAGCTTTCACCTTCAGTGGGTTTTGAACCCACACAGACAGATTTAGATTCTGTTATATCAACTGCTTGGCTAAGAACAGTTGGAGGCACCTCCAATGAACCCATTCACAAGTGAATCCTCAAGGCATATTTGCATTTTGTCAGTTCTTTCAATAATATAGTCACTATAATTGATTCTTTATTCTACTCTTCTTGCAATAGACATCAGACTTCTCCTGGGCCTCTATTTCAAGACCTGTTTATCCAGCAATTGCTCAAAAAAAGTGCTGATGGAAGACCACCATGGTGGGTCCATGAGCAAAAACTGACAATGAAAGAATCACTATAATGCTTGGACCTGCCCTGGGCAGCAAACAGGGTATTTTCATATGTGTCAAGGAGTATAGGATACTATCAGTTTCATTATCATTGTCCATCTTTGTCTTGCAAGTAACCTTTGTCCGAAACTGAACCCACTTTCCCGCACTTTGTGCATCTGCTTATCCACACTTTCCCACACATCAGACGTGCATTCCCGTGCATCAGATACCTTAGAAACGCATTAGGAAAGTCCCTCGTTCATCCATAGTCCATCCAAACTCCATTGGTATGTGAATTTCCTTACCTCAAGGCTTGTAAAATGTGTTGCAGCCTTATTACATGTACTTACATATTTACTATATTTCCTATCCCTTCCTACTCCGAGTGGGATTTTAGACACTATAAGTTGCCTATTACTTAGGAATACTAGACTACACTTCTCTCGGACTGTACACTTCCCTCATATTGTATACCTCACCCTATAGGTTTACCTTTGAAGTAGTCCCTTGTAGTGTGCGCTTTTTAGTCCCATTAGGTCCCTTATACCTCTCTATACCTAGGATCCCTTACCTCACAATATACCTTTGCCCTTGTTCCCTTGAAACCTCATTCCTTAACCTCCCTATACCTTGTCCGCTCTTTCCCACACTTTCCGCACCTTTGGCCGTGCTTTCCTGTGCCTTGGATAACCTTGGACACATTCACTTCCCAATGCAATCCAATGCACGTCCGTCAAACCCAACAATTTGACTCATGGACCTGATGTTTCAGCCACATCAGACCCAATATTTTCTTGCGCACTTATCCTATCTGTGTCCCATCTTGTCTTACTAGCCCCATTAGGTGCATAGTTGATTATTTCACACATTACTTACATCATAGCCAGCACTATTACATGTTTTCCCATTGTCCACAGCACCTCATATTTATTTACATGTACTTCAGATCTGAAATTATTGGCCACTACTTTTGCCTATAGGACCTTTCATCAAGATGGGAAGTGGCAAACATGCATTAGAAATACTATCTGCTTCATTGTAGCTCTGTGTTATTTGAAGATGAGGTAGGCTGTGAGCACAGATGCTACTCCCTTTCCTAGCCTAAGGATTGGTATGCACCTGCCATAAAGGACACCCACTCATTTACTGGAGATAAAGAGATAGCATTCAACTATTTCATCCTTATATATAGAATTATACAATACCCCTAATTGTTCTGATTGGTTAGTTAGTTCATACTCAGTTTTGATCTCAGTTTCAATATATGTATATAGGTAGCTCATCGTAGTCAGTAGTTTTTTTAGTTCAAACCTCTTGTATCTCCAAGTGAGCAATCCAAGATGTACCTGCTACCTTATCTCCTCTGTGATTATCTTGTTGTTTGAGTCCTAGTCTCTGCCCTGCATTAATTTATTTAAGGGGTTGTGACATTAGGTTTGAACTATAGGAGACTCTGACTTACGTTACACTCTCACATCATTTCTCTTTGGGCGTTCTTGAGAGAAGATCCTCTTAACAACACTTCAAAAAGCCGTTATACTTTTTGCCCGACTTAACCACTGCAATCTTTGATTTCATCCCTTTGCTCATTTGAGCGCATCTTCATACCTATCATCTTTCGTAGTTAGTAGTCCTATACCAGGTCCTGTCTTACCACAGCTGCCAGTATACAGAGGTGTTGACGATATGAGGTGTCTCACTGTAACTTTGAGTGCTGGCCCAAGACCCTGCCTGCTCAATGTTACTATAGTTTCATTTTACCTTACCTTTCTTCTTTACACACGTAGGCATTCGTTTTGAGTTAATAGCGGAATTGTCTAGTTGACATTCTGTGCTTTCGACCTATGAGATTTAGATACATACCCTAGTGAGACTCACACTTGTAAGCCTCAGCTGGAAGAGTGGTAACTTGTCCTCAAAATGGAGATTGCATTGTCTTCTAGTTTTTCCCACTCAATCGAGTATAGTTTACATATTCTTTCTTAGTTAGTATTAGGGAAGTGTCAGTTGGGTTGATTAAAGAACCCTTTGATCCTGAAGTACATGGTTGATCCGATCAGATATTGGGGACCACTTCAGTTTTTGTTTATGTATCTGTCTTCCTTTTATCATCATTCCTTTTTGGAAGAGCCCTTATGAGCAGCTCTTCAAACAGACATCAGTAAATCAGGTTCCAGAACACAACTGGCACTATGTCTGAATTACTAGCACCAACAGTACAGGTGGTACTACCTACAACCCCTGAACTAATCATGCAGTACATCCATCAATCACTTGCAAATCAGGCAGAGTAGTTCAAAATCAGAATTGCAGAAATAGAGGCAAAGAATGAGGCCTTAGAGAAGGCAAACAAAGACCTCCAATTACGCCTAGATATGCAAGAAGACGAAACCATGAAACTTTCTTCACAACAACCATCCTTTGGCTCTGCAGGAGCCAGTATTCTATCATCCATCCCTAACATCAAATATTCTAAACCCACAGACTTCACAGGAGAAAGAGACTCCGTAGAACTCCAGACTTGGATGAGAAGATGGTTAAAAATGTGTATCCACTACCAAGATCTCAAGATTTGATTGATGGTTTAACTAGTGCCATGATGTACTCCAAGATAGATGTAAGATGGGAATACAATAATATTTGCATGAAAGAAGGAGACAAGTGGAAGGTGGCTTTTAAACCGCCGTTTGGTCACCATGAACCAATTGTAATGTACTTCAGTTTAACGAACTCCCCAGCTATATTTCAAACAATGATGAACAAGATATTCAGATATTTAATTGATGGAAAGACTGTAGTTGTCTATATTGATGATATCCTCATGTTTACAAACAGTAATAAGAAACACTGAAAGGTTGTACAAGAAGTACTTAAACAACTAAAAGAGAATAACTTGTATCTGAAGCCCGAAAAATGTAGCTTTGAACAGTCAGAAGTCGAGTTCCTTGGGTTGATAGTGGAGAAAGGTGGTGTACAAATGGACCCTGTAAAGGTAGAAGGAGTAATGAAATGGCCTGTTCCCAAGTGTGTTAAAGACATACAAGTGTTTATAGGACTCGCCAACTTCTACAGAAGATTTATCTTTGGGTTCTCAGACATTGCCAGACCAATGAATGATTTATTGCAGAAAGATGTCAAATGGGACTGGACGAAGAAACAGCAAGATGCTTTTGATGAACTGAAGTCAAGGTTCACATCAGCCCTGATCCTAGTTATGCCTGATGTTGAGAAAAAAATGAAAATAGAAATTGATGCCTCTGATTATGCAACTGGAGCAGTTCTATCTCAACTGATGGAAGATGACTTATGGCATCCCATAACATATTACTCAAAGTCAATGAATAATGCAGAAAGACATTATGACATCCATGACAAAGAGTTACTCACAATCATTTGAGCATTAGAGGAGTGGAGGCACTATGTGCAGGGAAAACCTCATCATGTGGAAATCTGGACAGATCATAAGAATCTTGAGTATTTCATAATGAGCCAAAATTGACAAGAAGGCAAGCCAGATGGAGTTTGTTCCTGGCAGAGTATAAATTTACACTCCAACACAAGCCTGGTGTAATCAATGATAAGGCTGATAAGCTATCTCAGAGAGAAGACTACAAGGGGAGGGTAGAAAACAACAATTCTGATTGCATTTTGTTAAAACCAGAGTTTTTATTGTAAAAGCTGCCAAAAGAGGTCAAGTTCTAGTACAAGGAGAAAAACAGTTGCTGAGAAAGATAAGGCAATGCATGGAACAAGAACCTGAAGTCACTAAAGCACTATGAACACTAAAAGCAGCATCAGTACAATTGCATAGGGGAGTTGAAGAGTGGAATGTGGAGGATGGATTGGTGTTATTCCAAGGACTAGTTTACATTCCAAATGATAAAGAGATCTGCCAAGAGATATTGGAGTTGTTTCACGACTCTCCACCAGCTGGACATCCAGGACGTGCCAAAACCTTAGAATTTATTTCCAGAAATTATTGGTGGCCTTCAATGATAAAGTATGTCCATGATTACATAGATGGCTGTGATAGATGCAGAGCAATGAAGATTCACCTGATGCAACCACATGGTCTGCTTAAACCAAATGAAATACTGATGGGACCTTGGTAATCAATCACTTATAATTTAATAGTAGATTTGCCTAAAAGCAAAGGGTTCAACTCTATTTTGTTGTTGTTGATTGATACACAAAACAAACGCACATTATGCCTACAAAAAAGGAAATTGAAGCTCGAGGAATCATGAAACTTTTCTTAGATAATGTATGGAAACACCATGGAATTCCAAAACAGGTGATATCAGACAGAGAAACACAATTTGTCTCCAAGTTGATGGGACAAGTGTCGAAATGCTTAGGCATAAAATGGAGCATGTCAATGGCTTATCATCCTCAGACAGATGGACAAACGGAAAGAATCAATAAAGAAGTAGAGCAATATCTGAGAATGTTCACATCTTACCACCAAAATAATTGGGTAGACTGGCTTCCAATAGCAGAATTTGCTCACAATAATTCCATCACTGTAACAGGTCATAGTCCACTCAAAGTACTCTATGGATATGATCCAGAGTTTACTTCATCAGTAAAATATCATGGTTCTTAATTTAACTTAATCAGGACTTGTTCCACTTGGCTTGACATCCAAGTTTGTCAAGATGTTCAAGATCTTGATTTGACTTAGAGCACAACTTGAATGTCTTACCATCAAGCCAACAAAGACACTAAGACAACTTAAGCATTTTAAAGACCTAATGAATTCCAAGGTAAAATTGTATTTCAAGATGCTAGCTCAAAAGAATGGTGATCAATGAACCGATTTATGTAAAATCCTCGGAAAACATCAAGAGAATGGTGGAATCAAACCCTGTGGAACAAACTGAGTACCGAATATCAGAAGCAAGTGAGCACCACGAACAATACTGTCAATATGGATTATTGACATGTTGGGAGAGCCATCCTCATCAAAAGATGGTGCAACCATGTACATTCCTGTAGCTTTGTCTTGTTCCTCAGTAATCCAATAGATCCACTGAACAAGTGTGCATGAATAGGTGCAACTATTAGTGAAAGTGAAAGAAAAAAAGCAAAATATCCAAACAACATCCATGCTTAGTATTCTGTCCTGCCTGTCGTCTGTGTTGACAAAGGCACAGTCGAAGTGGCCTGGTCCGTTGTGCCATGAAGGTACAGCACAGAGATGCTCACGGCGCATGCCAGTGATTCCACTTGGATCACTGGGTGCAATGAAAGTTACAGCAGCTGAATTAAAAACCTTGATAGCTCCCATATAGGACGGATAGTCACGAAGCAGAACATCTGCAGAAGAATGGTGATCATCCATGTGTATTTGATTGTATAGGAAGAGACAGATGAGGGTTGGGAGTAATGGTACCTTGAGTTTGTCCGCAAGGCCACTGACAGTATGCGTGCATTTACATTCTGAATATTGCATTAATGAAAAAACACCACTGAAAGGTTTGATATGCATGAAAAGTCCATGCTAACTGCATGTCAGCAATCACATCCACATCATCCACAATACCCTGGTCCTCAACATCATCGAAGTTGTCACTCTCAATGGCAAAAGGGTTATCTTCTTCGTCCATGTTGTTCTGTTGGACCTCAGAGTCCCTGTTGTCACTGCCAATAGCAAACTGATTTTCAACTGGAAAATCCAATGAGTGAACCGAATTAAAGTCAAACAAAACATGTACAAAATGAATTGAAGTAACTAAAGGCACAAGAGCCTTTAAGCATACCACATGCAGCAAAATCAACTCTTGATGCTGCAATTTTATCTAGGTGCTGATTGGTTAAGAGTATTTGATGGAGCACATTGTACCTGTTTGAATGCCACCATGGTTCCTTTACTGCTTTGATGTGTTTGGATTCTGTAATTGACGAGCAGAGACCATTTGGAGCGCCGAACATTCAGATGAGGAGCTCATAGTGGGTGAGAGAGTGTTGGCAGGGTAGGGAAATGTCAAAGTGGACACCGCTAGTCTCAAAAATGGTGTGATACTTATGAAAGTGCCTAAGGGCATCCCTCAGCTGCGCAAGAGTCTCATCTGTAACCACATTTGCACATGCGATGTAGCAGAACTCCAACAAGGATCGAAAGGCTCGAACCATATCATCGGGTACATGGCCTTTGATTGCTGGTATGTAAACCTATATAAGTTGTGTGTAAGCATAACAAAATCATTGTATGTAAGTGCGAAAATTTACCTTCATCAATGCCTTGGAGTCATCTCCGGTCCATTGAGAGAATCCACACCCTTGCGGAAAGCATCCTAGACCAGGGAAGGAAGGAGCAGCAGCAATTCTGATATGTTGTTAATCATTGCAATGGATAACAGAAGATTGAAATTACCTTTGGTCAATGTTGTCTAAAATCACCTTGGCCCCAATTTTGCCATGTTCAAGTTCCAGATACTGACACACACATTCAACGAGGTGATCCTTGAATGTTCCTTTGATGAGCTGATGCAGAATATCAGGAGCAAGGAGCTCATGGATGTTGGTGCAAGGAAAGTTATTTGTAAAGGGCTATGGAGTGCAATAGTCAATGTGAGGGGACATACCACTAGCTCACCAATAATACCATACTCATCCCAAAGGACACCAAAATCAACCAAGCCCACAAGCACATCAGTGTGTTTGCATGACTGAGAAACACCTCCGTCATCAAGAGTTGAGGGAAATGCAAGGCATCTGTGAATGAAAATAGTGCAGAGGACTCTGCATGATAGCGATACTTACTTACTTTCCACACCAATCTTTGACTATACATGCCAGTACCACCTGCTCTTCATAGTCAGCGATGTAGGGACCAAGTCCATATAAAATGTGCCAGTAGTGTCCATCACTGCAACATGTGACTTCAGGCATTGTCATTCCAGGTTTGAGGGTACTGAAGATCTTTGACAGCAAGGAGTGGAATAATTGCTTCTTGAATTTATGGTATCTTGCATCATCTGTGTTCTTTTTTTCAGCTACATACAATGATGACAATGTAAGCTTCAAACTAGACTGGGAGAGAAACAGCAACATACTCTTTGTAATTGCCAAAAACCCGATGTAGCACTCAAGCTCATGCTAGGCTCGTATTCAGCCATTTCATGCATCACATCAAATGTCCATCGCACTATATTCACTTCCCGATGCAACCCGACACATCCACCAAACCCGATGCTTTGACCAGCAGACCCGATGCATCGGCCACATCAGACCCAACATTTTTCCCATGCACTTGTCCTATCCATGTCTTGTCTTATCGGCTCACCCCACTAGGTGCATAGTTGATTATTTCGCACATTACTCACGTTGTCGCCAGCGCTATTACATGTTTTCCCATAGTCCACAGCACCTCGTGTTTATTTACATGTACATTGGACCCAAAATTCTTCGGCCACTACTTTCACCTATAGGGTTCCGAATTTCTACATACTTATATATATTGGTTTCCACATAGCATATTCATCATCCAAGTAGTAGGGAGCTGTTTCCCAACGCTTTGTGATCAAACCTGATATTCTGTAGTTCTTAGTTGACATTGCAAATATTACCGCTCTTTTTATCTGAAACACCTGCTGTTATTGATAATCCGCATACCACTCGCTATACCCAACGTTCTCTTCCAAACCTGAAGCAAACCCACACCCGAAACCCGCTAACCCGCAAAACCCGAAAACATCGGCCAACACTTTGGCATCGAACTCGTAATTATACCTTCAGATTCTGTTTCTTGCGCTCGGACTTTTGACAGCTTATCAATTAACTAAATACAGACTTATTCCAATAGCTAACCCCTCGGGTCGAACACACTTGTCTAGCAAGTATAGCAGACTAGGCTGTGCAAGACCACTACAACATTTTTATATTGCTGACACTTACTTCGTATAGTATCAAGCATTGTTGTATCTTTACACTGATCAGGGCCAATGTGTTGCAATGAGAACACTGAATGTTGTTGTGGACATTTCCGATTGAGAGATACAGTGGGTAGTAGTCATTTTGACCGGTAGCAATGAAAACAGTTGTCTTGTCACTGCCAACAATGATGGGAACAAAAGCTGCACCATGTGTTTCTGGATCCTGCACAATTTGGTCCTGTAATGATATCAGTACGAGATTGTAATAGCCATGAAAAATATGTACTGCTTGCTGCCAGGCCCAGTCTCCTGACACAAAATCGTTGTAACAATGTTGCTCACCCTTCTCCTCAAACTCATGGTACAGTGTATAATCAATTGAATGTTTGAAATCCAGGTTTGTGAGCATGTTCTTGACGACAGTGTGGGGGTCCCAAAACCAGACTTCATGCGACTGTTCCATCCATAGCAGGCACTGTCCAGCTGGTTGATTGCCATTATACTGGAGAGAAAAACTTTGCCAGGCAACATTGCCTAGTGGTGTGGCATCAATAGTCTTGTACAAGTCCCTGTGGTCAGCAAACAGTGGTTTATCATTATGAACAGTGAGAGTGACCCCCCACAAGTGGAGGATTTTGTCAATGTCACCAGTGGACATCTGGTTTTTAGTGTACATAAATTCGGCACACTCAAACTCTAGTTGGTTGTGATACAGAGTCCAGTCATTAGAACTTTGTGCTGTGTAGGGTGGTGGAGTGCCAGGATCAAGAAAATTGCTGTTCTCGTCACAAATACAACCTGTTGGCACAAATTTTCATCAAATACAAGCTGGCATGGCAGCGGAACCATGTACTTACCAGTCAGAAGGTCATGATAATCATGTATGAGCCCAGACTTTGACTCCTGCAGTGCCGCATCAGTATTTGTATGTCTCGGAGTGTCTCCTTCATCTTGAATTTCTTCAACTGAAGCACATTGAGTGCATGATGACTGAGCAGAACAAGTAAATGAGTGGCTATGTGCCAAGTTTTGATGAACTTTCAGCCCGGACACAGATTTTAGCCAGCATTTACAGCCTGGGTAGGGACACTGAATGCGACGAGTGCTGAATGCTCATCATTTGAATTGTGCGTGAGGGATTATATCTGGCATGTTGGGACAGCCAGAGTCGGACAAACTGCAAAGTTCAAACCATTGGCAAACACGCTAACTCTGAGTAGAATGTCATGTAATACATATTAAACAGGGTGTGAAAATTGACTTGGGGTTTCAACATCCATTACGACCACTCTCCCATTCATGCTAAATTTTCTCATCTCCAAACCAGACCTTTTGACCAATGGTACACCCAAATACTCACCCTAAGAATGCAACCCAGCATCCTGGTGAGATCCTTCTCCAAAACAAACAAAAAAGATGCACTGCTCATGAAGTAAAGGAAGAAAAGGATCAAATGGAGCAGGAACAGCAGGGGAACGAAGCCGCTGCAAAGTGCAACACCGAGAGAATCGCCTCTATTGAAGATAAGATGGCATTAAAGGAGCTGAAAACTCTTATGGACACACCTAAACCTCAGCCCCATGCACGTCCTATACAAAAGAAGACCAAACTCACCATCGAGGACAATGACGAGATTGCAGAAGGCACCATTGAGAGCAAGGACAATGAAATGATGGATGTTGCTACAGATGATAACAATGGCATTGAGGACTTTGTTGAGAGGTAAAGGATCTTCAGAAGACTCACCACAGACTTTGGCTGACCATTGTGTTGTCCAGTGATGATGAAGGCATAGAAGTGCAGCCAAGGAAGAAGTGTGTCCAGAAGATGGCTCATCATGAGGCTGTCCAGGATGTGAAAAGCATTAATAATAAAGGTGGTGTTCATCACAACAAGTCATCACAATATTCTGAACTTCGAATCACATCAGATCATGATCACACAATTGCGGCACATGGTGACCCAAAAGGCAAGAAGGTGTAAGTTCTGATCCTTTCCCATCCACTATGTTATTGCTCACCGAAACCATGCTTTCTCACCTTGATCTCCTCAATTGTTTCAGTGCAGATGTCAGCGCAATCAAGGACAACTTTGCAGGGATGGGAAAAACCAAGGACTGGGCTGAGAAACTTGTGGCAAGCAAGTTGCTCAGGCCTCAAAGCCTTCAAGCAGTTTCTCGAGTGTCCTCAGTAACTACCTCAACAGTCATTTTGGCAATCTCCAAGATGACCAGTACCAGTGCTCATTCTGGACCTCCCCCTACTCCAACAACTAATAGGCAAGGCAATCTTCAAGAGCCTACCACAGTCTTTTTTGATAGCAATGATTCTCTCGAGCGCAAGGTGGCCTTCACTGCTACCAAAAAACCTAGTGGCAGAAGCACAACTTCTGCAGTATGTATATTATAATTTTCTTACATTCACATTGCACTCATTTCCCTTCAGGATATAATGGAAGTCCAGGATAGTTTGTTATCTCCACCTCCTCCAATCAGACGCCTAGCAACAAAGAAAAGGACAAAATCCTTGTCTTTACCACCTTCTTCTATGCAGCCATCAAGAGCTACTGCCAGACTTGACACCACCCTCATTTCCAGTTTGTTGATGGACATCAATTCTGGCAACAGCAGCCCCAGTGAGGACATAATATTGCCTTCTGCCTCTGTGGAAGTGAAAAACAACAAAAGTCTGACAACTTCAGTAAGAATCAATGCTTTACACCATTCTGAGCTGGCCACTTCTTTTGCTATTTAATGTGGTGCTCATCTCTCTGCTTAACATAGACCAATGTTACCATCAGTAATCAAGCCCCTCCTTCAAAATGAGCAAAGACAGACTCTCACTCCAAGGGTGTTTCATCACGCCACAATGGAAGTGGCACCAATCACCGGTACCAGAATGATGATCTTCCTGAGGGATGCCAAGATGGTAATGCCTGGTGTCACATGTTCATACCAAGTGTGGCACACTGAGCTGGTGGAGATGTTGAGCCATGGGGTCCTGATGATAGTGATTTGAGGGAGACTATGCAAGAGATATGGGACCATATATACCAGGGTAGGATTCAGCATGAGATCTCCCAATCTGGCGCCGTCATGAAAGTCATAAGTCTGTTATTTGTGTCGCTTAGAAGTTCACTAACATTTGTAGGCAAAACAATGCCTCATGGAATGGTGTGGAGGGTTCGGTGTCGCAGCTTGCTCCATCCTCACTGCATTTTTTGCACAGGATGCTGATTTTTTAGATCCTGTCGCTCGTGTGGACTTCTTAAAAGCCATGCTCAAACAAAATCGGTTTGTTTTCAGGGATAATTCAGGTCTCATTCCCAAGGTAAGTGATATCATTATTGTTATGAGACCATCCTACTCATTTGTTCAAAGAATTGGATGGGTATGTGGAGATCTCCTTTCGTACTTCAAACATTCACATCGCATCTCAATTTCACCTTTGGCTGTGTTGAAATCCCCACCCTGGACACCAAGAACCCTAGTGCACGGGCTGCCTTTGCCCTCACTGTCACAGCCATAAGTCTCGATTTAGATTTCAACTGTATTTTAAAAATATTCTTCATAGGTTTACCACACTCTTCAACTAGTCATCAATGGGAACATGACTTTCAAAATCATTCAAGAATCACGCGGTGTAGAGACTGATATCTCTGTGGCCTTGCAGAGGCTATATATGCAACTGTCTCAAAGTACAGTTTGATGCCCAACTTGTGCCAATACCTCTCCAACCATTCCCTATGTGAAGTGAAACTCTCCCATGCCAAGTGCACAGTACCTTCCCGTCCATCGGCCACCCCAAGTGCTGCATTCTTGCTCACGCTAGGCATGCTTTCCCGTGCTTGAAGCACCTTACATCGCACAATCATCCATTGTCCAAACTAACCTCACTGGTACGTGTTCATATCATTTTATCCATATCAGACCATATTATATTTAATGATTGCTCAATTCTCATGTCATGGACCCTTATTACATACTTTACCTACTCACTTCAGCTCCGCTTCAGGGGCGCATTTTTAGACATATATAAGTGCCTGTAGTTCATATTTTACAGCATCGAATCATATAGAAGCTCCCTGCATCTCACTATCAGTGTAAAGCTCATCTGTCACATGCCATAGTCAGTAGCTATTGGCAATAAGAATATCCTTAACATCTATTATGAACCTCCCTTATAAAACCCACCTCACACTTTTCCCACACTTCGCGCCGCTCAAGTGCTCCATGACACACTCTGCAATACTCAAGTGCTCCATAATGTGCTTGCGCCTCACACACTTTCCCGCACTTCACGTTGGCTGATGAATGGCACCCTCTGCACCAATCCTAGATCCTTGTTGCACTTGCTTCCCCTTTAGGGTCAAACGCACTTGTCACTACAAGCATAGCAGCTTAGGCAAGCAGACCCAACACATAGTTCAGTATATCACCATCTGAATAGTAATTTCTACAGTGGCAAATGCAAAGGTGCAAAGACAGATGACAGTGATGTTTGGACACCCGTCATTGCGAAGGGTGAGCAGTATTCTTTTAGGAAACCAATCTGGGGGGGCATGACCCTCAAGTTCATGGGCCTCATTTCAGCGCTTTCCGACAATGACTTTGCAAGCATTGTGGAGGAAGCTCAACAGTATGCCAAGAACTTGAAAAATGTTGGGAACTTGAGGACTACTACCAGTGTTGCACCTGACAAGGACGACATATTTGCTGACCTTTTTGCTTTCCACTAATGGTGAGTGATTTCTGCTGCCACATGTAATTCATTGTTGATATGCACACAGATAATGTTTGGAGGGCAACTGCAACCTCACTCACCTTCCTCCTATTCAAGGACCCAGGTTAAGTCTCCTGGATTATTCAATTCCTCAGTGCTACTCGAGCTCATTCAACAGTCGTTTTTTTTTGCTGTTTAGACATACAGTATCTTGATGCCATTGCTTTCATTCTGCATTCCACTAGCCCTGCTTTCTGTTGCACTTACACCCATGCTCTCTCCATCATTATTCATGCGCACATTGCTCATCCATATTAACCTTACTTTAATCATCCTTATTTGTACATTGATTGCTTACTGGCTTTACTCTTATTCCATCTTGGCTGTCTCATGAACTTGGTTATTCTTGCTCCACAAAGATGTCGTTTATAAGATGAGAGACTTAAACTAAGTTGAGCGTCTTTGAAAAAGACTAACTTATTTTGTCTTGGTCACTGATTTAAGCTTGTCAAGTTGATTTAAGAACCGTGATATTTTACTGATGTTTTTCACTCATTTTCAATTCTAAAGTACCTGCAGCCAATAAATGAGTGGATGTAATGAAAGAGGTGAAGGAAGATGCAGAAAGCATGCTGTGAATGGCGGGTGAATGAATGAAAAGATTCTATGATAAAGGAGTAAAAGACGCAACACAGTTCAAGAAAGGAGACATGGTCTGGCTCAATGCCAAGAATATACACCAGAAAAGACCTAATAAGAAGCTCTCCAACTGAAGACTTGGTCCATTTAAAATGCTTGAGAAGACGGGTGATGTGAATTACCACCTGAAACTTCTAGCAAAATATCAGATTCACCCAGTATTCCACATAGAATTACTCACTCCACATTTCCCCTTGACTTTAATCCAAAGACCTCTACATTATCGTCCACTGCCAGAGATCATATCAGAAGGCAATTCTGAATGGACAGTACGAAAAGTCCTAGACTTGAGACTGCACAGATCAAAACTCCAATACCTAGTAGAGTGGGAAGGATATCTGATAGAAGAAGTGATATGGGAACCTGAGGAAAATTTAGAGAATGCATGGTTGAAAGTTCAAGAATTTCACCAGCAAAATCCAAAGGCATTGAATCCCCACAAAATTAACAAATCAGTGTTCAAAACTCAAGAGTTTTTGGAATAGCACAAGAAGTTTATTTGTCCTAGTTTCATTCATGGTAACACTCATCCTAGAGAGAGGGTAATGTCACAAGTTCCAAATACAAACCATTATTCATTCCTAAATTCTAAGTCCTTTAAGTGCCCAGTCACAGCGCCTGTTTCTAAGAATATGTTTACTGTAGAAGAAGTTCCTATTATTGTATCTATTATAGAATTACTAGAGTCACATGATTTCTTGGAAGATGCTGAACTTAATGATGTCACACCATGTGATACTCTTGGAATGTTCCAGAGTCTTACTGCAGCTGTGGCACATGTCATGACATCATAGTTATATATAAAATCATACAATACCTTTAATTATTCTGATTGGTTAGTTAGTTCATACTTAGTTTTGATCTCAGTTTCAATATATGTATATAGGTAGCTTGTCATAGTCAGTAGTTCTTTAGTTCAAACCTCTTATACAGTGGCTCAAAAAAGTGTCTCAATGTTTGTAACATTTCATGTAATTGCTTTATTATGAGCCAGGGTGTGGGAATATGACTAAACTATAGGGAGGTGTCATAAAGCTATACTTCTTAGCCTCATTTGAGTTCCCTATAGTGTGGGAAGCTGATGTCATCATGTGCAGATATGGCTATTTTAATTTGGTGACTCATTGAGACACTTTTTTGACTTTTAGTTTGACCAACACAATCTCAATAATTATGATACTTTATGTGACCTTCTGTTGCTCTAATCACTTCTGCCACTCTTCTAGACGTGCTATCTATCAATTTTGAATATTTCTTCTTAGCACTCCTTTCTCACTCTGCTGCAACTCTGTCCTACAGCTGAAATAGCCCCTATGATGAATTTTGATAGGCTGCAAGCAATTTCTTGAATATTTTTCAGAGATATTCAATAGGGCTGATGTATAGGGACTATGCTAGACATGATAGAACATTGAGATCGTGGTATTTGAGCTGCTAGTGACCAATTTAGACATATATTTAGGATCATTATTTTATTGCAACATAGTACCTTCCTCATTAATCTATGATTTCTGTATGCTTCTTAGCAGACTCTCATCTAAAATAGAGATGTACCACTTGGTATTGGTCCTTCACTTTACTTCACACAGAGAATATACACTCTATTACATCTCATACAGTCCTATACCTCTATGTTTGTTACTCCACACTTAAGAGTTTACACAATTTTTTTTCTTTTAGTGATTCACCTGTCTTTTTACAGATGTATTCCCAGCCATCTGACCTCATCATATTTATCTTGGTCTGATCTTATAATATGGTCCTCTTCCAGTCCTCTTCCAGTCCAGTACTGGTGCTTTAAAGCTAAAGTTTACTTTCTCTTTCTATAGGCTAGGAATAGGAGAGTCCTCTTCTTCTTGATTGTAGCTTTAATATTTGTTGCCTTGCAAGTATTGTTGATGGTTTGAGTGGAAACAGAGCTAGAGATGATGGAATTGATGAATTAGGTGGCCTGAGTAGCATTAGCAGCCTGCCCAGTTAGAATATGGTAAATGTGAGATCTTTATTCATGTGAGGTAAGCTTTCAATTTAGTCACTAGCAGCTCAAATACCACGATCTCAATGTTCTATCATGTCTAGCATAGTCCCTATACATCAGCCCTATTGAATATCTCTGAAAAATATTCAAGAAATTGCTTGCAGCCTATCAAAATTCATCATAGGGGCTATTTCAGCTGTAGGACAGAGTTGCAGCAGAGTGAGAAAGGAGTGCTAAGAAGAAATATTCAAAATTGATAGATAGCACGTCTAGAAGAGTGGCAGAAGTGATTAGAGCAACAGAAGGTCACATAAAGTATCATAATTATTGAGATTGTGTTGGTCAAACTAAAAGTCAAAAAAGTGTCTCAATGAGTCACCAAATTAAAATAGCCATATCTGCACATGATGACATCAGCTTCCCACACTATAGGGAACTCAAATGAGGCTAAGAAGTATAGCTTTATGACACCTCCCTATAGTTTAGTCATATTCCCACACCTTGGCTCATAATAAAGCAATTACATGAAATGTTACAAACATTGAGACACTTTTTTGAGCCACTGTATCTCCAAGTGAGCAATTCAAGACTGTACCTGCTGCCTTATCTCCTTTGTAATTATCTTGTTGTTTGAGTCCTAGTCTCTGCCCTACATTGATTTGTTTAAGGAGTTGTGATAGGCCACAGTAAATAGCCTACTTGACTTTCTTATTTTGAAATATGGAGAAAAAGAGACTGCTGCATTCCAGCATGCTCACCTTAGTTTCATCTAATCTATGGTTGCATATTCCATTGCTTGCTATATCTTACAAATTAAGGACCATCAGAATAGGAATATCATGATTAATGATAAAGGGCACATCATACACATTGGTAAGTTTTATGGTCAGGTTTGTCAGGAATTGTACTTAGGAGGGACTAGGGTTGGTGCAAGAGTGTATTGATGAGGTAAGTATATGGCAGAGGATGGGATAGGAGTTTGACATAGGGTGGGATAGTAGAGGGATGTAGATATGTATATACTGGTTAAGTGGAGCTTTTTCATGGTATGGTACAAGGGTTAAGGTGCATGGTATATAGGTTAGGATGCTGTCTAAGCAAGGGACTAGGTGTTCCTTCTTATTCTCCTATCTCTCAATCTGCCAGGTTAGTAGAATGTGTTGTTGATGGCTTTTCTAAAACCCATGGTAGGGCCATTCCATTTGGGGACATTAGGAAATGGGCAGAGGCTGTACAGGTGAGTGAGGGGTAACCTCACAGCCATCATGTCCCATTGGGTAGTTAAGGAGGTGGAGGAAATCTCTCAGGTCAGTCCAAGTTTCTACATCGTGGGTTGGGCTGATAGTAAAAATATTAAAACATGGCACAGAGAGTCCACCTGTGACTTTGAAATCAAGATGTTTAATGTGGATAGACCTAATTAAGTTCTGTGTAGCTTTATATATCAGTTCTTTGTCTACTATCTCACTCATTGAGGAAATATTATTGATGTGATACTTATTTTCATCTTGGACCCAGATGTCTGTGTCAGACATGGTAAAGCCAGATAGGCGGAACAGTAGTTCTGGGATTTGGAAGCAGCTGAATGGAAGTACTTTGAAGATAACATCTGTAGCAGACCATATATGTTGTCCCAGTATGAGTGATTTGGTTATTTAGAGACATTGTAGACCAAGTAGCCAACAGAGAATTCCATTGAGTTTCTCCCACCCTATGATTAAGGGAGTAAAACATATACTGGAGGCCAGCTTGGTGCACAAAATTTACTACAGTATTAATGTTTGCCTGGATATGCTTAGTAATGACAGTGGCCCTTTCAAAGACATCTCTACCTATAGTTAGGACTGTCATGGCTCAAGATGGCTGAACAAAAAACAAAACAAAAAAATGTGCTATTCTGATATATGAAATTCATATCCTTGATTCTGTGAAGTGGCCCCAGCTCAATTCAACTGAATGATTGCTTCAATTTCTATCCACAAGAGTAAATTGTATGTGAAACTAGCATAGAATAGGCCTTCAACACTGAAAGAATGATGAAACAGATACCAAAGCCCAGGAAAAGCAATATGATTCTGGAGGTTGGAGTGCTGTGCTGTGCTTTAGAGATGAATGGATATATCAATGATACAGCTGAGAAGTATAAAAGTCAGATGAATAACTAATGTCAGTTGATTAGCAAAGGTACTGAGTATGAGCCATGCCAAGAGGAGTGCGAAAACATAACTCGTGATATACACCTGGTAAAACTTGCACGCGAGTACTACTACTGTGACAGCGTGACCGTAACGTTAATTAGACCAAATATGGTAGCCATTTCGATCACTTCTTGTAGAGTAAAACAGCGAGAATCTATGTGAATACAAAGCAATAGCGGAGGCGATAGCATCGAACACAATGACATGTAATGAAAGCAAGTGTGCATACGGCAAATGGGCAAATCAGAGCAAACATCAACGGATCAAAAAACACTAGTGAATGTGAAGCAAAGGATGGAACAGTCAATTCAACGAAGTGAGAGCAGTTTGAAGGCGGGAAACAGATGTGTGAGCACGTTTGGAAGGTAAAGACCCTGATGATTCAAGTGTGGGCCGTTTAGCACCCCAAGAACCTGATGCTTGCACGTTCTCCTTGTTGAGCTCGGATGCAGCAGCAAAGGAAGATTGCCAGTGATCCTTCGGAATGCACGCGACACTCTGTTCAAGATCCATGAGTTTCATCGCCTTCCAAACAGCCGGAGGTAACATGACACCACCCTCCCTTCGTCCAGGCACGATGTACTCCTTGTGCAGATGTACAACATGGTCGGGCATATTGTAGCGCCACACAGCCTCCACAGCAATCGCCTGCGGCTTTTGTGACGTCTTACCAGGTTCGGGAGGGAGAGCTGGATGGCAGAGATCACATTTTACGGGGACGTTTCTACATGGCTGATTCTTTGAACCTGAGTCCGCGAATCTGTACTTGAATTTGTGCTGGAACATGCACTTTGTCTCCCATGTTGGCGGGCCGTGGTGATGTAATGATTAGAACCAAAATGAAATGTACCGATGATCTGATAGAATAGGCTGAGAAGCTGAAGCCTCGTTCCCATCAGGCACGTTGCTTGATACCATCTGCCTTTTAACAGCTGCTGCACACAGACACTTTTTGCTTCCCCGGTGGTTGCTGAACGCTTTGAACTGACCAGGTGCAAAGAGAGGGATGTCAGATGAGACATTTGTTTGGCACCATCCATTGCAGTCAGGGCATTGAAGGGTCCAGTGTGACCGATTGCTGATGCCAACAGCCAGGTGTCCAGCCGTAAACACCTTAAGGAGTGAATCGGGTGTGTTTAATCTGAGCTCTGTGGGAATATCAATGGAAGGTTCCTCAGCTTCGGCGTGTAACAGTTGAGTCTCGGAATCTGAGAAATTCAAAGGGTCCAGGTCCAAGTCAGAGTCAGTACTATCGGACTGAAATAATGATTGAACGTGAATGCACTGCTTGCTGCCTCGATGGCTGACCAAGGAGCTGAATTGGCCTTCATGCCAAAGCATAAGGCCTGAGGGTATGCTGGTCTGGCACCATACCTTGCAGTCAGGACAATGAAGGGTCCATTTCGGACCACTGCCATCAACCTCGAGGCCATTTGCCCTGAATACATCATGCAGCACCTCGGCAGTATTTAATTTGAGTGCCGCATCAATGTCAAAGTCCGGAGGTAGGGTGATTGATGGTATATGCGGGGGTTCTGACTCTTGGGAATCACATCTACCATCAGAATCCCAGCGATCGGATAGTATATCAGGCGAAGTATAAGAATCTGAATAGTACCCATCCAAATCACCAGGGTGTAATTGTACTTGAAAATCTATGGTGGGACTGCGAGAGTGTCCGGATATATGGGAATCATGAGAAGACGTGTGATTTGATCCGTGTTGCAAAGTTTCATTTGAGTCGTTACTGATGCTGGATGCTGAAGTGTCATAAATTAATGGGAACCGGCCTGCATGTGATGGACAAGTGTTAGAATACATAATAAACAAGGGCGTGTCTTTGAAAATGACAGTCGGTGTGCCGACAGGACAGAGAGGGCATGAGTTGTAATAAGAGACGTGTTATTGATATCAGACGCGACTTAATGATATCAAAAGTCACGTGATTTCACACATGACATCCAAAATACTGTATCTGAGTGAGCAGCACCCTTCAACATATGTTTTTCATTGATTCAACTATCTAGATATGTTTTAAAGTAGTATAAACACCCCCCTTCAGTCTTCAGCAAATGATTTGGTAAAGTTTTGATGCCGCTATCGAGGAACTCAGAACCTATGTTTTGAAAGTTCAGTGGCTGTATATTTAAGGTTTACAAGCTGACTAATATTGAGCCCTATGTTCAGCATTCTCCTTTTACACTCCTCTTGAGCCATGCTGAAGTTTGGTTGATGATGGACAATCCCTGCTTTGCTTGTAAATTTTTCACTGAGCTTGCAGTAACTGTTATAGCAAACAAAATAAACAATATCTTGGATACAAATGAGTTAATTACATGATGCCATTTACAACTACCTACCTGGGTGATTTCAGATAGTTTTGCAGCCTTCGGAGCACCATTCAATGCCAAACATGTACAACCTGTGCCAACTACAAGAATAATTGCCCCTCTGCATATGCTAACACATAGGTGAGCATGAGCAATATGCACAAATCTGTCAGGCTGCACTCACATCATGTACAAATCCTCTCTCTTGTTAACACTGAGTAGTGGGAATATGCCAGTTACAAGACAGCTACTCATCCAAGAAAGTAAGAGTCTCAGTGTTATGACCAAATGTGACTTAGCCATGACGCATGTGGCCATAAAATGCCCATGGCCAAAAAACCAATGCTCCATAGCGACCAGTGAGTGTAGGCCGCCTAAATCATTTGTAAGTCAAACAAGCTTCATAAAATGAACAAGGTCGACATACAACCATACACTGGAGCATAACCACTACAATAATCAAGTGAAGTGACACTTTGCCTATAAAATGTCCACATCTGTCACTTGACTTGAATTGTTGCGCAACAGTTGAAATTCCATGCAGTGCAAATTGCTGCCAGAAGTAGCAGGGGAAGGTTACATAGACATAAAATGTCCATGGAGCTCTCTCTGCGGCAAACAGTGCTCAAAATATTGCTAATATAGTTGTGGTGGCAAGTCTGACCACAGTACACTGCCTGTCTGAAACCGAGGAAGCTGATAGGGGGGAAATTGACAACGATGCATAAGCAGACCATCCCAGATATGCTACTATGACGATGATCCATATAAGTACTCGATTATAGCTGCATTCTCTCAGTAATTGTTTCTAATGGTAGTCGAGCAGCTTACGTTTCGAGATATCGAAGACCTTGTAGAGTAACCTTGATGAGTTCAGTTATCTCTCGACGGGATTCGAACCATCTTCTATCACTGATCAAACATTATATTTTGAATAACCAGGAAACTTTTGAAGGCTTCCCATCTTGAATAGCTTCTTCTAAAAGTTCTAAAGCTTTGTATAGAGTGGTTTGTACGGCCTTCGATTCCACCAGGCGGCCAGTTATGGACAGAGAAGCCAGATAGCGCATTTGGGACGCACCGTGTTTTACTCGGTAGTATTCTAAAATACTTTCTGCATTTGCCAATGCAAGCCGGGCCAAGGCTGACTCTCCTTCTCGCGGTAGCAAGTAGCCAGGTCGCGTAGGATCTGCATGAAGGATTCCCACTGAAGTTAATACCAAGCAGCGCAGCTATCAGGGGTGCAAGATCCGCTTGTTCCCCGTCTCGTCGAAGAAAGTCGTCAAGTTGCCAGAGCCGAGAGTACTCATCGTGCGAGGAAGGAATGATGCCAGTAAGTGGGCCCCTGATGCCTCGCCCCCATGCAATTAGTGGGGTACGTGTGTTGTCCGGGTCTGCGAATGCGAATGCGAACTCCTTCAGCACCTCATTGTTCAGACTGATGCAGCGCGGACCTCACCGCCATCATCATGATTGCCGATCCTAGGCATGCCGTGGTCAGCTGTAAATACAAAGCTTGTCTCTTCATCATGGTAGAAATTGGAGAAAAGTTCTTCTGTTTGTCGGACGATGCGATCGACGACTTGGATATTGTTCGTGTATTCCTGTAACGGAGTAAATCAATAAAAGCGCACCAATGGAGATCTCACCTTGGAGTGTTGCCTATACGAGTGATCAGTGGTATCCAGACCAAGAAGGTGCAGGAAGAATACCATTTTGTCGGCACGTAATTCTGAATCAAGCAAGTCGTTCGATGATGCGTTCTGAAACAACGTCCAAAGTTGGTCCAAAACCCAGGTATCTAGAGCGGTGGCATCTATCCGGTTGGTCTGATTTAATAGCATGACTGCAGTAGTTCTGGACGTTCGTGCCTTGCGTGAAGTCTTCGTCTTCCTCATCGTAACTCCAAGTGTCAACTTTTCCGGGCGTTGCACCTTGGGCAAACATTGGTAATATGTCTGGGGAGCCGAAGGAGAAAGTGTGACTAGATTGATTGGAGATGGAGTCAAAGTGAACCTGGAGAAGGAATGAGATATTGCTCGCGGTGTCTGTTGCAACGATACTGACTGGATTCGTTTTCCAACCCTATCTCACGAGTCTCGTCAGTATATAATAACAAGAGATTGACTCTTTACCTTGGTCACAGCAGATATATCTCATACATACCCCCTTGTATTTTCTTAAGTCAGCCCAATATTACTGACGTATCGGGCAGTGGCATACCGATGATTGCGACATGCCTAGGTCGACTTTCCGTTGGTACTCGAGTGTGCGACAATCCAAACGCCCCTCGCGTTTGAATAATATCACGCAAATAAGGCGCTACAATCTTTGGTGAGGAAGAAATGAAAGAGAACGCGTCCACATCAAATAGAAGGTCTGCGCGTAGACCGTCTCCTGATAGAAATTGTTGGTTGAGCAGCTGGTGCTACGGAAGGCGAAGCTATACTTATCCACAATGAGAACGACCCGTTTTCTCCCCCAGAGCCAGCCCTGCGAGGAAGTATGCCATAGACGACTGGGCTAGTGAAGTAGCAGTCAAAAACAGAAGCAATGAATACGACGTGGAGGATGAGTCCCAGTGTTAGCAACTTGTGAACATTTCTATGCGATGACACTGTCATTTGTATGCTTGAACAGAAGCCGCCCGGGATGCAAGATCTAGACTCGGGCAAGTATAGAGGACCAGTGACAAAGTGTGTGAATAACATGCCTTTTCAAGATGGGGCACCTCTGCCTGTCCTCGTCAACCTGTTAGAACCCATTGATATCGCTAAACATGGGCTACAAAACGTATACATCGTTCGGACTCCCGACGTTCCTTATCATCATAATTGCTTTGTATTTGCTGTTTACAGGTATGCTAAAAATTATTTTATTTGTTCCGCAGCACTTGAACACGTTTCGAACAGGTTCTGGAGAAGTGTTCGATGTTGGTCGGTTTCTCGAGGAAACCAGCCCGTTCGTCTGGGGTTCACTCGGAATTGGACTTTGCATAGGCTTGAGTGTTTTTGGAGCAGGATGGCGAGTTTGTATGGTTTCATTCTTGTTTAGTAGCATTGACGTTGTTTTGAAGGGGAATATTTTTGACCGGGGCATCGATACTGGGTGGAGGAGTAAGGACTCCAAGAATCAGTACAAAGAATCTGATCAGGTGCGTTGTCTTTATATATACACCATGCACAGAAGTGACTGAGTGCTGCTCATTGTCAGCATCATCTTTTGCGAGGTGGTTGCAATCTACGGAGTGGTGCGCATTCATTCCCTCGAGATTCCGTATCATACTTACCCCATAATAACAGATCATGGGTATCGTATACTCATCCAAACTACAACCGGTGCCCGAAGCGCTGCTGTATACGAAAGATAACTACTTCACCGGTACATATTTCCTCTTCGTTATTTTCATTGAATACCACTTATCAAGCTACAGGATATGCGCTATTCTTTGGCGGGCTCACTGTTGGATTGTGTAATCTTCTTTGTGGCCTTTGTGTCGGTATCGCCGGCAGCACTGCCGCACTCGCTGATGCAGCTGATTCTACGCTGTTTGTGAAGGTACTCGTAGTAGAAGTGTTTGGAAGCGTGCTGGGACTTTTTGGACTCATAAGTGAGTGGAATCATATGTTTCATTATGCAATGCACTGACCCTACCGAAGTTGGCCTTCTGATGATCGGGAATGCGAAGGAGTTCTTACCAGGATCGCCTGCAGTGTCTGCCGTCTCATGACTTCAGTATCTAGAGCAGATCCTAGCTTCCAGACACTGAATCGTAACGGTGCTTGCGTACCAGTCCCCTGCTCTCGATTCCGATTTCTCAACTTGTATATTTTGCTTCTGTCCCTAGAAATATACTAAGTATCTATCACAAATCTTGCAGCCCTGCAGCTGGCTAAACAGCATTCGATCCCATCGTCTCGGACCAGTTGACTCCTTTGGGCGCGAATACCATTTGGACGGTTTCGTCTCAACTCTGCCAGTACGTCCAAAACGCCACCTTCTGTGGAGTATAAAACAGACAGCACCAACAATCAAGTCGCCAACAACCTGTTCTCTACAAGTAGAATCAGTTCATCGTGCTGATCCGCTTTTCTACTGCTTTCGTTGTGCTCCTCGGCCTGACGGCCGTCATGAGCGCTGGAGCGCCAGTAAGCCTCTCCTCGCGTCAAACCCCATCATATTATTATACGACGATGCCTCGTCGTAGTGTTAAGCCCGATGACACTGACAAGGCACCGTCAGTAAGTCTCCTCGCATCAAATTTTATTGTCGTAGTGTCAAGCCCTCGGATGCTTAGAACTGGTAAGCCTCAGGCCTAAGACCCCTATCATCGCCATGTCGTACGCGGGGCAACTGCTGTGCGGGATCGATCCCTTATGCAGAATCAGTTACAAGGAATCTCAAATATAGTATAAGTAGTGCTAGCAAGAATACGTGACAATTCGAGATGCCAGGCGCAATGCCAGTTGTATGTTTGAATCTGCGTGTCTATCGAACTTGTGTGAAGTCCAACACTGGGACATGTACTTGCAGGTATAAATGTTCAAATGCTGGAGGCATAATCGTTGAGTACAGGCGGAATTGATATAGAGTGAAACTCACCCTCTGTCCATCCAAATCGTGGTAATTGGTACTGGAAGACAACAAGTGACATGCCTTTTTTGCCCATCCGCAGCCTCAGCGGTCACAAATATAATCACCGCAGCACATGCGCTCCACTACAATATACAACAGCATTCTGAATTATTCAAATAAACATTGGCTGCAAAGTCTTTGAATAGGCATCTGTCCAATTGAGCTGCGTCCAATAGATCCGCATCGAAAATGTCTTCAGATCGTCACCACCGCAACCATTCCCCATACATATTTGGTCTTTCTCCACGAATATAGGCCTCAAACGTTCGTTTTAGCACCGTTGCCCAGTCCAAATCGCGCTTGTCGTTGGTGATTTTGTCGCTCCAATCATCAGGATCTGCATGAGGGTTGGCAGCAGCGCGGGCTGCCCTTTCACCACCTGCAAATTTCTGCCCCAAGTCCGGCCAATTCCTTGCAGGGTCAAACGGTTTCCACCTTTTCATAAAGATCTTAATAAAGGTGTGATATGAAAAAAAAACTACTCACCAGAAGTTATGAAAGTGATACGAGAACGCTCCCCTGAAGAACCCCTCAAATCCGACAACCTGCGGCGCAGCACTCTGCACTTCTGGAGTGTCAAAGAAATCCGCAAACCTACGTGGTGGATCGTTAGTAAGTTACAATGACAACCATCTTCAGGAACATACCCGGCGAAAAGGGGTATGTTGGTCTTTCCAATTGATAACCTTCCGTGTTTAGCCACGCTGGGTCAAATAGCGCGTCCGGAATGCGTAACAAAAGGTTCTCCAGGTGTGCCTCTTTAAGGTACTTAGAGACAGCGACAGGATGAAAATCGAAACCGTTCTTCAATGCGGTGCGGAAGAGGAAAGAACCAAGGGCAGAACCCTTGTTGAGATGGAGTACAGCAGTGTTGTAGTCTTCATGATAGGACCACCGGTAAGCAAAAGCACCTTTCCATCCCCAAAGCTCCTCCCAATCCCTCAAGAAGATGGTATCAGCATCCAGGTAGATCCCTCCATAGCGATGAGTAACGATGAAACGCGCCATGTCAGACAAAATCACAGAAAGCCTGTCATAAGTCGCTTCCGATTTCGAACCAAGGCGATGAACTATGTCGCCGGTTTTAGATAAGGCAGTACTAGAGTTCCCTGCAGGCTGCTCAGCAGGTACGCTCACAGTTACACCCCCTGAATTGAAGAGAGTGTCCATTTTCCTCCACTCGTCCCTCAGCTCCAGGTTGCTATCAAGCTGTTCCGTCGTGTTCCATAATCTGAATTTGATCACATTCTTGAAACGCGGATGAAGGAAAGGTGCCGCCCATGGGTTCGTTTTCAGTGCGTCGTACATATCTGTGAGCGCGGAGGGATTTGGAACAGCCGCTGCAGGACCAGGATTAATCCACAACCAGATCTGTGGATGACAAGCGTCGAGGTCCTGCCCCGGTTCAAGATGGAGGCCAAGATTCTGGGTGAAAAGAAAGGATAATAGCGCGACATATGGTTTCTCGTTGAATGGACCTGCCCAAAACATATGGAACAGGCGAAGGTTTTCCGGGTCACAAGTAGTCGAACGGTTTGAACCCACACTTGGTTGCTCGGGGGGAGGGAGCTCTAGTGGAGGTTCCCAGTGAACATTCCTTTTCTTCATCAATCCCGCATTGGAAATTTGGCGTCCAGTAGGATATGGCCCAGCAGGCACTATAGGTGCAGCCTGCGTAGCGCGAGGAGGAATTTCCTCCTCTAGTCGATCCTCTTCCATAAACGCGTATTTCCATCCGTCAACTGATCCTCGTCGAAGTCTTCGACCATTATCCAAACCAGCGGAGACGCGCAGAAATTCCAAGCAATCGCGGACGTACTACAGAACAACGTGAACATATGAGTAAGATCCTCGCGAATGACACACCTTGCCCTCTGAAAAATTGCACTGCTCAAGAATGATATCTAAATCTGCAATGCTTCCGGATATCGGTCTGGGCGGATATGCAGCGCCGATAGACTGCTTCTGATTTTCAAGATATGTCCTACGGGGACCAACTCCCCGTGTGATAGTGGTCACTGGCCCTGGCGGGGGCGTAAAGGGTGAAATGAGTGTGTGTGCCTTTGCTGGAGGCAAGGCTGGATTCAAAATAGCGGAGGTGAAACCAATCTGCTCGGGTACTCAAAGCAAGTCAGCTCCATCTGACATAAAACCCAAAAGCACGTTGTCACTTACTCTTCCATTGCTGGGGTAATGTCCGCTCTCGATCTCCCACTTCCAAATGTGCTGCAAGTTCTCCCTGCCGAACACGAGGGTTGAATCCCTGAACGGAGGTGTCCAGTGTGACTCTTCAGTACCCAACAACATGAGGACGATCATTGCCATAGCACAGACTACAGCAAGGAAAGCAACACATCGACAGACGAAAACTCTTCGTCGACCAACTCGGGCTAATCTGGAACGGGGCGCGGGGCTCAGGGACTGGAGACGTATTCTGCGCGTTGATCCTGTTATAGGCATGAGCCATTGCCTACCACTGGACTGGAGATCCAATTTTTCGCGAACAGCAGAGGAATAAGAAGGAAGATGGGGATCATAGAAGGGTCGGTCGCGAGTAGTACCACGCTGAAATGCAGTGAAATAACGAGCTGCCATCCCGTTCAGGGAGCAATTTTGAGTTTTGTGGGATAGTCAAGGAAGAAATGAAGGAAGGATGAGAATCACAGGCCTCAGTACGTCAATACTTTCTATGATAGTGGAGTAACGAAAGTGGGCCCATCAGGTCATCGCGTACAATTAAGTAACTTGCAAGGAAGATATTTTACCGTTATGAATTGGGCAAGTTGTCATTCTACCACGAAGATGCGCAGCTGATGGCAGAAGACATGAATAGCTACCTACTCACGCAAACATCCAATCGCCGTTAAACAGAATTTTCAGTGTCAAGCCGTAGAAACCCCATAATCGTACATTGTTAGACGCATGATAAACCCCCCTTAATACATGCTACAGTATCTTTACAGCAAAGTCCACAGTCTCGACAGTCGACTTCAATCATCTAGTTTGCTCCTAGGGATTGCAACTCAAAATCAGCAGGGTCAGTAGGGACCGACAAGATGCGCATGGTGTTGGTGTGGCCAAGACCTCCCTTCCAGCCTTGCACAGCGATGACGGTAGTTCCCGTCTTAATGATGTTCAATGCAAGCGCGTTCTTCAAGCCGAACCGGATACGGTTGTCAACCTGGATGAAATATCAGTTTCAACTTAGAGTCAATCAAACATGGGCGCATGCTCACATCTTTCTGCCACTGACTCTCATGAATTCCACGCGGCTCAGGGTACCAGAATGGATAACATCCACGGTGGAGATGGATTTGGCGCGCGGTCTGCTCGTTCCGAGTGACTTGAAAAGGTGGCCGAGTTAGAGATATCGATAGCAATAAAAGGACACTTACCCGTGATGATAGGTATCCTAGGGCGGTATTTGGAGATCAGACGAGCAGTGTTTCCGCTTGTGGACAGTACAATAATGGCGCTCGCATTTTGCTCTGAAGCAGCAGCGACTGCGGCAATTGCCACAGTCTCTACAGTCTCAGTAGGACGAGGCTGGATGCCTCGTAGCTCGTCGTACAGAGGTGGGTAGCAAATTGCTGCCTCGGCCAGTAAACATGTCTCAGCCATCATGAGAACTTCACACGGCATCAGTCATGTCATAATCATCATGCGAAGAACACACACCAGACTCTACGGGATAAGTTCCCTTTGCAGTTTCTCCCGACAACATCACGCAATCGGCGCCATCAAGGACAGCATTGGCCACGTCACTGATTTCAGCACGAGTGGGCCTGGGGTTGTACTGTGCGTGATCTGAGCAATGCTCAGAAGGAATCAGGTCGATTAATACATACCGTCATTGACTATAAGTAGCGTGTATTCAGTGAACGCACTATCGCACGATGAGCGATCTACGTACCTCGAGCATCTGGGTTGCCACAATGACTGGCTTCCCAGCGATGTTGCACTTCGCAATCATCATCTTTTGTGCCAAGAAGACCTGGCTTGCGGGGATCTCGATACCAAGATCACCACGAGCAACCATGACACCATCAGTTTCTCGCAAGATCTCGTCAAAGTTTTCAACACCCTGCTCGTTCTCGATCTTCACGATGATTTTGATGTTGGCACCATCCGGCCCTAGAACTGTACGAATGTCTTTAACATCCTGGCCGCGGCGGATAAATGACGCGAAGATCATGTCAACACCATTCTTGACACCAAAAAGCAGGTCCTTTTTGTCCTTCTCAGAGAGAGCAGGAAGGTCGACTTCGGTCTTTGGAAGGTTTACACCCTTGCGAGAAGAGAGTGTGCCGTTGTTCACGGCACGTACGCGAACGTTGGGGCCCTCAATACCCAAGACGAGCAGAGAGAGAATACCTAGGCATTTATTAAATGAATAAAATAATTCAAAGGAAATCACAGATAAACGCACCATCATCGATGTAGATGAGCTTGCCGGGAGCAGTGACCTTTGGCAAGTTTTTCTACAAAAATAGGTTAGTGTGAAACGCACAGACGAGTTTTCCCTGCGTACGTAGTCAAGCCATAGGACCTTGTCGTCACCAATCTCGCTGTGCTTGTCTTCTGTTGAGATGATGAATTCGTGGCCAGCCTTGATGGGCACCTAAAGAAGCAAGGTGAAACATGATGTCAATCATCTGGTGGCGTCAACGATAAAGATCAGAAGCATACATCTTTTCCATCTCTCATCAAACCCGTGCGGATTTCGGGGCCTTTCTGTTATCAGCCGAATATCAGCATGAATTTACGACACGAGCGCATGAGTCTCACCGTGTCCAAAGCAATCGCGACTGGTCGTCCACTGGGATCCGCTAATATCGGGTATCAGTCTAACAGTCGTATGATCGGACAATTCGAATTACCCGCAACCATCTTTCTGGTGTTATCGATGACACTCTGGTGGTAATCATATGAACCATGGGAAAAGTTCATGCGAACTGAGAGAAGGGGAGCGAGTCAGTCGTCGTAGAAATTGTATGTACGATCATCACTGACCAACGTTGACACCAGCGCGTCTCAGGGCGCCAAGTTTCTCGACGGTGTTCGTGTTCGGGCCTAGAGAGGATCAACATTGTACTAAACATCGACGATCACACAAATAGCGCACCGATAGTTGCGATGATCGAGGTCTGGAAGGTTGTGATTAGATAAAGCATGGATGGTTGGGAAACAACTGACCTTGCGAAGGAACTTGGTGTCAGCAGTGGGTTGGGGGGCATTGGAGACGCTTAAGGTGGAGTTCCACTCGAGCTGCGATCGGATACCATCGTAGGTGAACATCTTGTTGGTTCTGGCAACGTTGGATAGGAATCGATTATCTGAGGAAGAAAGGATACTATCAGCACTCGTAGACGATATAAGTCTTTTAGCGGCGCTAGCGAGAAAAAAACCAGTGCGGATCATACGATGTTGTTTTGGCTCGGTTCGGTGACTTACCTGATGGTGGCAGGGTTAAGGGAGCAATGTCTACCAAATGTTAACCAAATGTCCACACATCTGTGTATTTATCCATCCCTTGTTGATCCCTGCATTGATCTAATCGATTTCCACTTAATTGACAACCCGCACCAATCGCCTGTTCCTCGTGTTGGTCGTATCCATGTCAGGCCGCCGCCTAGTACAATTTTGACACGAACGTTCTGGGCTTGAACGTTCCAGGCTTTACGTTGACTATATCGGACGATAGCTAGCAAGTATTGTGATTAAACTAACAAATATGGACCCATCATGAATTGACAATACGATAAAAAAATCTTGCCAGCATGTCTGGCTTACAGAAATCCACTCAAGAAAATGAATCGGTAGAAAGAACGGTAGGTACGGGAACTAGGAGCTTGACGACAGCGATGATCTGAAAGATAAGACAGAGCAAACGAAGAGCAACAGCAATGAGAATCGACGACAGCATATCTGAATCAATGTTACATCACTCTTAACGTCCAACCATGCAAACCTCCATCAGCCGCAGCCGCAGCCTGCGCCGCAGCGAGCCAGGTAGCGTCCGCTGATCCCCCTGGCGGTGCTAGGACACCGCCAGGTGCCATCGACCCTAGCTCCATAGCCTGAAATACGTTTTCACAACTGATTGTTCGTCCAGAGTGATAACCAATACCATCCGAGGCGCGAATGAACAATAGGGGAAGACTCCGGCCAGCGATGGAAGGTGGAGGGTGTGTTTGTGAACTATTTCCGTTGGGCCCGTCAAGCGGCGTTCCATGTTCACTGTGTTGCGGTGATTGCCGATGAATGAGACCGTCTGGGGTCATTACGCTAGGAGTCATCACGTCCTCTTCAAGCGCCTTAATAATTTCAGCTAATGATGGTAGCTCCACTGTCACGATGGTGTGCAAAGGGGGCTGAGTGAGATATCGTGATGCAGCGTCGGCAGGGGAACTTGCAACGTCTTCACCTCCACCCACCACTACCTCACTAGATGAACCGGACATGGCAGAACCGAAAGCGGCAATGTTAGTTAGTGGTCCTGGGGGAGCAGCTTGATAGAAACGCGCTCTGAGAGGACCAAGGCCACCTAAATACACGGTCAGTGGCATTTGAGTTCGTGTCTTTGGGTCTTCATAGAAGAAGTGTGACACGGTCATTTCGAGTATATTGTTCGTTGGTCGGTACACTGGCGCCGTGAATAGTGTCGGGAAGGGTGTGATGGGCATCTCGGGTATTGAGTTACTATGCTGACCAAACGCATCAAAGAATGTATACTGGAACTTGGCTGTTCGAGCGTTATTAGTGCAATCCAAACTGCTCAATGAAAAGCACTCACAAATGCCCACAATTGTCCAACATAAATAGTCATCTACTTCATCGATCAAGCTTCGCACGCCATCTTTCATCTCATCTCGTATGCGAGGCGATTGGAAGATCAGGGGGTGTGTTCCACCCTGAGCTGGTGCCCCTGGGACAGATGGGGTAGAGTTCGGAGCGCCAGGTATGGGACCGGCGGCAGACAAATAATGTCTCGTACCATCCTGATTCACTCTTTGCAGAGCAATTTTCTGCATTTGACTCACAGGTCCACCATCCTCAGCAGATACGCGACCTTTGTCTACTTTGCGAATGATAAGGGGTGACGTGGCGATATTAGACAGTGTGTCCGAAAGGACGACCTCACATCCGTAAGTGACAGGTTGCGGACCGGCTGAACGTGAACGTGAGTAAACATGTATAATACTTTCCAGTCACGTGAGCACACACCATTGGTGGGCGGCGCGTCATCGGGGCGTCGCACTACGTTCACGTTAAACGCAGACCAAGTGACATTACTTGCACAGAGCTGAGAGTTGTCGATGGTCATATACTTGGTGCGTACAGTCTGTGAATTGATCCTGTTGAAAAGAGACACAGGACCTCCCGCGAGGATACAGGAAGAGATGTTACGCGTTTTTGCTGTCTTCTTCGAGGGTTTAGATATAATGGTTACAGGAGCTGAATCAAAGGTGGCCCAAACACGTCCTGGAGTACCATCAGCGCTGCTCTCGCCTGACAAAGCAGAAGGAGGAGGTTCTATTATGTCGAGGGACAACTGGAAGCTCTTTGCCTTTGCTGTGCCTGTCACGTGCAAGAATTTGAAGCTTCCGGTCATGTTATTGTCCAAATTAGTCTTTTGGTCCAATGATCGTTCACCCTGTTCGGAGACAACTGACATGGCGAGTTGTTGAGAGCGCATTTGCCATACAGGACCTTGAATGTGCACAACAGGAGGAGGACAAAGGAAGCGTTTCTCGCTACCATAAGATTTCTGTGCAACGGCAGCGTGCAAGCACATGACGGTCGTCATTTGAAGGAGAGGATGCTGGTGCTGCTGCGCCACATGTTCGCGAACAATAGGCCGACGGATTTTTGGATGTGGATCTTCAGGCTCTGTCTCGTCGAGTTTGCGCTTACCACTCTTGCCGTTTGAAGACTTGTTTGATATACATATGAGTAGTACACCATAGTGATGTACTTTGTACTTACCTGGGCTGTTACGGATGGAAGATGAGGGGAAGAATGATGTGGCTGAGGTGAAGGTTGGACAGGGGGAATACCCCACTGATGTAATGAATCTGGAGCTGCTGAATCTTTTCGGTTCGCGGCAAGTAGAGATTGAAGAGACGCGTTCGGATCGGGATTGTTAGAGAGAATAGAAGGAGGAGCGGAAGTTACTGGAGGTTGTGAATTAGAGATGACATTGCTGCTTGATGATGATTGAATATGATTTGTATGCTGAAACTGTTCACCAATTTTATTGGCAAGTATATGAGGAGGAGAAGAGGTAGGGTTTACAAGTAAATCCAAAGTAGATTGTACGGGTGATGTTGGTGATGAAGTGCTTGAAGTTTTATTCAGCTGCTGTTGAAGAGCAGCTTCGGGCATTTGGATGTGTGAAGAAGAGTAAGGATGGAAAGTCCTCATAACAGTTTCCCGCCCGATGTTGGTAGCCAGCTGTGGGAATCGAGGAAGAGAGGTGGGAAAATAGAGAAGAACGATTTCAACTAAGACGTGAGAAAAAACAATTACAAACACGTGTAATCGTGAGAACTTTATATAAATAATAATAATAACACATTAATAAATCTAAACTATACTAGACATCGCATGTAATGCCCATCGTATAGGCCACCAAGCAGATCCCTGTTTGAGGCATAAATCATCCAGCTGTGTAAAATCTTTGACATATCAACTTCATGCACAGCTCTTGCTAGATCGGACTTACTAAGTTTTGATAACACGCCCATTTTATCCTCTCCTTTGATTGTCTCCTCTATCTCATCCTCAGCCACGACGCGTACCGAGCCCTCCGATTGTACTTCATCCTCAGCAGGTTCAAATGTTTGCTCTTGTCGTAACCATTCCCAATTTTCCCCCTCGTATGAGACGGGAAAAAACCCCGTAAGACTGAATGGGTCCTTTCTATCACGCGGGGATGCAAGCGGGGAGGCCGCCGTCGCCACGAAGGCGTGGTGGGATGATGCGGCTACCGATGTTTGATCTAAGCGGGGAATGAAGCCATCTACGGTAGATTTTGCCCTGGCTAGACCAGGTCGAACTTGAAATTCGAAAGCCTGAGGTGCGGTATTCGAACGACGGATGGCCATGGTGGGCCTCTTCTATGGGTGATGCAATGTCGAGCATGAAAGTCAAAACTTGGATATTACAAACTCCGCGACTGTGCATAAGAGGGGCAGGTACTTAAAGCTACCTACAAAACATACGCAGATTGGAATCGTCGTGCGATATGTATTACGATGGTCCTACATATGCATAATGCAAGAAGCAAAAGGGTAATTGATAGTAAGAAAAACAATATTAATGTTGTCGAAGTTGCAAGAGACGCGCGAATACCCTAATGAAACGACGGGCGTAAAAATATGTCCATGAAGTCGAACGTCCGACGTGTCTTAGAAAATGATCGTAACACCTGACATCTGACACTATCTCAGGCCCAGTCCCTCAACTTGGAGGGTCCCGAGGGACCCCAGCGGAACGACGTCTGTCCATAGGGCGACTTTGTCCAGGGAATGGAACAGTGGCGTTAGCCTCGGTTCTCATCCCACGAGAGTCTCGCTTTGTGCCAGCAGGGCGTTCGGGGCGAACTCCAAGCTCCACATCCTGCTGGTGCCGCTGCCAATCCTCCACCCTCAGTACCGATTGGCGTTTCGACGACGATGGGTTGTTAACACCGTTAATCGCAGCAAGCTTGTCAGCGCGTATTCCCTTGGGTCGACGTTCTAGGTTCTTGTCATCCTCGGGCCCTGTCTTGTCCTCTGACCTGCGCCGCAACTTCTCCTTCTCTTCTCGTGCAATCCCTGCGGCCTTCTCAGCCTGTCGTCTGTTGACCGCTTCCCGCTCCGCTGTCTTTGAGCGTTCCCAACGATCCTTGGCAGCCTGGAGCTCCGCATTTTGTTTCTCAGCCTCCGTGATGGGAGCTTGAAGACCCCGCATCTTCTCCCGATGCCGCTCCTCCATTTCCTCAAACGTCGCAACACGCTGAGGTTCTGGCTTCTTGGCAACTGGCGCTGCTATGTTTGTGCTTTGTCCGCGAGGAATGATCATGGGAATATTGCTGGAGGGCTCAGCAACCGCAGCCTTCAATGGTCGAGTGGGGGGGAGCACGATCGGTATGTTGCTTCGCTCGGGCTCAGGTAGCAATGACGTGCTCCTGGAGAGGATGGCAGGAGGATAACGTGCAGCAGCTGCAGGAGGCTGCGAGGGTGCTAACACAGCTGGAATCGTGCTGTTGAAATATGATTTGGGCTTCCTCTGGGCTGATACAAGCGTCGCAATGGGCGCATCCTCGTCCGACGTATCTTTCGCGCTTGTATCTGGGCCAATACTAGGGTCCAGTAAGATCTCCCGTTGTTTCCTTTGGGAGAGGGCTTCAGTGACAGCTGGTGGGATAGGTAGGCGTTGTTGTGCAGACAATGATCCTGTCGTGGACACACGGCTCGTTGGGATGGGTGCAGTTACCCCAGCCGGTGGTTGTAAGAGCTTACGGTCACGAACGTACGAGTCCCAGTCATCGTCGCGCAGAGGAACACTTGTAGGACGGCCAATAGATGCACCGAGCGGAGGCGTATCTATAAGCTTGGAAAGTTCCATGGACTGTGCACGGCCGCGTGGATCTGGTTGTCTGGGTGGGCGAGTGTGTGGACGGGGAGCAATAGCATTGTCAAGGTCATAGCTGAGGGTGCGACGAGAGGTCAGAGAGATACGGTGAGAGCGGGAGTCGTCCGAGTCAAGGCCAGGGGTCTCCGATCTGAGTGCATCGATTGAGCGTCTGATGGTTTGAATTTCGGCAAGAAGCTCCTCCTTGCGTGCGAGATCTTCCAACTCCGATGAGATAGCTTTCTTCACATCGCTGTGTTTCGTGTCACTACTGTCAGGATCGTTATCCGTGATGAACCCAGAGGGGACATCATGTTGGATCCCAAGACCAAGATCAAGAACAGGCAAGGCACCGGGCGCTTGAGACTCGCGTGGGACCCGCTTAATATCTTCATCAGGCGCGGGAGCAGCCATGAATTCAGACACCCCCGACGTGTAACGACCACGCCCGCCAACCAACGTGAACACGGAAGCCCGCCCATCTTGAGAACTCCGGGTGGGAAAGTCCTTCATGAGAGGAGTCCCAGAGTAGCCACTGGCCGTCCGGCCATGCATTCCAAGTGATGGGTGATCGCGCTCCCATTCCTCCTGCTCCGTTGAGAGCTCACGGAATTTACCGGCAGCATTGATTTCGGCCTCTTCATCCCGCTTCTTTTCTTCCTCAGCGATTTCCTTTAGTTTACGCTGCAGGATGCGGAGGATGCGGAGCTGAACGGCTCCACCCATAAGAGCGATCGCTCCGACGAGTCCAAGTTCAATTTCCATCGTTTGTGTTACCGGGAACGCAATGCCATTACTGACATACTTCGGGAACAGGGAGGTGAAACCTAGATTCCAGACGTAGAACTACCATCTTGTGTGAGCTATTATGAAGTGGCTATAGAAAGTGACACGAACCTCTTTCAAGCCGGCTGTGGTGTAGCAATCCACACCGAGTATAAATGCGGACGAGCCAACAAAGGCCGTCGCAACCAGAAGCATATGCCAATGTAACTTGGGTATTGTGCAGAGAACAAATGCAACTACGGTGCATCCTGAGTGACAAGTTAGTTAGCAGGGGGCAAGGTGGACTACAGAGGAAACAGTTACCTATATACAGAATCCATCTCATGCCAACAGGGGTAATAAGACCGCCATTTTTAAAGCATTGTATCCATAATCCGAAAGCGAAACCACCCCATGCGCCAATAAAGTATTTGGTGGCCTTCCAAAAGAAGATTGTGAACGCGCCGCCCATGATACCAGCAACGGCGGAGGCTAATACGAACATGCCCTGGAGTGTGTTGCTCGGTGGGTTGATCGCGGGAAGAATGCCGAACTTGACGATAAGGACGAAACAGACCAATGAAAGGGTGTAGAAACCAATGAGGAAGAAGGATGTCCTACATAGTGAGTGAGAAGATGGTAGATCCACAAATGAGAGAAATTACCATCTATTCTTGTGGCCCCAAAACGCACTTGGTAGTCCAGTTATGATGAGGATCGCTCCCAATACACCGAAAGCCGGAGTGATCCTAGTAGCTAGGACGATGGGAGTTGGGGTGGGTGAGGCTGAGGCCGAGGATGTTGGTGTGGATGAATTTGCATGAATAGTGGATGTCGCATTGTACACTGTGGGTAATACGGTGGTGATGGTGGTTGCAATGTTCCCTGAGTGACTGACGGATGTCAACGTGTAGGAACTAGTCGTCAAGAACGTTGTAACATTCGCAGAGACAGTAGGTGAAGGTGTACCGCTGCTCGCAGTGGTCTGGTTTGTAGACTGAGCCGAAACCTGAAAAAAGAAGGATGAGCAGAGTAGAAGACATAACATAAGGCATAAGCCAGGTGGTGCTCTCGCCATGGTCGAGCACGAAGAACAATGAGAGTGGTTTAACCGAACTACAACCTGGGGGGGTATACGTTAACCTCTACGTGGAGGGAGAGAACTAGGCCAGGGCTAGTGGCCTCGGCGCTAGCAAGTCAGCCACCAGGCTATTCATGGATTCATTCACACTAAGGTTACATCATGCCACTCAGTGGTCCTATTTGGACCTATGATTGGTTTGATCCGCGTGCAAGGCAGCAACCAACCAACAATACCGCCGTTAATAATCCCGTCACAACTTTCGTTCAATCACCCACACACAGGCGCCACATCAAAACTCATGTTCACCATTGCTCCCCGAATACCACGGTTGGGTTTCCCTAGGGATATATAATACACCGACGGGCACGGTCACGATGGGACAAATGCAAAATATTTCTGCCTGCTGCTTCTGTCAGTCAAAATGCTCCAGCTTGGTTGTACTAATACCAAGCTTCTTCAGCATAATATCCATCTTCTTCGAATCATCCCTGACACAAACTTTACCATTCTTCCCCTCACTCTCCCGGCGTCCTTCCACAATAGTGATTACTTTCCCTCGGCGACCAAATCGGCCAACTCTTCCTGCGACATGCTGGTAAACGTCTCCCGCGCGTTCTTCCGGAAGTCCCAGGAGAAAAACGTGGGTTAGCGCAGGAAAATCGATCCCTCGAGTCGTTGCAAGCGTCGATACAAGTAATGTGGGATTCTCATCGGGAATATCCCTGTCCTTAGACAGAAGGTGTGCTCGACCGGCTTCATTGTCCACGAGATCAAGACTGTGGGCATTCACTCCCAGTTGGTTCAGCTCAAAAATAACTCGCCGAACGGATGTAGTTGCAGGTAAGACGAGAAGCGCGATGTTTGGTACGTCAAGAGCGAATGCGGATGCGACGGCTTCAAGCATCCCTGGAGTAAAAACAGGAGGAGCTTGTAGCATATCTGATCGCAAATCAAATTGTCGATAACTGAATTAAAATATAAAAATAAAATATCCTCACCTATGTTAGTTTCATCATCAAGCAGTGCTTCATCATCCTCATCAAAAATCAACTCTTCTTCTTCGTCCTGTTCTTCAGAAGAACTCACATACTCGGAAGAGTCCGAGGGCGTGGGGGCTCGAGCTTTGCGAGCACCAGCTATATTTTTCACACAGCCATCCTGCGACATGACAAGAACGTGATGTGTGATCGTGCGATTAAGACCGTGAGCCGGACGTGAGGCAGACGAAGCTTTGATAAGCTTGAGCACTTTTCCCCGTCCAAACCACCCGTAAGCGCCAAAGAAAGCCGTCCTCAACCTATTTCGCATTGTTGCACTGAGCATGATTAGTTGCGGCCGATCAATTGGGGCCAACTTCATCTCTAGAAGACGCTTCCGCAAAAGATGTGAGGTATTCGTTTTGGTGTTTGTATAAAGGACATCCAGCACAGTTTTCAGAACTTCAGGATGCTTCTGACTTAACCGAGCTGCTTTTTCTGTGGTATACTTGCTTTTCTGGGGCACCATTTGCAGAAGCCAGTCCACCTCATCGACGACGACAGTCGATAACGTGGATAATTGGAGCACTTCCGGCTCCTTGCGAAGCACGTCCATAAGCGCAGTTGGTGTGGCAATGAGTATATGCGGAGGATAATCCCGGAGCACGGATATTCCAGGTGACGATGGGTTCACAATCGCCTCCAGGATCCGAGGAGATGAGCTTGTGAGGTTTTTGGGTGGTGAGCCGCGGACTAGCACCTGTGCAATCGAAGCGAGCGAATATGGACCAGGTTCACCCGCAGACGTCAGCATGTGGTGTAGCCAGTGCAAAAATTGGTATGCAAGGTCACGGTGGGGAACGATCAGGAGAGTTGTAATTCCTTTTGTTGCTTGAGCCTTTCCTTTTTTCGTTTCGTATCTAGATATCCTTGGTTTGCTCAGGAGTCCAAGTAGCAATCCAAATGACCTCGAAGGACGTTAGTTTGAGTCGACATTCAGCGACAAGTACGCACTTTCCAGTACCCGTGAAGTCCTGCAAGAGAATATCTTGCTTACCCACCACAGCAGGTATCATCTTGCGCTGCATTGTCGTGGGTTGCTGAACATCGGGGAATGCAACACGGAGGGCCGCTGCAATCGGTGTCCCCACTCCAAGGGACTCGAAAGTCACGCCCAGTGGAGCTTGTCCCGTGCTGTTATTGTGCAGTGGCTCCTTGGTATGTGTCTCCAAGCTACGGCTCATATAGCGAAGTAGTCCATGTTTCCTGCAGACTGACTGACGCGCCCAGCTGCGATATAACAGTGCAACTGCTGGAGGTGAAGGAAAACTCATGCAGACACGTGACATTACCAGAGTGATATATATAACGCATCATATTGTGGTGGGAAGTACAGTAATGACCAGTAAGATACATGAATGGTGTCAACGAAGTGAAGTCGTAATTGTGAGCCAGTACGTAGTGTATCATGAGGATTGAAAGGCACAACTGCTGGTGGTAAATGAAAGAACATGCCAAAGAAGTAACATTGCCGCATACGACACTGGCATACTGTCTCGCAATCAAACAGCACTTCAATCATCAACCGCAGCAGTAACAGGAGACGTGGGTGAAGAAGAGGGCGAGAGTTGTTCCCTCGTATCTTCTTCGTGCGCCTTCACGTGGTCACCTTCAATCCTCGCGAGTTCCTATTCATCGCCCTCACCAATGGGCTGGTATGTACTCCTGTCGTTGCGATAGAGTAGCCGGCTAACCCATCCACGTTCTGTGACTCGGGAGCCAGAACGTACCGAAGGGCTGCGGGCATTGGACATCAGAGATGCCCGCTCAGATTCATAATCCAGCCTCTCCTCTGCAAAGATACATTCAATACCGTTCGACTGGAAGAATTGGAAAATTGTACCTTCACCGAACACAGCATCCATTTCTTCGAGAGGAACGCCTTTAGTCTCGGGATATACTACGTTCAATCAGTGAGCATGGAAAATGGCATGCAAGAGCATCTACCTACAGAAATAAACGAGAATGAAACTGCATGCACAATAGAACCCATGCATAGGGTATAATCTCCATGTAATGGCTTCTTGAAGGTATGGAGTTGTCTCTCCGACGATGAAATTGAATGCCCTGGTCGTGTCAGTTGGTTGCCATGTGAAAAATGCTTCGAGCTCACCAATTGGTTGCAGTTGATATCGATACACCTTTGGAGCGGAATGTGAGGGGCATGATCTGAAGCAAATTCAGCATATTATTAGCCTATCACTGAAAGAATGTCACCTCGGGGGGATAGAGCCATGGAATGGGACCCCAACTAAGATAATGATATCATATCGAAGGCTCAAAAAATGTGCTGAGAAAGCTTACCTATAGCCAAATGCAGCATTGTAGACGATGACACAAATTACCACAGCATTGGGTGTAGCTGGTATGTCAACGTACATCCACCAGCCAGTCAAGCCCAGGGCAATGCCCATCTACGTATCGGTGAGCACCCTGAAGGCCGTTCATCAGAAAAGGAACCAACGATAACGGCACCAGAAAGTAGAATAACGCGACGACCCCAACGGTCTACGAGGTACCAGCTATAGGAGTGTTGAGCTTTCCTAACGAGACCGTTGGTAGGATGCCACTCACGGGGGTAAGGTGCTCAAGGTGTAAATGATCGCATTGATACCCGTCATTAACACAGCATCGCGGCCAAGCCACCCGGCCTCTGCGTTTCAATGAGATTTTGCCAGACAAAAATATTCGTCCACCACGTACCTTCAAAAACAGATGCTAAATAACACGCACTTTGGTCAGTCAAAGATCACTTCAGTGTGAGATAAAATGCGTACGAGCGTAGTATCCGATCACTGAATGTCGTTTCGACTCATTAGTTTCATGAAAGCCGCACAAAGGGAGACACATTACCGTTGATTCCATTCTGGGAAAAATATGTTCATGACGGCATGATATGGGTAAAACGACAGAAGCTTACCAGTTGAGCAAATGCTTGGGAAGACATAGCAAGCAACACGCGTCGTTTGTACTTCTTCCACATCACAGCGTACGAGCGTCCTTCTCCAAGTTCACGCTGTGAGCGTTGAATTGTAAAAAACATGATAGCTGCATCAACAAACAGCGTACCTCATAAATGACTTTGTCCTTAATTTCTTGGAATTCCGCTTGAGCGATGATGTTATCAGGATCTCCTCCATGCAGATCCACGATAATACTCATCCCGGCAACATCTCGGTCAGTATCAATCAACCATCTGGATAGTTTCAGTGCATACTACCGTAACAATGAGAGATAGCATACCGAGGGCTCTCAGGAATAACCAAGCTTCCCGCAGCGAGGATGCTTCCAATGATGCATTGCAGGAAAAGGGGAATACGCCAAGAAAGATCGGATTCGATGAACGAAGAAAAATAATCCACCCACTTTCGGGAATGTTAGCTTGCCCTGATAACTGCAACAGGCAAAAAAGACGACTCACAACAGAGGTTGCGTAGCCGAAAACATTGCAGGTGAATTCCATGCACGCAAGCGCGCCTCTCTGCAAACCAACTTAGTAGCATAAATTTGTAAATTTTAAGACCTACATGATCAGGTGGAGAAATTTCGCTTTGATATATAGGAACGATCGTCCTGAGAAGTGCGCTGAGCACTTTGCACAAAAATTAAACCTTGAGGACCTACGACAAGAGCCCAACTCCACAGCCGCTTACTACTCGACCAACGATCATAACGTAGTAACCTGTGGTAAATGTCTGAATAGCACCACCAATGGTGAAAACGATAGCTCCAGTGAAAAGGGTCCCCTTCCGGCCAATTATATCGCCGACACGACCAGCAGCAATCGATGTGGCTGTGAATGTCATTATACAGCGCAAGACCGATCATTAAAAACATACCAAGTGCCCCAAGCTCGAGAACTGCGACCATGGTACCAACTTCAATGGGACCGGGATTGTTGAAAAACTGTTTGAAATAGGGACCGGTGATGATACCTGACATGACGCTGCCGCATGGACTCAGTAGCTAGTAATCCAGTGAGAGATGTGTCTAACGAACCCCTGGTCATATCCGAACTAGAGAGTAGCACCAATGATTAGTTTTTTATGCCTCGTTCCTCGTGACGTAGCGTACCAGGAAAACACCCAAACTAGCGAATACAGAAATAGCGTAAAGGAGAGGTTGCCCGACTAATTTGCGTCGAGAGGGCAGAGGAGCAACATCCACCATAATGCATGGACTGGTGATGGTAGGAAACAGTTGATAACAAGAAGTAGGGAGGGAAAGCAGAGTAAGCGTCGATGCCTAAAAGCGGTGTGTTGTACGTACAACGCCACTCTGAATCAAGTGACTCCGCTGTTATTAGTGGCAAGTTGGCAACACTGTCAACTTAGAACTACTTCATTTGGAGACCATTGCGTCAAGACACCGCAAAGGCAGACTACTAAAGCATGCCACCCTCGGACCATTCTTCAGACTCCTCATCAAACGTATCATATGATTCTGATGAAGACTACCGTTTGGCCCAGAAAGAGTGGAACGAGAGTTTAGAAGAGCTCCAGCAACTTGTACTCGTCTTACTACTGCCATGGGTGGGCAAGTACTTTGGCAGGAGGTGTAGTTATTGGCGTATGTACAAACGCATCAAGCCTGCCTACACTTACGAATAATGTGTCTTGCAGTGTATGATCGTTATACTCGTGTTGGTCTCGGCAAGTCATTTTTCATGGGCGAGAAGCCTTTGGCTTGGACATTCTTCTCGCGATGAATGATGCGTATTATATTGTAGGTGTGTCTACGTCAGGCATAAAACTTTGGTCCTAACTTCATCCTCCAAGCTGTTCGACGTTGGATTCTACCAACCAGGCTCTCCAATGCCCCAACCGGTTTGATATACCTCAGGAGGTCATCTACCATCTCATCTGCAACTGCCCACTCCTCCCTCGAAATCAGCCCATGTAGTAGAATATACCATGTATCATAATTCGTCGGGACTCTCCGGTTTGCCATTTCCCTGTAGTAGCCCAATGCCCCTTGCAATCCTTCTGGTGCTGGGTTCTCCAAACATGCTTTAATCAGTATGTGGTAGGTCACCCGATTAAACCGGATGTTTCGCTCCTTCATCCTTTTAAGGATGTATCTCCTGCATTCCTCGGCCAGGGCGGTGTTTGGCCATACCTGGCGGTGCAAGGATGCAAGCACGCCTGTGTATGTCACGTCATTGGGTTGGGCATCCGGATTCGTTTCCATCCTCTGAAGTAGCTCCATTGCTGTTCTGAGACCTTCCTCCCATGGCTCGCGAAGCTGTTGGTCTATGATCGCGCTGAAGACGGCGACATTGGGCACCACATTTTGCTTCTTCATCAGATTCAAAATAATGTCGATAGCGTCAGTACGCCCAACCCTGAGAAGAGCTGAAAGTACAGAGGAGAACGTGAATGCATCGCCGGTCAGCCCATCTTCTCGGAGACGCTCGAGCAACACCGACACCGCACGGAATTCGCCTCTGCGGCCATGGTGACGCAGGAAAGTATTGTAGGAAACGATGTCTGGCTTTGGGCCATTTTGCCGCAAATTCTGCAGTAACGCATCGGCGTCACCCGGTCGTCCATTATTGAGAAGACCGTGCAGCACTGTATTGTATACAGGCAATGCGTCCGCAGTGTTCGGCAACGAACCGTTAGCAAGTTCCTGCTTAAATATTGCAAATTTCTCAGTAGCGTCATCTGGTCTCCAAGCGTTAAATAATGTCGAAATGACAGCGCGATATGTCAAAATTCCCGGTTGAATCCCTTGGGAAACCATGTTATTCCAACTGGTGGAAGCGGCATCAGCTTCTCCCATGCTATCAAACCCATCCAAGAGCGCTGTCCAGGTGATAACACCAGGCTGGATACCACATTTAAGCATGTCATTCCAGAGATTCTCGGCCAGGTCCCGACGGTGGCACCGCAAAAACCCTGTCAAGAATGCTGCCCAGACGATCTCTTGGACTACCACAGGTCTTTGGTTGGACCTTTGGGAATCACGGGCAGCGAGATATGGCTCTGGACCATTCAAACCGTCGATGATTGCCCGGTATAAGTTCTGGATCTGTGAAAGATCTTGATCCCTTGAGAGATTTGTGATATGGGTGCTGAGTGAGTGGTGGCGAAAGATGAGTCTTGCGATGTCAGCGCGGCGAACGTAACTTTGAACTTTTGTCCGGAACGAGATGTCATCAAACGATGCCGTGAACTCTTTCTGAGCGGACTGATTTATGCGTACAGGATTGTCGAGCATTATCTTCAGTGCGCTCTCGAATGAATCTTCGAGTGCATGTGCGGCTATTGCTGCGAGGACGAGTGAGAAATTGGGTTGGTGGGATAGCTGGTCGCCTAGAAAATTGAGAGCCAGCCCATTCTTATCCTCGACATCTTCCTGCGTTGGGGATGGTAGGGGCTCAGACACGGTCTGGTTGCTGGAGTGAACCAGAAAACGTCTGTACAGATGAAGGGCTGCCTGCGAGTCGCCTCTCTTTATATGTGCGATCATACAAGTCGTGAGGGCATTGACTGCACCCTCCAAGGCGGCAGCAATGGCTATGCCCTCGATGACCTTCCTCTCGTCTGCGTCCCAAGGCTCAGAGTTGCCCATGAAGCACAGCTGAGCAGCGCGCTCGGAAAACCCACGCAACTCTGGACCAAGGAGTCGCAGTAACTTTCTATCTTCTAACTGCGACCATAGCTCTCCTACTCGCGCGATGTCACCAGCCTTCAGAGCGAGACGAAGCTCGACAACCTTTTCGTCAAAGAAGTTAATATCTGGGTCGGAGACAGCAGCAGCGCCTGACTGGCTCAGTAAGCTGATACGTTGCTTGATGTTTTGACAAAGAATGGCCGGGCTTTGTGTACATACAGAGACTGGAAATTCTGCGAGTCTCTCCGTGTCTTGTCTTTTGGATAGTTTTGTCACCGAAGGTCGCACTTTGGAGCTACCGAGACGGTATTCAAACGCAGTCGGTGCAAGGAAATCAAGCACGACAGTAGTCCGCCTTGCTTTTGTGGTGGCATGACGTAGCATCTGCAAGTTGACGATGAAAGAAGATGGAGACCTCCAATTTGTGACTTATCTTATTTGCGTTTATTAGATTCAGAAGCTTGACCAGGTCCGCTCACTTTGAAGGTTATTATACACTCCATCACAAACCAACTGCAACATGGGCCACGGAAATTCTAACAAACTCTATATCACACATGCAGAACATGCCGGCGAATTCGGACAGCATTCTGCTTCATCTGGGTACAAAGCGTAAGTCTGTTCTACGCCTAACTTATGGAGTTCTTATGTTTTGCACAGAAAGCTGCAAGGATCGGACCCTCGAGTGCAGACACCATTCGACTGTTGTGCGCTTTCTTTCCAGCCATTTGGTCATCCAGTATGCGCCCGCAATGCCGATGGAACAGGCTTCGTGTTTGATCTCGTAAACATTATTCCTTGGCTAAAGCAAGTCGTCCTTTCTTCCTGCAAGGTGACGTTTGTCTTATGCTTCCATTCAAAGGCAGCATAACAATACAAATCCCATCACAAAAGAGCCCCTCGCACCGGCTGACCTGATATCACTCCACTATTCGCGCAAGACATCTGGCGAAATTCATGATCCAATCTCATTCAAGCCATTCAGCGAGCATTCGCATATAGTAGCAATTGCAACTACAGGAAATGTTTTCCTTGCAGAAAGTATCAAAGGCGGTAAGGATCTTCTTGAAGATGCAAAATTCAAGAAGTTAGTTTTCCAATCTGTCTCTATCATTCCGGACTCAGCATTACTCTTACAGGGAGGACGTCATCACATTGCAGAACCCTCATGGTCTCCCACCTTTGTCTACAACCAATACTACTGCTACTGTCATTGTAAAGAAGGATGAGAAGCCCAAACCAGCTACTGTTAAAGTGATCTCTGAAGTGAAGGGTAAAGCCGCTGTCCCTTGTGAGCTCCACCATTTTTTTTCACGGCAGGATGCAGCCTGAGTACCATACCAGGGAATATTTCTCCTTATTCTAGCGGTGCACCCGGTGCATCATTGACTTCAACGTCTGTAGATCCTCAGACACGAAGTTCACAATTACTGTGGGACGAGGTGCGCAAAAAGAACCGGCTGTGACGAGCATTCTTGTTGACGGTAGCTTAGGAAGAACTGATGTTCGAAGAAATGTCGAACCCTCCCAAGGGCAAGGGGAAAGAGAAAGACGTTGGGAAACGAAGAGCATATGTCCGGGTTGTGACCAGTTTGGGCGCTTCGTTGAACCTGGAGTTGTATTGCGACAAGGTCAGTGCTACTTGCTCTTGTTGACGTCGCTAACGTTCCCTCACAGGCACCGAAAACTTGTTACAACTTTCTCATGCTTGCAAGAGCAGGGAAGTATGATAATTGCCTTTTTCACAGACTTGTTCCTGGCTTCATGGTACTTCTTCATTCGTCATCTCGCGAGATTAGATACTCATCTCGCCGTAGGTGCAAACAGGTGACCCTACTGGTACAGGCTCTGGTGGAGAGTCTCACTGGGGTACTCCTTTCCGAGACGAGCATGACATGAGAGGTGCCGCTAAACACGATAGTCGTGGTATCGTCGCCATGGCCAACAAGGGCGCTGGCACGAATACGTGCGTCTGCCGGTTTACCTTGTTTTCTGTTTCACTGACGAGTGCCACTACAGGTCGCAATTTTATGTCACATTCAAAGCTACACCAAATCTTGACAACAAGCACACTGTCTTCGGCAAGCTAGTTGGAGGAGACGACGTCCTCGATGCTCTGGAAAAACTCCCTCGTAAAGATGGAACAGAGCGCCCAGCGAAGCCGGTGCAGATAACGGAAGTCATTATGTACGTACATTGCTTTTTTGCTCAGACCTATATTCATATAGCTTCCCTTCTAGACATCAAGATCCCTTTGAAGCATATAAAACACGGCTTGCAAGAAAACTTGCTCGGCGTGCAGAAGCACAAGATGATTCCAAGAAACAACCTGACAAGATTCAAGGGGATGATATTAATTGGTTTGGGGTCAAAGTTGGTACTGGGGACTCGGCCTTTGGTGGGGGTGCTGCAGGTGTGGGGGTGGGAGTGGGCAAGTATCTCGGCGTCAAGAGGCCGTTAGATCAGGTAACTGCTGGCATACAAGCCAATGACGTCGGTGACGATGCCAAAAAAAAGCGGAAAAATAGGGTTCGGAAACTTTGACAGTTGGTAGTAGACCGATACTGTTGCTCTAGTCCGACGTCTAATATTTGTATCATTAACTGCCATCCTACTGTAGTGTCGTAGTATCTGTAAATGTCTGGAGAAGGCCTAGCCACGAATGAGGATATGAGTAATGCCAAAATAAAAATCTCTGCGATACTGCGTGCTAAATAGCAGGTGCTAACCAGGTAAGGGAACTCGCTCCCTCTTAGTCTCTTGGGGTACTTGCTGGGCTTCTAAATGGAAATGAGAATGAAGGCCGTCCGACAATCGTGAACTACTCTGACCTTCTGAAACAAGCGGCAACGACCTAGGTGGAGATGGCAAACCCAGGTGCACTTTAGGTTCAGCTTGTCCAAGCTAGATATCATGTGAAAAGGGTGAAATAATATCCGACAGTTCGTACTGACCGCTTCCCCTTGTAATGCCAAGAGCTCCGCTTGGACGGAGTCCTCCTCATCATGTGTTAATCGGTTCGCCAGCAAATCACCGATTTCCTGTACACCATCTTCAATACGGCACAAGAAGCACGGAATATAACTTACTCGCTGATACTCTCTCGCTTCTTGCGTCTCATCCATGAGCTTCTCAACGCTCTCAATACTCATCTCGCGATGAATTTCTTGAAGAACTTCATTTCCTTGCTTGAGACCGTGAAGGACGGAAACCTCGACCAACGAAAACTCGATGGTTGACACCTACAAGGAACATTGGATTTCAGCGTACATTTGGACAGCATGAACGAGACGGACTAATTGTTCCAAGTTCTCTAATTGACTGTCGGTCTTCAACAGCAAGCTCTGCTGATACTTGCGCCTTCGGAGGGCTATGACGGCACGGTCCTTCTGACCGGTAGCGAGATGGGCTTTCGCGATTTCATGCTCGCGGTCGAGAACGACTTGTATCTGTATTGAAGGGTTATAGACGCAAAGCCTCTACGAATGTAGTCTGACCTTCTTCTGGTACTGCTTTAGCTTATCGCGCTGAAGTTTGAGACTACGCAGTAGATGCCCTTGTTGGGCGTTACCGTTTGGTTGAGAAATCACGAAAGCCCACGCACTCGAGAATCGCCCGATCATGAGCAGTGATCTTGGGTGCCGACTGGCTCAACCCCATGGTAATGTCTGTGTTGACGAGGTTGTGGAGACCACCGAGTCAGTCCAGTCCGTGTGTGGTAGCAACACTGCCACCACTGAAGTGGCTAAATCCGGGTCATTGCTATTGGACTCTACCCCACAAATTTAACAAGACCATCAAATAGCGATATGTCATTAAAGACGTTAATTACAGTGTCAAGGTTAGAGTAAAAGTGTTGCAATACAAGTACGGAATTTGAACTCTGTGTATTATGAAGCAGCGCACAGCATTGGGGTCGCATAAAAATACAAAACAATCATTGCTTGATACCTGATATCTCAGGGTGAGCAAAGCGCAATTCGGACGAGGAGCGCGGGGGTTCTGCGAGTTCAAAACTCATAGAAGGGAGCACTCCTTCTTCAGGTTTCGTATCATAGGGATAGTGCTTGTGGTTTTGGAATCGGTTAGTCCTACCGAATTGATTCGAGCTCGTGGATGTTAGAACAACCCGCGAGGGCGACCGACGTCTACGCGGAAGGAGCTTTGGGCGTGTCAGCGTATATAGGATTGTGTTGAAGACTCCCGACAAGAGAAGAAGGGTGTCTGCCCAAGCCGTCACTCCCCATGGCACTTTGTCTGTGTGAAACTCCGTGAAGCGGGCAGCAGTGATAGGCAACACCTGTCAAAAATATCAGAGGGTGAATAGCTTATGAGCAATCCCACCTACTGTGATAATGTAGACCGCAGGGTAGCTGGAAAATCAAAGATTAGAAACGTTCCACTGACTGGGCCATCGCCAAACTCACAAGAGCATTCGTAGCGCGATGGCTCCCTCGTCGCCCCGTTGTCGGGGATCAGAACCATCGGACGGCGTTATACTGCGGATCTCGGAGGACGCCCACCGAATCCTGTATCCATCAATGCTAACGATCCGTTTGACCACAAGAGCAAGAAAGATGTAAACAACGACAGTGATGAATGCTGCAAACCACATCCACATGTATTGGAGACCCATTCGTTGGAAGTTGTTACGTTCTATCCAGCACCCTGTGCAATACAAAATTATTTAGCGGCGTAATTGAGCATTCTCACTGAATCGCGGACGTACAATGCCCGGTTGGTCCATAGAAATCATCAATGATTATGTTCGGTATTCCGACCATCAGGCCAACGATTATCCATATAATAGCTGAGCCAAGTAGTGCTCCTTTTGGAGGGGTACTCCACCTCAATATCAGCACCTGCATCGTGTGCAAGGCGATAGTCTGCAGAAACCAATTAGCATGAGAAGAACCATGACGGGAAGTAGTTACAATCGTGCTGTTTTTGGAAAATTGGTTAGCATCTAGACGTAAAACCAGATGATATATCGGACTCGCCTGAAAGCTGCCCCCGTATTGCCCACATGTTTGAAGGCACCTGCGATAATTGTGGTAAATTGGCGCTCTCAGGTTCTACCTCAAGAATGACGATACCTTGCACAGTGCATATGGTGCCGGGATATATCCCCTGCAGATCGGGATCAAATTTATTGAACGGTCATGATACCAAGTATAAACCCACAGCAGCATCAATCCACGCGATATTGAACATCCCGCCTGAAAGATTGTCAGAAGACTGTGGTAGCGGCACTGACATGGATGGCTCACCGATTGCTTGAATGAGGTCAAAGACCATTAGATTTAAGAAATAATAATGAACGTGAGTGTCGGTGGACCATCTGCGTGTAGCACCCATTCGAATTGTGACGGCGCTATACTAATAGGCCTGTGGTAAGTCTGCGAGCTTGAAAATTGAATAAGATACGTACAGTGATGTATGCCAGGAGAGTTGTGATAGCCAGTACGGATAATGCTGCGGCCTCTACGATGAAGACTAGGCCCAGTCTATCATCGAAGTCGAAAGCAGTCGCAGTTTCCAGCGGCGGATTGGCCATAGTATCTGGTTGTTCAAGAGTGTTCAGGAAGAAAAATGATGAGCGAACAAATTGTTGCGCCCACACTCATTCTGCAACTTAAAATAAGCACCGCCGCGTCCGCATCTCGGATTTCAGGACGCCTTCAGGGGCTGTACATTTTGCAATTAAATTCCCGGATCTGGAATTAAATGAGACAAACAAGCTGTCGTTGAGCTGTCCTGACTGCTGCCGATCGATCATGACAAAGTTTCCTCTTGAGTTATGTAATCCGCCGGGCTCTCAAGGGAAAACATATGATGAGGGCTCGTCGTAGATCCAAGGCTAAGGCTAAGAAAGTTTTTAGGATAAACAGGGTTGAGCATAACGTGGAACATTGACACTTAGCTACCCGGTCATGATGGAAACGGAAATAAGCACGTGATATGTCACAAACACATGGTTATCGCGTGACGCAAGTAATTAGAGAATTCATTAACAAGGCGGGGTATATACGACCTCATCTAGGGTACCTTCCGTCAATGATGTATATTTGGCAAAGCAATCATGTGCATAGTCGATCTGCCCAATTCGTTTATGCGAAAGGAAGGAAGCAACGTACTATTGGAAATGACAGCATCGTGGGTAACGTCCACATATATAGATTGATCAAGAGGGAATGTGATATTGCTCGAGTCGAGAGTGCTGTTGGTACTGCTGTTCCAGACATTGATGGGAGTGTGAGTGAGGCGCGACACTAGCAGCTGATTTAATAATTAGACTAAGGAAATACAACACTGGCATAATCACCAACTAGGCGTTGGACCTGGATACCCGACTTGAGATCCATCCGGGAAGTAAGCGTTAACAGCAGGGGCGTTGGTGGCACCGGGGGGAGGATAAGAATCAACAAGGGTTGATCCTGCATAACTGGACACCGACTCTGCAGTACAGAACGGCAGAGCGAGCAGCAGGACGACGGCACTGAGCATGGTTTGATAAGTTTACACCAACCGTCGCTTCTCTAGAGAAGATAGTGAGAAAACCATTTACAACATCTGGCAACCAGGCCAGGCGGATGTGTTTAAATCTAGACACAGCGGATGACTCGGAGGTTGAACGTTCTGAATGTTGAACTATTGAGACTAGAAGTAGAAGCTCTGCCGGCAGAACTGGTAGAACCATCGTGTTCTGTCAGCGCATGGCAGATACGGCAGACTCAGAAATACTTGTACTTGTTTCATGGCACGAGAAGTAACTGCATGGATGTAAGACCAACTCGATAACAACATAAAGTCCATGAAACGGAAACGTCCCGAAGTATTCGTGGTCCAACTCACGTGCTGGCGCGTCGCTCACGTGCATGTCACGAGTGCGTCGACGCGTCAACAAAGTACTCCTTCCTCGAATTTCAAAGCGCTGCGATCGACATCCCTTGCCACTGGGCACATTTTATGTCCTTATTTCCCTCGATTTGTCTCTCCGCCCAACTCCTACAAGTCCATAGCGGCTTCCCTCTCGCATACAGGCATTCTTGAACAGCTCTTTTGGTGAAAGTTTACCACTTGTCGGTCAAGAGCACCGTATTTTTTGTCACCAGCCTCCACGCAAATGGTCTGAACAGTTACCACAGCCTGCTCATACAGAGGGTGAGTGTGGAAAGAAGATGGAAAAAAAGAGAGAAAGCGGGGCTACAAACCGACGATTGTCGCATGATCAGTCCTTCCTACAGGACGTCCCTTCATTATCAGCGGCCACCTGGGTTGTCCGCGACCGCCCATTATTCCACCCATGGCACGAGATGGTAGGTGATAGTTACGCAAATGGCTCAGGACTTTCTCCACACCATCTTCGATCCCAGCATCCAGAGGACAAGCCAATGAGGTAGCCGGTGGAAGAAAAGATGCGAGTTGATCCCAAAGTATATGGTTGAGACTCAGTGTCTTTGCAACCCACGTCGTGCAAATTCATTAGTAGGCATACTGCCTTGATACGCAAGCGTTCGTACACCCGATCGAGGTAAAGGAGTATGTCCCCATACGACCATCAATTGAAATATGTACAGGTGTCCAGCAAGATGCGCAGCCCAAAAACTGCCAGCTAAATGGACAATCAGCTGCTTTCTTCACACTTATTTTCACTCGTCCATGTGCATTTCTGCTTCAGGTTATTCAACTAGCCAGCGCTTGTCCCTATCCGTACTCGTTTGCACCTGCCGCCACTCGTTGTTTTCATTTATACTTGCTGCTAATTGCCTGCATGTACCTCGCACATTTTCACATTTCTGTCTGCTGTAATTTGCCTGTCATTCAGTACTAGTACACCTGCCGCCATACATTATTGCTCGTCTGTGCATGTCACTCCTCATCAAAAATTGTCTGTACAATCGAGCATAGGTCCAATCCAACTCTTCTAACCATCAGTATCTTGTGTGATCCCTCTCAAATTAATTTGATTTAATTTATTTAATTTCGGGTGAACCGTACACTACTAGGTCGATCGCCCGTTCATCAACGTTCTCAAAAAGGTGGCCACTTGTGAGTATACTTATACGACCGAATACCCAATCATCCTTTTAACTAGGGTATCTTCCATCGATGATGTTGTCGGGGTCGGGCATGGTATAGTTGACGAAGCAATCGTGCGCATAGTCGATCTGCCCAATTCGTTCATGCATCGCGCTGATAAACTAGGCAGTGCGCAGAGACCGTTCGGATCTTTCGTGCAACCACGGATGCCCGTCAGTGGCACCACACCATCGTTCAAAAGGAACCGGATATGGGTCGGCTCCTCACACGCTGGGCAACTGAGTACCTGCGCTACAAGCTGGCTCGAAAAGGGTGCAATCTGGCTAGCGATGTAAGACTGATACGACTGGTCAGAAACAGAGGCAAGCGGTGGTCTATGAGACTGCGTACACGGTGAGGGGGTATATGATCGGTTGGTAGAGGACCAGTTGCAGCTAGGCTGGTAAAGTTCAGAGTGGTGACGACTGAGCCCTTCCGTCAGTAGCCTTGCGCTGGGAATGAAAGGGCAACATACTACTGGAAATGACAGTGTCGTGGGTAGCGTCCACATATATAGGTTGATTAAGAGGGAATGTGATGTTGTTTGAGTTGAGAGTGCTGTTGGTGCTGCTGTTCCAGACATTGATGGGAGTGTGAGTGAGGCGCGACACTAGTTCTTGAACATAGCCAAGGCCCTGCGCTGCTGCTGTTGGATTACCTGGTCCACTGCTGTACCAGAAATCTTTGTTCCCAATGAAGTCGTTAGTCGCTCAGGCTGCAAATTCACCATTCAATGTACTCACTAAGATCTGCAAATAGAGATCACCGTCGAGCTCAACAAGGATCATTTAAGAACACATACCGACGTAATACTCGTATCCTTCCCACTCTTTCTCAGTGAAAAGGCCACAAAACTTGGAATGTCCGAGAGCCACGGTCTGCCGTATGTCAGAAATCCATGAAGACCGTGTAAGTGATATGATTACCTCATAAGCGCAGAGCTCTTGCATATCAATCAATCGTGAGGTGGTCAAATTGAATCCTTGAATCATTGGTTGCAAGCGCTTCCGAGCATCTTTGAGATAGATATCCGCCCATTTCTTACCCTGAATGCCACCGAAGTTGCCGACATCCTCCGTATTGACATTGGGGCATACATCATAAGGAGCGAGGGTGTTGTTGAAGTTATTTTCCTCGATGATGATCTCCTGGTGATAGTCGGTCTGGTAAGTTCTGACATCGAAAAAGCCTGCAGCAAAGTTCAGGCTACCGATAGGTTTATGAGACACAGAGAACGCAAAAATATGGATGCATTGCTCACGCAGAATCCAACATGCGATCTATACGACATAAGCAAACAATCAGAGCGAATTACGAAACGAGTTTTTGATGCGAGCAAACCTTCGGAAGTGGTACGGAATACTGGGAGGTCCGTGAAGGCATTAAGCAAATTGCCGTATCTGTAGCGGAAGGCAACCCCATTGCTAAAGCTGATGGGGGAAGCCTCAGTGGAAGTATCGTAAAGGAGAACAAACATACAGCGAGTCGCGGCCGAAGGGCGTCAAGATCTCCGCGCCCAACTTATATGTCCAGGTTGCCAAGAATTTCAAATCGCCAGTGACATTGAAGCCTTCTTTCGATGCAGCAGCATGAATTTTAGAGGCAAAGTGAGAAGATCCGGAGTCAGAGGTTGGATAGCGAGCGCCATGGCGCATTAAGAGATGGACTGCGTTGAGGCCGCACCCTTCTGGGATGATTGGGGATGCATCAGGAAGGCCAAAGGACTCCACGGAGTACATAGGAGCCAAGTTTCCCCATTGACGCATCACATTGAAATTGGGATTTGCGCCGTCTGCCGAATTGGGCCTCGACAAGGGATATGCGTTTTCAACCTTAGAGAACGGGATGGCAGTGACAATGGCCGCAGGTTCGGCACCAGCTGAATTGTTTAATTAGACCACAAGACATACAACAATAGACTAGCATGATCACTGACTGGGTGTTGGACCTGCATAACCGACTTGATATCCATCCGGGAAGTAAGCGTCAACAGCAGGAGCGTTGGTGACACCAGGGGGAGGATAAGAATCAACAAGGGTCGATCCTGCATAACTGGATCCTGACTCTGCAGTGCAGAACGGTAGAGCGAGCAGCAGAACGGCGGCAAGCATGGCTTTAACCTGGAGAGGTCAGAAGAAAAATGAAACAGTGGAGTTACATACTTTATAGCAAAAATACGTGATTATGACAGAAGCTCGACACCGGGAAGTCTACATAAGAACGTGGCACAAATCAACTGTAGGAAGCTACGCTCGGGCATAAAACGTTTGATGATCATCTTGCATGTGCCAACACAAGATGCTTTTGCTTTAGGCAACTCCTGCCGAATTTGGCGGACCATCGGCGAACTTTTGATGATTCAAAGTGATTTCCTTCCCCAACGTGCATCGATACATGATGGTGACAATCAATGACTCAAGCGAGAATTCAAATATCAAGGCCAAGGATCGCGCGCATCGCTCCAACGTTGGCCCGAGGCACCATCCTCGATCATCATGATGCGGCAAAATGCATTTGGCAGGAGAAAATCAACACTATCAGCAGGGAATCATGAAACTACGTGCGCGAGTTGGGTAACCATGACGGCGATGTCGTATCAGAAGTTGTTAAACGTTGCCGCATAACGTCGCCGACTTTCGGGGCTGGACCAAAAGACCCGGGTTTGTTTAACGTCTGCAGGTCTGCTACTAGTACCTCGTGCTGCCGATGGCCAGTCACTAGTAGAACCGACCGTGACTGTGGCCGGCGCCAGCTGTTTTTCCCACCACCAGATATACTTAGTGACTAGCTACGGTTTCAAGCTTCAAGTTGCATATAGCCGTGACTTCTTGCTTCAATTCTAAGCTTTATGTATTGAGGCAATGCTTGTCATCCCCTTACACCAATAGCATGCAACGAATACCGTCATTACTATTCCAGTCGTCCAAAGTCTTAAATACAACATTGTCCCCATCAATCATTTCCTCACATCAATATCATGACTTTGTTCGCTTCTCTACGCCAGGTTAGCTTCGCTTCTTCTTTACTTTGTGGTTGAACGAACAAGTTACCGCGTATAGGTGGCGCAGCCCGTGTACCACTCCATTCCCCCACCATCATAGGCGTGGCAACCTCAAGAGGTACTCGCGGGTGAGTACTCTTCCTCACCCCTCGTTGCGCACCTAAGGCTCAGTCTCTGTTCGCGCAGTCACCAGGAAGATTACTATGCTTTTGCATCACTACTCTTGGATCCTGACGGGCTACAGGCAGGCTTGAAGAAAACACTCGGCATCGATTGGACCCCGAAGAACATCAGTGATCCGTTAGCACGTCAGGTAGTCTTTGTCGGCCTTTATGATGGGTATGTATCGTATATATCTTGACACATAACGCCCGTTAACACTATACAGACATGGCGGATCCACCGTTTCTCAGTTTTTGCGCCAGGAGTTACATGGGCTATTCGAATCCGTCGACAAGGCTCACATTCCAGAGTTGTATCTGTGGATCAAAGACCAAGGGGGTTATTTCAAGAGGTTTCGTGGGGGCGCCCTTGCTCCCTGGATAAATCAGTCCAATGGAATGCCTCCGCTAGATCTCGAGGCACGTGCTACTCAGGCATTCTTTGAAGTTGGTGAGCAACAATTTCTCTTCCATTTACGTTTATAAATGGGGTAAGTTTAGACCGCCTCCTCTCTATTGAGAGTGAAGCCAAAACATGTGGAGCGACAGCGTCCGTCGCCATCCTCCACTCCCTTGATACCCGCCCGTTCTTCTCATCCACGAATCTCGTTTTGACAGTCGCTCACGCTGGGTTAGTCATATTTTTGATAAACACAGACATGCGTTTAGAGAACATGCAAACAGCGATGCTCGAGTACTCCTTTGTGGCACCAATGACTGTCTTGTCTGCCCGATGACCGAGAATCATCACCCCGATACCCTTATGGAGGCCGCACGTCTCCGACGGATGATGGGTTCATCACTTATCACTGATTCTTTTGGCGAGTCTCGGTAGGGCAAAGCAACGTTTTATATTATCGTCTCCTGCTCATGACTTTGCAGCTGGATGGGTGCTCTAGCAAACACGAGAGCGTGAGTAGCACAGCCACCTGCTTCTAGTGATTTACTGATGTTCGCCTTAGTCTCGGAGATCTCAAATGGAAGCCGTACGGCGTGACTCCAGAACCAGATGTTCGAACCATACTATTGGAAGGTGTTATACTTCCTGTGGAGTGTTGTCGTAACTTCTTACATCGATAGGCACTAAATGGGCGTACATGATCATCGTCTCCGATGGTGTGTCATCCATACTATCCGATCAAGAAATAGTCGACGTTGCCCGAGGCGCACCAAGCCCGAAGAAAGCTGCCGAGCAAATCTTATCATACTCCGAAGAATTGGGTGGGGAAGACAATGCAACGGTTATAGTCGTGCCCTTGTCTGGTTGGAAAGAGATTCAAGGGCCTGATAGGACCCGCGCTCTTCGCGAATATCGAAGTCAGCAAGCGGGTGAGTGCTTCGAGTTCTTCGAGTTTTCTTTTCCTCCGTTGATTAACGGTGTCATGATAGTCGGAAGTGAGCGACAAAGGAGAATGTGATTTAGAGTTATACCCCCCGTTAGAGTACATAATTCGCTAAATCTTTGCAGAAATTTATTGGACTTTATTTGTCTAGTGTTAGTACAATGGATCAGCCTCCTTTCGGGGGAGGTCTCTAAATCTGCGCTACGGCATGACCATCCGACCTTGGGTCACACCCAGCAGCCCAAACAGTCTTCCCAGACGCATCAGCAATCTTCTGAATGACCTGTCCACGGCCCATCATCTCCCTCCCCCAGCCGCTGACGGCATTGGCATCATGACCCATAGCTAAAGCGACTCATTCAGAACAGGGATGCTAAAACAAAAAAAAGCCATACCGCGAAGCTTCTGAATGGTTGACATAGGAATAGCGTCTTCAAAGTTGATTCCACCGCTGGCCACGCCGAAGGCAGCAGGATCTTTATCATCTGGGTCAGGCATTCCAGCTGAGATGCAGAATCGAGGGGCATCAAGGGCAGCTTGAGCGGTGAATCCACGCAGAATGTTAAGTAGAACCTGGATGTGACCTTGGGGCTAAATGATGTTAATTTAACCACCATATCCATGGGCACTGGAGGGCTGCGAGTATATACCTGCATGAAACCACCCATCACACCGTAGGAGAGGAACAGATCGTCTCCTCGTAACGCCATTGCAGGGATGATGGTGTGGTATGGCCGCTTTCCGCCCTACAAAAATGGCACAATTCAATGGGCTGCACCGTTAAGTTTGCTGTATGATATACCTGTAAGCAGTTAGGGTGACCCTCCTGCAGAACAAATCCAGCGCCCCTATTTTGAAGAGTAAAGCCGCATCCCTTGGGTACAGCTTCATGTAAAAAATTCAGTGTCGTCTAAACTGTGGCACGGATTGATGTCACCTCCTGTCCCAAATCCTGTGTTTGCAAATTATCAGCGCATGCACTCGCGAATAAATTGAATGCCGTACCTGCATAATTGCTCTGAATGAAACTACATGCATTTCCCCACTGATCCGAAGCTGAAACACGATAACGTTTGGTAAATAGACGCTGCACAACGCTACATTATCTATCATACCAGTGAAGTAAACCGTATCAGATGAGTTCACTGGGTTTCCCTACCTGACTGTGAGTAAATTAAATGCGAATGATCATCGAACAGGACTCACGTGGAGGATGTTGGGGTTTCTAGCTTGAGGGTCGAATAGAGCTGCGCGTTTGGATAGATATTCCTATAACCTAGATTAGTTACGACGGAGCAATTCAGGCTCGAATGCCAACCTTGCTTAGTAATTCCTCGACCGGTATTTTGTTGAACTCAGGGTCAGTCACGTAGTATTGTGTATCTGCTGCCTGTCAGTTACGAAACAAAAGCAAGTGATGTGATGATCTCACCCGCAAAGGCGAAGCTAAATGAAAGAGGCGTCAATGACAATGGATACATTCGATCATTGATACGCACCGCAGAGCCTCGATGAGTGCATGGAGATACTCAGCAGAGTTGTGTTCTAATTCCAGGAGGGACGGAATCTTTCCTTGTATCTGCATTTGCTCGAGAATGCCAAGAGCAACCAAGGCAGTGATGCCTAGCAATGAGTATTAGTTACGCTTGATGGAGACTCGTTTATCTTCACCTTGACCATTGGGAGGACACTGCATTACGACAAACTCAGCATCTACCCGTAAACCACACCATCGACGGCTCACCTCATACACAGTAACATCTCCAGCATAAGTGTATTTGATCGGTTCTACGAATGATGTCTCGTGCTTTGCAAGATCGTCGAGTTCCATAACACCTCCTTTACTTTGAACGAGCTCCACTATGGCTTCTGCGATACGACCTTTATAAAAACCATCCTTTCCTTGCTCTGCGACAGCGCGGAAAGTCTTGGCAAGGTTGGGGAACTCCATGATTTGACCTGGGAGAGGTGCTTTTCCATTCAAAAGCATTTCATGTCCGTTCGGTGACGCATCTTGTATCAACTGTTCCGAGTGCTGCCACTGTAGACAAATCAGCAAATTGCCCGACGTAAACAAAGGCTGAACTGGCATTATAACTGTGAATTTCGGATACTGGAACTCTACAACCAAGAGTAGTCAATAAACTTGGTGATGAGTGGAATAGACATCACAGACCCTTCCTCGGCGAGCCTAATCGCAGGTGCCAAAACTTCAGCGACGGTGAGTTTTCCACTTCCGAACGTCTCCACAGTATCGACCCACGCAGCAGCAGCACCTGCTCGCTTGTTCATTCGTCGTGTGATCATATGGGTCAAGAAACAAACCTGGGACGGTGACACAGTTGAGGTCTCTAAGAGGAATCTGGCCGCCTTTAACGCCTCGTTGACGCATGTAATCGACCGACAACTTCTGAGGAGAGCGGCCGGAGCCATTCATCGCCTTTATAGTTTTCGTTTTGGCATCATAGAAGAGACAGAACGCATCTCTATTTCACTCTCAGATTGGAATTATGCACTGGCTCTTGGAACAGACTCACCCTCCTATGCCGCAGCAACTTGGCTCGGTCACATTAAGAGCGGCAGAGGTTGCAACAGCAGCATCAGCTGCAAACAAGAGCACGCGATGTCGGTGAAAGCTGAGATCGAGAACACCGGCACTCACCTGCATTCCCGCCTTTCCTTAGGATTTCAAGTCCAGCTTCCGCTGCGAGAGGTTGAGAACAAGCAACGACACCCTTGGTGCCATAGACTTGGGATCGTCGACTTGGAAATTGCTGGAACAAGAGGTCAGGTTGATCTACCTTACTCCAATCGACTTTCATTGCGGTGAATGTGGACTTGGAATCTTGCGGAGGGAAAGAGGAAGATGATGGTAATAAGGAGCGAGGAGAGATCGCTCAAGATTGCTGTTAGTTAAAAACGGAGCGCCTAGCGCTCACATGCACACACCATCAGATCGTGTTTCATGCTCACATGAGCTTACATGAATGTGACCAAGGTATTCCTGACGGAACACCGGCGCGTGCCACCAAATGATATATATGACTAGTACAAAAGCAAAAGTAATGATTACATAACAATCAGAGGATATCGGTCATCGGGCAGGCGAAGAGTGACTGTCTATTTTTCGTCATGTCTCTAGAATTCCGTTTCCAATCAGCATCGACGGAGTACCAGAAAATACAAACAGAACTGGCAAGTTTGGTGGAGAATCGTACTCGTCTCGATGCCCAGCTTTCCGAGAATGAGATGGTCAAAAAGGTCTGCTGCCGAACATCTTCGCAGACTCGTTTTACCAACTCCATCTTCTAGGAGTTTACGCAGTTAACCCCCAGTAATGTTGTCTATAAACTTGTGGGACCTGTATTGGTACCTCAAGATCAGAATGAGGCCAAAACCAATGTGGAGACGCGCCTGGAATTTATCAAGAGCGAAATGTCATTGGTTTCATGTCCGAGTTGAATGCAGGGCTTATCAGCATCACAGAAAACGCGTAGATGCACAAATAACTGATGGCGAGGATAGATCAGAGAAAAAGAAGAATGAGGTATCGTCGCTTGCCATTTTTCCCAATGACGAGTTTGACCCGACAATTCGTTGTGTCGCAGCTCGTCGAGATACAAACCAAGCTTCAGCAGGCTCAAACTACGCCAAATTCTTGAACGAATATCGCCAAAATACCGCAGTGAAGATACTTTGGAATTGAATTCTTGATCCACTCAATTGAACGATTAACTTGTATTTTACCCCGCAATCACTTCAAGTGCTACTCATACAATGTACACCGTGCATGCTACTACAGAGATCTAACCTACACATAACAGATCAACACATACTGAACCATCAATTAAATGCTGCTCGCGTCAATACAAATCTTTCATAGAAACCGAGCGCGACTGTTTTCGACGGACCAAGGCTCCTTGCCTTGATCATCCCAAGCTCTCGCATAGCAACATCCCAGGGGAATTGACCAGTGAAGTTCGGGCATTCGTGAATATATGCGTAGGAAGCCTTGAGCCTTGTCACCTCCTCCGATGAGAAGAAAAGAAAAGATGAAACGTCTGGGGCAGCAGAGAAATCACGGGCGAGGGAGCGAAGAATGTCCTGTCGCCGTTCAATCTTAAGGCCAGAGAAGCTGTGACGGATGCTCTTCCTATACTCCTCACGCATCTTTTCGACGTGTTTGCGTATCTTGGAGAGTTCCATTTCCATTGTCAAAGCAGCGTGCTCATTGTTGCACTTCACACGCTGCAGCCTTGACTCAGCATCCTGCCATGGTTTCTCGAGAGAGGAATCTCTGTGACCATGGTGTCTGGAAAAAGCGCTGTCGACCTGTTGCAGTTTCAGGTCTCGGTGGTTCCGGGCATGGCTCATAATTGCATCCATAACAAATTCTTTCATGCCTTTGGGACGCTGGGCGTTCATTTCGTTGGTTTCCGGTTTCTCCTCCCCACACTCTTTCCACTCTGGAGAGCGCTTGTGGTAGAGCTTTGTATCGTTCTTCATGACCTCCGGCAAAACGGTCAAACCACTCTTCGCACCGTCGAGAATATTGCAAAACCTGTGGTTATATCAATGTGTGTCCCACGACTACCGCAACTATGACCTACATATAAGCCAAGCGAATGGTTTCATTATGCGCATATCCAAGGGTGTACACCGCCACGTCGTGTAAGTTCGAGTACTTTCCGACTGACGATATGTCGCGCAATCCTCCTAACAAAAATGACTGCAGGCGGGGTATCACATCATCAAATTTGCATCCTTGATGCTGTTCCAAAAAATCGTCGACTCGTAGGGTGTTTTTATGGAAATTCTCTGGGAGATTATCAGGCGGATGAGAGTATTTGAGATCGGCATTTTTGAAGTGCGACACTATGGACGGCTGCCAAACAGCAATTGCCTTGTCCCCATCGTAATCGCCTAATTGCCACTCCGTATCTTGACATGAATATAATTTTATGTTTTGACGTACCTCCAGCAAGAAGATCCGCAAACCGGCGAGTTCCCTGCACAGAGCACACTATCACGTCTGTGTAGCGCCTGAGCTCCGGTTTTTCAACAGCTTTGACCTGCCTCCAAATCATTAAGATGAGAAAGAAACGGTAGATGACAGATCAACATGCCTTCTGAGTATCTGTCGGCAGTTTACAAGGATGTCGTGTGAGCTATTGTCGGCTCAGCGTCTGTGATGAGTCGAGGAGCGATATTGAACAACACTGACCAGGACATCACCCAACACAACATTTGACTCGGTTCCATCAGGACAGCGAAATTTTGAATCCTTCGAGAGAATTTGCACTTCGTCAGGAGCCAATGTTCCAGAAGGGTCTAGGTTGCACAGATGTCAAATAAATGAAGCTTTGATGATTGATAACCTCGCACCTGGCACAATCCATCCTACACAAGACATGGGTACCTCGATTCTATATCGTTGCACAAAGTGGTCGACCATCGTCTTGAGAACATTACGAAGCTTCTCAGCGAGAACTGGGCAATCGCGAGGAGTGAAACCAGAGTCAAGCATGACCATTACCGTCTCTTCAAGAGAAGAAGGGCAACCTGAGACCTCGTCACCCCACCAAGCGATTGAGCGAGGAATTTCGATGACCGCATTCAGATCGTCTTCGTCATCATCTTCAATATCGTCGTCTTTGATGGCGAAACCTCTTGATCGAGCCTCTCCACCAGCTTCACGAGCTAATCTAGATCCAACCACGGCACCGGCTCTTGCGACACTTTGCCATAGACGATACATAGCATCTGGGCCATCCCAGTCAAGCAAACCGTCGACGATAGCATCCAAACCTTCCTTCATCAAATCAATAAATACTGAGTGGGGAACACCATTTTCAGCAAAATTCACTATGGTCTCTGCAGCAAGGCGAGAGGGAGAGCGCATGTGAGACGACCGTAGTACATCAATTGTTAAGTGACCAGATGATAGTTTTCGAGTTTCAGGATACTTGACCTTGATTTGTGATTCGCGTAACCAAACCCGAGGGATCTCGGAACAATTTTCTGATGAATCAGGATGCAGGATTAGGAGTCCCTACAGGAAAATACATAAATATTCGACTTTCACAACACTCGAGCAAGTGTCTGTTACCTTGGCACCAGCGATTCTACATTGGATTGCTGTTGGTGTTGTGTCCCATTGCAAGAGCTCGCGCAACGCCTTCAAAGCAATTTTGTTAATGTACCCGCAGCCATCTGTCATGTCCGGACCCCCCGGGTCTTTGGTGCACGAGTCAGTTTTCACTATAATCAACAACGATAGCAATAGCTTACCTTCTTCTTTTAGATACATGATATTTTCCCGGCTGATGGTAATACCTGGGACAGAGTTCGAAAGTCCCAATGCAAACCGCGAGGACCATTTTGCCACACTCTGAAATACATCAGTAATCTTCCCGAACTCTCAGAACTGCTGCCAACCTGAGCCGTATTGTAATATATAGGGTTATGCCAGTCGAGATAATCCTCCAGAGATGGTGGTGGAGGGTGAGCATGAGAAGGAATTCGACTGCATCCCGTCGGATAATTAGTTGCCACGAGAAAAACACTTCCATCTTTTGCATAAAATGCCCGATAAACCAGACCACAGAGGAGAAAGTGTTGCGAAAAAAACTCCACAAGGCCATGCCGAGGCTTGTTCAGAATGTTCCTCGGCACCTTCACGCGTAGAAAATTCTTGGAACCATACTGTCGCATTAGTCTCGACGAGGACCCAAGCTCTGGTGGACTAAGTTGAATGCGGTATTCAGGTGTCTTAGTCTTCTTGTCGATAGCCTTCAAAGTTGCACCAAAATGGACTTTCCCTCCATACCAACCATCGGCCTGTCGCTGAAATCCGTCAAAACTGTCACCCATTGCAAGAGCGTGTTCGTGTTCTCTGTCAAGCTCTTTCCAAGGCGACTTGTTATGTCATCAGTTATCAGCCATCGCAATCCAAAGGATCACCGTACCAAGACTGCCTTTTCTTTAACGAAGAATCCTTCTTCTTCGCCCTTGGAGTTCTGGCATGCAAACACCTTAGCTACACGTGGTGTGGCTTCTTCATTCGTGCCGCGAAGCTTATCCAAGTCGGGAATATTGATGTCCTCGTATGCAAGAACATCGTAACTGACCATTTTGGCAATCAGCCACTGTACCCCAAAGGATATTTTTTTATTGTCAAAATAAGCTTGTAGATTTCGATCGTGAGCCTGTGAGCTTCGTCAAGAAGAGTCTCAAAACAGTGCGAGAAGCACCTACGATTGAATGGATTTTGATATTTGCATCGCTGATTCTCGCACTTTTACGTGGAGACAAAGAATTGTCAGGAGGCTCCTCTGTTTTCCGTTTACCTAGGACAGAGGACCAACTACTCGAAGGTGAAGCCGAATCCGCCGAATCCGACGAGCCGACAGACATAGTTGAAAGGGGTTGGGCAGGACTGGAGCCAACAGCGGTGGTCGACGGACGGGAGAGCATTGGAATGTCAACGCTCGAGGTAATGCTGTTCACAGTACCATTCAAGACTGTAACTACTTGTTAGGCTCTCGGATCACATTGACGATGAGTTAACTCGCCATTTTCCGGCATATTGCACATCATATCGCTCAGGTCTTCCAGACCGGAGTAGACGGATGATTGCTGATGACAGTGTCAGTTATGCGAGACAGATGAGCCAATCGGAGACTGACTGTTGATGAGATCGAGTTGTTTGAAGCACTCCTTTCTACTGGTAGTGGGATGAAAGGAATGAGGGGAGAATTAACCTCTTAGTGATATGGAGTGGGTGTCCATGTCCATAACTATGTCACTTCACGCGTAAAACACAAGATCAAAGACAATCGTACCTTCTGCGAATTCCCATTCATCGTCTACTAAAATCTCCTCTTGTACCTCGCGGTAATAAGCGCGTGACATACCCCTCGACACACAGAATATGTGCAAGACGAAGTTCCTAGTTAATGTGAGTTCAAAAAATCGGGACGAGGACGATGGTGAAGAATGTAGTTGGGACGCAGGCCAACTTGAGTTGGATCAGACTGATCATCCAAAGAAGCACGATTGGAAAGCTCCGAGTCGCTCAAGATAGAAGGTGTACGATCAGTTGAAACGTTGCTGACAATGAGGCTGGTTGCAAGTCGTGATATCGGATGAATGGATTGAAGTCGAGATTGACTGATTTTGAACGTTACCGTAGGGTGCAAGGTTGTAACATACTAGTAGACTAGTAGTTGACCATTCTTTTGCAAGATTGTGGACAGCATCATGAATCAAAGCTGATAATATGATCTGTCTCTCCTTGCTGCTGAAATTGGCGTACAAGTTGCGTGTTGCAGTGTCAGGATCACAGTTGGGGAGTCACGAGTACAAACATGTTGCTACTGCATAAATATACACCCTATCAGATACGTGATATTGATAGCCCATCAGCTTTCCGTTCTTGACCGGGCCCTCAAGCGGTTCCTTCCCATTCGTGAAGTGTACCAGCTCAAGTAACCCAGCCTCGATGTCACCGAACCCTCGAAACAAGGGCTCTCTAGACGTGAAGCTTTGCATCATTTGGGCATAACGCTGGGACAGTCGAAAGCGTGTTAGTAGCACATATATTTGAAATGAATGCTTATTGAATGAGCGCCTCTACATGATGAATATGAACAAGGAAAGGACTCGAAGCGCAGTCTAGGATGCCATGCAGACTCTGGAAGTTTGGTCAATCAGGTCCAAAAACGACTACGTTGGGCGAGCGAGTTTGTCTGTGCGAGCGAGTAAACGTACACATTAACTCGGTGCCATCACACTCCTACGACTGTTGTGCAGCCTGCATATGTGCCAAATCCCGCTCTGTCTCTGGACTCTTCAAGATCTTTTCCAGCTTAAATCGTTTCCGCGCGGATATCGGAGGACAGTTTCGTATTAACACGGCATCGTTCAATCGAAGGACTATTGCACATCTCAGCATATATGCGGAGAGTGGCATTATGGCGACAGACCTTCTTGTTCGTCGTGTGTTAGGATCTTTTTGCTTCGTTCGATGCGCTGAAGGTAGGGTGAGCATGCTTGTTTTTCGTAGGGCGAAATTGAAAGTGTACTTTTCCGGTTAATTTGTGGATGACATGGCGTGAAACAGTCACAGTGGCTGTCTTGCGCATGCAGCCGGCTTTAGTGACGATTCCGGTCAATGCCATGGGAGGCATGGTGGGCAAGTATAACGAGTTTTGAGTTTACGATGTTGCTGTTTGGACTCTTCACAGCGTGGGAAACATCAGGTAACCTTGGCACATATTCAAATTCAAATAAATATTCCCGCTGCGAGGTGGTGGCCGGTTTGCCAACATACTCAGGCTGCGGGTCTGCTCATGACTTAACGTTTAACCTTCGTGACTATATCAAATGGCTTGGCATTTATTTTAACTCATTTCACAGAAATGTACACGAGCATTTGCTGCGAAGTTCTTGGATATTCCTGTTGTTATTCGTGTCAACGATCCAATTGGCCCTGATTCCACCGCATCGTAGTATTTTCTGCATAATTGCAACGTGCTGCATTGGGTGGCCATCGAGTCGACTTCTGGCCCGACACGTGCTCCTATCGTCGAACAAGCTTTTCTTGTTCGCACGGTCGTGTGTTCTTACCTTCGTGTCGTTCTGAGTCTAGACCGTCACGGTATCGTTGTCTTTCCTACACAAGCACATCGGCACTGCCCACTTGTTCTGGTACGAATCGGAACAGGCTATCGAGTCCACTATGGGCTCGGCGTCCGCTCGCCCGTGGCTGGTACAACTCCTGACACACGTTTGGTCCCGCCTATCAGACAATGGGCTTGGCCGTGATTAGCTCACAAAGCCTCGCATGTGTGAACGCCAGATTCGATTGATCTCAAGTCGAACGCCCTTCCAATGGACATGGATGTCATATGGTTTTCTGCCGGCTATAGTTAGCCTGAAGTTATGTATTGGCGTTTGCCCATGAACTTCTGGTAGAATTAACAAGGTACCCATGACTGGGAGTGCTTTTTGCAATGTGATCGTGATCCCTATGATTTCACTATCTGTAGCGGTGCACATCGCGTGCACACCAAAGTCCTCGACTGCCTCGGCCTTGCACAAAACTCGTGTAAGACCACGTGCGCCGCGGTGCGCGGGAGAGCTCAAAAAAATTCTCTTGGTAATTTAGCCGATCAGCCTTTTCTCCAGTCAGCTCTGCTCCCTGCTTCCTTTTCCTTGAACGGCCACATCCATTTAGTCATCGTCTTCATCTTCCCTGTTTCCTGTTCCTTTGACGGAATATTTTTCAGTTCCATGTGTAATTTGGCGACTGGTCCGTCACGGACCAGTCGCCAAATTGCACATCAGATTTGAAAGTGCAAAACAGATTATCCGGAAGAGTATCATCTTTCTCGATCTCCATAACAGCAGGTCAGGACTCCACCAATGGAACTGAACTCATCAAGCAAGCTCCGAGAAGACGAGTCAGCGTTGCGGACGGAAGCAACATATTTCAACACTAGAGCTGAAGCTTGCGCTATCGTTTGAACAAGCTGAAGAATAGTGAGACCGCTAAGGAACGATCTAGAAACTTGTGGAAAGCCATTGCCACGTTAGCCAAGACGTCCGCTTAACCGTACGTTACACCGAAAGGGAGTGATATCGAGAGCCTAAGTTTCAGTATCGCAGACAGTACTCATATAGATTATGCAAATTCTAGTAACTCGAAGCCAGCGTGCTTACAGTCATGCAAGAAAGAAACTATTCGATATACAGGTGCTTAAATATTCAGACCTCCTACTACGTACAGTCCGGGGACAACGAACTATCTATTCGTACTTGCAGCCTTCCTGTATCATGACCAATCCACCGACGCGAGTTCCTCATAGTTCGAGTCTGACCATAGCGGCTCTGCCGCGATCAGGCCTGCGCATTAATTTTAATATGCAGTATGTATCATATGTATGGGATATTTAGGATATCATGAAATATGTTGTTATTGAGTTATGCCGGCGAGCTTGAAGGTAGGGGTCCGGAAGGAGCATATTTCGACTTGAATCTCAATGTTGCTCCATATCTTTTCAGTGTTAGTCCAACATAATACAGCAGATCCTTGTGTGAAACATACCTTGACAGGACGAAGGGAATTGGCATCATAAGCAGAGCGATGAAACCAAGTAGTGACGAAGCCCATTCCGGGCCGAGCCTATCGTACATTTGAGTGGCGAAGAGCTGAGCGAAGAATGATGAGCTGATGGAGGGCAGAATATTACCGTCACTCACAGGAAATCCAGCGCCGAACAGACTACGAACGACAGTAACTATAGCTAGCGCCGAGGCAGCGACAGCCAAATATGCATCGATGATGTAGTTAATCAGGGCAAGCTTCAAAACCGTCGTGAGCCGTAAGCCAGTACGCAGATTGTAACGACATACGAATATCAAGCAAATACTCCATCCGAGCAATCCACCCGACAGCATCGGGGCCCATATCGAGACGCTAGGAAAGGACGTCCATGCAAACCAGAAGAACGATATAACAAGGAATGGCGCTGAGACCATGGCGACCCTCAATCTAAACTCTGGCGGCACAGGGTTTGGTGCGCATTCCTGAGCTTTGCGCTCGTAACTTGGGTTAAAAAAGAGAATGTACTAAAAACACATGCTAAGAACGTGGAAGCACAAGAATGAAGTATACATACCGTTGCAACCGCAAGAAACCCGCCAATGGGTAGCGGAAGGAACACGAGTCCAGAAACACCCGCATTCAAGTTGTGACCCTCGGTGAAAACCACGGGATAGGCCTCGAAGAGTAGGTATATACAGCCATAGACAAACTAGGATATAATTGTCAACAACCTTCACGTCGACTTGCAAAATAGCCAAACTTACGCTCATGTACAGAGTTATAGCAATCATCATCGGCTCAGTAAAGAGAACCTTGAAAGGCCGAGCAAGAATGTTTTCTATGCGCTGTGAGAATGTTATCCGTTGTAATTCAGTGGCAGCATAATATTTATCGTCTCCAGTGCGCTTCCGGATCTCTTTAGCTCTCTTGGCAAGAAGCACTGGACTAAAATTATGGGATGAGCGCGTGGCCAATAGAAGACATTCCGTAAGATGCTCTCACCTATATGTCTCGGGCATCGTGAAAATGATCTGCAACCAGCAGACGCCAGCCTAAAAACATATGTGAGTCGTAGTTGACAGAACATGGAGACAGGACTTGCAAAGATAGTCAATATCCAAAAAAGCCAGCGCCATGATACACCAGCTAGAACAAGGTATCCTGATACTACTGGCCCAACACCTGGACCAGCAAACGGAGCCACAGTGAAAACGGCGAGAGCAGTGCCGCGTTGCTTTGCGTCCCAGATGTCCGATATGAGCGCGCTAGAAGACTCGCGTTGTAAGAATATAACTTTCCCACTGGAGTAGAGAGTCCCTACCCTGAATTTGCTAATGGGGCAGCTGCAAATGTACCCCCAATGAAACGGAAAATCAACATGGATGTGATGTTCTGGGACAAAGCGCAGCCAATTTGGAAACACTAAAATATAAAGGTAATTGAGTGAAAGGCGGGCAGTGAATGGAGAGGCAGACTGACCATGTATACGAAAAAAGATATTATAAATATTGGGCGTCGTCCGTACTGTTCGGACAACGGCCCCCAAAGCAAAGGGCCAACACAGTAACCGCACACGAAAAGCGAAACAGTCAACGTTGCAACCTCCTCTGACACGCCAAATTCCTCCATGAAAGTGGGTAGTAGCATAGATGGGGCACTACTCGAGAAGGTGCTAGATAGGGCAAACAAACAAAAGTTGAGCGTTTAATATTTCCCGAGAGATGCTGTACGCACGCATTGAGGACCAGGAGACCAGCAGCGGCAGTGAGGTACCACTTTTTTGCAACAGACCAGTTCTAAATGAAATTGTGAGGTCATGGACATGGTAGTCTCGCAGCAAGTGAAAAGTACCTTTGGATTGGCTGGGTCACCCTGATCGAAGAGCACTAGATGTGAGTCTGGGTCGACCTTGTTGTCGAGAGTGATAGTTGAGTTTTCCGCAAGTTTGTTGGCGGTGGTGGCTGATTGAAATGATAGCCTAGATGAGTCGGCCATGTTTGCAGCCAGAAATATGAGGGAGCGAGTAGATTAGGGTGCCATTTTAAGAGGCTGAAAGGTGATTGATAAGAGGACCCTACAGGCGTGGTCCTCGGGTATTCTGCTCATACTGACACACTCGTAGTGACATACCGGCAAGTTGGGATGTAGTCTAAAATTTGTCAACATTGTGTCTAGGAGGTACTTTGTCAGCTAGACCTGACTGATGCCGACGTGCCGATGTCAATCTTTGGACTAGTGCGCACGTGGAGCATCCTGTGTCCGCCCACAGGCCTTTTCAAGGTCGGCGCGCGCCTCCATACCTGGGATTGCCCACTAGTGGTCGCCGGCCGGTCGCGTTCACTGCCAGGGCTAGTGGTAGCAGAGCCCAGCATGTGAGCAGAGCCCCTAAATGCGTTTAAGAGTTCAACCCAAGGCTGTTACAAGGTCAGGTGTACGTTTGACCCTTAAGTTGCGATTTTGTTAATTTAGAAAGTTTGGGAATGGCACTATCTCCATCTCGGGGTACGGGTCCTGTCCAACAACGATGACCCGACTGTGTCACTTCAATTTAGCAATCTCCCAGCCTGGATTTCTCCGCCGTTCCCAGTCCGAGACCGTAGTCAGCACGTGCTATATTGGACTTCCTGTCTCTAGGTACTCAGCTTGAGCGTGAAGACTGAAATAGACCGCGTTGCAAGGCAGAAGTGAACATCATTCTGAAACAGACGGCACTGATCCCCCTTCTTAGACTCCACATGATTGCGACTGCAGTGCGCGGTGCTCTGTCGATGAAGACACATTCGTCGAGAGTGGGCGTACCTTGGTAAGCACCAGTATCATCGTGTGGAATCATGAATGACATGCCTGTCATCGTATGCTTTCTCGGAGGCCGTGAGGGCGCAGTAGATCTTGGAATTTCCTGTTATAGCAGCTTGACAAAGTATGTATTTGAAGAGAAATCGATGTCATAAGCAAAGACACATTAATATTGAAGATAAGGTGAACCAATGTAGTCCACCAGCTGGGGAACGGAAGTCACCATCGAGCGGCAGTGTCCCAATTCCAAATACCCACATTACATAAGCACTTCAAGTTCATTGCTATTAATATATTCACGAGTCATCGACATCAGCGATCATGGACTTTACAGAAATCTACAAACAATCCGGAAACCTTGCGTCGTTTAGCCCAGGCGCTCACTTCATTCTCAACGTCGTCGAAAACACCTTGATTGTCAGGCGAACGGACACTCTACAGATCACGCGCACATGGACAGTCAGCGCGCCTTCCAGCACAGCTACCATTCTGTCCAACTCAAAACCAACCCCATTAAGCTCAGGAGTCTCGCAAGAAGCGTGGATATCTCATGCTGGTTGGTCTTGCGACTCTGAATATCTCCTTGCTGCTTCCGCGAAGAAAGGCATAGTAGAGGTTTTCAAGCTCCGGGACGAAAATTGGAATGCCCGAATCGAAGCCGGTGTTGAAGGCCTCCTCAAAGCTGAGTGGGCACCGGATGGTCGCCACATTCTCTGTTTTTCTCAGTGGGGCGTAAGTACAGCTCCGTTTCGACCGTCTGTCGCTTGTTTGATTTGTCGGTAGCTTCGAGTTACCATTTGGTCTTTAGTCACCGGCAATGCCACATACATACAGTTCCCAATACACCCTGATAAAGGTACCGTGAAATAGTGTCATCACCCACTTGTCATGTTATCTAATCAAGCCCAGGTTATGCTTTCCGTTCGGATTCCCGTTACTTTGTCTTGGCTGAGCGACATAGATCAAAAGACGCCATCGGTGTGTATGACGCAACTGACGGTTACAAACTAGTACGGGTAAGCATGATTTCATTCTCTCCATTCATAGCTCATGACTAGAAAGGCATTCACAGCATTTTCCTGTACCGACGTCCAATCTGTCATCGCTGGCTTTATCCCCGACTGGTAATCATATCGCCGTTTGGGAGGGTATTTTGGAGGTGTGTCATAATATAGGAGTCGGCAAAACGTTCACTCTGACACTTGATCGGCAGTACAAGTTGCAGATCTTGTCTCTAGCTGGAGATGTGCAAGGGACTTTTTCACCCAAGCCAAATCCAGGGTTCGGCGTTCGTAATGCAGCTTGGCATCCTGCTGGGATGTTCCTTGCCGTGGCAGGATGGGATGATAAGGTATGTGGATCTACCATGTACACATCATTGTCAAACATTTCTAGATCCACATCCTTGATGGCCTAACTTGGTCTGCCGCTGCAACACTCGAGTTGTCAAGTAAGATACCAGCAGGCGCTGTGAGTAGATGGGTTAAACAAGGTGGAAGGTGCTCAATCTTAGTAGACGCTATGGCGGGAACCGTCAAATTGGCTTGAAACTACGCAGGGTCGAGGGTTTCTATCTTGTGCGAAATATATTATTGTCGCATTCATTCGGTGGTAATGCTGACAAAGTGCCTTCTGACTAGATGAACGACTACAAGGCCCACAAACAATCAGCTTACAGCGCACAGATCCGACGAAGCCGAACCCAAAGTCGGGTGCGGTCCAGCTTGAATGGAATAAGACTGGCACGTTACTGCTAGTGCGGTTTGGTTTGCCAAGACATCTGTTTCTTTGAACATAACTTAACATGATGACTATAGGAAACTGCCCCACGGTAGTCCATTTGTACGATTTTCCAGCATCATCGGATCCATTTGTTCCCCGACTGCGTTGTCTTCTTCAACACGCGAAGCCAGTCCTGCAGGCACAGTGGAACCCGGTCCGTATAGGCAGCTTGGCCCTGTGCAGCGGGAGTAGTAGTATCTATACATGGAGTGACGAATGGATTGGAGAGAATGGGGTAGAGGAAGATATGGCAGAGTGCATCGGTGTACCAGCGAACAGTAGGTTGCTCCATCATTTCTCTGCATTCAGGATCATTAACGGTTTCCATAGCAAAATTTGAAACAAGAAGTATTAAATGGGCTCCCGACGGCAAAGGGCTGGTATTGTTAGACAAGGAGGTGTTTTGTTGCGCGTTTGAGGTGGAAGAAGATAGTACGGAAAGCTAACAGTTTTTTTTTGTAATACAGTTGATTTGCTCATGATGCTTACTGTCGGGACCGATGCATGTGACCCTGTCAAAAGTGTGACATTGAATCATCATATCCATCAACGTGCATGTATTATACTGCATGTCAACTGTACTGACTAAAGGAGCGCGGCCGCCTGGCTTTCCATAACATGGGAATATGTAGGCAACACCTAGTTTGTGCGTTTTTTCCTACCTAGTGTCTATTCCGACAAGAGAACTTATCTTCACTCGTGTACGGTTGGTCTATCTCGCCAGGACCAAGCTCTTCATCACTACTAGGATTTCGGTGCTGCATGTGCATTCAACGCTGTTATGCAAATCAGACATTCGACTATCACGTCCATCGTAAAATCGTATCTAGGCGTTATGTTAGATTAGTGTTATGCAACTTCATTCTTACTCACAAATCATCAGTGCACCTTAGGATCAATCACGTCTAGCTCCGAGGCCACAAACTAGAAAATATATAAATTGAAGTCAAAATTAGGTGCGCGTATCGCGGAGGTATAAAGTCTGGAATATCGAAGTCCTTGGCAACAGGTTGCGTGTGACCATGACTAAATGCTACATGCGAAGTCATCAAGAATGTCTTGATAAACAAGGTTGGAGAACGCACGAAAATGATCATATGCCAATATGCACAAACACTATGCGCTGGGCCAAGGGTATGTCCTTGTCACTAGCCAACAACTGGACCGCTCGGTGCAGCGCTCGAGCAGCTCATTTGGAATTCATTGTGCCGTCCTCGCGGATATTCTTGTAGAATACCTCGACTAAGCGCTGCGCAGTACTATCGTCGACCTTCCATAGTGTCCCAGCGACACTCTTGATCCCGGCGAATTACAGGCTAGCCGCTAGATGCATCACCTCGTCCGGAGTCTGATGGTTACTGACTGCGGTTTCACAAGTAGAAAGCAATGCTAATTCAGGCCGAGACAGATCCGTTTGCGCGATGTCGAGAAGTGTGAGCGGTTGACCGCGCATGAGAAGGGCCGACTCGAAAGGATCTTTGGTGTCTGTGTTCTGTGACACCCAAAATAGAGCCTAGGAATATCCTGCTGAATGCGCAGTGTTCTCGATTTCGTGGTATCAATACCGGTTATCTTGAAAAGTATCAGGAAAACCACCAGTTGCTTTTCTAACTTAACTTGTCACTTACATAATACCTGCAGGACGGACGAGCTTATTAGAGACAACTTACAGATGCAATGCGCTCATGCCATTCAATGACGGTCTGGGTGTGTTCTAGTGGTTAGATTCCTCACCCAAGACTGGAAGGGTATCGTTGAGTAGGTCCGACATCTGTCATGGGAAATCATGGGTACCACGTGCTGAGTGAAGGTAGATGGCACATACTGTTGATGATGACTTGTAGCATTTCACTGATAACGAGGTTTCAGCGACGAGATTTGACATATGACTGGGGGATGGACAGCTGAAAATAAGACGTGTCCTGGAAAGAAGAGCAGGGGATTCCACACTTGCGCAAGAATTCGCATATTGCCGCGAGGCACTGCACCCTTGGCATGCTTGGTTGCGCGAGAACGCACGGAACGGACAAGAAGCGTCCACACGGTCAATGAATTGACGAAGTACTTACTATGCATCAGTAGCCAATTGAAAATCGTTCATCTTTCATAGTCTCCACCGATTGCTGGGTTCTAATTGATAGAAACTCCCATAGCTGGAGTATCAATACTGTTTATCCCACATGCATGATTGCTCGGAAAGCTCACTAAAATTACCACTTGGCACCGTAAGGTTGTACTGTGCCGTCAACGACGCAGGTCAACGGCAGAAACCGTCCAAAAGGGCTGACATAATCACATCGGCACATTTTCGCAAGCGTTCAATTCCGTCCTAGTACGGCGAACCCAGTCATTCATTCCATCTTGTCATCCAATGCTTTCCCGTTCTCTCCGTGCTGCCAGGCTTGCAGACACTCGATTGGTTTTTCTAGGTGCATCACGATGGCAGAGGACATATGCAACACCGTCAGATCACAATGACAGCAAACCGCGGCGGAATGAAGAGGGCGAGGGAAATGTGCAGAAAGGCAAGGAGAAGGCTAATAATGGTGCAGCTAAAGAATCTGGAGATGGAGGCCCAGAAATTCCGAAGGGACTCGAGGGCTTTTTCAAGCGATATCAGCAGCAGACTTGGTCTCGTCAGTCCTCCGACGAAGACGAGACTCCACGACAGAAGTCACCACCACCACCACCAGGCGGTAATAATCCCAATAATGGATTTAATGTCAACCAACTTGCTCTCCTCGCCACATCCGCTGCTATCTTCTACGCTCTAACCAATTCTTCATCTTCGGGCTCACGAGAAATTACCTGGCAGGAGTTCCGCACCGCATTCCTCGATAAAGCTCTAGTTGACAAGCTTATTGTTATCAACCGGCAGAAAGTCCGCGTCAAATTACACTCCAATGCCACTGGCGCGATGTACCCCTCAGCATCTATCGGTGGAGATTACTATTTCTCAATAGGCAGCGTCGAGGCTTTTGAACGGAAGCTTGACGAGGCTCAGGCAGAGCTTGGTATACCCCCTCACGAGCGGATACCAGTCGCCTACCATGACGAGATATCTACCTTCAATACCGTTCTTAACTTCGCTCCCACTATTCTTTTCGCCGGTCTCCTTCTGTACATGTCGCGACGAGCTGGAGGTGGTGCAGGTGGTGGACCAGGTGGCATCTTCAGCATTGGAAAGAGCAAAGCCAAGCTTTTCAACAAGGACACAGATGTCAAAGTCAAGTTCAAGGATGTTGCGGGTATGGACGAAGCAAAGGAAGAGATCATGGAATTTGTGAAGTTTTTGAAGGAGCCCGCTAGATTTGAGAAGCTTGGTGCAAAGATACCTCGCGGAGCTATCTTATCGGGACCACCAGGAACAGGAAAAACCTTGCTAGCAAAAGCGACTGCTGGCGAGGCCTCTGTCCCCTTCCTGTCTGTGTCTGGTTCGGAGTTCGTCGAGATGTTCGTTGGTGTCGGTTCCTCCCGCGTCCGTGATCTGTTCGCGTCAGCAAAGAAGAACGCACCTTGCATTATTTTTATTGATGAAATTGATGCCATTGGAAAGGCCAGAGGCAAAGGAAGTAGCTTCGGTGGAAATGACGAGCGGGAGTCGACTCTCAATCAGTTATTGGTGGAGATGGACGGTTTCGGAACCCAGGAGCACGTTGTAGTACTCGCGGGCACCAATCGTCCAGATGTTCTGGATCCCGCTCTTATGCGTCCTGGACGTTTTGACCGTCACATAGCCATTGACCGTCCAGATGTCTCCGGCCGCAATGGGATCTTTAAGGTGCACCTCGGACCCCTCCGACTAGCACAGGAGCTCGATACGGACAAACTTGCCCAGAAGCTTGCCGTTCTTACCCCAGGTTTCTCAGGAGCTGACATCGCGAACGTCTGTAATGAAGCTGCTCTTCATGCCGCACGCAAGGGTCACGAGTCCGTCAAGGTGGATGACTTTGAGAGTGCAATTGAGCGCGTTATCGCAGGTCTGGAGCGCAAGAGCAGAGTTCTTAGTTCGGAGGAGAAGAAAACCGTTGCTTATCATGAGGCTGGTCACGCTGTCTGCGGCTGGTTCCTCGAACATGCCGACCCGCTTCTCAAAGTGAGCATTATCCCTCGTGGCGTTGGGGCCTTGGGGTATGCGCAAGTGAGTACAGATATTCTTTGACAGTCTCTGACAAATAATGATTTTATGTGCAGTACCTTCCTCCAGACCGCTACCTGCTCTCCACTCCGCAAATGTTGGACCGAATATGCATGACCCTCGGTGGCCGTGTATCGGAGGAGATTTTCTTCGGCCCTGAAAATATTACGACAGGTGCTCAGGATGATCTCCAAAAGATCACTCGCATGGCATTTGAAGCTTGCGCAAACTATGGCATGAATACTATCATTGGTCCCGTCAGTTATGGTGGTCGTGAGAGCCAGAAGGAAAGTTGGACGAAACCATTCAGTGAGAAGACGAGCGAAATGTTGGATTTCGAGGTGCGGAAAATGATCATGTAGGTGGATTCGTGTGATCTCTGCAACATTAACTAATAATAATATTTCAGTGGAGCACATCAGCGGACCACTGAGCTTCTGACACTCCACCGGGAGAACGTAGAGAAGGTCGCCCAACTTCTACTGAAGAAGGAAGTCATTACACGGTATGTTACGCAGTGTCATTTCAGCTGCCGTAAGCTGACGATTGTTTGTATAGTGAGGATATGATTGACCTCTTGGGTAAACGCCCGTTCGCCAATAAATCCGACGATATGGACAAGTGGCTAGATGATAACCGCGGTCATGAGCGCAGCGCTCCAGCACCGATTGAAGAATCCCCCCAGAGTGTTGTCGATCCAGCCCCTGCACCAGTTGCGACGTCGACGAAAATAGAAGACTACAAGTGGTAGTTCTTCTCTTGCACTGATACACTGGATTTTATTTCACTACGACTCGGGTTCTAGACGGCAACCACATATATGTTTTGTATTTTCATTACACGTGACGCTCGTGTTACCCTTCTACTTACCGTTCTCGATGCGTACTAAATAATATCTAAAGGGTATATCGGAATTGACTCCACTCATCACCCTTCTCGCGTCGTGCATCGTCGATTGTCTCAAATCGCCCATTCTTCAAGGCTAACTCGCTCATATCCCCCCCAGAGTTGTCACTGTCGATCACCTCATCGCGCTCTCCTCTGTCCCTTCGCTCATTCTCCCTACGCAACAGGAACATGAATGCTGCTGAACATAACCAACCAATTGAAATGTAGGCAAGCATGATGCCATGGCCAAGCCTATACCAAGGTGCATCCTGCGCACGATACTACGGGCCAATATAAGCTGGCAGTTAGTTTGAGCTAGTTTTGCGGACTCACAACGTTCGAAGAAACAGCTCCGTTCAAATTTGCCCTTTATCGGCGTCAATTACACTGCCCGGTTAATGTAAGGATCGACGTACCACC